TAACTAGTTTAACTTCCACCACTATTTTTTGAACTTCGAAAGTAGATTCAACAAATACTCAGATCATCCATGTTCAAAAAGATCTCTTGAGATTATAGACATCACATTATAATCATCCTGAATACATAGAATTCCAACAATTACTATCCCGAGGCCAAAACTTTTTCTTACTTTTAACTTAATTTTCACTTAATTTAATGATACTTTGTGTGATTTCAAATTTCTAAAATATTCTTCATTCAATTATGATTATTTTGGCTATCATAGATCTTAATTTGACTAATTAAATCGTCTATAATCATTATCCTAACATACACACTCTTATTTCTCTTTTTTATTAATTTTAAAATATATTTTATATTTATCATTTTAAAAAAATTAGAAAAATTTATATTGTTTTAGAAAAAAGATTAAAATATTATCTGATATTATCTTTCATCCCTATGATCGACCTGAAAATTCTCTAATATTTTTGAAAATTTTTACTGAATCATAGTTGATTTATTTTTTCTAAAATGTTTTTAAAATTTAAAAAAATATTTTATAGTTTATAAATTTTAAATTTGTGTGATTTATTATATGACGACTAAGTCACATCAATAATTATTTCAATCTTTTTTTCTAAATTTGAAGGAAGGTTGTCAGATAGTGATTAGTCTCAGCTTAGCTTCTTCACTCTACTTGTGCTAACTTTGGTCATCTTTGATGACATAAATTGTTGTTTATTCCTCTAACACATTTGTTTAGATCCCTTGTAGGTTAGAATGCATACCAAGGGGATGAATTTGTTTCATACTAAGTTTTACAATATTCAAATGGTTTTAGATAGTTTTGTAAATTTCAAGTATAGTGGGTGACACAAGCTTTGATGAGATGACATGAAATTCGTTGGGTCTACATAGTGGATTGACATATTAATGATTAGATGGGTTGACACATAAGGTTGATACATTGATTGATTTGATTGTGTCAACAAACAATTCTAGTTTGCATTAACACATATTTATCATGGTTCAGTCTTTTCTTGATCTATATTTTCTTTTCAAGGGTTCTTATTTTTAATTTATCTTATTCTTATTTAAATAAATACAATTAAACATAATAAGAGCAATAACTTCCTTATGATATAAATTTCATGAGTCTATCACTCCATGTTAGACATCAAGATATGTTACCTTTTTACCCTTTGTACAAACATGCAATAATGTCTTGATGTTAAAGTAGTACATTCTATACTATTGTGATAAGTATAAGCATTGGGGAAGCTTGAGTGTGTAACAATGAGATGATCGATGATTAAAGTGTCATTTAAAAACTTGTTCAAATGGATATTTATAAAGCCAAAAATCTTGATTGTTGGAGATCAAATATTTGAAATATGATTGATAAAAGCTTGTTATCAGATTGTATGATTAGGTTAGTGTTAACTTTTTAATTTAACTATTTTTGACTAAATAAATGCAAACATATTAGTCTAAGATTTTTTTTGCATATGTTTGATCTCTTAGCTTATCTTTGATATTTGATATGTCAAGATAAATGACAACATGAGAATTCTGCATGTTAAGTATGTCATAATTTAGACAATTAATACTTACTTTCATACAAAATGATATTTAATGATGCATAACATAAGTCAAGCATAATGTATGATCAATGTTCTAAATACACACTTAATTTTTAAATTTTTCATAATTTTTATAACATGTATATTTATTTATTTATATGCTTCACTTAAATATTAATTATAAAATATTTTTCATCTGATGTATAAATTATGCTTTATAATTTTTATAATGAATCACCATTTTCAAGGTATTTTTCTCAAGTTTTGGGGATTTTTTGAACTTTTTTTGAAATTTCTAGGTTTCATTTCAGGTTTAATTTTTTTAAGGTTTTTTTAATAATTTTCTATTTTCACGAAAATTTCTACATCCTAGGCAACAATTGAATTTCAACCGTTGCAGCCTCTCTCTCTCTCTCTCTCTCTCTCTCTCTCTCTCTCTCTCTCTCTCTCTCTTCCATAACCAACCCATTAACCACTTAATTTTCTCTCTATCTCCCACATCTTAGTCTTCCAAGGGGAGGGTGGGAGATCCTACGGTGATGCATGTTTGAAGAGTATCTAAGGTCTGAGATTGAAGCTTAGATAAGGTACATAAAAGCTCAAAGGAGAGAGAAATAACATTCGTCGCTTGGGAGAGGAACCATCTAAAGGAGAAGAGAAACAAGTCCAAAAACTTCACCAAAGGAGGCATGTCCAAGAACTCTTGATGACATATCCCCTTAAAGCACTCTAATGGTCAATAAAGAAGGCATTTTACTATAGTTATAGTGATTTATTTATTTATTTATATACTTTATTTCAATAAAGGTATGTTTCCTTTTTTGTATCCCCTCTTCTAGTGATTCTCTTGGTGAGAGATAGTTGAATCTTTTTAGAGGGTAGGTAGGAGTTGGATTTAGAGCTCTCCTAGAGTGACACTAGGATTGTGCCTTAGATTTGATTCATCTCCACCTATTCTCTCTCATTTTCTCAAATCTTGTGGATCTATGGACTTGTCAGGATTGATTCCATAGTCAAGCCTAGCCAATCACCTAACCCCAAATCTAGTATAGATGGAGGAACATGATGACGAGGAGAGAATAATTAGATATAGAGTAGAGTAGATTCTAGTTTCGTTTTAATTTAATGCTCTCTTGATCTATGAAGATTTAGCACAATTTTAGGGTTGAGAGGGATTGAGAGGGGATTAGGATAATATATAAGAGTAGAGTAAGGTTCTATTTGACTTATATATCAATCTTCTAGGTGACATAAGGTGATCTAAAATGATTAGAGATTTTATTTCATGCAAATTAGGGTTTAAATAATCAATCACTCTCAACCATCCATTGATTGTGCGTCTCCCTAATTTTCCTTCTATTGTTGATTGAAAAGTCATCAATTTAGGTTTCATCTATTTCTTCTTAATGTGTCTAAGTCAATCATCTTCTATCTTCTCATCTTACTCTTAATTGAAAAGTCAACTATAGTCAGCTCACGATGCTTCTTAGTTTAATCAACTTTCTAAAGTTCTACCATGATATTCCCAAAATCTATACTCTTTTAGCATCCTTATGAACTATTCTGGATATTATAAATAGTATTTTTGACCTTCCTTATTAGCCATGACTTGGAGCGAATCAATACACCACCATTGTTAAAGGTTTTTTGTTGTGTTAGATCTTTTGACATGTCATATGTGGTAGATTTTATTTCTTACTCTCTCTAGATTTTGACTGAGTAGATTATGGATTGACACACCTTCTCTCCTAAAACTAAAATGGATCAATGCACTCTTTTGTTACTCTACGTGCTTCTCTTTTTTCAAGTAGTTGACCTATTTTTTCTCCATCTTGAATTTCTTTTATAACATTATCTTTTGCTTCGATATGATTTAACTTGATTCATATTTATTTCTTGGCATTTGCTTTCTTTATATGAGGCCTGAATATTTGTGGATTATTTTATTTAAAAGGTATTTATAATATTTTTTTATATTTAAATTTATGTGATTAATTATTAACAGTTTCATTAAAAATAATTAACTTTAACAATGATTACATTTGTACAAGTGATTCCATTTAGTCAACAAGGTTGCAAGTTACTTTTAGTTATAGGAAGTATCCCATGTGGTTTTTTTTTCTAATTTACCCTTTGGGGTAAAATAGAACAACTTAACAACTTAACATGCATACCTCTAATAGGGTATGCAACCATTTCTCTTATAATATGGTTAAAGGGTGCAATTTATCGATGTATGACCCACCAACAAGGTTAATTCTTGTTTCATTAACCTTGTTTTGCCTTTGATTTATGTGACACATATGCATTATACACCTCCACATTTTCTGCCTCCCGTCCATGTGTGGCGCCCCCTCATATTGTGTCATGCCACCTAATGTTACATGCCAACACCATACCATTGTGTGCTATGCTCAAGCTGCACATGTTGGTATGCCAAATGCGCACTAATGCCTACAATGGAGCTTGTCTATGATAATGTCAATGCACGTCCATGTGGCCTCATGTCGACAGTGGGGTTTTTCGCTAGAACCTCATTCTTTTCTTGTGAAGGGTATCACACAGGTTCTTATACGTTACGTGTGTTACTAGAAAAACTACATTAAGTTGTATCACAAGTACGACCTAGTGTGAGTTTGTAATTGAAATCCTTCTTTCATGGGTCTAAATTATTGCACTATCTTTGACTTATGAATTAATTATGGAGCAGTCAAATAACTTACTTTAGGAGAGGACTGAGCATCTTCTGGTATGATTCAGGTTTTATTAGCCTAATTACACTAGTAATTATTTTTAATAAGTATATTAAATGATAATTTAAAACACTAGTATAAAATAATGCACATGTTTTTATTTATAATTTGAGACCGTGAATTGGCAGCCTTCCACGTTGATGTCTTTTTCAGTGTCTTTTTAATTAATTATTGTAGTATTTGTTTTATTTTAATATATAAATAAATATTGAGCGGAGGACACCGAGTAAGCGGAACAATAGACCGAGAGTGATAAGTGCCGTCCACGACAAGGCACATTGCGAGAGCCAATGAGTTGTCCGTCACAGGCGACAGCCGGTCGCCCCCATGTCTCTTGTCAGAAAAAGTGACCACCACTCGTCTTTCTTGACTTGCAACAGCCGGTCACCTTCTCCTGGAAAAGACGTCTTTCTCTCTCTCCCTCGCCCTTTATCGTCTTCTGGCCGGCATCCCTTCTCCACAGCCTTCTCTCTCCTGTCGGTAGGGAGAGAGAATTTGTGTGTGCGTGTGTGAGAGAGAGAGATGGACTCTGGCTTATATTGCCTCCTCTTTTGAGATTCTGTCCCTGTGAAGGACGGAGGAAAACCAGAGGATCAGGAGAGAGGGCGGCGTCAAGCGTGGGGGGAGACGGGTCGACGGCGAGCCGGTAGACGAAGTGTAGTGAGGAGAGAGAGAGAGAGATGGAGGCGGTTACCTTGGAAGAGCTAAGGAAGAGGCTGGCAGACTTCGCAAAGGAGAGAGACTGGGACAAGTTCCACAGCCCCAGGAATCTCCTCCTCGCCATGGTAAGAACAAACCTCTCTTCGCCATTAAACACCTCCCCGCCTCCCCTTCCCTCACATCGATTTCCTCTCGCTCTCCTACCTTGTTCTTGACGATGGGACTCTCGGTAGAAGAATCAAACCATGTTTCAGAAAAAAAAAAAAAAAACTTCTTGCGTATTGAACGATCTTGTTTCAGATTCATAAGTGAACATCGCTCTGAAGTTTCTGATATCGTTTCTCGTCTACCGCGCTCAGATTCCTCCGGTTCTTCCATGGTTTGCTTGATGTTGATGACGATGTGTGGTTCAGGTGGGGGAGGTGGGGGAGCTGTCGGAGATATTCCAGTGGAAGGGGGAGGTGGCGAGGGGGCTGCCGGGGTGGGAGGAGGGGGAGAGAGAGCACCTCGGAGAGGAGATCTCCGACGTCCTCCTCTACCTCGTGCGGCTAGCCGACATCTGCGGCATTGACCTCGGCCGCGCCGCCCTCAGGAAGCTCGACCTCAACGCCATCAAGTACCCGGTTCCGCACTGCCAGGGCTCCTCCAGGAAGCACACCGACTACGCCGCCCTCTCCACCAGCGGCGGAGAGAGCAGCCACGACGATTGCAACGGGTCGGTTACAAGCTGAAGCCTTTTTGATTTGGCAGCAATGTGTACTCTTTACAGACGCAATTCATTCCAGTGTTTTACCCTATGGACACGTGGAGAGCCCAATTAAAGATTTTGAGTTTGACTTTGTGAGGGCCGCGCGAACGCAGGCCCCCGCTGGCACAAATTATGACGTCCACTCTCCCACTTGGGGAGATGGTAGCCGGGCGCTCCCCCTGAGTGCAATGGAGGCCGCACGGCTAGGCCATGGGCCTTGTTGATCACCCATAGACCCCGTCCAGGTAAGTATGATGTTCGGTGGCTCAGGTTTCGGTTTAATAGGCAATCTTGATGCCGAATATCCAAGTTTAGCGATGTGGGACTAAAATGAGCTCCGCTTAAAATCGACCGTCTTTTTACAGTAATAATCTCTAACAGGTAATTAGTTGAATGACTTCTCTCTCGTTCTCTCTCTCTCTCTCGGTTATTCAGTGGGAGGGGTTAGGGTGTGGTGACAATGGCGGCGACGGCGGAGCTGGATAATGGGGAAAGAGTAGGGCGGAGAAGGATATCCCCCATCAAGTCGACCGCTGAGGCGAGGATCGGTTCGTCCTTGGTGATCGTGGCGGCTAGGTTGACGACGCAGAAGGGTCCGGCGTTCTCTGATTCCCCTGACCGGTTTTCTTCTTCGTTCGGCATCGAGGTTCATAATGCTCAGGAGGAAGAGCTTGCCCAAGTGGTGTGATGGTTCTTCGATTTCAAAGTGATGGGCTTAACTTTCTCCATCGAAGGAGTCCCAAATATCTCTCTCTCTCTCTCTCTCTCTCTCTCTCTCTCTCTCTCTCTCTCTCCCTCCCTCCCTCCCTCCCTCGCTCCCCATCGAATTCATGCATTCTCTCTCATGTCGCTCGGTCTCAACACTTAGGCGGGGAGGCGAGGCGGCACCTGGCGGGCAGCTTGGAGGCGAGCCTGGGGTCGATCTTCAGGTACTTGAGCAGGCTGAGGTTGTTTCTCTTGAACGCGCAGAGGCAAGCCAGGTCGGCCTCGGCCAGAGCGGCGCAGCACGCAGGAGGCGGCGTGGCGGGGATCTTCTTCCTGGCAGTGACCGCCAGCTCGCAGGCCTCGAGCCCCGCCTGGGTCATGTTGCAGAGGAGAACAGGCGGCGCGAGCAGTGCCTGGACAGGCGCGGAGAGGACAATTAGCAATGCCGCAATGGCGACTGCAAGAGCCAAGTGCCTCTTCGCCATCGTCTCTCTCTCTCTCTGCGCGTTACGTTGGTGCGTGGGTTTAGGGGGCCTTTCGTTTGTTTAAATAGATGGAAGTCACCATGGAAGCCCGGGGGAAAGCTTTGTCTCAATATGACAGGGGTTCACGGGGCGCTTTAGCTTTTAGGGTTTGGAGGGTTGCGATTTTTTCTTACAGTTGGAGAATAATCTACTCGGTCGGGACCTGAACCGTGAACGCGACCATAGGTTTGGGGGACCAGGCTAGTTGTTATTCACAAATTAAATAATCATAATATTTATCTTATAATAATTATTACTATATGGTCTGCATGTGAGACGGTTTTTGTTTGCGCGCGTGCAAGAGCAAACAAGTTGCACCCAAGATCCTATTGATTCTTGCGTATCATAGTTCATGACCAAACTATGTTCATCATTGTAGAAATTCACAAACATGGATATAGGAACCTTCCTTCCAAAGAGAAATTCAGGACATATGCTACTAACCCAAAAAGTCGAGTACGTAGGTAGGCCAGAGACAAGATACCCTAGAATGGGCCCCAAGATACTCATAACCATCACAATTCATCGCGCGAAACCTGAAACAGATTGGAAATTAAGCTTATGGTCGATGTGAATTGTATTGATTGATGTTTTTGGGATATTCCTTTACACTGCACAAGACTTCTCAATGTTTCGTTTCAAAAATCTGATCACCCCCTGGGAAAGAGTGATCACCTTTCTTCAATGGTCAATGCTCGATTTTCAATTTGTTCAAGAACTTTGAAGATCTCCTTGGAAAAGGTCTAAAAGACTTGGTGTGTGGGAGGTAGGTGTAGTAGGCCAATGAAATGGAGATGGTCTAGAAGGCTCATTAGAAGGGGAGGGATGTTTAGGAGTCCAACAATCATCTTGGGGGATACAGTTCATGTGATTAGAGTGTGTCAATCAATCATATCATGAGGCATACATGGAATATGTTCTTCTTTGTAGATATGAGCAATGATTGCAATGAGGGTTAATGAGCATGGTGCTTAAAGACAGTTCTCATTTTTTCTAGCAAGAGAGCTCTTAGGTTAGTAGGAATTCCCTGAAGAATATTGTTCAAAAGAAAGTTGGTCAAAACCCACCTAAGCACTGGTATCATGGCGTCGGTTGATGGAACTAAAGGTGTTAGGCTTTGATAGATCCTCGTGGTAGTTGGGATAAGGAGATGAGAAATAATGAGATGGATTAGTCGTGAACGAGTAAGAAGTCTAAGAGTAGTGATTACATGGGTTTTAGGATCAATGATTTTGGTAAGAAAAGTAAAATAGATTGAAATTTCCTATTTTCCAACATGAACAAGGCCTCCAAAGGAAATTCAAAGGATTTTACTGAAGAAGTTGTCAAATAGGCAGTGAGACTGGAGACTAGAATGAGAAGTCAACATTTGAATAAATGACATAGATGCCTAAATGAGCAGAGACAATCCTTATCCACCACATGGAATGAAACATGCAAGATAAGTGAATATCTTGAGAATCATATAAATTTAGTTCAATACATTTTTTTAAGAAGAAACTTTCGATCATAGTAAAGCTTGTTGAAAAGAAGGAAAATAGTTGGGAGAGCAGTGGGGTTTGGAGCGTTTAGTGGGGTCTAGTGGGCTTAGGCACTGGGCCACTATTGGGCCTATATGAATTCTTAGTGGGCGTATGTGACTTGTTTTTTGGCCAAGTGATTGGGCTCATCATGTTGGGCCATGTAGGCAATGGAATGGAGCAGCCACGCTTGAAAGTAGTGGTGATGGTTACTGGGGACAGTGGCGGCGTTGGTGGATCAGATGTAGTGGGGGAAATGTCAAGCTAGAGAGTAAGAGAAAATTGATGAAAGTACCTCGAATCAAAGTTTTTCTAATGCTTGATTGCTTCCAGATGCGACGTTGATGGCTCACGATGGTCTTTGTTGGTGGATGGATCATGACTTGGAAGTGAATTCGGAGTAGAAGGGGTAGGGTTCCTCAGAGGGGGTAGCAGATGAGATTTCTCCAGTATTTCGGGAGAAATGATTTGATTTTTACGTTTTAAACGGTTTTAATAGGGTCAAGGATTAAAATAATGTGTCATATGATTGATTAATATAAGATTTGATCAACGATTAGTACGCTTAATGGATACTAAGAAGTTGAACCAACATGACGACATATGTGGGTTGACTTGAGTAGGTATGGGTTAACACACTCGATAAAAGAAATTTACTAAAAAATACTTGAAAAATTAAACGGTTTTTTTTTAAAAATAAACTCGCACAAAGTTCTCTCCTTTCTTCTCTCCTTCGTCCAATGGGTGTAAACATGGGGTTAACTGGGTCAGGACAATGGGTCTCAGCAATACCGTTGACTGGACTGTAGGGTACGTGTAAAATAAACTACCATTGAATTCGGTCTGCAGACGAACACGGTGAACAGTGGGGGGGGAGGGGAGAGGAAAAGCAGACTGGGATTTTCAGAAAATCCAAACCAAACTCTCTCTTCACTGATGAAGGCCAAGACATGATCGATTTTTTGGGGAACACAACAGCTAGCAAGACAGACCTCTCTAGTAGGTTTATTAGGGACTCTCTGCAGTTTCTTATTGGTCCGACTAAGAGGGAAGAAGACCCCACGGAATCTCCGGCAAGAACGCAGAAAACCAGGCCTGATCGACGAGGATGATGGGGAGGCTTCATTTCTTCGGCAATTTACTTGGCCTCTTCTCCCGCTGGTGAGGACTCAGCTGGGTCTTCAACGACTGGGTCTCCTGGGAGCTCTCCTGCCAGAGAGCCTGCTTCCTCGGCTGCCCCTTCCTCAGCTTCCGGTTCCACTTTCTTGTCGGCGGGGGGGGTATCCACTGCCGCTTCCTCAGCTGCAGGAGCAGTCTTCTCTGGTTCTGTGGCGTCCACCTGTGACTCCACAACCTCGGCTGTGGCAGAGGTCTTCTCTGCTGCTTCCTCAGCTGCTGGAGCGGTTTCCTGTAACTCCGCTGCTTCTTCCTCAGTTGCAAAAGCAGGCTCTTCCGTCCCTGCAGGGATCCCCGCTGCGTCTGCCTCTCCTTCAATTGCAGCGGGCTCCTCGGAGGCTGGGGCGGGCGTCTCCACGGCTGTTTCCTCGGCAGTATGAGTGGGCTCCTCGGTGGCGGAGGCAGGATCCTGCGTCAGCTCTGTCGCAGGAGGAGAGGAATCCTCAACGGCGGAAGCTTCAGCTGGCGCCTCTGGGGTCTCAACACCGGAAGCCGCAGGATTGGTCTCAGCTGCGTCGGCTACCGCCTCCGCCGCCGCCTCCACATCGGCATGAGCTGGTTCCTCAGTAGTGGGGACAGATTCCTCGGCGGGGGCCTCAGGGGCATCCTCTGAGGCCGCAGCCGGGACAGCTTTCTCGGCAGAAACCTCAGCAGCTGCTTCATCCGCCGCCTCCATAACTGCCGCTCCGGCTTTGTCAGCAGCAGCGGTTTCGTCGATAGCTATCTGTTCCGTTGCCTCTATCGACGGTGATTGCTCTTCAGCGACAGCCCCCGCCTCTACGGCCACGGGCCCCTTCGCCACCGCCGGGGTAGCTTCAGGCGCCAGCACAAAGTGCGTCTCCACCTGCAGAACCCCACAGCAGCGAAGCAGAAGATCACCATGACGCCAAAAACCTAAGAGAAAACCCATGCCCATGCATGTGTAGTTCAGTGCTAAATTATCATGTGGCACGATCTCCGCCGTTTGATCGACGTCTGACGACGATCCGTGAGTTCTTCTCCTACTTCGTTCTGTCTTTTCTTATATCTACTCCCTACTCTCTCTCTCCCTCCTCTCTATCGACCAGATCGGATCGGATCGAATCGAATCGAATCGAATCGGATCGTCTCCCCCCCCCCCCGCGGGGATATCTCCGGGGGTTTTTCTCCCTTCTGCTTCCCTCAAGAACGCAAGAAAGGGAGGGGCTGCCGGAGGCAGTCAACGGGGAGGAATAAGACGCCGATCCGAGGAGGACAGCGAGTCCTTCCGAGTTCGGAGCCCGCGCGTGCGCTACGGCGATCCCCGGATCGTCAGCGCAGAAAAAACCAGTCGGCGAGATTGCTCTCTGAAGGATAGAAAGAGGATGATCGGCTCCTCACCTGGGCGCTGGCCATTGTTGGCAACGAAGCGCGATATAGAGAGCGAGAGAGAGAGAGAGAGAGAGAGAGAGAGAGAGCGAGCGAGCGAGCGAGAGAGAGATGGGTGATGATGAACTGCTTGGGGAGGTATTTATACATGCGAGACTCAGAAGAGAGAGGGTGCTGCCACCCGTAGCCACGTCATTCGTGCTTCTGAAGTAAACTTGTACAGAAGTCCTTTGAAAAATACTTATTTACGATGGCAACTTGATTAGAGGACGAACGAAGCCTGGATAAGCCTAGCCTGGCTCGTCCAAGGCTAAAACCCGAAAACTAAAACAGGCCCGACCTAGAATCTAATCCTCTCACTATTTCGGGCCTGGGGTCCCATAAGAGATAAACACCGAGGCCCGTTTACGCTGCTTTTTCATCCGGGCCGGCCCGAACATCCCAGGCCTGGGTTCCGATGGAACAGCTACTTTTGTATTATTTTATTTCTTTTCATAGCCAACAAGCTCCACAGCACCGGTCGCTTCACACATCAGCTTTATCGAGTGGCGAGCCCGATTATCCACATGGCGAAACGCCGTTCGGTGAGTAGGTGTACTCGCCTGAGTTGTCCGAGCTGGAAAGCTGGGAGAGGACGGAGCCTTGGGCCCCAGTATGGCGCCAGTCCACGCCGCTCGAAGAGTCGGCGGTTGCCGGTGGTGGCCCACATAGGCTTTTTCCTCGCCTCGTGATGCGGACGTGGCCACTAGCTCCGCAAGCTGTCGTTTGCATGGTTGAGGCAGGGCGGTGGCATGCGCGACAGCGTGGAGTGCGGGCCTCACATCGCCTCCTCGGCCACGTGGACAGCCTGGATGACGAGGCTTTTAGATCCAAGTTCCTCCATAATAATTTACCCCACTTTTATCCCAAAAACAGAAAGTCAGAAAAATCATTAATATATATTCTTATTTTCCCCACTTTGTGCCGTTGATTTTTTAGGCACGGTTTTTCTCATTTTTTCTGCACCATAATATATTATTTTTTGCAGTTTCACCCTTCGACTCCTCTCTATAATTCTTGGTTAGGCCATAGTTACAATTAATTTAGTTGCAGGCCCTAAAAATTCCGTCCAGGTTAATAAGTTTCGAAATAACGATCCTGTGGCCCGAACCAGTCACGTGCCGGTCGGTCAGCTGCTGCTCTCGGTGGGTCCCATTAGAAAGCGGGCCCCACTCTAAGACGATCTTATTGTCCTCTATATACTGATCGTTAGTACGACCAGGGCGGTCACGTGACGTGGTAAGACGTACCCACTGTCAGTATCCCACGTGCCATCCGGAGCACGTACGTACGTCGACGAAAACGGCAAAACTGGGTTTAAAAAATGAACAGGGCATAGAGACAATAGTGCAGTGAGTATACCAAAGATTTAAATAAATACATTATACTCATTGATATGCCCTCCTCATTTGATGAATAGGCCTTTTTTATTTACCCAAAAAGTAGAATTAAATAAAACTAATTAAAAAGGATAACTGAGATAAATTTATTAAAGAAGAAGCATAAAAATACGGTTCAGTTAATTATTTAATTCGAGGAGTATTATATTGGGTCACATCACGTAAATAGGGGCATATATAAAATAAAAATACCGTACGAATAAAAATAAATGCTCTTGTTGGCGATGTCGGGAGATTGTACGGCCGTGCCATCTGGGCCTACGTGTCTAGGAAAGAGAATCTTTGTGGGCCACAGGTGGCATCGGCCCAATAAATTCCGACGTGTACAAGACGTAACGGAGGGGACCAAAGCTTTTCGTAAAGCATTTGGGGGCTCTTAGGAAAATTGTAAAGTTACCTTTATTTATTTATTAATGATATTTGATGACCACATTCGACCCGTCTCTTCATAGTCCCAATCGGTTCGGGTTTTTCGAGGTTGCCTCTAGGTTTATTTTAAAGTCACAATTTACCACTAATATCCTGAGTAATTGTGAAAGAGTCCGCTGTAAGGACCGGCCGGTGGGCTTAAAATGTCCAATGGACGGAGGAGATCGATAGGCTATTGATCGGAGAAAGCCCACTATTTTCTGGCCCAACTGAAACCTTCACGGCCCAGAAGACGGCCCATTAATATATTTCAAGGGTCGATGCCTACCCACCCATCACTGATTCTCTCTCTAGGTATGGTCAAAGTCATTCCAAGGGTACATCTCAGATTCATCAATCTATAAGCAACTTAATATTAATAAGTTCCATTTTTAGCACTCAAATGATTTTAAAATGCGGTATGGAAACGTTTCACCCCACTTATTATTTTTAAATCACATTTTTATTTAGTAAAAATATTTGGATTATAAAATTAACACAAGTATCTCTTGATTAACACCTACGTTCTAAAGCCATTGAAGAAAAAAAATAAAAATTTGAATGAACCCTATACTTCAGAAAATTATGAAGCATTAAAGCATATCCCCTATATTAATTAGTTCATACGACAGACTAATAGCTACTACGATTTAGCCAGATGTTAAATAATAGTAGCTACCCGTGATGATCTATTAAATTGATAGTAGGTTGTAACCAGAAGAGAGAAGCAAAGTTTTGGAATAATCACACTTTGATGCGGAAAAAAATAAATATTTGAAAGCAAATTGACAAATTCAGGTACCAATTTTAAATGAAAGAGATATTAAAAATCTTAAATAGGTTTATATATGAAAAATGAGAAATATTATTGCTAACTAGCTTGTGGTCTAAAGGTTGATAATTATTTGAACTGGTAAAATATGTGGTCAATTACAAGATCTGAAATATATTTTTTGTGGTTTACATGCTTTCAGTTTTTAATTGTTTTGGTGCAATCTCGAAGAGCAATTATAAAAGTATTAAATTGACAATTTTAATGCGGAATTCATTTTTTCTTGAATTTTCTAGTCTTGAAATGATGAAAATTAAAATGACCCTGATGGGACGGATAACCAACGATTCAATAGTCAACGCTCTCCGTGCCAGCTTGGACAGGTCCAACTCTGTCTCTTCCATAAATGGGCCGCCATTCAGGCCCACTTACCGGTGATAACTATGTAGTCATGGCATTTTTATAATCTCGCACTGGTAAACGTGTTTTCTGTAAAAGTCGTCGTAACATTGTTGGGCTCTGAGATTATATATATATATATAAACTCCGTGACGTGGTGGGTGAGTTTCGTAAGTACTCTCACAGACGAGGGGACCGAAGTTAGGAAGGTGTTAGACCATAAGTTTTTGTTAGACCGGGACGGTGTCTTCATCATCTTCGTCGCCGGCGCCGGGGAGCTGCTTCGTCCGGTGACTCTTCGTCTTGGCGGCGTTCCCCAGCAGCGGCGCCCCGTCGCCGCCGTGGACTTGAAGTTGCTTCTTCTCCATATCCCCGTGCTTCTGCTCGCAGCGCAGCAGCACCTGAAGCACGTCCCGCATCGTCGGCCTCGTCGACGGCAGCGTCCCGGTGCAGATGAGTCCCAGCTGGTACACCACCGCGATCTCCTCCAGGTAGCGGGGCTCCCTGATGCGTGGGTCGAGAGCTTCCTCGACGGCCCCGCCCTCCTGGAAGCGCCGCCATTCCCTCTCCGCCAGGCAGCCGCCGCTGGCGTCGCCGTCGTGCGCCCTCCGGCCGGTGGTGAGCTCCAGCAGGACCACGCCGAAGCTGTAGACGTCCACCTTCTCGTTGAGCTTCCTGCTGTAGGCGCACTCCGGCGCCATGTACCCCACGGAGCCCACCAGGGAGGAAGCGGCGGTGGCGCCGCCGCCGCCGGCGTCCTGCTCGCCGGCGGTCCCCAGGATGCGGGCGAGGCCGAAGTCGGCGACTTTGGGTTGGAAGCCCGAGTCGAGGAGGATATTGCTGGACTTGACGTCCCGGTGGACGATCGCCGGCGAGCACTCGTCGTGCATGTAGCAGAGCCCCCGTGCCGCCCCAACGGCGGCGCTCAGCCTCGCCGGCCAGCCCATCGCCGGCGTCCTCCCCCCATGGAGCCACTGGTCGAGGCTACCGTTCTCCATGAACTCGTAGACCAGAAGCTTGGCGTCCTCTCCGGAGATGCAGCAGAGGAGCTTGACGATGTTGGCGTGCCTGATGGAACCGAGGATCTTCACCTCGGCAGCGAATTCCTTCTCCGCTTTGGCGTCGATCTTCCCGCTGCTCCGCAGCTTCTTCACCGCCACCACCTCCCCCGCGCGGTTGCCGAGGGAGACCCGGTAGACCTCGCCAGAGCCGCCGCCGCCGATGACGTTCCCTGCTGCGACGCCGCGGAGGATGTTGGATTCGGAGAAGTTCAGGGACTGGAACGAGGTAAGCTTCCAGGAGGCCGCGAGGTCTTCCTGGTTCTTCCTCCGCCGGCGGCGGTCTCTGGCGAGGAGAAAGGCGAGGAGGAGGGTGACCAGGAGGAAGAGGATGGAGAGGGTGAGGAGGAGGGCGAGGAAGCCCTTCGACAGTTTGCCGGAGCCGCCGCCGGAGTTGGCGGTGCAGGGCGGTAAGTTGAGGAAGGAGGTGGATGAGCAGATGCCGGGGTTGGAGAGGAAGCTGCTCTCGTACGCCTGGTTTTGCAGCGCCGCCGGGATCTCGCCGGAGAGATGGTTGCCAGAGAGGTTGAGGAAGTTGAGCTTGAGTTTGCCCAGCTCCTTGGGGATCTCGCCGGAGAGCCGGTTCTCGGAGAGATCCAGGGATGTGAGAACCGGCAGAGAACCGATTTCTCGGGGGATCTCGCCGGAGAGCTGATTCGACCTCAGAATGAGATTGGTGAGAGATTTCAGGACCTTGATCCCTGCAGGAATCTTCCCGAATATCTGGTTTCCCTCGAGAAGTAGCTCCTGCAGGAGGGTCATGCCGGTGAGGTCGGGAGTGATCTCCCCGAAGAAGAAGTTATTACTCGCCTTGAACACCATCATCCCTGGTGCCGACGAGGGAACTTCGCCGGAAAACCTGTTGTTCTCGATCTCCAGCCTTGACAGCGACGGCGGCAGCCTCCCCGGCAACTTCCCGGAGAACATGTTCCCCGTCATGATCACGGTGGAGAGATTCTTCAGAGACCAAATCCCGGGGGGTACCTCGCCGGAGAAGGAGTTGCCGGAGAGACGCAGAGCCTGCAACGGCTGGCAATTCCCCAGGGACTCCGGCAGTCCTCCGGTGAAGTTATTCTCATGCACGATCAGAGCTACCAGGGCCCCCCCCGTGCAGAGGCCTTCCGGCAGCTCCCCGGAAAGCCCGTTGCTCCACACCTCGAAATTCAGCAGCTTGGAGTACTTTCCCATCTCCGGCGGGATTCCTCCGGTCAGATTGTTTTCGAACAATCGGAGGTCCCTCATCGCCGGAATCTTGCCGATGTCCTCGGGAATCCGTCCGGAGAGCTGGTTCTTGTAGAGAAACAGAATCTGCAGGTTTGATTGCCGGCCGAAATCCGGCGGGATCTTCCCGGTGAAATGATTCATCGAGAGATCGACCTCCGTCAGATTCGGGGAAGCTATCCCCCCCTCGCCGACGATCTCGCCGGAGAGCTGGTTGTTGTAAAGATAGACGTTTTTGAGCTTCGGTAGCCCCCAGATCGAAGTGGGTATCTTCCCCGTCAGCTTGTTCGACGATAACTGGAGGAACTCGAGCTCGGTGAGGCTCCCCAACGCGACCGGAACGCCGCCGATTAGGTTTGCATTCGAGACCCACAGGTACTTGAGCTTCTTCAGGTCGCCGAACTCCGGCGGCAGCTCCGACGGGACGAAGGGGTTGGCGGCGAGGGAGAGGTATTCCAGCTCCTCCAGGCTACCGAGCCCCTTCGGGAAGGTCCCGTTGAAGAGGTTGTTGTCCAGAAACAGCTGGCGGAGCCTGGGGATCTTCGCTACCGCCGGCGGGACATCGCCGGAGAAATTGTTGGAGGAGAGGTCGAGGACCTCCAGGCCGGAGAGCCGGTCGAGGCCAGTGGGGATCTCGCCGACGAGCAGGTTGTCGGAGAGATTGAGGCTACGGAGTTGGGCGCAGTTGTAGAGAGAGAGGGGGAACTCGCCGCCGATCCAGTTATCGGAAAGGTCGAGGGAGGAGAGATTCCTCAGGTCGCATACGACGGCGGGGACCTTCCCCTTGATTCCCAAGCTGCGGAGGTTGATCTTCGTGACGACGTCGCCGCCGGCGGAGCAGACCACGCCGGCCCAGTCAGTGCAGTGAGAGGTGTTTCTTTTCCAGGAGCTGAGCGACGAGGGGTTCCCCCAATCCTCCTTCATCTGCAAGAGCACCGCCAAATCGCCGGCCGCCGCCGGCGATCCCTGCGAGTTGACTCTCAAGGGGAAGGAAAACCAGAGGAGGAAGAAGGAGAAGAAGAAGAAGAAGAAGATGGATGAGGAGGAGGCCATGGAGGGGGAGCGCTCCCTCCTCTCTGCCATTGTTTGTCTCTCCCGAGCTCTGTGGCTGGAGCGCCGCCAGTCCGGGGGGGGGGGTCTTAATAAAAGTCACTAGTTTTCTGCACCTTATTTGTGATCGGTGGGCTGCCGCAAGGTGACGCAGACAGTGTGAAACCTTGACCAATGGAAGAGGTCAGCGGCGGCGGCGCACTTCTGACACTTGGGCCCACAATCCACGCGTCCCACTGGAAGCTGACAGGGCGAATAACTCCCGCTCTCCCCTTCTAGATGCTTTGACCGGAAATGTATAATTTTGTACACGCTATCGATCCATTAATTACTTAATCACCTCATCAATAATTAAATTAACTAGATACCCTTACGCATCGGCCAACTTTGACTGAACTCTTCTGATCCCAGGATATCGGACGGGACGGGAGCCGACGGGCCGATTTGAGGTCAAAGAAGTCAAAGAAGCCAAAGAAGACGACAGCTGAAGTGGGGTAGGGGGCGACGGACAGGGTAGCTTCTAACTTTCTGAAAGCCCTAAAAGAAGCCTTACCGTTGACTGGATAGACAGCTGGACGGTGAGGGTAGCGAATGTGGGCCGAGAATATGAGTTTCTAACTTTCTGAAAGCCCTCAAAGAAGCCTTACTGTTGACTGGATAGACAGCTGGGCGGGCTATTTTTGTATTTGGGGAAACTTAGCTTGACTTGTTTGAGTGGATTCGCATGATTCAAGTGATATTTATTGAAAAAATAATAACTGACTAATAGAATATATGTATACGTAGGTACATGTGTGTAATTTTTTTTTCTTTTTTTGGCCAATAAGGTTGTTTTGTGAAGAGACTGACGCTTGGTCTAGAGGGTAATCAAAGTTCTTAATGTGATTTATACTATAACAAATACCTTAGATTCTCTTTCCTCATCCATACACTTATGTGTCATGATGGTTGAAATATACGAAATAGCCCTTTCAGTCAGCATCACATGCTACGAAAATCGCTATCCACACACATATGGTTGAGAGCGGCCACAATGTTGTCTCCTATTGTCAAGGGGTAGAGGGGCAACTGCGAGATGTTCATGTGGCTGCAAGTCATGCAATTTCTGTACCATGCTGCGCGCCTTGCTCAAGTTCTTACCCATGTGACTACAACATTGATAACCTTATTGCCTTGTACCGCATGTGCCATAATGGTTGCCGCATGCGCTCTATTTTATGAATGAAAAGGACAAACCTTTGAAAAGTGCCTCCCCCCATAAATATACTTACTTTGGAGGTGGTGTTTGATTTGGAACCCCCTTGACACATGTATTGTTGCTATCTTCAATCACTCCCATAAGAGCCTCAATCACCTCTGCAATCTCCATCAGTTTTGAGGTGATTGTGGCTCTTATGCCATGTCCCACGGTTCCTTGTGACATGCTTGTCAACATATACTTCAATCGTACAATATTTCTAATGAAGGGATTTAATATTTTGCATGGTTCTTCAACATCTGTTCCATCCACCCACTAACTATCATGCATATCATCTAGTCGACCCTTTACGTGGTCCCAATAGAGTAATTCGTTCCTCTAAACAAGCGATAATTTTGCCTGTTGGTATTGATTTCTCAGGCCATCCTCGAATCTACTGTGTTATGATACCAATTGTCATGAGTCTAAGGTAGAGCTCAGCTCGATTCCTTCACCTTGGACCAGCCTTGACTGCCCTCAATGACACCAAGCAACCTCTGGCATGGGTTGGTAGGGCAACAAACTAGGGAAAATCTCCCCTATATATAGAGGATAGATTTTATCTATGGGGAGCAAGTGGATGTCTAAACCCCATGTATTCTTGAGTAGAGAAGAATGCACATCCCTCTTGGAGTAAAAGAGTGATTTCGTTCGTTGGAGAAGGCTGCATGATGCTGTTGAGTGTGACAACGCCTGGTCCGAGGTAAAATAACTGAACTGTGACAACGGGCTCGAAGATGGCGCGAGAGACAGTACCAACGAAGAGGACCACTCATTAAGAGGAGAGAAGAGGAGAGGAGAGAATCACAACGTGGGCTATCTTCGAGGCAGTAGAGGCTCGCTTCCAAGACGTAGAGGGAATGACTAGATAAATGCGCCGGCAGCTGCAAGTTCGGCAGTCGCCTGCGCTGATAGCTCATAGGCAGATGAAGTGGATACTTATGAAGTACATATAGTGTTAGAGGTCATCACTACAGATGTTGCACCGTTGAAGGGCACATTAAGAGCATAGCACGATATAACTTCCCAAAGTCAAAGGCATTCACAAGAGAGTACAATGCTCAAGAAATTGAGAACTTCCTTTGAAACTTTGACCATTATTTTTGGGTGGTATACACCCCAAATCTATATGAGATAATACTAGTGATGATGCATCGTTCAATATGCACTTCAGCAACGTGTATTCTTCTTCACTTGAGAAGGAGAGGCTGAGTAAGCCGGGTTGACCCTCCAAGCTCAAATCCATCCTCTGTTTGTAGGGGAGAGGCCCCCCTCTGGGTTTTTCCCATTTGCTCTTCAAGCTCGCCGTTGCGCCCCGTCACATCAACTTTAAGTCAAAATTGTACGTAGCACCCAACGCGCCTCCCCTGCGTACCGTATGGCCTTGCACGCCTCACTGTTTTTTGTCGCCACGCGTCAGTGTGGGCACTCCATATGCGTACCGCGTCGTCCGCACGCCACGCAGGAGCGCCCCGATACCGGATGCGAGATCACGTGTTCAACTTTCTACGTGGCATCGCATGGAGCAAATACGTGGCGATTTGTTTACACGACAAAAACTTGAACTGTGACAGAAGGGCAGGGCGGGGCCCCCTCAACGAAGTGGGCTTCGGGCCAAACATTAGCTCAAATCTGGCTGATCTATCAACTTAGTGAGAGAGAGATAATGCGCTCCGGGCCTAGGATTTAAGACGACCTGTCACATGTCCGGAAAAGGCCATCGGGCCAAGCCCGTTCTCCCGGGGAGAGACCCGTTGACCAGTCCTCGTGCCCAAAAGAAAACACGTGCGTCTGAAGCAATGCCCCCCCCCGGCCTTCACCACCACTTGAGATGGCCTCAACGCTTCCTCTTCCCACCCCTCGAGCCACGCACAGTCTTCTCTGCAGAGTCCAAGCCACTTGACTTCTTAGCCGTTGACTTCTTCTTCTGTTGACCCGAGCCGCCCTTCAAGTTCAGGTCCACCTGGATTCCTGGGCAAAAGCGCAGAAGACCAACGTTAATGAGGGACCCCCCCAACAAAAGTAGATCTTCCCCACTAAGAAACCATGGCTTCCCATTAACCTCTGGATTTGTCGCTCTGGAGATCCAGCTGCAGCTTCAGCTCGCCGTTCATGGCGCCATCTGGAATAGACACATAGACAGATAGACAGATAGATGGATGGTGGTCACGGGAGGGCCTTTGAAGAAGATCTTCCAGAAGAGAGAGTTACTGACCAGCGTCTTCGGCGTCGGAAGTCAACTCCTCCTCGCTCTGCTCCACGTCATCAGCGGGTTCCTCCAGGGGCTCCAGCATGGCGGCGATCCGCTTCTTCGGGGCCTTCTTCATGCCCGGGAAGCTGATCAGGTCAGCCGCACGGATGACCCGAGAGCCGCTGCCCTCTTTGTAGGCCCTCGTGAGCGCAGCTTTCACAGCTGGCGGCACGCCATCCATGGCGCTCGGATGGCCCTTCACATGAAAAATAAATGCCCAAAACATCCATCAGATTTTAACGCCTGATTAATTTCATTTTTTAGTTACTAAAACAAATAATAAAACAATTATCATCCGACAAATTCGTAATTTTCTGCACGTGTAATAAATGCCCCAAAACTCCTATACTTCAGGTCAAACCTCCAGAATGGATTCCGAGGAATCAATCTGGGACCTTGGGCACGGAAGGAAAAGAAGCTGGGCAAGAGGCTTTCCTCAAGCCTGGAATTCGTTCTGCGGTCTTGGGAAATGGAGGGGAAGAAGGTAACATCTGCAATTTTATGAAGGGCCGCATACCTGAAACCTGGAGAGCTCCAAAATGGAGTCAAAGTCCTCTTGACTCAGAGAGTAGGCATCCATGAACTCCACGACGCTCTGGACAGCATCTTCCTGGTTGTCAACAGAAGATAATATAGATTTAACGATCGACAAACTGGGGTTGACTTTTTCATTTCTTTTCATTTCAGCCGTTCAGCTTCCAGTGGTCATGTAGATGAGATCGGCTGTTAACCTTGGGCATCACACGTAGTGGGTGGGTCAATTGCTTGAGAAGAAGAGGGAAGTAGTCAAGCCGCAAGGCCTCCCTGTTGGCAGAAGAAAAAAAGTCAACATGAAGCTGATCAACCCAGAGAAAAGAAAGCGATGGTCATCACTTAGATGACAGGTTTATGAACTCATGTCCAATCCAAAGCACAAGGCTTTTTCTATTGATAATATAAAGAGGATGGTTACAAGAGCAGGCTAGATTTTGATATGATACCCAGGGAATAAAATGAAGTTATTATTTGGAAGTTGAAGGTGCTGAGACCCTTTTTAGCATAAGCTAATATCATCAAAATGAGCTGCAAAATCATATACAATACACATAAATTATACATAGCTACTATCTTGCATGGTTGGAAACAGTCCATTAGTTACTAGAAGCCCGTGAAAAGAACAAGTCTGATGTACTGGGAATGCAAAAGCTCGAAAGTTCATTGCGGTCTCATGAATCCAGAAAGGAAATCATGGAGGGGGGAGGGGTAGGAGGAAGGAGGGAAAGAGAGAGAGAGAGAGAGAGAGAGAGAGAGAGAGAGAGAGAGAGAGTAAATGGAACTTGCCTGTCCAGGCTGGACTGCTGGGAAGCAAGGAAGTGAACGTGAACGTCCTCCAAGAGCCTCAAATTCTTTCCTCTTGTAGAATTCTTTCCTAACCATCCGCCAAACCTGTTGTAGTTACGTTCTCCCTACAGAATTCATCATCACAAGAACAAAGCAATCAAAGAGGACAGAAGCCAAGGGAAATACTATTTCAATCAAACCAGTGAAATGAAAAAAAAATTCTAAATAGAAAATCGCAGTCTTCTCATTCCTGCAACTGGGAAAAGGCAAATTAAATTAATATATTATGAGTCAGGGGTGTGTGCACCCTCTGAGCTATTTAGTTGAATGCTCCCCGGAAAATGCAGTAAAGCAATGGCTCTGCTGAACCCACAATCTTTAAACCCATGAGCTGCACACACCGATTGAAAGGTGGTGCCCTAATAGGTGGAATTATTGAAATACATCAGAAAGCATAAAAGAAGAAGCCTTCCATAACTGCTGATGTTATGGCAAACCTAGCAAACCAGTCCAACCCCTCGCTAGCGCCATCTTTGGTCTGGGTCCCTATTCTGAGAGGTCAATAAATAGAAAGCCAACCATAGATAACTCATGGATATTGGACGATAAAAGAGTCTCAAACAGCACAACAAGCACTTGTCAAAACTTAGAGTCTCCATAGAGCTTGTCCTCCTGGTACCCATCTAAGTTCTGTAATGGATGTACATAACTGATCATAAAGTTTATGATAAGTAGAAAAGTTGGACACAGTTATCCTCAAAATATGTCTGCTGTGATGTAGCCCTCAAAGTAGATAAGATGATCACGAAAATGATCAGTAATCATATCCGGAGAATCCTAACAATAAATAAATTTTCAAGTTTTCTCGATCAACCAATGCTGGGGGGGAGGGGGTGTTACAACAGGTTTGAAAAGATCAGAAGGAATTGGGTATTATAGCTAAATACCTGCTCGAGTGTCTCCCTATGGCCATGCATTAAAGCAGCCCTATTGAGGTCAACATATCCCCAGTCAGAATTTTTTTTATCGAAAAGTTCAGATATCATTTTTTTCTGGTACAAAAGGACATACGGTATTATGCTAGATGCAACTGAACTAGATTGAAAAAGCTGCCACTGACGATATCTTCTGATCTGCACATTGATTATATCCCCATCACCAATGGATTCGGCCGCCTGAGCCAGCATATTCATTCGCTTGACTCCATTATCATCTTTACCGGCACTAATTGGACGATAATTTACATAATTTTCCTGCATCAGAATGGTAATAAGATCAATCTACAATAGATTAATCTACAATGTTCTCATTGTTAGATATACCAGAGAACTCTAGTTCTATACTAATTTCAAATGAAAAAGAAAAAATCAAAATCATCTGAACTTGGAAATCTACTGCACAAAACGAAATTTAAATCTGCAATTGTAACCGAATATTGGTACGTATGTTCCTCCAATGGAACATAACAAGTTTCATTCACAGTTCAAAGAAGCATATAGTCGCTGAAATCAAGCACTTCGACAAAGTAATCAAGGGAAGACATCCTGTATTTTATCATGCGATCCTGATCCAAACCTCACCATCTGCACAAGTTTTGTCATGCGACCCAAGTATCATGTGAATCTTCTTATGTCAAGCGTGAAAGTTAATATAAGAAAGCGTTAATTACCACACAGTTGAAGCCAGGATTACGAGATATTTGGAAAAATAGAATCAGTAAAATTATCAACCGAATTCACTAGATGCTACAAATTTAATCCCAAATACATAAATGGCATGGTCTAAATATTCATGCGGTTTAAAACCTGGACCTTGCAAACAAGAATCGAATGAGAAAGACCTGAGAGTATGTTCTGCTGATGAACCGTTGCTTCAAGTAGAAATGGAGCAAAGGAATGAGAAAAGCACAACATTCATGCATACTAGAATGAGAGAAGTCGAGGAAGAGGGAGAAAATAGGGGTGATGAAAACGTCGTTCCTTCCTATATCCTGTTCTTCTTCCGCGCTTCTTCATAAAAACCAACAAAGGGGATGTCCTTGCTAAAGAGACCTATTTCAGTTTCTTTACTATCCTCGAAGCTTCTTCTCCACTGGGAATTTTCTTGTGTTTCCTTTTACCACTTCTTTCTGTGTTTCCATTTCTCTATTTCAGTTTCTTCTTCTCCCCATTTCCAGATTCCTATTTGCTTGTTCTTTTGTACTCGTAAAGAAATAAAACATAGAACTTGAGCTGTTGAGCAGGCTATGGGGACGTGCTAGAATTTCCATTTTGGGAGGAGGAAGGTGAAAAAGTGAACAAATTCCATGATCAGTAATGGCCGCGGGTGTTGTTTCAGCTGGACTATAATAGTAACTGTCTTGAGCTGTGGACAGGCCCTGCTTCCCCTGTGGGTGTCCTGATGACAAGAAGACTACAAATTATAAAGGTACCAAAAGCATGGATCAGGGGGGAATATCTTGATGACATCTAAAATATCAATATATTCCACAGTGAACTCCAACGCTTGAAAATGCGCCCTAGCAAAGGCCACCTTAGAACTATTTTATGACAGGCTTGTTGGTTAAGCAGCGCCTTGCGACTTCAACTTCCGTGGGAGATCAAGACTCAACACTATGCATTCCAAGCGTTAGGTGCTAGCAGGTCAGCATATGCAACATTTGAACAATGTGGATGCTGTTTTACAGGACATCGATTTTCAGTTCAACGATATCCTTTGAGATCAAATACCTAACAATGGGATATATTCATGCATATAGGCCTCTTATATGAAAATTCTCCTAGTTAAGCATTCTACAAATATGTTTATCATCCATTCCTTTCACAAACATGTGCCGTCGTACCCCTTCATTGCACTTATATTCAAGTATTCATTTCAGAACAGTTGGCAGGTAAGAAAATTAGAGACCAGAGAGAGATCAAGGTACCTTCTTCCTATGGTAACAAGATTTTCCTTGCAACGTTTTCATTTCAGTGTGATTAAGAAACAGCTACGGCTAGTTGTGCCTTCTTCCCACATCAGAAAAACCCAAATGGCCACAACAAAAGTAACTACTTTACAAATGGAAAAATGGATGTCAAACCTGTATGATGAGAGGGACCAGATCAGGATCACTCATGCTTAAATCAATCCTTTCATCCATTCGTAACTTTCCACCATTAAATCCAAAAAGCCTAAAAATGAGATACGCAGAAATAAGTATAATTATATTCCCACCATTCAACCAAAAAAGCCTAACATAAAAAAGCAGAGATACGTATAATAATACAATGTATGACCATGATGAATTTCATTTATCTCGCAAAACAACTTATAACATCTAATCTGATGAGAGGCCACAATCTCCACTTGATCAACAGAAAGTTTAATAATGTCAAAAAATGATGATTTTGATGCTGTACTGTACCTGTCCGTTGGACAATGGTAGAAAAAAAGTTCACAATTTGACATCCTTTTTTATCACGGCCACAAAGCCTTGCGCATTTTGTTATTTCACTTTCTTTATTTCCCAGCACCGAATTTTCCAGAAAAAAAATGTTATAATTTTCATCATTTTCCCTAAACGAGACAATCTAACTCGATGTAAATCATCTATCTAAGGCCAACTAGGCATTTCAACGACAATTTTGACTAAAAAAGATTCATTCGTACACAAAAATGTCAATTTGCAGATGCAGAGACTGAGTTTGCCAGCGAATATACTCTTGATGTATCTAGAAATTGGAATGAAGAATGATCATGTAATGAACACATACACATAGAGTATGCCTAGGGAGAATTTTTAAAAAAATAACAGGACTAGAACGAAAATTTAAGTAGTTTCCAAATCTCTGAAATTCATTTAAACGAAAAACAACGACTAATTAAAATTGTATAAAAAATACATGAAATAGGATTCTAAGGAAATAGAAAGTAGGTAATCAGAAATACTTGTCAACAGCAGTGAACGGTGAAATGTCTTCATCCTTAGCACTGTTAAGAAGGCGAGCCCTCACATCATCATAATTAATAACGGAGAGTGAGAGGCTCATATACTGCAATTGATTTATTGCCATGCGCATATCTCCATTAACTCTGTCTGCGAGTTCCTCCAAAGCAATCTGCATAATGAAGAACGTCATATGTAGATATATGCTTAAATATATATGTATTAAAATGGAGTCTACACCACTTAAGCAAATAAAACAAAACAAACACCAAATGTCTTCTCAAATCTGGTTAACATTATTGAAAAGCTTCGCTCATGGGAGTATTTTATGTTATAAGCAGCTTTTGAAAACGAGCATGCAGTGACAAAGAAAGCCATCTTCCCCGTTATTGCTATAAATTCTATTTGCCTTTGGAAGCAATTAAAGAAGCGAACAGTACAAATATATGGCTGAGGAAAAGATCAAAGATAAAATGAAGCATTTACAAAACAAATAAAACTAAATTCGTACATCATTCACTTGAATGCCCTCAGCCTTTGCAATATGTGATAATCTCTTTGCCATCTGCCAGACAACAATCAAGATTTACTGTCAAAGCAATGCCATACTACTTGAGGGAATGGAAGATGAAGCACCTGAATTCAAACTAAAATAAATTACTCTGAGAAAGCTTTTGATGGCCATAAGACTGAATTACTATGATTTTTTCGTGTATATAGTCCGAGTCACCAGTGATAGTCTGTGATCAAACAATATGTGATATTTAACTGAACATCTGCCAGAACAAGATGCAGAGCTGAACACGCCTAGGAGAAGCGACAAAACTTATCAAGAATCGGTAATACCCATTATATGAATTTTTTGTGTATAAAAAACACAAAAATAAGAAATAAATAAATAAAAAAAGATCGGTTTAAAGCTATAGTAAAGGAAATATCTCGTTTCCTAGAATGGGGGAAGCAGAATGAGCATAGTCTTTTTTAATTTTAAGAGTACCTACACAAAACAGCCAACAATTAATGCACCGGAGATTCTTTACCTGATATCTACAACTTCAGTAATTTTTACCAGCCTTGATTTGACAACTAATTTTCAATATGATCTGAAGGTCTGAGTCTGTGATCTACTACATTCGAAAAAAAATACTAGAAATTACGGTGTCCTTAAATGCAAAGTAAAATAAAATACATGAAAACACAATACCTAAAATTCAATCAAAGGTTCAAACTCATAGTCAAGTAAAATTAAACGTTGACACTAGATTAGAATCAAGACCTTCAAAGTCACAGCGAATAGCCCAACAAAATCACCTCTAGGCACATATTTATCAGCTGAACCGGATACCTTTTTCAAAGCATTAATTACAGTGATCATTTAGTCACTTGAAAAGTATTTTTTTCTCTACTTATTCTTCGCTTATCTTCCTCTTTCCATGCCTAGTTACAGCATTTTTTTTTTATCGTCCTCCATTTTCACATACCCATTCTGACGAGAAAAGTAAGAGGGGTTTTGGAAAAAGTGATCTCTTACTCAACCAGTTTCATCAATCAGGATCCAACCTTCTCCATTGTCACATAATTCAGCAGCTCAGTACTTCTGGAAGTGAAGTATGATGAACTCACACACATGACACGATCGTTGACATTTAAATCCTATTCAACGTTTATTAGGTCTGATACACACAATGCCTCGACATTAGTGAGGTCAGTCATACAAACAACCCGCATGCAAGAAATGCCCAAAATCAAACTAAATAATTGTTATTTTTTAAAGCTAGTTTTTTGCTAAACAATACAGCGAGGTCAAAAACGAAAAAGAAGATAAATAAAAAAGGACGAAATGAGTAGTAGGATGACCTGCTGCTTTGTAGGCTTCCTAAAATTGAGAGGCAAACAGTAATTGACCAGGCTTTTCAATTTCTGGCTGTAACGGTCATTGCAAATGCATATGATAGGGATCTTTGATATCTTGATACTAGCTATAAGATCTGCCACACCACCTCTGTCCCCAGCAGACATACCATCGACTTCATCCATCACAAGAACTGTTTTTTGATGCCTTGACCTGTGTTAGACCGGAGACTGTAACTGAAACAACGAAAACTGATTTATGCCTAAAGAACTAATCAAGGATGACCCACCAATCTTTGCCAACATTTAGAGCTTCGTTGCTGACGAGCTCCTTGATGGAATTCGCTGCACATCCTCCGATTCCCTTAAAAATTTTAGCATCAGCTTTTCCACGGTTGTCACTGGCATTAACCTGAAGGGCAGTAACATAGCATTTGAATAACCCACACAGGAATAAAAGATAGATAAAATTAGTCAAATCCCAGAGGTCCACAATTTTCATAATCAGATAACTCGTGCATGAAAGAGGACCTCGATTGCCTGGAAACCAAGCATTTTGCTAACTAATTTTGCTGATGTGGTCTTCCCAATGCCTGGTGATCCACTAAGCAACACAGCTTTTTTGGAACCAGCATCACTCTTCTTTTTCCCCTTCCCCTTCTGACCAGTGTGAAGAAATTGTTCATCCCAACGGGCTAACCAATCATGAAGTTGCTTAACCTGTTACATGCCAATTTAGTTTCTGAAAACTGGGAAGATAGACAAAAAAACATATAGAAAGATACTGACAAGGGACTGATTGCCAATAATATCATTTGGAACCATAGGCTTGTATTTTTCTGTCCACGTCACCCGATTAGCACCACTATCTTCACCTTTTCGTTTGATAGGTGAGATTGGAGGGATGGATCTTTTGGTGGCAGCTTTAGTTGACAACTTGCTTGCCTGATCATCTGAGAGAACCATGACAGTGATAATACATTTGAAACAAGATATCTCATGTCATACAATAAAAATGGATATACTCGAAAAAACATTTGAAAAGCACTGAGGTTTTTGAACCGAATAGAGTTCAATATTTGCAGCTCAATGGTCGATTTAAGAAAATTAAGAGTCACAGTCGACTTATCCAGACACTAATGAAAACCGAAGAAGAGACACAATACACAAGCTTTCTTCCTATAACATCAAATGCCCAATATGAAGGGCAGCTTATTCTCAGAAGGGCAGTAGTAAACAAGGATTAAAACCTAATGTTGATATAAAAAAAGCCAAGAAACTGCGCAGTGATATATACAGGACGATCTTGTCAATGAGTTTCATGGAAACATGCGTCCATCGGATGGTTGAATACATTAGCTACAGCTGGCTTTCCAAATCTGCCGAATCGGAACCCTACCTTTTTTTAAAACATTCAAGGGGCTGAGGTAGGAAAAACCGAATCACAACACTTACCTTCTTTTATTAGTTCGCCAGATTCTTCCAACTTTTGTCCAACATGGCTGCTTCCCTTTGGCCTTAACCTTCAGCTTAGAAGGTATTTGAGAAAAAAGTTTTGTGGGAGGGTGTAAGGACAGCACGCTAAACGTTAACCTAGGGGTTCATGGTACTTACCAATCCTTTAAAAAATTGCTACTCATTTTGCAGTTTTGACTCACACTCCGTTAACAGAGACAATCTAAATGTTGATTGTTAAAGGAAACACTAAGATAAATTAGAACTCCGGCCCTTAAATGGAGAAGGCCTCTGGAAACCAAAGAAGAGGCAGCATTGATGTAGTTGGTATATTAAATAGATATCATCAAAGATTTTACCGCATTCAGAAAAGAAAGCTAAGTTCAGCTCAGTACAAAACTTGTTCATACAAAATGAGTTTGAAGAAAGGATGTTAAAAAAAAAACCCAATAAAAGTGATATAAGTTAGTGACCTAGAAAAGAGATTGAACAAGGGAATTTCCAATAATTATACTCTTAGGTTTTTCTTTTTCTAACAGTGGGGTGGATGAAGAAGCCCACCTCATGGGCTCAATATACTATACCAACATGTGAGGAGTCACCACCTTTCATAGGACTAAACTTATATATAACTTTATTAATGTCTCATCAAGTTATTCAAGAAAGCAATACATTTGTTTCATTCACTTACCCAATAAAAATCATTACATGAAAAAAATAACGGATATATGAGATTTTATTGAGCGAGATAAGAAGATACCCTTTATTTCTGCTTTCACAGGACTATTCTTTGGTAGGGCTTTGCCCAAATTTTCTGGTGTTTTCTTCATAAATTCCTCTTTCACTGGTGCCTTTGCAGGCTTTGATTTTCGGATCATATCAAAAAGGCCATCCTCAGTCAAAAATGAGGTTCTGCAACAAAAATAAACAAAAATAAAGGAACAGAATCTAAAATAGCAAAACATATTCAACACTTATGTGGCATACCCTAATTCTTTGGCTTTACTAGACTTCCTTCCACCAATATCTTCATCAGCTAGAAGGAAATTCTGCAGGCACATAATATCCAAATCAAAATCGAGATCCTTCAGAAACACTCAAATCAGATATGTTACCGTCTTCTTGCTAACAGATCCAGTAACCCGACCACTATGTCGCTTAATTAAATCCTCTGCTTCCTCTCTTTCCAAACTGTAAATGGAAAAATTATTTCAGATTAGGTATCCAATGCATGACCACATTACTAGAAAAGCAAATGCAGAAAAAATCAACTTTCATACTCCTGCTACAAGGTGCTTTCGAGGCAAGAACTCTATCACTTAATCAAAAAAAGCATGCGGTAATATTTAATCAACCATTAATAAATACCTGTCAAGTGTCCCACTGATGACAAAGGTCAAGCCAGCCAAACAATCAGATGCGCCCTCTGGGACTTCCTATGTTAGACACCAAAAATGGACAAAAAACAATCAATAAATAATATGGCCAGGCATGACTCTCTCCTGTGTACAATATATATCAAAAAATGTCGAATTTTTGTGTGCTGGGATCTAAGACCATATTCAGTGCGAGAGAATCTTCTAACTTCGCATCAACGATCACAAACCCACAGCTCCATCAAATTTGATGAATTAGGTTTATAAGCACCACTTCAGGTATTTGAATATCAATAATATACCGAAAATAAAAATGAAATTTCTATAAAGATCCAATATTATATTGATAAAAAACACATTTCTATGGTAGTCTTCACCTTTTCTCCTTTATGTGGAGGATCTTTCCTTTCCCCAAAGCTCATAAAGCCACCCCTCCCACCCCCCCTTCCTCTGCCGCCACCTGCTGCAGCTCCAGGCCCCCTTCCACCACTTCCCCTTCCACGACCTTTAGGATGAGAACTGGCTGCTTTCTCACCGAGGTCTTCTTCCTCTTCATCCAGGGCAGCATAGTTCTCAACCATTTCTAAGCCTGCCTCACTTTTCAATTTCTTCGTGGATTTAGCCCCTGCGGATGCCTTATTCGAACTTGGCAATTCAAAATCCTCGTCTTCATCTGATTCTTCCTTAGGTTTTCGTGATTTCCTCTTAGGCGGCGTTTTCTCCACTCTGGCTCCATCGCTAAGCTTTGACTTCATGCCTGTGTCTTCAGGTGGGGCAGAGAAGTACTTGCTGGTTTTTCTTCTTCTCTCCTCTTTTTGACCCGTGTCCACCTGAGTTTTACAGAGAAAGTAAATCACAATAGCAACTCACGTACAAAAAATTCGAAGAAAAGAACTGCATGCCAATAATAGATGCATCCAAACGTTTAACAAGACTGGGCAGTCAATCTTCTAGTGGCTTTTCGATTTTTCTGAATTGCAATTTCATTAATAATTCTAAATGCGACCACCGCAAATTTTGCAAGTGTATAGCCGGGCGAGGAATTGAACTATCAAATTTAAAATTTCGCCCTCTTTCACGTCCACTGGGTAGAAGAAAACCAACTGGATGGAAAACGTTTTGGTGTGAAAGTCCTCGGTTTCACTTTTCCATTGAGGAAGGAAGATATCAACGAACGGGAGCGGAAAACCCATTTTTTCTCCCGTTAGAATGGTCGAAGGCCAGAACTCAAGGCTCACAAAGTAAAAAAGAAAACTAAAGAAAAAAACCAACGTGAAAGCAGAGATTACCGGCTTCTGCGTCTCCAAGGCAGAACCCGTGGGCTTCCCAGGCTTCGAGGCGCCCCCATTGCCCTTGTCGTGCTGCTTCATGAACCATTTCCTGATGTCCGAGGTCTTCAAAAATAGATGAAATATCAATTCAGCACGAATTGAAAAAAGAAAACACCATTCAATCGCGAGGATGATGGCGCTTCAAGAACCCTAGACGCAGGAGAGAAAAAACCCACCATGGTTGATGAGGAGTACGTGAGCTCCGGCTCCCCTCCTGCGAGGGGGTCAGCTCTGCCCACGCACAACTTCAGACAGCCCCTGGAGATTATTCCTCCACCCCAGAGAGTGGGACGCAGCCGCTCCTCTCCTCCGAGGACGACGACGTTCTATTTGATCGAATGAGGTCAGAAAGCCGACTGAGCGGGAAGAATGACAGAGCGGCCCGAACCGGAAGGTATTGAACCGAGCTGGACCGGGTCGAACCGACTTCTGCGGATCTCGGATCCAGACTGAAATGGGCCCATTCGGATAAGGGTGCATATACAATCATATAGTACTGTATCATTAAGTTGTATTTTTTGAGGGGCATAAGAATTACTAACAAGATACAGGAGGGCTTATGACCAAATATCCTAGTGTCACAGCGACTCAAGTCGACGGCGGTCGGAGGCCGTTGGCGGGCGGGGCGAGGGTCTCTCGCTGATGCCTATTTAATTATTTGTTCTTCAAACTCTCTCAATAAACTAATAAAAAAAAGAATCAACTATTTCTTTTTTAAAAATTGATTCCAGAGGAAGAAATACGATGCACTGACCTCGTCTTGCCCAATTCAAGAGGGCGTCAACTGTTTTCGCAGCTGTCTCACAATTACTAACGTGCACCTCTCTCTCTCTCTCTCTCTCTCTCTCTCTCTCTCTCTCTAACACCAAAATTACTAACTGTGGGATTGCCCTGAAATCACGCCCATAGGTTGCCATGGGTTAGAGCCACAATACCGAGCTATGCTCTTTATATGCGTCTATAACATGCATCCCTCTCTCTCTCTCTCTCTCTCTCTCTCTACAGCGGGGTGGCCTTGAAATGACGCCCACAGTTGAGCCACAATATCGAGCTATGCTCATTATATGAATCTATAACGGACAGATGTTACGTACAAGAAATGAATAGGGAAGGCGAAGATACCATGAAAGTCCATTGAATCGGAGTCTCAGAAAACTTCGACCGCTGAGTCATCTTCGCGGCTTCCCAACCGAGTGCAGATAAACGGCGACCGAAACAACCCTGACAGCATCCAATTTCATAGATTAGAAAAGAAAAGAGGCGGCCCACCCTGCAAGTCAACACCCCTTTTCTCTCTCTACACCTCTCTCTGAGACTGGCAGCCTCAGAGCATTGGATTTCATAGGTCAGAGAAGAAGAGAGGCTGGGTCTCAGCGGGCAAAGCGATTCTGGAGCTCGGCTCACCTGGAAGTCCACAGCCTTTCTCTCTCTCTCTATCAAAAATAGCTACTAAGAGAGAGGGAGAGAGAGAGAGGGGATAAGATGCTTACGTCGATCCGAGGAAGAAGGCGAGGGAGAGATGGAAGCTGAAGAGGAAGACGGACACAATGGCGGTCAGAAGCATGGCCACCGAGGTAGAATACACCTGCAAATCGATGTACAGCCAAGTTGGTTGGCAGAGATTAACTCAGAATGAGATCCATCAAACTCATCCAAAACTAAAATAACGCCAGGATTAGATGGTCAAGATCATGCCCCACCTTCACGATGTTGTCGGCGTATTTCATAACAAATGACACGGCGATCCCACTGAAAAGATTAGACGAATTGTGAGAGACGAACCCCGAATAACATCACTTGCTGATGATGGTTTGGGCATGTTACCTCAGGGCATGATTGAGAATCATCAAGGTCGTTATCAATGAATAGCCGAAGAAGAAGCCCCTGAATGCATAAAGCATCACTTGTCAGGCCCATGAAAGGCCAGGAATATATATATTTATATATGCCATATCCGAGCTTACTTGTTCATGACGGCATCAAAATCCTGGACGAAAATCGCAATCACGTTGAAGATCATGCCGAAAACGTACAGCCAAAAGTTCTGAACGTTGATGTTTCTGGAAGGCCGCTTCTTCATGATAGCCTGTTAAACCAAACGCAGATTCTGATCCATCAGAGAAAATCAAAAGACGAAAACAGCAATATTCATGAATGGCGTTCAGAGGGTCCCCCCACCTCCGTGTAGACGCCGGCAAAGCCACTCAGGAGCGCCATGACCTGTATAAAATGGCAACGGTTCATCTCCCACTGAGCAAAGACATGAGCAAGAAAAGAGTAGTGGAACAAGTATTCATTTCTTGGGTCCTGGAGCTCACAATGGCCATCATCCAACCTTGGAGAGGAGTTTGAAGGACACGATCAGAACTGCACCAAGTAAGAAGAGCTTCTGCTTAAAAACGAGCAGCAGACTGGTCCCGCTGAGCTATTCGAAAATCCCACATGATTCTAACTTATTTTCATCCTTGGATGATTTTCACACAGCTAATCTGGTTAAGTATACCTCTGGTAGATTTTTTTCTGTTCATACTAGGATGAATTATGAAAAACGAACATCAGAAAGCTGTAGAAAGCTGTAAGAAACGAAGAACTACTTACGAAGAATTAAGTTGAGCAGTTGTGCACCCTGCACATAGAAGGATAAACGCTGCCCACTGAACCTCGCTTAGCCTGTAATCAGTGAGCACATGAAGTGTGGTCTCATGACAACGGAAGCCAAGATTCAGTGCCGTAGTAAATCACCATTACTGACTATAACATTGACTAGGACTAGAATAACAACAGAAAAGATCAATATCCCTCACTTTCCTGGTCAAATTACCAGACAGATTGAGCAAAACGGATTTTATTTCCAAATTGTTGACAAAAAATCATTTAATTGCGGCAGTCTATACCCATGTCCTGAATACTGGGAGTGTTTCAACCCTAGTCGTCTTCATCTTTTTTTCTTCAAGCTTTAATAGCTTCAATTGTAGATCGTCGAAAGGTAAATTCCTCCTGAATTGTTAAAAAATTAATCATCATTTAATTCCTTCTTTGGGACTCTGTTAGGCCCCCAGTGGGCCTAATCTACTCCAGGCACAGGAGAAGGGGCCCATCAGTCCGGCCCACCCCGACAGCAGAAGACCAAAGAACCCTAACAACAGTGGAAGCGGGAGTCATTAGAGTGAAGGGTAAATGAGACTTATGATGCAAGGGGCTCGGGGCTACTAAGGTCGCAAAGGAGTAACAGAGGGAGTACGGGGAAAGTATTTGAGGGCAGCTGCGGTCGAGGGAGAGCAGGGGACCTCTCGAGCGTCCCCAACAACTCTAGGGTTCTTCGGGGCCCACCCCTACAATGCCTACTATTACTCTTCGATTTCTCCTTCTCTATTTCCATCTTTCCGCTGTCCTCTCCTGTCCAGCTTCAGGGTCCTAACAGACTCTCATCAGCAGGGGCGCAATTCAAAAATCACCCCAGGAACTTGCTGAACATTTAGTGATGATAGCATAAAAAAACCCTGGTCCTAGAGATGCAAATTTCCGTTTCAAGGTTTAGGCAAGCTCAAATCCACTTAAATATTCAAAGAAAGCACGAAGCAATTCATAAACTACAACCAGATTCAATATAGAACCAACCCCACAGCAAGCAAAACTCACCATAGCAAAATTATGATAATAAAAAATCCAGGCATCTATGCAAACGTTGTCTTCTGAAACAGATCCATCTAAAATAATTCATTCAGTGTTCAGGCTATGCCGTGGTGTCCAGGGTATGTCTAGACCCAAAGCCTAGAACAATACCCACAACTACCGATCCAAAATAAACAATAAAAAACCCAGATGGGTCCAGGGACGTCTAACCAATTCCCCAAGAGACCGGTGAGGCCGCACCAACAGTATGTTCCCATTCACAACCTGTTACTGCTAGATAGAGGAAAACTGCGTGTCCAGCAAGCAGGTTGACAAGTTCTCGACTGTGGCATAGATTGGCCTATCTATCTCTGAAGGCTCAAATTCATAGGATGCCCTTGAAATTCGTAACGGAAAGTACAGATCTGGCGGGATGAACGAAGAGAGCTTCCAAGAAGCGGGGAGATTTAGGGGTTCGAAACGACGTTTGTTAGCTGCAATTTCGAGTGGTGGAGTTTGATAAGAGTCCCTTGGCAGCACATAAATGTTTTACAGAGTTGTCTCCAAGAAACTGAACAGCAGAGCAGCAACTGCAAATACAGTTGTCTCTGAGACAGGAAGATAAACAACTGCAAATACAGCGGTCATCTCCAAGGCAGCATTTGAATCAGTATACGTCTCATGTGCTGTCAGACCCAGCAGGGGCTGCCATGATGGCCAGGACAGGCTCCTGCCTCCTAAAATTAAGCCTCTAGATAACCCTAGTTCTATGTGGTCGAATGCCATAACTTGGCCCAAAGTAAAATTTTGCCACTTTTCCAGTCTTGAGGACAACTTCAGTTGACTGGAAAGATCATTGCCACAGGTGAGAGATTGGTTCTGACAAGAAATCTGATCGATGAAACCGATCGCTGTTGTATGGACTTCAAGTAAACTTGAGTAATTGATGAGGACATCGGAGTCAACCATGCACCAGTCAACGTCAACACTCGAAGGAAGCCCATGAGAAAACCTGGTGAATAATGAAATAGGGATTTCTTTGGCTAATTTTCGTAGGCCATTAAGTCGAAGTTTATCTTTGACCGTTTTGGGATTTCTAAAAATATTTGAAGCCTATTGAAGGCCCTAGTGCATTCCAATCATTTTTCTTACTTCTATTAAATTTAAGACAGAAATTCCAGCCCGTTAGTTATGGGAACGGTTATAATATCTATAGGCCACATTTAAGAGCGTCACTTCAGAGGTCTCATGTTGCTCCTATAACTAGTAAGCTGAACTTGATGTCAAAAAAACACATTTTGAATGAAAAAATTACTCCTAGCCTCCTCGAAGCAGGTCATGAAAGACCCCCGGTGAGAAATCAGGGCCGTAAAGCGAGAAGCTGAGAGTTAGTTCGTTCTTGTTTTATCCTTAGCATCCTTTAGGTTGTGTGAGATCTCTACATCTCCGAGAGGGGCATAGCTGGTGGGCTGTTTGCTCCAAGGTTACCACGTGCAAGTCTCCATCCATGTGTTTAAGTTATAATCACTGTCAATCCTATTTTGGACCTCGCATTTAATCTGCTATCAAACATCTTCTATTGCTGGTTATAACTGTCCACCAAGTCCCCACCAGCCTACCTCCTTATCCCCTGTTCTAGTCCACCCTTAACACATCATAAAGAATCACCCTAATCAGAGGAAGTTTCCATTTTTCTTACAGTCTAATTCTGGTGTTGAAAGCAAGGGACCTAACTAAGGATATTTTTTTAGTTGGCCAACCTTCATTTAAATTGGCATTTGCTGATTTCTATATTCCTTAAATCAGTCATATGGATGGTGCGTCCCATATCAGTAATGTTTCTGTGGGAAAAACGTGTAACTAGGAGTTAGTTTCTGTTGATCAGTTTCCTAGTTTGTTAGTTTCCTTTATGTTCGGTTTCCTTAACCCAGGTAGTTCCCTTTTATTGTGGCCAGGGTAATTCTATATAACTAGCAATCGTTCTATGATTTGATATTAGAAGAGATTTTTCCCAACTGTTTATCCTTGTATGGTTTGTGTCAGATTTAGACGACAACATGCCTGCTGAAAGGGAATGCCACACTGAAGTCTCTTTTCACAAGATTATCAAAAAAAATAAGTGCAGCAAGAAAGAGGCATGCTAACTTTTATTGAAATAACTCACTTTCTCTTTAGAATGATACGATATAGCACACCAGTGCTAACAATATTGAAGTTCTTCAATATCTGGTAAGACGGTGCATCCACGTAGGCAAAGATATAGTACTGGAAACATGTAGATGAAGCTGCCCATCAGTTCCAATAAGGTGACTAGGATCTAACAAGTCAAAACTACTGATAGGTATACCTGCAGCAAATTCTTAACAAGGTAAAGTGCAGCGGGGACAGTACAGACGGTAATTTCATCCAGAGACGCAAATAACCTGAAATTAACATGAATACATACATGGAAAGACATGTTTAGACTTGAAGAAGCATAATGTGAGCACCTAAACAAGACAGCGTCGCCACAGAGTTTTATATCAAGACCCACAAAAAATGCACCAGGTGTGGTACAAAAACTGCAAAGTGAATAACAAGCTAAACGGAAATTCAGTTAAGGTAGCAACGTAGATGTAGCTGCAACTGATTCCTGAGAGCTGTAACTAGCCACGCAAGCCTCATGAATGCTGATCAGTAGCACCCTTGTCTAAAATGAGACGGAATATCCAAAATGCAGGAACGACCTAACCATAAAGTCATTAAAAGCTTGATCGAAGAATGAGCATTTATTAAAGAAGCAATAGAGTTCACTACAAAAGTAGCTGCAACCACTTCCCTAGAGGTATAACCAGCTGGGCAAGCCTAATAAAAATGCTGATCAGTAGCACCCCTGTCTAAAATGAGACTGATTATCCAAAATGCAGGAACGACCTAACTATAAAGTCATTAAAAAACTTGATTGACGAACGAGCGTTTATTGAAGAACTAATAGAGCAAATTACGAAAGTACTTGAAAAGTTAAGCTTAATCGTAACATTCCAAGATTCAGGTGACACGACACACCTTTTAATGGATTTGATGCCAAATAATTACTCATAAAAATTCAAATTTTCAATATTTTTCCTGTTAAAATCGAACAACATTCACGGACTAAGAGTCCAGGTGTTGCCACAAGCTATGGCGACCCATAAAGTTTTCCTCAGGATGGACATGGGATTTGCTGATGTAGTTTGTGAAGCATCTGTGAGAAACTGAGACATCAAAAAAATATCATTCTTTTAAGCTAAAATAGATCTAACATAATAGATCAAAGATGAAATCATACCTAAAAGCGTGATTGTTTGTGGAACTGAATAATGTTTATCTATTCCATTGACATAAGCTATGTCAGGATAAACATTGTATTGATGATAGAATCAAGTTCGGTGCGCTGAAAGATGACCCCAGTGCCCGTGGAGAAAATGTATTCTCTTATTCGAAAAGAAATTTTCTTACAAAGTGTGTGAGGTCTGGTATTTATAACAGACCCCCAGAAGGTTCTAGACTAGACACATAATTTACATCACGACCAGACCCTGGAATCTTCTTGACACATTTATTCCAAAACCCCGTTGATCAATTTGCACATATTCTTGTTACCCTAGTACGAAAACTTAGGATTACGTGGAATTTTTTAAAAATTATTTTGACATGATAAGAGTCTCTTTCTGTCCCAAGATCTTCAACAACTACACTATTTGAGCTACATCACCTATGAGAGCGAGTGACTACAGGCCTTCATCTCCTTCTAAATGGAGATGCAGCAACCAAGGATGAAGAGCGTCATCAGATGGCTCAATATTTGTTTTAAGAGGTCTATGCTAACTAATAATGCTATCATCACATAAATAAGCAAACTGTACCCTCATCCTATTAACTAATGGTGCTATCACTCACCTTATTGTTTACCTCCAATGACATTGACATTGCTTAAAGAAATTGCCTTCCCCCAAACCCCACCCCCCTCTGCTCCCAACCTCCATTTCCTTCTTCCATCATTGGTCTGCCGACATCATGCTCAAAGATGCTACAAACCTCAATCAGGCAAGTGAGGGAAAGTGAGGAACGACATAACTCACCTAAGTGAGGGGAAACGCCACTATTAGCCTTTTCTGAACATAAAGATATCACTTGTAGCTTCACTTTGGCTTGATTTGAATGGAACAAGAGCTCTTTTTTAGATATCTGAGTTAAAAATAAAATGAGCAATCCCTTTCCACCAGAAACCTAAATAAGAATAAGCCACTAGATTCCCACTAATCCTACCCTTCTATATTTTCATGCAATAAAACACCTCCTTTCTTCAGTAGCAAAATAAAGGCCTTCATGAGTTGATTCCTCCTTAACACTAAAACCAAATGAATTTAGAGAATCCTTTGTGGCTCTTGTGATGACTACATCAATGTGTCATCCTACCAATTATTTGCAATGAAATTAATGTTAAAGTTCATCAAATTTTCTTGATGAGAAAAATCCAAGAATCCATCAAAGTTTAATATCATCGCTTCTCTTAATGGTACAACTCTCCTTCTAAAAATATATTCATCACAAGGAGGTACCGCTCCTTGATTCCCTCCATAAGTAATTACATAAATAAACAACTACCAAGGGGACAAATAAAAATAAAAAGCTACCAAGAAACAAGAAAGCACAAACTGATAGAACTAAAGAAGACCTAACCTTCAAACTAGAATAAGCTGCAGTTTCCCCTCTCAATATAATACGTTTCTTATCAGCATAAAATATATTTTTTTATCCCTACGCTTTGCTACTCGTGTTCCAGAATAGTATTGCAACAGCAGATAGAGGTACTCAATTATGCAAGATGACTATCCATTGGAACCCCCTTTTAGGATTATCCATTTGTGGCAGCGCCATAAAATACACGAGTTATTACAGCCAGAGATAATTTGGGTTGATTTTCGGATGCATAAAATCACTCAAATATTTCGCTTACGTCCCATTGCAACTTCTCATCTCCTCTTATGTTAGACACAGAAATCCTGTGAGTTTTCATATTTAAAACTAAAAGCACTACCTGATGGTGCAGATTAAGAGAATGAAATTGAGGACATCAACATCAGGAAATTTCTTGCAAATGCAAAGGAAAAAAAGAAAGCAGAAAGAAAAGATAGACTTGGATTAATCAAGAAGACAGGTTCTCAAATCAAGGCTCACTTGTTATTATCAGTGACACCTTCAGTTCCCCAGATTCTCCAGAGGGCAGCAAGTGATAATGCACATTTGAGAGCCTCCACCTAACAACATTGTAGAAATAATTTTCAGAGAACTGACGCAATCAGAAAACTAAATCTTGGTAGGCTTGCAGATAACAATTTTTTTCTAGGGCTCAGTGGATAAAATAAAAAAATAAGGGCACAAATGTATATCATCAATGTGTACAGGAGTGTGGCACACAAATACATGGATGTATGGTTGGTTGTAAAGTTCAAATCAGTCACCGGTAATAATCGTTCCCGAATTAAGACAATAGTATCACAAACTTAAACAGTCGGAATAAGCACTCCGACTTAATGCCTGTTGGCTCAGATTTTTTGTTCTCCAATAGAATGGTATATTTTTAGTTTCTTTCGACTTATACTATCAACTTGAAGAAAGCAATAAATAATCCCCAGTAGAGTTCATTCAGTAGCAACTAACCAAAAAATTTGCAGTTGTGACGCTATACTCATATTTCCCAGCTCTTTTAGACCACACAATCAGTATTGCTTGAGAACTTGTGAGCAATGTTAGGGCAACAGTCACAACTGACCTGATATACACAAAGAGTCATAAGGAAGAATTTCAACAAAGGCATGATAATAAGTACTATGAAACAGTAAGATACACTTACTTAATTTTCCACTGGGGTTTCTCGGTTCCCCTGTCCACAAAACCTGCAGTATGACGCGTGGGAACTGCAGAGGATGATAAATTTAACAAGATTGATAAGAATCACACTGAACCTAATGCTTGATGTTGAAGTCTGGGGCTGGGGCATACCATCTAAGAGAGGCTTCGCCTCTACGTCATCCTGAGACTCATCCTTACCACCTTCCTGCAGTATCATCAAATTTGAGTTAACCATTTATGTCCAATAGACAAAAGTTGACAAATTTTGAAATCAATGCATCGAGAAAAGATGATTGTCAGATCAAGTATCTGATAACACAAAGTTACTAAACTGCGTGTAGATATGGGGTTTCTTCTTTTGCTATTACCATTGTTTTTCGAACGTCTAAATGAATGCTTCGGTTAAAGTTTTACTGGCCTTCTTGCCTTGAGAACGTAGTTAAATCTAGAGTTAGATGGTGACAGTTTTAACAACTTCCAAAAAGGATTGCAGTTTTGGCTGAGTTTACATAGTTGGCAATATCTCAGGCCCTGCACTCCCAACTGTCAACGCCTGACATGCAATGGCAAGGCTTCCAATTTTTGGATGTGCCCGTCTATGCTACAGTTTCTGGGCCTTTATATCGTTTATAACTTGAAATGACATCCTTTAGAGTCCAGCTTCCTTCCTACTGGGGTTTCTGTACTCTTCCTCCCTAGGGATACGTTCCAGAGGCCCCGCATGATGCCAACCCAGAAATGTTGGCATCTATATGTGAATAAGGCACAAGCCCCTGACCTCCTGGCAGAACCTGGAATATTGGACAAAATGTCACTTCAGGGCTGAAGAATTAACTGGTTTCAGGAAAGAAAAAAATCAGTACAGATAGAACAGAAGGTGCTTTTTCTTAAAATCAGGCAGGAGATTGCAGCCAGTCTGCACCAAAATTTAACCCTTCGTAGGAATTAACTATTCTCGCTTCAGCTTCAATTTGACCCCTATCAGTCGTTAAAGGCATACAAGATCTGTCAAGGAGCTATCCTCCAAAGTGCAGCTATATTTTCTTTCCCTTCCGTCTAATTCTTTGGCATGAAAACTTGCTTCCACATGTGACAAATGAACAACTTATATTTTCTATCTAACTACATAATTAGAATGTCTACAGGTCATCAATCTTTCACGGAATACAAAGGGTTAACAATTTTAGATAGGATGAAAAATGTGGAGAATTTGGTGAGGAGATGTGGTGCGTACCTACTATGTTCACAACAGAAAGCACCAAAAAAAATGTTTCTTGACATAATAGAGGAGATCAGGAGAAGCCAGCAAACTTGAGGAATGGCTACAGCTGTTAAGGGCTTATCAGGGGAAACATTGGTACATGATTCGTCTCCCTAATGCCAATTTTTGTCCCTCAGCTCCCCAGAATTTAATTTTCGTGCCATCTTTAACCTTTCTCACCATCTCTCCTTTAAGAAAGTAAAACTACCTTCTGCTCAAGCCGGAGTCAACTCAATAAACACATCCAAGCTACTAGGAAGTTCCTACTCATAATGCCACAGAATGACAAATGGTGACATACAGGAAACAGCCGGCAAAAGCTCAAGTGGAGGACCCCATTGCTCCCTGTTGCATGGAATGATGATCATTATCTCTCATCATGACCTCCCCCTCACTTCTTTCATTCCCTCCTTCACTCATTTTTGTGTATCAAATCTAGACATTCTAACTACTTTGAACTCTGTACTGCCTCTAGGTCACCCTGTAATCCCCATCAAATTTGATTGTTCCCTTTCAAAACTTGTACTATCTTTGTGACACAGGTTAAATGTTCATTTCAAAGAAATTTTGGGATTGGCTAAAGTTACACAATGTACATTTACCGTCTAGATAATGCAATCTATCTTTCACACCATCATTGTCCAACCATAACAATCCCCTAATAATGATATTGCTCGCAGGGACTACAACAAATGATAAGGAAATCAGATTGTGTAAATGTTTGGGTGATATAAAACAGCAGTAAGGATGGTAAATTTCTGATGTGAATTCGTGCATCGGATTCATGCTGCTCCACCATATTTTCCAATAACATTTGGTACAACCCTGAGGGAGAACAACCTCAAGGTCACGCTTACCGAGGGAGATGAGGCGACGTACTTGAAAGGGGCACTAAAAGGCTCAAACTAAATCTTCCTAGAATATAAGTGCAATGTCTATACGAACCAGCTCTATCATTCCCATCCTTGGTTCCGTAAAGATCACCTTCGTCTACAATCTACTGCTCGATATTCACTTCTTCATCTCACCTGATTGTGTAAATAAGATGAGGGACAAACAGCCATGCGTCTATTGGACATAATTTGCCAACTCTTCAACTCCAGTAACAGCAATGGTTAAACAAGAAGCAGAAACCCTCTCTTCCCTATTTCTTCAAACCACCCTTTTACATGTTATCTGAGTCTATAAAGAACTGGTTTCATCACATGTAGTGAGATGACGCCAACCCCCTTTTTTAGGTCTGTCCCAAGTCCTACCATGTTCTGACCACGAGACCCTCGTCCAGTACCCAAGAGCCCACACGTCTAAAATCAGAGGGTTTGCTGACAGGACTATTTTTTCATAGTCCCATCTAAGGCGCTTCCACCACTGGATACGCCTTTGCGTCTATAACCCAAGCTTTTCTACTCTGCTCTAATTTTTCACCACCAGCAATATGTACATTAGGGGCACTCTTTCAAGCTCTCAAAACAGAACAGGCAACAAAATTGATCGAAAAAAAAGTTGAAAATAGAAAACGCATCTACTTTCCGTTACCCAGGAATGCCAAACTATGAATTTATACAGTATAGGCCACTGGAGCGGGCCACTCATATAAAGGTAGCCAAGAACTCCTAGCAAGACAATGCGAGCTCTTCTCAACTCAAAGGAGAGAAGCTCAGAAGCTGACATCAGATGCCGCAAAATGTCAAATAAGATGATGGCCCATAGAATTGTGACTAGAAAAATTCATGAAACCTATAGGAAGATATTTAGTCGACTGAATCCGTAGTAACCGTTTGGCCCGACGGCATGAGAAGCTGATAAATGTACTTCTACTTAAACATTCAAGCCGGTGTAGGAGCACTTCGACAGTCGCAGAATCATGCCTTGCCTATGTCTTTTTCAAAAAAATTTAACATTTCAACAGACGAAAGATGAGAACGCCAGCAGAATCTTTACAGATTCAAAAAAGAACAACGGGCGGAAGGTGAGCGCCAGTGAGAAGGGACGAACCAGACGAACTGGAAAACAAATGAACCGTACAACACGAGTAAAATTGATCCTCCTACCAAATTCACTCTTCTCGACTCCATTTTTTAGCTGACCACCAGGAGTCAAAGATCCACCTCACCGTGCGCGCCACGGTGCGCGCTATCCGTCAGCCCGACGACTCCAAGCAAGCCACGGCCACCTTCCCCCGCCGGCGAGGCCGCGACCGCAGCGACAGCGGCGCAATCGATCAATGCGGCCGAGACCCGTCCGAACCCCGGCCAGCCGTCGGAAGGAGGAGCTGAGATCTGGCCTCTCCCCAAGAAGTATCCAAGGACCTACCGACTGTACTGATTTTCCCGCGGCATATTATTCCACTCTCTCTCTACATAAATTATCACGGGCCTCAGGGGGGGCCCAGACAAGCGGCCCGAGATCGTCGTGGGACCCACAGTCCACCTGGCCCCACAGAAGGCGAGACGGAGAGTCATCGACTGGGCCCCACTCACCCGCAGGCAAGAACGCTGCACTGTAAACTTATCATTAATTTAATAATATATATAAATAAATACACCATTTTCATATTTTAATAGTGAAAATGGGAACAACGCGTATTTTGAACCTATGACTCGCATTTAATTGCTTCGTAATTATTTTTTTATATAAATATTTACATTGGCGTATGGGTGAGAGACGAAATAGTTCATTTATTTATATTTTTTAATTAAAAAGCGTCAATTTTTTTTTCTGAAGCGTAGATTCCTTCAAACCAGCGGATGGCGCGTCCATCAGCTTGCCATTTTTTGTTAATCGCCCCGAATTATTAATTATACCATTTTTTTAATCGTCTGACGTCGTGTTGGTAAATAATACAAAAAAAAAATGCTGCTCCAATGATCATTTCCTTCTCGGTTGGACTTTCAAATCGGCCCGGCCCATGGGAGAGGAGGAGGCGACGACTTTTATAGGTCAATTCTGAGAGGAGAGAGAGGGAGGTATGGAGGAGAGAGTGGACGGGGGACGTGCGCGAAGAACGGAAGTTGGAGGTGGTCGACCCCCACCCCGAGCCCCCAAGCGCTGACGGCGACAGCTCGAGGGGACCCAAGGGGCTCGGACCGGACTCCTAGAGGGACAACCCTAGTTGGCTTTTGTTCCTCGTCGTCCTTCCAGAAATCCTCCGTTGTCGGCCGTGCTGCTGCATTAATCGTGTTGGCGTGTTCCTCGTGATCCTGCTCTGGTTACTGCGTAACTGATTTCTGTCCGAGGAATCCAGGTTTGGATTAGTCTAATTGGGCTTGCAATTATCCGTCAAACACATTCTTGATGCACTGCTTCGCGTCGAGGCTATGGACCTACCGAGTCTGGCCGTAGTTCTTCAGGCGGCGCTCAGCCACAACCCAGAGGAGAGAAAAACAGCGGAGGAGAGCCTCAACCAGGTTGAATCTGCCGGTGCTCATTATTTTCTAAATTCAGCATGAATTTTTGCCCTTGGTTATCCAGTGCTATTGCAGAATCTGTATATTTATCGGCTATAACGATGAAATTTGAAATATCCGTCTAGGGATCCATTTTATAACTTTCTTAGTAGTTCATGTTCTTAATTTCAGAGTAAAGACGCAACCCAGATCATGAATTCACTGATGGCATGCTTCTCTTTTAGGTGGCAATAATTTGTTTGGATCGTATCTTGTTATGATCGATCATTTGCCATGGAATCGGCATTAAATTTTCCTGAATCTACGGATGTAATCTTGTAAGATGTTTCATAAATTACACATCTGGAGTCGTGTCCTAACGAGGACTCACCATACACAAATCCACAATTAGCTTGATCCATGAGTTAATCACCATTTTCAACGGGGTGGGAGAGCTTAATGGCCTTTTATTTTAAAAGGATTCTTCGGGATATATTATTGATACATTCACAAGGTCCCTCAATCCTTCTAAGTATAACTGTTACATTTTTTGATGTCAGAGAATTCGCTGGGGAAATGTTCCCATACTGTGGAGGCTTATTTGCAAACGTTGCTATAATTTTTCTACCTCAAGGACCAGTATCCACCAGTTATTTAATAAAAATGTGTCATCTGCATTAGAGAGATTCTGAATGTGCTATAAGGCAGAATAATATGATCAGTGCAATTGCTTCAGGTGGTTATTGCGTGCAAGACAGAGACACAGTGCTTAGACTAATTATGACAGCTATGTACACTAGCCAACAGCTCGAAATCCTTCAAAAAAACTTGTTCTTGACGTATCCCCATCTCCCCCATCCTTAAAGAGACGAGAACAAGAGAAAGGCAGATTCATAGAAATGGTTCTGGACAATTAGGGGGTACATTAGAGTTGGAACAGAAACGCACAAAAATCTTGATTAATTCTTGTGTTGATGCCATATCTCCTTTTCCTTTTCTGGCTGGTTTGATTCCTTGCATTTCGTTATTGGGAAACTTGTATTTGAGAATTTCTTGATTCAAGATCTTTGAGAAGCTCATCTTCTTCTCTGCTGACCCTTTGTAGTTTCTTGGTTGCAGTTCCAGTACTCTCCACAACATTTGGTGAGATTGTTGCAAATAATTGTGAATGGAAACTTCGATCTTGCGGTCCGTCAAGTTGCAAGCATTCATTTCAAGAACTTTGTGGCTAAAAACTGGTCACCCAATGAGCCTGGTATGAGGTCCAGGCTTTTCAATTAAAACGTTTTTGACTTGAACGCTGAAATAACTGTTGTACTTAATTACTGCAGGTGAGCCTCAGAAGCTATCAGAAAGTGACAAAGAGATGGTCAGGGAGAACATTCTCACATTTATAATTCAAGTGCCTCCTTTACTTAGGTATGTTTTTATAGAAACGCTTCCGTATCTTGCCTGGTATGATTGTATTGGCATTTTGTGTGTCAAAGAACCAGAAACTCTGTTAATGCAATATTAATTGGCCTTGGCTGAAGAGCAACCACCACTTATTTATTCTCCGAAGAAAGACTTGCATTATTATCGGTTCTGGACTTAGTAAGTAGTCTGCAACGTCTATTTTGTGCATATGGAGCTAGAGGAACAATTGGTTTTTCAGGAGGCAAAGTTTTCACGTGATGTTGTGCACACTTTTTCTAGTGGTAGGTTAAGACAGCGGCCTAAGATCGTTTATAGATGGGAGGGCAGCAATCTATCATTTTGGCAGCTTTGGGTCACTAGCATAGTATGTTTTGGTGGGACCAACAGCCACTTTTGTGCTTTTTTTTTTTCAGATTTTAAAAGTATGCATTATTATCCACTCGCAATGCAAACAAGATAGGTTTGTGACATGCTCTTTCTATTTCAGACTTTATGCTGCTTCTAAGACCCTCATAATACAATAAATTTTCCTCTGCAATCTAGGAGCTAATCCGTTCACGTTTCTTTGTGCTGCTTATCTACCACAAGTTTTCTTGATATAATGTTTGGTATGCCATAAGTTATATTCTTTGTTTTTTGGTAGTAATTTTAGTCTGTCCTTGAGTCCACGTTATTTTATTTGCGCTTTTAATGGGGAAAAAAATCCTGAAGGAGGCTATGTTTGCCTTATACTTCTACATTTACAGAGCACAGCTTGGTGAATGCCTCAAAACAATTATTAATGTTGATTACCCTGGTCAATGGCCCAATCTTCTTCACTGGATAAAATGTAACCTACAAATGCAAGATCAGCAAGTATATAGTGCTCTGTATGTGCTGAGGATTCTTTCCCGGAAGTATGAGTAAGTACTGGCATTTTTCTAAGCTCTTTGGGATTTTTTTTTTTTCAGATTACCCTCCCAGTGGTCTATTCTGTATATTACTTTGATCAGAACATTCGAGCTTTTCTATAAATTGCGGCAATTGCTTTCTCCGTGTCATGAATTATCTTCTTTATTCTTGGTGTGCTGTAATAAGAATGCCTTTTGAACTTTCAAGCCATACTCCGTTTTGACTATAATTTTGTGTTGATTTGGTGCAGTATTGTTTACCTATTAATGAGAATAAACTGTTTTGTTGAGTTGGGGGGGGGGGGGGGTTTCAGTGTAGGAAAACTACATGCCGTGGCCATGCATGCCAAAGAAAAGAAATTACAAGATAAGAAAAAAACTTAAGAATAACACTTTTTGATTGAGGAATCACATATGAACAGAAACGCTGGCCAAAACAAAGATTCCTACTATGTAATCCGAAGAAATATTCAATTCACAGAGATCATAAATTAAAGGATGATTACTAGGCATGTTTGAATTTCAAATATGGTTACAATTTGTATCATCAGATATGTGGATGCATCAATTAAATATATTTTGTTTGTTTGACTGGATCTAGAAAAAAAATATCCTTTTGACATTTTCATGCAATATATCAAGGAAGTAAGGATCTGTTTAACAAGAGACTAACATCATAAAAGTATGTATTGCCATTTCTTTATAAAACGTCTCGAAGACCCTGTTTTGGAAGGGCATTTTTTGTGGCCTTTTATTTTAGATCTCGAGGAATGGTCCTCTTTATTTTATATGGCATTGTATCTTGAAGATACCACCGTTGTACGATCTTTGAGACGATACAAGAGGGAGGCAGGTGATTCCCAGCTTTTGGATGGAACTTTTAGTAGAAGAGATTAAACAACATAGAGTATTCTGTCTTTTAGGTACGAAAACCTTTCAGATGTAGAGTTTTATTGATGGAGGTGGAGATTGGAATGATGAGGCATAGTGTCTGGCCGTTGTGCTGTGATACCGTAGAAAATGAAGGCACCATGTGACTTCTCATGCCTGGAGTTTTGTGATCCTATAATTGTTACAACTTTGATGTGGAGGATCTCAAAGTTCTGTTCCGAACATTTCCTTGAAGTAGAAAAGTTTAAATCTTAATGCTGACATGGGATATCTCGTGAAAGGCTTCCCACTCGTGGTTGGAAAGATCTTCAGTGAAAAGTTTATGAACTATATTCGGACTCTTTACATGCCGGGTATGGGTCCTTTGAAATATATTAGTTGTATATGCATTCTAGCAAAATTTTGTGCAGAAACTAATGTGTACAACAGATCTTCAGTGGCATTGTCTTGGTTTGCAATATGTTGGCATCAGTGCTGGCTGCACAAAGGGGACGAAAATATTTGGTTGGTTATCCTGTATGTGATCATTCAGGAAACGTGGAATGAGGGAAACAATTAGATATTCTGGAGGCTAAGTTGCCTGGTAGATTCATTGATACTTTTGATGAATTCAAAGTGGGCTAAGACAAGTGGTAGTAGGAGAGAAATACCCTCCATTTTGGAGTTGGATTGAGTTTTTAATATGGCCTTCAACATGTGGCATGAAGTTTTCGTGAGAGCCACGTTGATATTGTGCAAGTATATCTCTTTTACGCCTTAAACTTATAAATGTGGTATTATTGGCTTGAAAAGAAGAAGAAACGGACATGATTTTGGATAGCTCTTTTCCTTTGAAGATTCAATTACTCTTATATATTTTCTTCTTTAATGGGTTTCTATATAATAAGCAATTGTATGATGACTCATTTAATTGCTAAAGAAGATGGGCAAACGTTGGTATCACTAAACTATACTGGACTTTGGAAGTCGCATCTGGTTAGGTTATTGAATAGAAAAGCATGAAAATCAATTTATGTTGCCATGGTGATATTGCCAACGTATTCATGAGCGTGAGTTTTTGACAATCTCGAGCACTTATTTGCATGATTATGTGGGTTGCAAGATCCTTGAACTATCAACATAAGAAGGTAAGCAAATGTGGAGATCTAAAGTGATAATATGGCTATTCTGTTGTATGGAACGTTTCCTGCTTGTGTTTGATTGAAGACACCATCATATCATCAGTCCGAGGAAGTATTGTCTGCATTTGACGTATATTCTCTATTACATTAAGGTTTAGAGTTACTATCACACAGTTGTAGATCTTTCTACAACATGAGGAATTTCTTGAAACGTTAAATTTACCTCACAAAAGTTTGAGAGAATATCCGAGTAATTGACAAATGTTATTTATTAATGTAAAAGCATACTTTTACATCAATAATCTGTAAGTTGCTATAGGCTTGTTGCATGTACTGATTTAATTTCCATAGTAGTCTTCACAGTGCTAGAAGACAGATTTTGTGAGGTAGATGCACTCATCCTTGAAGCTGGGTGACTCGGCATTGCATTGTCTTTGGGAGTCAAAAAAACTTGCATATTGGTTTGACTTGGCTTCATCTCACGACAAGCCTTATTTGGCTTCATTGATCTTATTGATTAATTTGATTTATTCGACTTAAATGAGTTTTATGCACCGTAAATGCGAACCTGTTGGCAAGAATTTGACTTTAGGGGTACAAGAGAAATTGGTTCAGTATGGTGAAGTTGGCTTTTACTTTATGATGGTCCACTTGTTTTTGTCAAAGGCTTGGGACATCCAATCTAGAACCTGTTTATTGACCTAGAGATTAAATCTTGAATCTGTACTTGGACAACATAGACGGAGCACGATTCATGGTTGAACTTGAAACTTTGATACCTTTTTCTTGCTCTGTGGACATCCTCTTGTGCTGTATTCATGAGGCTGACGAACTTTTTGGGCAAAGCCATTATCACCCTACGATGTATATGTAAACTCAGGGCGTAAATGATAAAAGACAAAAACACCAAGTTAAACTTTCCCATCTAAGTCAGGATGTCACCATATATTTTTTGATCTGACTGAAAGCAGGACCTGTATTTCTAAACCGTAAATATTTGTTGCCATCTTCTGTTTTTGTCAGCTGTCATTTAATTTATTTGATTAATTAATTTTCTGTCAGTTTCTTTTTATGCAAATATCTCATGTTCTTTGTACTAAACCTCGTCTCTTTTTTACGATGAAGATTCAAATCGGATGATGAAAGAACACCTCTTTACTCAGTTTTGGAGGAGACTTTTCCTTATCTACTTAATATATTTAACGGGCTTGTTCAAATCGGCGATCCCCCTCTGGAAGTGGCAGAATTGATCAGACTCATATGCAAAATATTCTGGTCTTCAATATATGTACGTTTTTAATGAAGTTATCCTCGTAATTCAGAGTCGAGTGATATGTACTCATCTCTTTTACTTTCTTACCGTGCAGTTAGAGATTCCTAAGCAACTGGTTGAGCCCAACATTTTCAATGCTTGGGTGATACTTTTTCTCAATCTATTGGAACGAGGTGTCCCAGTAGAGGGACAACCATCTGACCCAGAACATAAAAAATCGTGGGGATGGTGGAAAGTTAAAAAATGGACGGTTCACATATTAAATCGTCTATATACTCGGTAGGTTATTTGCTTGTTTATAATTTGATTGTTTTATTCTGAATGTGATTTTGATTTGTTTTATTTATATATTCAACTTATAGGTTTGGGGATATAAAGGTTCAGAAACTAGAGAACAAAGCATTTGCCCAAATGTTTCAGAAGAATTATGCTGGAAAAATCTTGATGTGCTACCTGCACATTCTGAATGTTCTCCGTACAGGGGAATATCTGCCTGATAGAGTCATCAATCTTCTCCTTCAGTATTTGAACTGCAGGTCAGTCCTTTTTTCTTCGAGGAGCAAAGAGTTGGGGTTGTAACTGATCTCGTTCTGCTGATTTTACCCCTCAAACTCCATCGAATGGTGAACACATGGAAACATTGAATGGTGAAAGAGGCATAGAGGGTGGAGGGAGACATAACTAAAGTGTTCATTTTCAAATTTCTCTCTTGTCTAAGTTGTACATTTTAAGTACCCATGACGAAGTCTTTCAAGAAGTGTAACCTTCTGTTACATTTTTCTTGAAATAAAATTTTGATATCAATCATTTCCTGAACTGATTATGTGAGTTTGTATTTATCTCACTGCAGTATTTCGAGGAACAGTATGTATCAGTTACTGTTGCCGCAGCTTGATATTCTTGTTTTTGAGATAGTTTTCCCACTTATGTGTTTTAATGACAATGATCAAGCGTTATGGAATGAAGATCCTCATGAGTATGTTAGGAAAGGTTATGGTGAGTCTTAATACTTCATTATTACACTTTTTAAATTATTTAAACTATGAATTAAATATTTGGAATGAATCGCATATTTTACCACAGATATTATTGAAGATTTGTACAGTCCACGAACAGCAGCTATGGATTTTGTGAGTGAATTAGTAAGAAAACGTGGAAAAGGAAATCTTCAAAAGTTTATTCAGTTCATTGTAGAGATTTTTAGGAGGTAAGATGATGCTTCACCTTACAATAAAGCAATAACTACGGTTTTGTTCTGCACTTGAACTGAAGACTGTGGCCCTTTTTCTTTGTTTTCCAGATATGATGAGTCTTCTATAGAGCTTAAACCATACCGTCAAAAAGATGGCGCTTTATTAGCCATCGGATCATTATGTGATAGACTGAAACAGACTGAGCCTTACAAATCAGAGCTTGAGCATATGCTCGTGCAACATGTTTTTCCTGAATTTGACAGCCACGTTGGGCATCTCAGAGCAAAGGTTTACTTTGCCTTTTGTTCTTTTTATAATTTTGTTGTTTTATGTGAGAATTCCTTATCTTTTTGTGCTTTTATTCATGTCATGTTATGTCATTTGGTGACAAGAAACGTGCCATGCAATCCGGACTTATATATAAATGGGTGATCTTAGCTTTTTTTATATTGCCATTGATAATTCTGTTGTTATATCTTAGAGTCTGTTATGTTTTTGTGCTTATATTCATGTCATGTTGTGTCATTTGGGGACAAGAACTGTATCATTCAATCCCTTTTTGTAATTATCAGCATTTTGTTTTTTAATTTTTTGATTGGAATACACAAATCATTCATCCTTACAAATCTCAGGCTAAAAGTATGTGCTGCAAAATAAGATAAGAGAACTGGGGTTTTATTCAAAGTCGTATTTTCATGACAGCACGAATTATTATTTCATGTCCTTTTCCTAAGCATATGTTGTTTCGAGTTGAGCCATTATTTTTTGCTTTCTTCTTTCTTCTTTTCGCCTAGGATTTTTTCCTTCTTCATGTTGATGTGTCGGTTTTCAAATGCTCTTTTGTAATAGGTTGCGTTGTTGTAAAATTACATTCTGGAATCAGCAATTGTAAAATAAACCTAAAGATGCATTGTATCTCAAGTTGTGCTCGAGAAACATAAAAGTGGTAGCACACACAACTGAGTGGAGAAGAAAATCACAATTTTAAGATTGGTCCTGAAAATGCCATAAGATTTAAAGCCCTCCTTCCTCGTGCTCTTTTTTTTTCTTGAATGGGAAGAAGTACGATATGAATGACAGTGTATATATCTATTTAAGCAACAGAGGTCTCCTCTGATCTTCTCCTTTACCTGCCCTCGTCTCTCATTCGTCTATAATCAGGCAATGTTTGAAGTTTGCTTTGGAAGGAACGTGGGGGTCATAAGATGCACCATTCATTTTTGCCCCTTAGTCCGCCATTTGTCTATCACTGTGTGATAGATATGCCATTCCCAATCAACGACAGTAATCAATTGAATTCGTCTTCTCAAGTAATTAATAAAATAATTAAATATAATTAAAACATACCATAGGCTTTTGATTTTCACGCCTAGAAAACTGCTTTTTCTATTCTTCCTGGTAAACAAAAATAATTCCAGAGTTGTCGGTCTCTATGTCTTTCTTTCATAAAGCATGGGTGGTTACACAAGCAGTTCATATTAAAAAAAGTCATTGTAGTCATCATGCAATAATCTATTGTTGAATGGAAAATCTTTGGCCATTCTGTGGGTATTGCATTGGCAACATTCTTGACATTGTTTATTTGGGGAATAGTGTTATTGCAGGATGTATATATCGCATTCCTGTTGTAATCTTCTGTTCATGTTTTCCAGAACTTCTTTGGAAAGATATATTCTATTTCTCCAAATGTTAGTTCACTTCCTTGGGATTTCCACTAGTGGATCTTGTGCTTACTTCTGTTCTAGTAAAAATGAAACTTTTACATTTCAATACTTGTTCTGTTAATACTGTTAAGCAGTTAAAAATTATGGGAAAAATGTTGATTCTTATTTTTACTTGAATTTGACTTATTTTCCTTTTCTGGTTTATTAGGCAGCATGGGTTGCTGGCCAATATGCTTATATTAACTTTTCAGACAAGAACAATTTTCGACGAGCCCTACATAGTGTTATTGCTGGGCTGCGTGATCCAGAGCTTCCTGTACGTGTTGACTCGGTCTTTGCGTTGCGCTTTTTTATTGATGCTTGCAAGGGTATATTTTCTTTACTAAATATCTGTTCCATCTTTATTCTTTGGACTTGGATTAATTCTTTTTCTTTGCAGATTTGAATGAAATTCGTTCTATGCTACCTCAGTTGCTTGATGGTGAGTGGTTTATAGATTCTTCTCAGGCTACCATCATTTGTACTCTCCATTTATCTGATAGTATGTTTTATGGTATATTCAGAGTTCTTTAAGCTAATGAACGAGGTCGAAAATGAGGACCTCGTTTTCACTCTTGAGACAATTGTAGATAAATTTGGTGAAGAGATGGCACCATATGCTATTGGTCTATGCCAGAATCTGGTAATTTTTTTGCACATTTTACATTTTTAGCTTTTGAAATCTCTCATAGTCACTCTGGTAACATCTTAATAATTCTTGATTGCTAGGCTGCTGCATTTTGGAGGTGTATGGATAATTCTGAGGGTGATGATGAGAGTGATAACCCTGGTGCTTTAGCAGCAGCTGGTTGTTTGCGTGCCATAAGTACAATTCTCGAGTCTGTAAGCAGGCTTCCACATTTATTTATCCAGATTGAGCCTACCCTTTTACCTATAATGAAGAGGATGCTGACCATTGATGGTCAAGGTATTTAGTTTTTATAAGCCTAATGCTTCCTCTGTGTTGTTTTTTCAATTGAAGGCGCTTTTGACAAATAATTGACGAGTCTGCTGACTTGAATTCACGTCCAGTTTCTTGGAATTAATGTACATTAGCTTGATTAACTGTCATTCCTTCATTGTTTCAAAGCCATTATTCCCTTATGCGCCTTTTGTTCTATGGGATAAAGTACGTGCCTTTTATTTTTCCTTTCTGGGGAAGGGAGTCGTAGCAGCAGTTTCTGTTATAAATGCCATTTTCCGGTTCAGTAAATCATCTTTCAATTCGTATGTCGATTGTTTTCCATGTTCATTTTAATTAGTATAGATATCTTAGACAGGGTTTCAGACACCAATCCTAGGTTTCATTTCTTCATCTATACTTTCCCTCTTATGTTCTATGTACCAAGATGGTAGATTTAATATAGATAAATTATGGTATCCACACCCCTTTTTTAAAATTACCTGGATAGAGAACTAGAAGTGGTTTTCTTAACTGGTTGGACCAGATAAATTTTAGAACAAAATATACGGAATGCTCTTTTCCCCTCTTCATGGATTGGAGTCATCATCAAAAAAGTAGTGCGTGGAAGTAAAATATTATTCGGTTCCTCTCAAATTGTTGGAAATTCTTTTTAAATGTTCATAATATGGGCGATCTGCTAGCCAGATATTGTTATGAGCACATAGTTGTTTTATGACATCTCAGGTACTCCCTTTATGGTTATTAGTTCCACAAACAATGGATTTGCCTAAGGGGAACGCGTCAGTGATAGCTGCCTTGGCATGGCTCCTATCATTGATTTTTCTGTTCTATATTAAGCTTGCATATTGACTAGAAAAAAAATGTTGCTTCCTTTTCTAACGCTATACAATCCTTACTATTTCTGTGAATGGAGTAATTGAACCATATTCTAACCACAGGAATTATCATATATCTAGCCTTTAGCTTAAGGTATGTATGAATGATCATCACGATTTGGATATCTTTTCTACCCGAGCAGCATTTTTCTCAACTTCCATGCGTGTCTTCTACATTTTACATTGTAAATGCTTAGTTAGCCAATTAATAAAGGTGAGCAGATGATAAACCCTTTCCATTTATTGCCATGTAATCATCAACTTATCTCTTCGAGGAATTGATTTGTGATTGATTGTGTCTTTTGTCTCATGGATTTGAAATCTGAATATTATTCTGATTTCATTTTTTGAATTCTTCAGAGGTTTTTGAGGAAATTTTGGAGATTGTTTCCTATATGACGTTTTTTTCACCAACAATTTCTTTGGAGATGTGGAGTCTTTGGCCATTAATGATGAAAGCACTTGGAGATTGGGCTATAGATTTCTTTGATAGTAAGTCTTACATGACTATAATCATTTATTATTTATGTCCCTTTTTGCTTGCTTATCAATCTATTGAATTTTGAACTTTTTTTGCCTACTTCCATTTCACTTGCCGTTACCTAATCAACTTGTCAGGCTTAACAAAAGTTTGATTATATGGCAAATTGTTTGGGAGATAAAGGCTTAACAAATGGATTAGGTAGAGTTGTCTTGGTTTGATTCTGATTTAAACTAGTGTCAGGCTGCTGCTGGTTCGGACTCCCCCAAAGAGACCTAGCCTATACATGGTTAATCTAAAATAAAAAATCCAATCACAATCTAGTCTGCAAGCCAGCAAATCAACGATTCCAATTTTTCTCTCACTTATTTATTTTTGAAAGTCTGTCTCTCCTTTATAATCATGTTTCTAAACTCCACTATACCTTGTTTGCTTTTTTCTTTTTAATTGGGACACACAACCCTGAGAAAGATTGTAGTTTTAACTTGACTGATTAAATTTTGCTTGTTAGTCAAACTGGCCATTGTGAAAATGGTTGATCTAATTTGTGTTTGTAGTTATTTTTAGTGTATCCATAACTTTCCCTTTAGATGTAGAGCTGTGGTGAAATGTTTTTGTTGAGAATTGATCTTGACTTAGAAAAATGGGACGTTCGTTGGCTGGGGATTACGCCTGCTTATTTATCAAGGTTGAAGCAACCTAGTATTCTTGCAACTTGGAGAATGAAAGGAGTCGATCTTCTTGATCCTCCTCTTCCAGGATGATGAATCAGTTACCACTTCTTGGAGTAGAGTTTCCGTAATCCAAAAATCTCACATCAATTATCTTGGTTTCCCGCTTAAGTACGGGTTACATGAATGAAGTGGATTTGTTAACAGTCTAATGGATCCACTTAACATAGGGAATGACAGAGAAAGACGAACATACAGTGAAAAAAAACATATAGAAAGGAAAAACAATCCTAAAGAGTTCAATGTCCCCTCTCAAGTTGGGTATGGATGTTTTCCATGCCCAACTTGGACACCATCCTTTGAAATATTGTGAGTCCCTTTGTGAATATGTCAGCAACCTATTATGATGTCGCAATATATATCAGATCTACATCTTCTCTTTTTGCTTTTTCTTTGACAAAATGTTGATCAAGTTCAATATGCTTAGTCCTGTCATGTAGTAGTCACAAAATAATTTCATATGACGTCCAGCAGACCTTGAATCCATAAGCCTGCACATATCTCTTGGGCCAATGTCCTGAATTCTGCTTCAGCACTAGATCGTGCAGCTACTTGTTGCTTCTTGCTTCTCCAGGGGACAAGATTTCCACAAATAGATGTACGATAGCCCGATGTCAATCTACGATCTATAATAGACCCGACATAATCAACATCGGTGTAGATTTCAATAGATTGATTCCCTCATTTTTTGAATAGAATGCCCTAATGTCTTTAAATACTCTAACAGTCAATATGTTACTTGTAGGTGATCTCCCTTGGATCATTCATATGCTGACTGAGTAAATTCACTACAAATGTTATATCCGGACGTGTATGATTTAGATATATCAACCTCCCAATCAACCATTGATATGAGCTTTTGCCCACTTGATCCGAGCCTTTACCTTCTCCCAAACTTAGGTTGGGATCAATTGGAGTGCCAGCAGGTTTACACTGCAATTTTTCAATCTCTTGAAGTAAATCAAGAATATACTTGTGTTGAGAAAGAAATACACCTTTTTGAATATGCAACCTCAATTTCCAAGAAATATTTTAACCTTCCTAGGGATTTGGTATGAAATTCCCTAGCTAGATTCTGGCCAAGGCATTTAATCTCCTCAGTATCATCTCCTGTTATGATGATATCATCTACATACACAATTAAGGCTGTAACCTTGCTTTGGTCACCGTGTTTAATGAAAGTGTGATCCCCATTGCTTTGTATGTACCCAAATCCTTTCATAGCTTGAGTGAATCTTCCAAACTAGGCTCGAGGTGATTGTTTTAAGCCATATAGAGATTTCTTCAACCTGCAAACGACATTATTTTGATGGGTAAATGTGTAACCTAGAGGTACATTCATATATACTTCCTCTAAATTTTCGTGAAGAAATACATTCTTCACATCAAATTGATGCATTTCCATCCTAGATTTACTACCAATGCTATAAGTATTCAGATCGTATTCAACTTTGCAATAGGAGCAAACATTGCAAAATAATCAATTTCTTAAGATTTTGAATAGCCTTTAGCCACCAACCTTGCCTTTTATCTTTCCAATATTCCATCAGCTTTATACCTAGGGAGTATATAAATATACCCACTTGCAGCCAACCACCTGTTTTCCTAAAGGCAAAGAGACTAAGTCCCATGTACAATTCTTCTCTAGTGAATCAATCTATTCTTCCATAGCATGACACTATTCTTTGTGTGACATGGCTTCTTCTACTATCTTGGGGATAATAATTGTCTTCAGGGTCATGAGAAAAGCCTTGTACAATGATGTTAACCTATCATATGATAGGTAGTTGATCATAGGATAGAATGGTTTATTTATACAACTTCTCTTTCCTTTGCTTAGAGCAATTGGCCAATTTAGTTGCTCCTGATCAATGGCTTCAATGAATTGATGATCCTCTTCTTGATCAGTATTGTAAAATTTGAGATTTGTCTCTGGTACTTAGACTAGTTTCTTATGTTGGTTCTCTCTGTAGTGCAAGTAAATCATTCATCTCAGTTGGTATTTTGTCTCTCCACTCTAGGTCGTCTCCTATACACTTGTATTTCTTTGATTCTAGGAATGGGTGTCTCCTGAATCATGAATTCGTTTTGTCCTGTGACTTAGTGGCAAGAATCAGGTTCTCTAATTCTTGTGGGTTTTTCATCCCATAATATGGTTCCAACAAATTAAAAGTCAAAGTAGCTAAGATGAAGAATTTTTTAGAAGCAGGATAATAGCACTTTTAACCCTTTTGTGTAGTTCAGTACCCAACAAATATGCACTTTATAGATCGTGGATCAAGTTTTCTTACTATGCCTTGAGCATGAACATAAGCAGTACATCCAAATACCCTTGGACAAAGATGAGTCTTTAGTTTCACATGAGGATAGAATTTACTCAACAGTTTCATAAAACTATGATATTCCAGTGTTTTTGTTGGAATCCTATTCAGATGAGTACTAGTGAGGATAACTTCACCCTAATATTGTCTCAGAACTTTTTATTGAAACAAAAGAGGTCTAGCTGTATCTAGTAAGTGTCCGATTTTTCTCTCAGTCAACCCATTTCGTTTGGGTGTATTGGCACAAGATGACTCATGAATTATCCCTTTCTGATTAAAGTAAGAGGACACAACCAAATTAAAATAGTCTCTAGTATTATCTGATTTAAACCTCTTGACAATAGTTTCGAATTGATTATAGATTATTTAACAAAAAGATTTCACCACTTGGGTGGCGTCTGATTTTGATTTTAGGAGGTAAACCCAAATAAACCTAGTACAGTCATCAACAAACAAGGTAAACCACTTGGATCCATACAAGCTAGTCATAGGTGCTGGCCCCCAAATATCATTGTGTATACGATATAAAGGGATTGTACTAATGTTCACCAGCATTTCCAAATGAGGAGCATTTGTGTTTGACCAATTGGCAAGCGTCACACACTAGAATTTTCGCATCAACACTTTCAAACATAGAAGGAAACCATGTTTTTAGGAAATCAGAGCAAGGATGTCTAACACTATAGTGTTGTAACAGGATACTATTCTTTTTGTGTTCACTGGCTCCACTCCAAGGTGACTGCTGTACATACATAGTTGCACAATCATTCTCTTCTCAGTAGAGTAAGCCTCCTCCTTCCTTAACATGTCTAATCGTCTGCCCTGAGACCTTGTCACACAATGAACATCCATCGTCCTCAAATGGAACGACAATTGATATCTCTTTAACAAGTTTCTGCGGTGAAATCTAATGAGCCTTTAGTTTAGGCACATGTAAAATATTTCCTAAAATGACTAAAAGATTTATTTTCAAGTTCCCATTCCCTTCAACTGGTAGAATCTCACCACCAGCAGTAATAACTTTCCTCTGCCCATCACATTTCATATAATCCACAAATTTGCACATATTTGAGGTCATTTGGTATGTGGTGCCAGACTCAAGTATCCAGGAAAATTTAGAAAAATAGTGGAATGCATATGATTTTGAGAAAAAAATATTCTCACCTGATTGAGAGTCAGGATGTAGAGCTCAGCATATTCTTGAGTTTCTCTACTTTCTCTCTCAATCTTTCAAATTCATCACCCTTCTGCTGATTACTAGGATTGGGAGGTTCCTTTATTGTAGATTGGCTTCTATAGTCTCTATTTGTTGAGAAGTAGCCACATACGCCCTCCCTTGTTGAGGTGGTCATCCACGTAGTTTCCAGCAGTTTTCTCTAGCATGCCACTTCTTCTTGCAATATGAACACCAAAGGTTTTCTTTGTTATCCCACTTTTGGTATCTTCCTTGTAATGCAGTGATTTGGTTTTGATTTCTCTCATTTTTCTCTAATTGATTCCCTTGATCTTGCTTGCTGGAGGGTAAGGCTGTTGACTCATTCTTCCCAGTATTGAGTAGACTCAAATCTACTCTCCTCTTCCATACAATCTGGATAGCTTCATCTAGATCAGGTATCTTCTCACGATGTAGAATTTGACCCTTGAGACTTCCATAATCAGAGTTCAGTCTCATTAGAAATGTATACATTTTGTGTTTCAATGTATACATGTGCTCCTCAAAACTAGGATTCTTTACTGGCCAATAATGGTCAATCTCCCTCTATATAGCCTTTAATTCACACGAATATTCCATAATTGATTTACTTGCACTAAATGTGTTGCCTTAGACACCAAGTCATAAATACTCCAATCATTGTGTTTCTTTGAATAGCTTTTGTGAATTTGATCCCACAATTCTTTCACCAAGTTCATGAATAGAAAACTCATCTCTAGCGTCATTGTACTTAGCAGCCATGTATGGATAATAGCCTCATCTGATTTTCATCCTTTATATTTTCGATCTGTTTGCTTCAATGATTCTTCTATAAGGTAATCTGTTAAGCCTCTTCTAAGAAGTGTCAGATCAATAAACTGCTTCCATTGATGAAGATTTATCCCATTGAATCTAAGTTTCTCTGAGATATTTGGGAGAGTATGATATAGTCTCTCCCTTTCTCCAATCATCACTGGAGATGATACAAATTCCATGGATGACGAAGAGCCTTCCCTTGAATGCATTATGAAAGTCTTTTCCCTTTGTAACTTTCAGAATGCCTCAGTTCACTACTTGTAGAAGGTTTCTTTCTTCCTTGGTGTTGCTCCAACACAGAACAAGAAAAACAAGATTCAAGAAACAAGAACGAGAAGTATCTGATCCTACCAGAATGAGCACTGCTCTGATACCATGTTGAGAATTGATCTTGATTGAGATTCTTACAACTTGGAGAATGAAATGAGTCAATCTTCTCGATTCTCCTCTTCCAGGAAGACGAATCAGTCACCACTTCTTGGAGCAGAGTTTCTGTAATCCCAAAATCTCACATCAATTATCTTGGTTTCCCGCTTAAATATGGGTTACATGAGTTAATGGGCCAGGTCCATTACATTAGTCTTTAAGTGGATCCGTAAGAGTCTATGAGTAAGGGTTGCTAATCATAGATGTTGACTAGTGCAGTGGGGCTACACAGCATGGCAGAGTGATTTGAGTTTTTGATGTGCAAGAGGGCATGTTTTAATCTACATGCGACACAGCAACATAATGGTTGGATAGCTAAAATACTGTCTTTAAGAACTTGTGAGCAAAGGAATGCTTTACTGTCATTTCATTTGTACCCTTCTATTACCCTTCAACTTCAGTTACTATCTAAATTACAATTTGATTTTAGCACTAGAGCCCTTAAAGGGATTTGATGCCAGTTTAATTTGAAGGAGGTCTCAGAGGAAATGATTTCGATGTAGTTAAATTGAATATTTTCTCCGCTTTCATTCAGCTTCAGCAAAATGTTATGATGTAATCATCCGAAAAAAAACACACGAGAAAAAAACAGCAAAGGCTCCCAAAATAGAGCATCATAAATATGCGTATCCTCTCAAGTAAAGGAAGGGACTGATGCGTGGAGACTGCCTGGATTAACTTTATTGATGTTTTATTTGTGATTTTATTATTTTGAGGACAACAGATTGTTAGGTTACATGTGAAAGAAATTATCTAAATAAAATATGTTGTGAGTGCTACCATTCATTCTATTTTATGCTATCACGGTTTCTTTTCTACCATTTTTTTTCTCCACCAATTTGAAACTTATGCCACGTTCTTTTATTAATCCTCAACAAATGAAAGATACTACTGTCATTTGATGGAAGATCAAAGTAAAAAATGACATGGAGCTAGTGTGATATTTGGGACACAAGTTTTTTTAGTTTTTGAAGAAGAAAGATAAGTGAAAGCCTTCTTAAATAGTGTCTTTTAAAGAAAATTCTCATTGTGGAGCATAGGTAGTGTAATGAAAATGTTCGTTGAAGTTCCAGCCATCAATTTCCTTTACTTTTATTATTTTCTGACGTACCTCCAGTAATTTCGCCTTCTGATCTTCAAGATCTTACAAAGTTGTTATCTTGTAGACATTCTTGTTCCATTGGACAATTACATATCTAGAAGTACAACTCATTTTCTGACGTGTAAGGATCCAGATTACCAGCAGAGCCTTTGGAATACTCTTTCAACTGTAAGTTCCAAAAGATCAGCTTTCTCTTTGAGAATTTTTTTTCTACCCTATGCTCAAATTATTACTCTAAAAGTTCTGAATGAATGGTGTACTTTTACTTTTCAATTCTTATTCATTCTATGTATCACGCAGATCATGTCAGATAGAAATATTGATGATGCTGATACTAAGCCTGCTCCAAAACTTATTGAAGTCGTTTTCCAGAACTGCAAAGGACAGGTGAATCAATGGGTTGAGCCATATATTAGGATCACAGTTGACCGTTTGCGAAGAACAGAAAAACCATATTTGAAATGCCTGCTGATACTAGTGGTAAGATTTTATATGTGGAGACTTCTTCTAGTTCGGAAGCTTCTCTTTCATTTCTTCTCGTATGTTAATTCTTTTCAACTGTACAGTATATGTTGAATGCTTAAGAACAGCTTCAGTCATTTCCTCTAATTTTATTGATGCAATATCTTTCCAAGTAGAATAGTCTTATATATTTGCAATATTATGTCATGACTGATTGAATCTGAATCAGTTCTATCGAAGGTCATACTAGATGAAATCCATTTGAATTGGATTAATTCAAAATAAAATTATATCTGAGTCAGATAATATCCGTCTGAACAGGATCAACTTTCTTCCTGTTTCCCTTTTTAGTTCATAATTTCGGAAAAATGTGTGTTTGCTCATTTTGCATCTGAGATCAAAATAAAATCTTGTTTAAAAATTGTAAATAAGGACAGAAATTGTAAATAAGGACTAGTATTGGCCTAAAACGAAAGGGGACTCTTTATTCTGATATTAATTTGAAAAAAAAAAGCATGGACACTGGCACGATGTAGTTATTTTATTCCTAACAAATGAGCAAAGTACAAAGATTCATGCCACCATTCATGACTATCTCATCATCATCATCATCATCATGGATTTCACACTCGCAGTCATGATAAAGCTTCTATCTTTCTATCTTTCCTATTTCCATGCAGAATCATATCTAACTCCTGAACTCCCTCCTTGGAATACGAAAAAGGAAACTGAATAAAGTAAATTTTTGTATCTTTGAGAGATTGAAGTTACATGTTTTTGAGCAGAATTGCAAAATCACACTTTAAAGATATGAGGCATTCGTTCAGCCGTAGAAGTCATAGGATTTCCAGCTGTCCCTTTGCCAAGAGAGTTGTGCTGTTTCAAAGTTTGTGTCTCTCTAAAGTTCATCATATCAGGGGATATTAATACCTGTTTGAAGATATAGTTGTTTCGATTTTAGTTTTGTTCTGAGGGAGAAAGTCAATAAAAAGGGTGACTGAAACTCTTTTTTTAGTTTTAGTGGGTGAAAAGTTTATGCCTCTTTTTCAAAAAAAATATTTGTATACAGAAATTCAGACTGTGGGTTTTGGTGGGAACTTTCTGACTAAGCTCAAGTTATGTAAGAATGATTTGAAAGTCTTTATTGCTCTTTTGTTCCAGGAGATTTAATCGCCTGTTGGCTGTTTGGTTTATCCTATTTAATTATGACGAATGCAGGGCATTCTATCTGCTACCATTCTGTCACTTGTACCGTTGATTCGACCATTTGCATTCTTTCATAGACAAGTTCTTGATAATTGAATATGGTGGAAGAATAGATGAATCTCGTAACTGAGTGGTATTTACTGATTGTCTTCTAAATGAGGAAATTATATTTTCTAAAACACCATTGAATCTGACATTGAAGGTGTAAAATCAATCATATCTCCAGTTACCTAACATCAGATGTTGCAAATTACTTCGGCAGATGCGTTGGTTGATTGTTTTACAGATTTGGTGTTTATTTTCTTATGTTCGCTCATGCTGATTTAGAGACATGATTTTTATTTGCAGATTGCTGATGCACTTTATTACAATCCATCTCTAACTCTTGCTACACTCCAAAGGCTTGGCGTTGCAACAGAAGTTTTAAGCCTTTGGTTTCAGATGCTACAACAAGTTAAAAGGAATGGAAAGCGTGCGAACTTTAGAAGGTAGTCTCATCTTTTGCCTTGTCACCTACTTTCATTGTGTCTCATCCCAATGTTGTAGCATAAGCCTCTTTTGTTCTGGCAGAGAACATGATAAGAAGGTTTGCTGTTTGGGATTGACTTCGCTCATGATTCTTCCTGCGGCTCAGTTACCTGTTGAAGCATTGTCACGAATATGCCGAGCAACGCTTGAGTTATTGGTCTTATACAAAGATCAAGTAGCAGGTGCCACTTGCTTCAGTAAAGTTTCCATCTTATATACTTGAGAATTTCAGAAGAAAGGCTTCCACATTTTGAGTTAATTTTAAGTTCTGAGTGCCCAATGGCACATACATTTGCTAGTGGTTGAGCATTATCTTAAAGTGTCTTGCTTTGTCTCTATTACCATTCATATTTTCGATGATCAAGAGACTGAATTATCTCTATTAACATTCACATACTGAATTGGTATTACCATAAAAGTATGTAGACATAGTATAAGGACCTTGTGTTGGCTATTTATAATACAATCTTGCATGTGGTCGAACATTATGTTAAATTCCGTCTCCATATTCCCTGTTAGCATTCATGTTTAACGTGATCAAGAGACCACACCAAATACATTGATAAAAATTTAGATTATATCCAAAAGACCATGTTGACGAATTAAGGATAGCCTGCATTTCTCCAATTTTTCCTCAAGGTATTTCTGTCATGAGCCCTCTGAAGATGTACAGCAATTGTGGTGATTAAAAGTGGATTTCCTTTGCAGTCCACTCAGTTTTTCACAGCTCGTTTTACCCACTTGTTCTTTTTTCTTTCATGTGAGCGATTATTTTTCCCCAAAACTCAAGCCGTGGGAAGACCTTGCTATTTCATTAATGAACTGATAAATCCATCGTAGTTCTACTCTAGCCCCAGCATCCTTAACTTCAAACTTCTGATGGGGTCCAGTACACCGGTGCTGGTTTTCTGATGGGCTCTATATGCCCTCATCATCAATTTACTGGATAGTGGCAGCAGCTGCGTGGATTACCCATCTGCCCACTTTGGGCCATATTTTGGTTCTCCTTCAATTCCTAGTGTAGAAGTTAATGATTGATTACATCGGTCTCCACTGGCGGGGGGGGGGGGCCTTGTCCTCACGTCTGGAGCAGGATCATACATTCCCCCCCCTCTCCCCGCCAGTTATGGTGTCTGCATCAGTTCCCAGTTCAGAGTCCTGTTTGTGTGTATGATCAGGCCCACTCTGGTAAACGGTTGGTTCAATGAAGCACTCGGACTGTTTTTCTCTGTTCACTGTCGATGATAGTCTTACGAATTAAGAAACGTCTGCTTAAGTGAGAGCATACAGTTATACTTAAGGCTAGAGAGCTCGTTCTAACTTGTGCTATATCCGTGATATCTCGCTGATTTTTCTGGCTGTGGTTCATGCATACAGGCTTTTTGTCAAGATTGGAGAATTTTGTTTATTATATAATAATAACCTTCCCCATCGACCTAGTCTGCCAGTCATGCATCTAGAAAGGAAGAAAAACGTTATAAATCAAGTAATGATTGCCTTCAATTATGTTGCGCAACTGACTTCCACTTACCTTCTATCTTGTGTTTTCCTTTTAGAAACTCTGATGATTTGTATCTTGGTGTTTATGCTTACTGGGTTATTTTATCCTGATATTTTTCATGTGGATAGAATCCAAAAATGAAACTGATAGCAATGATGATAATATGGATGGATCGCAAACTGATGATGACAATGAAGATGAGTCGTTGATAGATGGTACTGACGATGGAGGTGAAGAAGATGATGCCAAAATTCAAAAAGTAGCCACTCAGGTGTGTAATAAGCTCCAAGCCATGGATTTTATTTATTTGATAAAAGAAGTTCTCTGTTGGTTTTGACTTTAACTTATATTTGTTTACATCCCCAGCTTCGTTAATATGGCAATGGCAAATAGATTAGCTTATCTTTTCTGCGATCTAACGATGTAAATTTTCTTAGTTTGTCTAAACTTGGATAAATCCTGTGACTGAGTTGTAAAGAGGAGACCAAAGATTTTTATAGTATATTCAGTCAAGCCCTTGAGCTCTTAAATATATGTATATATATCTGTGTACATATATATATATGTATATTGCATCAAAATCTTTTCTGCACCAAGAGTAGGCTAAAAGATTAGTTTTTTTAATAAGTTCCAGTTACTGGTTTTTTAAATCGTGACAGCGTTTTTTAAGGTATATGTATCGTTTTGGAAATAATTGTCCCCTGCGGGTTTTAAAGTAACGTGCTTGCTTCTGTGGGATGAAGCCCAAATCGGCAGGAGACGGCCATATGTGAGAGAATATAGCATGCTGCCTGCTTTACTTTTCAGACTTTTAGCTGATGTCAATGTTAGATTTGTTAGGACAGCTAATTGAAAAAACAATTGGCTATTAGTATAGGTCCATCTTTATAATCATCAGTTGATTTCTAAAATAAATAATATGTGGCTATTCTTAACAGTCAATTTACTGGATAATAATATATATGTAATATTTTTATTAGCTACATCTAATTTTGTGTTAGGACTATCATTTCTGTATTTTTATTAACAACAGCACCGTGCATTTTAAATCGGATTTGTGGGATGCTTGAAACACATTTACATTATATAGATTTATAATTTCTCAACAATGTGGTTGACAAACATTTCTCATCTGTGGACGTTCTGTATTTCCACCAATTTATAAACGAAAATCCTTACTCTCTTTCCTGTGGCTGGTGGCTTTGTCAAGTTTGGGATCACTTGGAATATTCTCTGAGTTTCCCTTTGTCATTTTGAACTTAGGGAAGTGTTTTTCAGCGCGATGACTTTGATGATGACTCTGACGAGGATTATAGTGAAGATGAAGACATGCAATCACCAATTGATGAGGTCGATCCATTTATTTTCTTCATGGAAACCGTACAAGGTAAAAATCCCCACTTTCCAAAGTTCCTTGCAGCGCAGCATTTGGCCTTGGTCTGACCCGCATGTTTCCTCCCTTTAGCTGTGCGAGCATCAGATCCGGCTAGGTTTCAAAACTTGATGCAGAGTCTGGATATCAACTATCAGTCTTTAGCCACCAGTGTAGCCCAACATGCCGGGCAAAGAAAACTTGAAAGAGAGAAGGAGAAGCTGGAAAAAGCAGCCTTGTCGTGACCTACATGAGAAGGACAGAAATTGAGATTCATCACTGGCCCATTTGCCTCCATAGAGGTCAGTAGTCCAAATATCTCTTCTGAGAGTGGTGACTTAGTGAGCCTTCATCTGCCCTGGTTCTCATGGCTGCACGGCTGCCTACTCTGCTTCCTCCAGAGTATTGGGGCCCTGCTGGGATAAGATAGGAGAGGGATAAGGCATTGTCTACCGCCATATAAATTTTCAAGAGTCAGTAGACGTGCTTTGCCTTTGATTTTGCTAAGTTTGTCTATGATATGGAGGGGCTCATGTGAAGCCCTATTTGTTTGGGATTTGCCTCCTATGGTTTTGTTTCTCAAGTTGTATTACTTGTCATTTGTCTGTCTCTGGCGGAAAGAGAAGCTGGGTTGCCAATGTGGAGCTATGACTGTTCATGGAAAGTTCAGGATTGGCCAAGGGTCTTTGTACTTACAGAGGGTAGTGTCATATTTTATTTGATTAGTAGTATCAGGAGGGGCTCCAACCTTGAAAGGACATGCTTGTAAAATATACCAACTTTTTATTTTCTCATTTGATCCGCTTGCGGTTCCAATTTTTTTATTTAATGGTCTGTATAATGCTCTAATATATCCTGGCTGGATGTAAGCTTAAATTACCATTTTGCTACATCAAACTCTCATGTGGGTGCAGTTTCTTGATATGGACTTGTTGTTTATCCCTGTTTTCGTGCTTCTTTTCTAAATTTAGAATGATTGATGGTCACTCTATGAAGATCCCCATCATGAGATACATATTTTTAGTGGAACTGTGGAAATCCGTGATAAAAATCTCCCGTGGATCATTCTTGTTTGTGCATTCACGAGGGAGCTGTTTCCTGTTGATGATAAACTTGTTGTTTATCCCTCTCTCTGCATTTCTTTTCTAAATTTGGAACATTTAACTGTTCTGTCTCTAGGACACGCGATTTGAGGACTTATATTTATGTGATGAATTAAACGAGGATATAACAACAGATGGTACTCAACGAAGACCAAAAATAAATAGTTCCGCGTGTGGAAAAGTAAGGCTCAGGCTAGTCAGTGTGTGGAATCAGGCAAGGAGGTATTGATATGGTTGGCCATGGGTTAGGAGTAAGGCTCACCCGAATAATAAACATGGATCTTTGTACCTAGATAAGAGACCTACCTGACATTAGTTATTGGTTTTTTAATGCTAACCACTCTGATTATGATATTTTTCACGTTATCTTGTTTATCGCTTGTGCTTTATGACTTTAAGATATATACATAAATATATATATATATATATATACAGCGAAAGAGAGAGAGCGCACCATATAAGCGGTTGTGACCACTAATAAAAAAAAATAGATTTCAGACTTGGCAAAAATCTTGATAAGATCCAAGTTTCTACTTGAAAATGAGTGTTTGTCTGGGTTGGGCTTGCCATTGTAACCTTAACCTTCATATAATGGAGTCTTCAAGGAATGTCTTCCCTTGAGCATTAATTAAAACTTAAATATAATCCAATTCTTTAATATTCATGAAAGAGGAAATCTTAGTTGTTGGTGGGTAGAAATGCCTTAAGAATAAGGTACAATAATATTACATAAAGAAAAATTATAATCATAATATTAGGGCATCAAAATATTAGCTCTAATAGATATGATAACTAACTAGTTTTATAATAATTTAATTTTTTCAATCATATCAGGAATGTACATCTATGGAACTTTTTGACATGGTCTTACTATGTTGCAACTTTAGTGACTAGTCAACATTCACATAGCTATATAATATGAATAGCATAAGTAGGTCATGCATAAAATGTAATTAAATTGAGCCTCTTAAGTATTGTTTACTCTACCATGGTAAGAAGATAATCATAAACACTATTTATAGGTGTCAAGGGGATGTGCTTATGACGCTTAGTGTGACTTGTCTAATTGTTTCACCTTAGTGAGAATGACCAATGAAGAAGGTCAGTGTTCTTTTTGATTTTATGCACCTTTTAAACTTGGTTTAGGAAAGCTTGAAATGAAAAGAGGCCTGGCTAAATATTTATTATGATCTTATTAGTTTGACCCAAGTCAAAATAAATAGATACAAATGAGCATGTTAACCATGACCCCATCAACACCTATTCCTATTTCTTCAAAATTGATCTCATTAAGGAGTTACATCTCATTGTTCATAAAAAAATATTCCAGTAACTTTCATTGCCTACAATATTTTCCCCAACTAAACTAATTGGGATAAGAGTTGACCCATTGCTAAAGCCTTAATTGGAGCAAATGAGTCATTTAAAGACGTTGGAAATGGTTACTAAGAATGTGGGAGTGACAACAAATAGTTTAATTTGAAAATTTAAGGTTTTGGTTTTAAAAAATGTTATCTTTGTTGAAAAATAATAAATTGGTAAAGAGGAAAATGGCTCTAGGGTGTGTGTTAGATTTTAGGTTGCACTTATACCAAGAAGTGAGGATTAAATTGATCAGCATCTTATCTTTGACTTTGGTCATCTATTTCTAAGATCTTTAATCTTCTACTAAAAATCTTAAATTATATAATATTCTTAGATTTCAAAATAAAGGACTCAAAATTTTTGAAGTGGTTCAACCCTTTACTTATATCCATTGTCTAAGAACAATCATATTCTTTGGTTCCACTAGTTCAACTATTCATTAATCATAACTACTGATTAACACACTAAACTCTCATATAATTTTACATGAATTTTTCTTCTAAATTTATGTCTCTAAGTGGTCAATAGCTGATTATAGCTGATTAAAGTTTACTATCATAAAAATAATGAAATATTTCACCATAGGTTGATTCTAAAAGAATTATTGACTTGGAGCATGTCCATAATTCTGATGTAGATGATGATGATAGAGATTTGATTCTTGTCATTTTCTTCCTGTCATTTTCTTCTTGTAGAGATAATGGCTGAATGTAGAAGTCATTGTCACTTTAACCAAGTTGATGATGGTTTTCTGCAGCTTGAATTTATTTTCTTGACTTGTTGTCTTCTAGTGATTTGACTAGTAGAGAAGACATTTCAATTTTGCATAAATATGTCCACAGAAAATGTCAAAAAGACTCTTGAGATGTTACTATTAAGAAATAATATATATATCCAAAATTTATTGATTTGGTCAACTATGGTATGGATCCATTATTGTCAAAACAAAACCAATAATACTTCTCGAAATAATGTAATGATTTGGTAACCCAAACTAATTCAAATCACCTCAAAAAAATTACAGTCATCAAGTAAACTCATTTAACCATGTTCTCAATATGTAAAATCATCACATCTACAATAGATATTTCAATTTATTTTTTAAATAATATTTGATGATATTTAGAAAATCCTCAACGTTTATATAATTAGATTGCTCATCAACATGTGTATCTAATATAATGAGTTAGATTCTATACCCATATTTTATCTGATGAATTCTTGTTAACTCAACATGGTTAATTATTACTCCTTAACAATGGCAATTTCTATAAATATTGACATTTTTTACAAAAGGAATGATAAAAAGCACTAAGTTCTGGACTTCAAAATTATAGGATTTGTATGCATTTCTTGAATTCATATTTGGGAATTTTTTATTATTACTTTGAATATTGATATTTATTCAATTTAATTCACATTGATATTTGTTTATAAATCATGTTTATGAGTAGTAAGCATAATTCAATCTTTTTAGTTTAGTTTATGTGTTTGTGATCATAGAAATATCATACATTTAATTCTCATGTACGTTGAAAACCACTTAGTCAACTTATCTACCCCATATCCAACTAGGTTAAGGACTCTTTGATAAGTTAATCATTTTCCAATTTCTAATTATGGAAACATTTGTGAAGTATGACTCTAGGTTAAATAGGACCAAGTTGTTTTGGTTGTGTGAGTTGACTCGATTGAATTTGAGAAACTTGGCCTTGGTATCACTCTTTCATAATATTGACCCATTATTGACATAGTTCTATTTTTAATTGGGCATACCTAAAACCAGCCCAGCCATATAAAATATCATTCTCTTCATCTCAAAAAAGTAGTTATAGTGGCATATAAGAATTTTTCTTGGAATTTGTTATATTTATAAAGTATAAAAAAGTGAAAAAAATGTAATTATGATTATGGATTAATATATATTAGTACAATTACATGGCCATTCATCACTGCTACTAAAGAGTTGATTTAAATGGAATAACCCTGATATCATTCATTCTAATCAGTATTAAATTGTGATTAGTATTTTATATATTCATGGAAAAAATGTAACGCCGTTATTATTATGAATTTAGAATATGAGTTATTGTTATCATCATTGTTTACTTAGGTAACTAACTTCATGTTAATCCTCAAGACAGATCGGATCTTGTAATGATATAATAAAATGGTTGCCTAAGTTAGTTGAGTGATGCATAATTTTGGATAAAAATATTGTATTGGGAAGACGCTTGCATAACGCTACTCTGTATGAATATTAAAGCATGTATTTTCGTTAAATTTGATGACATATTGAGTTTCGTATTTTTCATTCTAATGCGCACATGCACATTGTTTAGAAGAAAAGGAAATATTAAAGTTTTTAAAATCAGTAAATATTCATGTTCGAGTTCAATAATATTCTGAAAAATTTAAAGTCAACTCGGAACATTAGCCGCCAGGATCCTTAATATTCGAATCCTTCGGTTGGAATCATTCATCTTCGAATTCTTATGATTACGAGGTCTTCAGTGTCTTTGTTTTCTTTTTTCCTGATTTAGTGGTCAGCAGAGCGCTCTTCGAGCACATTTCAGGGAAAAAGAAGGGACTGGAAGATGCCGGAAAACGATGAGAAGTTCCGGCGGTATTGAATGCCGTCTTCCCATGTCTATGCTCCGCCGGAGATCGCCACCGCGTGCGTTGTTCCGGTGGGGTGGTTCGGGGGGCTGAGCGGAGGGGAGGCGGGTGCTTCAGAGTCGCTCGGATGTCACTGTCAGGGCATGGATGAGATTTTGAGTCTTCGTCCAAGACATGAACAAGGCCGCGCCCTCTTCGTCGGATCCCTACTTCTCTCTCTTTCTCTTCTATGCAAAAGACATGCAGAAGACTTTTCTTCGCCCGATGCCTCCCCCATCTCTCTCTCTCTCTCTCTCTCTATCTCTCGTCTACCATCCGTTTTCCTGAGAGCCTCTGTCGGTAAGTGAGAGAGGAAGCGTGACATGCTGCTAATGTTTTATTAAGCTCTATCCTCTTCACACATGCCCGCTGTCTCTATATCTCCACAAGCGTAAGTACATAAAGTCACTTACCGACAGGCTCTCAGGAAAACGGATGGTAGACGAGAAAGAGATAGAGAGAGAGAGAGAGAGAGAGATGAAACGTGACATGCTGCTAATGTTTTATTAAGCTCTATCGTCTTTACACATGCTCGCTGTCTCTCTATCTCCACAAACGTACGTATATATAATCTCTCTGTCTCTCTCTGGAACTCTCCTGCCATACCGATGTCACGTGGTCATTGGGAATCCTCTGTCCTTCTGTCTTCCTGTCTCTCTCTGGCTTTCTTTGAGCAATGTGTCTTGTGACACATTGTCGACAATAGGGTCCGTCTTTGTCCAGTCCAGTGGGGATAAGACTAAATTGTGATTCTATTCCCATCACCTCCGCCTCCTCCCCCGGGTTCCCCCCCCTCCCCGCGCTCGTGGCGTAACATCCTCCGTTGGAAGTCACCTACCATCCGGATATCTCCATCTACTCCAACAGTTACGTCCAGCTGGTTCTCTCTCTTATGCTCACGCCCTCTCTCTCTAATACACACGCTCGGACACTCTCCCCCCCTCTCTCTCTCTCTCTCTCTCTTTCTCTCGCTCTCGCTCTCGCTCTCTTTACATATACCCTTTGTCCCTCTCTCCTCTACAGGGGCAAACACCCCTCTCTCTCTCTCTCTCTCTCTCTCTCTCTCTATCACTATGTCACCTTGTCTCTCTCTTACACCCATGTATACGCCCTCCCTCAGACTCGCACACAATCCCACAGGCAAACGGACCCCCCCTCTCTCTCTCTTTCTTTCTCTCTCTTCCTCTCCACATCACGTGGGCATCTAGGGTAGTTGGTCAGCGGTCGCTCACACGTGCACATGGCTCTCTTGGCCATCCCTGCCGTCGACCAACGTGACGCTAATCCTCGCGATGCCCCGCCGCCACCGTCACCGGCTAGACATACCATCTACCCCTCCCTCTCCTCCACGTGTCGTCCTGTGTCTCGCTGACTCCTCCCCGTCGCACACGACAAACGCCGCCAGCCAGGCGCCCACTGTCCTACTCTATACCTACGCTGCCGCCGCCGCCGGCCGGCCTCAGAGCCCCCAACCGCCGGCCATCGCGATCTAGCATGAGAATCTAAAGAGTATGATCGACGTTACTTCGACAGTCAACGACTAGAGAAAGAACAAGAGAAGACCAGGGGACTACAGCTGAAGACAGCATGGCTTCAAACGGCCATGTGAAGGCCTGTAAGAACTTCTATTAGTCAATTCATTCCACTGACTAAGGCTGGGACCCCTGCCCATTTTTTTCTAGATTTGGGCTTCGAAATCAATCACTCAATCTTTCTCTCTTGAGGGTGTGGTGAGAGTGGTCGTCTAAGTTGGGCAACTTCTTCGTAGGGCTGATCCTGGAGCCACTTTTCAGAGGCCTAGCAACTCTTTTACGTGAAAGATTTCTAGTGAACATAGAACCACTATACAATACGACTAACATATGGCTGGTTACACCCTCCATTTATCATACTAATTTTGAGGCAAATAACTCGATTTTATCACATTATCTTCTCAAACGAATATAGAAAGAAGAGCATTTGTCGTTTTTTTATTTATGATTGCCTCCGGCGGAATCGATCGACCCATCTGAGTCCTGATTCAGAGAGACTATGCGGCCTGATGCTTCATATGAAAAATGGATGATTTCACGTTGAAAATAGACGAGTTTAGCCATGTGATTAAACATATGAGTCTATGATATTCCATGCACATAAATCTAGGGTTTGAGGTCGTTAGTTCTTCAAATGGTGTCGGTAAATCTACAGTCAAGTTAATACATTTTGCATTCAAATCTCTGTTGCCTACGTGAGGAAGCATGAGGGAGATGCAGCTGGTATATTCGTGCTCCGCAGTTAGAATGTCAATGGTGCGGGCTGAGCTGTGGCCTTGTTTTTTTCCAGTCTGACCCTGAACGTCCTCTAAAAGTCCCCATTGCCGCCCAAGAGCATGCAGAGATAGATAGGTAGGTAGGTAGTTACGTGGATGGGGGGAGAGAGAGAGGGAGAGAGAGAAAGATAGAGAGAGAGAGAGAGCTAAGCTCAAAAGAAGCCGAGCCAGGTCGGGCTGTGGGCTTGGTATTGGACACAACTCTGCTTACGATATGAAGAATTGAACACGTGGAGATTACAATAAGCACTCATTGGATGTCTATCCGGGATTCATCTCCGTATGGTCAACAATGGACCTTTGACGAAACAAGTCAACGGAAAAAACCAGGGCCAGCCACAAAGGAGGATGAGAAGGAGAAGAAGCGCAATGAGAAGAGCGGGGAGAATAATAGGAAGAGGAGAAGGGGAAGAAAAAGGAGAAGAGGAGGACAACGGAAGGAGGAGGATCGGGCGGCGTCATATTTTTCCGAGGGAATAAAAGTTTGCTTGGGCGGAAAGAGAAAAGACACACCGGAAACCACATAAAGAAGGGTGGAAGCATCAAACGCTTGTGTATATTAAATGCATGGGAGAGGAGAAAGGGAGGAGAGAGAAAGGCCAGGCCAGAGGGGTCCTCCATCTGTCCTTCTCCGAGTGGACCATGCCGGCCATGTGCAGTCATGTGGTGGGTTGCCTTCTCGCCGGGCTCCACCACCCACTTCTCCCACTCTCACCTCAAATCTCTTCCCCAACCCCATTGCCAACCTTTGATTCCCAAGTCTCCCTCCCTCCCTCTCTCTCTCTCTCTCTCTCTCTCTCTCTCTCTCTCTCTCTCTCTAGTGTTGTCTTCATCTCTCTCTCCTCGCCCCTCTTTCTCTCACTAGATCCCCTGCACTACATTAATGGCCTCGTGGGTCTGTCATTTCCATGGCTCCCCTGGGCTCGCCAGCCTCGCTATTAAGTTCTGCCAGCGCTTATCCATGACTTCCTCTTGTTTTTATATAAGACAGGACCGATAGGATTTTCTGTCAGACGTGTACCTCGGCGTTCTCTTTTGTCGGACCCTCCTCTGTCAGACGACCCCCTCTTCCCCTGGACTTACCATGCACAGAGAGATCTCCCCTGGAAACCCTAACCCTAACCCTAACCCTAATTCCCCCATGCCAGGTTTCTGCTACTTCCTCCACGCGTTGGCCCGGATTCAGCAGGACGTGGCCCCGCAGCGATCTCCAGGGAAGAAGGGGAGGAGGATCCGTCGCGCCGCCTATGCCTCCATGGCGGTCGCCGCTGCGCCAAGGCGCATGGCCTGGAGTAGGGCGCTCCTCCGCCGCCTCCGCAGACGATCCGCTAGCCCAAGGAGGAAAACGATTACGGTTACTCGGAAGAAAACGCGGACGGAGAGACAGGAGGATGAACTCCGGCGGCTGGTTCCCGGCGGGAGGAGGATGGACCTCTGCAGTCTCCTGGAGGAGACCGGCGACTACCTCCAGTGCCTCGCGGCCCAGGTTAGTCTCATGCAGTGGGTCGCCAGGTCCATCTCCGAATAAGCTTCTGAAAGAACTTACTGTATAGATATCAGAGGGGAAGGAAAACCTGGTCCAGGAAGGTCACGAGTTCGTACAGGATAAATCCGCAGAATCAACATATTATATGAGTGATTTGTCATTCATTATGATGGGTTTTCCATTTTCAAGTCATTAAGATATTGCTACCGATATGAAGAATAGCTCTTCTTCCGTAGAGTTTCTTTATGATAAATTTAGATGTTGATATTGCTAAGGCCATAGAAAGAGGAGTGAGAGAGAGAAGTATTGGGACTGTTGTTATAGGGGAAGAAGAAAGAAGAGAAGGATAGATGTCTCATTCATTGTTCTTCCTCTGCTCTCCGCCGATCTGTTGGTTTATATCTAGTCTCCTTAGTTCCCCGTCATATGTCTGCGTGATTATTCGTAGAATTATTCTTGTTCAAGCTTGTTCCATGGAGATTGCCCAGGTCTGCCGATCGATGATAATGATTTTCTATCAAAGGAAACTACTGAAGAGTTCTCATCCATCAAGGGATGGTGGTGTGTTTTATTTCTTGTTTTTATACTGGTAGGGAACGAGACAACTGTAGTTATTGAAATGTTTGAGAGAGAAAGATAGATAGATAGATATATATATAGAAAGAGAGAGAGAGATAGGGAGAGAGAGAGAGAGAGAGAGAGAGAGAGAGAGAGAGAGAGAGATGCTCTTAAACTTTTGGAGTAAATACTCCACGAGGGAGAAAAAAGTGTCTGAAAATTGAGTCGATTGAAGCTGTTTCCCTCTCTATCTGTGTGTGCGTGTGTTGCTCGCTCTTCCCTCCCCCACTCGCTCCTTTACTTTCTATTTCACTGCCTCCCTACCCACTCCATTATCCTACCTTCCCTCCCTCTTTCTCTCTGACTCTATTTTATCCAGCTTCTATCTCTCTCTCTATCTAGTTGTCTCTCCCTTCCCCTCGCCGTCTCTCTCTTTGTCTCTATTATCCATCCCTCTGATTCCCTCTATTTAGCTATCTCCCTCACTTTAGTCCTGTCTTTCAGTATCTCTCTTCATCCTTCTCTCTTTCTCTTCCTTAGTCCCTCCTTCCCTCCCTCTTCTCTTCCCCTCCCCCACCCCCCACCCTCTCTCTCTCTCTCCCCCCCCCCTTCTAAGCCCCTGCCATCTGCTCTCTCCTTCTCGGTCCCTGCGGCCTCTCCCTCTCTCTGTCTCTCTCCTGATCAGTCCCTGCCCCCCCTTCACTCTTTCCCTTCACTTCTCTCTCTCGCCCCATCTCTCATCCCTTCCTAGACCCCATTTTTCTTTCGAGAGGAGACTTGGAGGAATGTCGCTGCCATTATCCGGCAAACACCCTCCCTTCCTCTCCTTCACGAAATCTTCTCTGCACAAATATTTTTGGCAAACATTCCAAACAACTGCACATCAAGTCCCAACCAACCCACAAGAACAGCGCCAAGAAAATCGGAAGGGGAAGAAGACTCCTACAATTGCAGTGATAGAAAGCCGGCCGCTAAAGAAGAGATGCCCCCACCCTCGGGGATTCTCCTCCTTCATGGCTTCTCATTAACTCTTTTCCTTATCCTGCAGTTCACGTAATTCCTTCCTTCCTTTACGGGGGCAGTGGGGAAGAGACTCCTGGCGCAATGGGGCGTGCTGTCAATGCCTGTTAGGGTTTGCTTCTAACAGTCTTCTTCTTCCCCATGGTCGACCCCGAGGTTTCCGTATAGCAGTCGATGGACCAGTCGATGCCTCATGGGTCCACCTAGTAGATCTACGTGATCTTCCGGGATTAGGGTTTTTCTGAAAAACTTACCGGGTTTTCTTCTGTTGAAGGGATTCTCAACAAGTTAAGGGCGGAAATAAAATTGCATTAGCAAGAAAATAAGTAGAACAGATAATATGCGAGTGAAGAGTAATCTAAATATTGATTTCAGTTAAATAAATAGGTTCTTTAAATTATTCTCCAAATATTTTCTTCAAATGGTAGTTGAATGAGTAATATTGCCTTTAATTTTAGTTCGTGGGAACAACTAGAGAGACAAATTCTTTAAATGGAAGCTGCACGAACCGAATTTCTTGGGAAAAAAATGTGAATATAATTTATTTTAATATTCTAACTAAACCAACCTCATGAAAACGTGGTAGCCCAGATCTTGAGGGGGGGGAGTTTACATACAGCTTGGTGTGGAGATCTAAGACCAGGGGAACCATTGCATTTTTTTTACTATAATGGGAATACACACATATACATCGAGAGAGAGAGAGAGAGAGAGAGAGAGAGAGAGAGCCTTTCTGAACATCTCTACGTTTCTCTTTCTAATTTGAGGTCACCCTCTGGTCACATCAACTGCGACTCTAAAACTCTATTCGATAATATTGTCGATGAGAAATGGAATGGAGGTTAAACCCCATCAATATAGTTTCGAAATTGGGCATTAGGGAGCAAGTAAAATCATAATATTTTAAAAATTAATATAATATGATTGGTTTAAAAATAAGCAAGATTTGACCTTTTTCTACTATCATTTCTAAACTTGTAGTTTGTTGTGCTCTCCTTATTCTCCACAATCAGCTTTCTTTAAAAAATAATTTATAAGGAATTCCCTTTCTATATATGTATACATATATCTCAACCTTACATATTGATGAGATCTACGATGCTAACAACTGTTCTTCTCTCTCACTCGAGGAGGGTCTCAGACTTGTATTTTTAGCTCCCATTTTTTCTTAACCCTTCATAGGCTTCCTAAAGTTGGAACTTTCATGGAGCAAGATAGAGAAAGAGGTCAGGAGGGTGTTGACCACATGTTATAATATTATCTATGAAATTGAAATAAAGACCATATGTAAATGCAGAGGCATATCCTAGGATTGGTCTTTAAATGATGTTTAGATGTCTAGTGGTGCACTAGTAAGTAGTAGGTTTAGAAATTTAAGCAACTAGGAGAGCTTTCTATTTTACACACCCCATTAAATAAGACTATAAAAGTTTCCATTTCATTGACTTAAATGCATTCAACAACCATGCTCAAAATCTGTCAATTTTCTCTTTAGATGGTACATTGTCCTCGCTCTCTCTGTTCCCCTATCTAAAGCGTTGGTGCTTTAGTTGATTGGGCTAGGTGGGTCTAGGGCTTCACAAGGGTTTGAGCAAAGGCCATTCTAGGTTTATCCCAAATCTCTAGCCCTATTCAAGTTCATAATTATAATCAGTGATAAAGTAAGATTCTTAGGGATGATGAAAAAACTAAGGCTTTTGGGTGATTTTCTTTGTCATTTTTCATTACTTATTATTCAATCATATGAAAATTTTTAAGGGCCCTACTTTGTGAGAACGGAGTTGGTTAGCTTTCCAGGCTTACTTCGGGCTGAAATTGTCTGAGCCCAAGCCCGAAAAAACGAGCCCGGCCTGCCCCGCGTGGCGTTTCCTTGTGAAACGTGAAGGCTTTAAGCGTGAACCGCGGTTAACGTCTCCGGAGAGGTTTCTCCTACGGTGCTTCTTCTTCCAGATGACGCCGGCATCCGATTAGAGAACGGGTCGACTCGGGGTTGGACTGAGGTGATATACGGCCGTCGCTGAGGGGTTTCGGGCTGCGGAGAAGGGGCCTTCGAGCGTTTGTTGCCGGAGCAGAAAAGATAAAGGATTCCTTGGAGAATGACGATGGCTGAGTTCTCAATGGTGAGTGCCCATGATGATTCCAGTCGGTTCCATTCGAAATCTCTCTCTCACCGTGCACTCCTGTCTGTTGTTGCCAGTATCAGGAAGGTAGTGGATCTGTTGTCAATTCTTTCCCGACAAGGGGTGGGGGTGTGGGCACTGATCTTGTTTTGCCCCACTTTTTTAGTTGTCTGATTGTTTTTCTTTCGTGATTTTTTTTTTGGGGAAGAGCGGGGAGGTGGGGTGGTTGCGTTTGATTTAAGTAATGGCCCTGTAGTGTGAAGGGGAAGCCTTTGTCTCATCGAGGCTGAGAAGTAATTATTGGGTCCCCGTACTCGTGGACACTGGACAATCATTCGAGAAATTGAGATGGATGTGTTCAAGGCCATGCTATCTTTTCGAATGATCTGAACAATAAAAGGGATTCCAGGTTGGCCAGTTCTGGGTCTCTGTCCTGAGGATTGGAATTTTTTAGCCCACTGTGTTATTTTTATTTAATTTTGGGCGCAATTAATTTAAAGCAAGTTGTTTCCTCGTGATAGCTTCCTGGCCTGAGGAAGCAAGGAGATCCCAAAATCCAGCGTTATGAAGGACTCTCTGAGGACCAATGTGACGTTCTTATGCCTTTTCATAGAGAAGGTTTGGCCCTTAGCCGGAATAATGGGAAGGATTCTTGGTAACGGAAGTAGTTATGTGGGGAAAAGCTAAGTTTGGTTGAATTATTTTATTTCATCTGCGGGAAGACATTCTTTGATGCATAGATATGACGGGAGAGCTTCTAAAAAAGTTATCGTCAGCCGTTGACCCCATGAATGATTTCGTTTCCTGGAAGGGGTAGTTCAATTGGATATTTCCTAATCTCTGAATGTTTAGAGAGATCAGGGAGATTTCTCCTCTCGCATGCTTATCCTAAGCTTCTCCTTTTTTCCATGGTGTATGTTCCGTCCTATTATCTTCTAATTAGGAGTTTTTTTATAAAAAAATGGGTAATTAATTTTGGGCCAGTAGAGTTTTTGTCTCTTTACTATTACCTTTCACCATTTATAGACATGTTTGTTATACTCAGCACCACCTTCAGAGAAAAAATGATCTTGTACAAGTAAAAGAGGGGCACTTGTTTGTGACGTTCTTGTTGAAGTCTTTTTAGTTTCCCGAAAGAGAAGCATATTTTTTTATTTATACTTCAATTCATATTTTCGAGTGGAAAGAAAGGAATGCTTGATTGAAGGCATTTGTTGTAAAAACGTCTGTCATTTAGAAATGCTGATCATTATGCACACGTAGGTGGAGGAACTGGCTTTCCTTATAAAGGACAACTTGTCATGCAAACATCTTGTCCTATCGGTGGAGGAAATGCTGATTGACTTTCTGCAGAATAACACAAGGTAAGTTTTATCAGTTAGAAGCATTTATTTTTTACTGTTTTTTGTGTATTTATTTCCTTGCTTTTCAGATTCGTATTTATCTTATGATGGTTTGGGAAGCATTTTTGCCCTGCATTGAACTCGTCAAAATTTCAGAATCATCTAGGGTTCATTCAAGTCAGAGTCGATGCTAGTCTGACTTTTGAGTGGTATTTGATCTAGGTTTGATTGTGTTAAATAATCTAAAGAGTACAAGTAGTTGGAAGAAATTTGCGAATATCTTAACAATGAAAATTAAGGTATTTATTCAAAGCAAGGGATTTGGAGAAGCTATCATGCGATTTGAAGGAGAGGGAAGGGTGGGAGAGTGAGAAGTTTTTACTGTGTGCATATTAAATGGTTTCGAATTTCGTTTTTGAATGTTATACTTTTGTTGAACAGCCAACTGCAGATTTGTCGAATGTACTTGGCCATTTTTTATGATTTTCCTGCTGCCTTTTGCTCTCTCTCTCTTTTTCATGGAACATTTGAAGAAATTTTTCTGTGCCAACCAGTGGAGCACTATGGGGCATCATTGATAATTCTCCTTACATTTAAGTTTTTAAGTGCAGTTTAGATGGGATTATAGAGCTTGAACCAATGAGTCCCTACCATCGTCTCATGCTGCATCGCCTTGCAGACATCTTTGGGTATGACCTTTTATTGACCTCTTGTTATTCACTTCAGGTCTCTAAATGATGTTGTTGGTTATTTTTCGTATTTAACAATTTTCCTTTTGATCCTAACGTTACTTGTCTGCACTAGGTTTGCTCATGAATCTGTTGGTGAGGGGGATGATCGCCATCTAGTCTTACAGAGGTGCCCAGACTCATCAATGTATGTTGGACCGTTCAACTTTCAACTGTTACAGGATCTCATGTTTAGCTAAAGATAGATGCTGCCTTCTTGCTGTAGATTTTCGTTCCAGTGCTTTGCATATTGTAGAGAATTTCGTACCCTAGGAGCTGGTTGGAGCTTCAAGAACTGGAGGGCATCACTCCAAGAAGAAAAGGTGCCAAAGATAACAATTGAAAAGAAGGCCTCGAGTTTGTTATTCCATCGTCACCCCTATTTATAGGAGTTACAAGTGGGACCAAAAAGGAAAAGTAAAAGAGGCCCAATAAGTGTTCACTATATGACTAGTTCTCATAAGGGCATATCTACAAGAAATGTTGGAGTAAAATAAGAAAAATAGAATAAATCGCATATTCTGTCACTCCCCCTGTAGGTGGTGCATGGATGTTGTCCATGCCCAGCTTGCAAAGCAGCTTCTAAAATGCAGAACTCGGCAACATTTTGGTGAAGACATTTGCCACTTATGATGAGGACTTCGCATATAATATCTGAATGATTCCACATTCGACCTTTTCCTTGATAAAGTGTCTGTCCACTTCAACATGCTTCGTTCGATCATGTTGCACTAGGTTGTGGGCTATATCAATTGCGGATTATTTGTCACAATGTAGAATGGTCGGTCGTTGATATTTGATCTTCATATCATTGAGAAAGCCGTCAATCCACAATGCTTCACAAATTCCCAATGCCATAGATCTAAACTCAGCTCCTACACTAGACCTTGCAACCACAAGTTATTTCTTGTTCCTCCAGGTAGTAAGTTTTCACCAGTAAAGGAGCAGTACCTTGATGTAGATCTCCTGTCAGTTATGGAACCCGCATAGTTTGCATCCGTGCAAATTTCTACCTGGAGTTCTAAGCTTTTTGAAAAAGTATGCCTTGTCCAGTAGTGCCCTTCAAATAGGATAGAATCTTATGAACAGCTTGTAGATGGGGTTCTCTCGGATCATGTATGAATTGACTGATAATGCCCACAGCAAATGCAATGTCTGGTCGAGTATGATGTAGATAAATAAATTGACCAACCAACCTCTGATATTATCTCTTATCCACTGGACTATAATTATGGCAATACCCCAATGTAGAATTCGGGTCTATTGGTGTGTTAATAGGCTTGCACTCAATCTTCCATGTCTCCTTCAATAGATCCAGAACATATTTTTGTTGTGAAAAGAAGATTCCCTTCTCAGAATAGGCAGCTTTAATCTGTAAGAAATATTTGAGTTTTTCTAGAGATTTGATTTCAAATTGATTGGATAACTGTTGACTCAGAGCCTTCAACTCATCCTTATCATTTTCAGAGATGATGATATCATCGACATACACCAGAAGGAGAGTTACTCCTCTTGATCTAGAGTGTTTAAGAAACAAAGTATGGTCTCGATTTCTATGATTATATCTCAGATTCTCCATTGCCTAAGAAAATCTTCCAAACCATGTTCGAGGTGACTGTTTCAATCCATATAACGCCTTTCTTAGCTTACAAACTTTCATATCTAGAAGAGTTGAATAGTAATAAGGAGGTGGTTCCATGTATATTTCTTCTTTAATCTCTCCATGGAGAAATGCATTTTTTACATCATATTGATTCAGCTCCAATTCAAGATTTATTGCCAAGGCAATAAGTATCTTTACTGTGTCAAGTTTCGCCAGTAGAGCAAATGTCTCCACATAGTCAATGTCATAGGGCTGAGTATAACCTTTGGCTACAAGTTTGGCCTTGTACCTCTCCAAAGATCCATCTGAGTTATACTTTACAGTATACACCCATCTACAACCCACAATTCTTTTATTCTTTGGAAGAGTAACCATCTCTTAGATATTACTCTCTTTCAGTGCTTTCATTTCTGCATCCATTGCTCTCCTCCAATTTACGCAGGGTTGACAATTTGTCATATGATATAAAGCTGGCCATTAGATATAGCTTTCTTTTGGCACAACTTCCAGTACCTTTTCTTAGTGCAATAAGCCATCTCAGATCATCCTCCTTAGGAGCTCCTCCTGAAGTTGTATCCTCTCTTATGCCAAGATCCTCATGCACTTTTTCAGATCTGGTATTATTTTCTACTGTTTGAATCACATTTGGTGCAGCATCTTCTCAATTTTGATTTTGAGTATGTTCCATGGGCATTGCTGGTACTACTAGCACTGTTGGCTCTATTGGGACATGAGATATAACTAGGCTAACAGAAGTTATCGTGAACAACTCATATGAGGGAAATGAGCTACCCACATGCATTAAGATATTATATTGGCTGGGAGATTCTTGAACATCTGAGTACATCTTTGGAGAGACTTCTGGATCAGAGGAAAAGCTTTGATGCTCATCAAAGGTTACATCAGAACTGATAAAAAACTTCTTCGTTCCTAGGTGATAACACATATTCTTTTCGAGTACGGGAATATCTCACAAAAACATATTTAATAGCTTTTGGATTGAGTTTGCCTCCTAGATGATGAGTATGCACATAAGCAATACATCCAAACATCATTGGGATTAAATCTGTCTTCAGCTTCACATTTGGAGACTTCTGTTCCAATAAGTCGATTGGGCTCTGATAATTTAACATCTTTGAAGGAATTTTGTTGATAAGATGAACAGCTGTCAGTAATGTTTCCCCTCAAAGATATTTAGGGACATTGTGATGAAACAATAGTGTCCTTGTGGTTTCTACCGTATGTCCAATCTTTCTCTCAGCTACTTCATTTTGATGTGGAGTGTTAACACATGAAGATTCATGCACAATGCCATGCTTTTTGAAGTATGTTGACAATGTAGTGTTGAAAAAATCTTTGACATTTGTTGAGAATTAATCTTGATTGAGATTCTTGCAACTTGGAGAATGAAAGGAGTTGATCTTCACTATCCTCCTCTTCCAGGAAGATGAATCAGTCACCACTTCTTAGAGCAAAGTTTCCACAATCCCAAAATCTCACATCAATTATCTTGGTTTCCCACTTAAGTACAGGTTACATGATTTAATGGGCCAGGCCCATTACATTAGTCTTTAAGTGGATCCGTTAACAGTCTAATGGATCCACTTAACATAGGGAATGACAGAGAAGAACGAAAATACAGTGAAAAGAACCAAATAGATAGGAAAAACAATCCTAGAGAATTCAACAACATTATCTGATTTTGAATCTCTTAATTAGAGTTCTAAATTGATTCAAAATCATCACACATAATGACTATATAACTTTATTTTTGAGAAGATATGTCCAAGTAGTCCGAGTGTAATCATCTCTAGCATTAAGAACTATATGGCTCCAATTGTAGATGTCACTTGAGATGGTTCCCATACAGCACTATGGATGCAATAAAATGGAGTCTGACTCCTTTCACCCATAGTTCTAGATGGAGCTTTTTTGTTTTTGGCCATTTGGCATGCATCACACATGATCTTATTTAAGCCACAAAGTTTACCAAAGGAAGAAAACAATGTTTTTAAGAGTTCAACGGAGGGATGACCCAGCCAATAATGAAGTAGTTTTATTCTACTAATATATGAAGTTTCATTTTCTCCCCCTTACTTCAGCTGTCTAGTGGTAAGGAAGTAGCATTCCCCTCCAAGTAGAGCATCCTATTCTTCTCTTCAACATGTCCAATCCTTTAATTCAACATCTTGTCATACATAGAACAATCAATATTGTCAAGAGTCAATCTGCAATTAACAACTCCAAGTTTTTGAGGAGAAATAAGGCATCCTTTCAACTTTGGAACATAGAGAACATTTTTCAAACTCTCCACACTCTCAATCTTTACATCTCTCATACCAGTGACATGGAGTATCTCACCCCTTGAAGTGAGAACCTTCTTCTACCCATCACATGATAAATATGTGATAAAGTTTGAACGATTTGGGGTCATATGATCCATTGCCCCCGAATCTAATATCTAGTTATCTTTAAACTCGATAGAATGGATACCCAGAAACGCATTGGACTTACTTACCCTTGCCAATGAGGTGGAGCTGAATATATACTTCAGTTTCTCAATTTCTTATTTCAGAGAGCTAATGTCTTCTCCCACTCCCTTAGTGGGTAGATTCCCCCTGTTTGAGGTATGGGCATCAGATTTAGATCATTCAGTGTCATGTGTAACCAATGTGTGTGCATGTCCCTGTTGTGGAGGCTTTTCATCCAATATCTAGTAATTTTCCCTATTATGATTCTCCTTTTGCAATGTGAACACCACAAATCCTCCTTTCCTTCACTTCTAACAACTTTCCTAGAGGAAGTGGATTGCCCAACCTTCTACTCTCCTGAGGTTGTAAATGTCTTTTGTCTCTTAGACTTGGCCAGAATTACTGCACCAACTTCTTTAGCTGCTCCTGGAATCAGTTGCAGTTTGCTCTCCTCAATTACAATGAGGATTGCCTCCTCAATATCTGGTACTTTCTCACGGTTGAGAATTTGGCTTCTCAACTTTTCATACTCGATATTGAGGCCCATCAAAAATTTGTAGAGACAATCTTTTAGGACATAAGCCCATTCTTGAGATTCAGGGTTCCTCACTGATTGATAGTGACCAATCTCCCTCTAGAGAGCATGTAACTTTGAGGCATAGTCCAGAACGGATATATCCCCTTGTACTAGTGTTGTTGCTTTGGTCACAAGTCCATAAATATGCCAATCTATATTGCGCTTTGAAGAAGCCTTAAGAACTTGATACCAAGATCTCTGGAAGTCTTGAAACCCAGAAAATTCTTGTATACATGTCTTGCCATTGTCCCAATTAGCCAGGTAAGAATAAGAGTATCATCTTTCTTCCATACCTTGTACTCTGGACTGGAGATAATTTATTGGATTCTAAACCAGATGATCTTCTAGACCTCTTCCCCGTAAGATCAATTGTACATATTGACTCCACTGGAGAAGATTGCGGCCATCATATTTCAGCTTTTCAGGTACTCTTGAAATCAGTTGCACTGGTCAATCTCTCTCTTCTGAAGAAGATTGAATGATCATGGAAGACGCCTGAATCACCTTAAATGAACCACCGGTCTGGATCATCGTCTCCACCTCGAATGTTGTTTCCTTAATTCCCGGTAGACTTCTTGAGCCTCATGATGGAAGCCTCAGGAAACAGCTTTGCAATGAAAGCCAGAAGAAGTAAAGTAAGAATCAAGAGACATGGAGATGATTGCCAGGCTTTCATACCATGTGGAGAATTTTGCACCCTAGGATCCGGTTTATAATTCTAAGAACAGGAGGCACCAAAAATAGCAATTGAAAAGAAGACCACGAGTTTGTTATTCTATCGTCACCCCTATTCATAGGGGTTACAAGTGGGATCAACAGAAAAAGTAAAAGAAGCCCAATAAGAGTCCATTATATGACTGGATCTCAGAAGGCCATAACTACAAATAAGAAAAACAAAGGAGTAAAATAAGAAAAATAGAATAAATTGCATATTATGTCACATATCAAGAAGTTATTATGATTAATTTTTATTTTTTTTCTGGAATACCATCTGGAGGAGAGAATTTTTTCGTAGGGTGATGGAGAAAATCTTGTGATTGGGTTCATATATAAATTATCAGTGACCCTCTCGACACCAATCGGGTGTGAAGATGGATACTGAGTTTCTGATCTATGGATCTGGAAGATAATATTTATTGGGCAAAGCAAACATGACATGACAAGTGGATGCAGCTGTGAGAACTCTCAGAAGATCTTCGAGCTGTTCGGGGTCACTTCATCCGTGAGATACCTCCAGAATTTTACCCACCAACTGCTACATCATGATTCATGATTGAAGAGAGTTTTAAACCGAAAAAGAGGTCAAAGAACTTGATCTTGCTGAATTAGGATGGAACCCTATCATTGATTGCCTGCTCTGATCTCATTGTATACAGCCTGGGTTCGTAGATTCGGCCAAAAATAATGCAGTAGGCGTTCAGAATGTTTTTTTAGTCAGGAAAAAATAAATACACAGACACTTTTGAACATGGATCTTTTGATACGAAATTTCCTCTTTTGTCAGTTCCTGATCAGATCCCATCCCTTATCCTTTGTGTTTTCAGTAACTATTATGATGCTTCTTCCCTTGCTACTTCCCTCCCCTCCCTTCCTCTCCCCCTTCACTCTCTCTCTCTCTCTCTCTCTCTCTCCCTCTCTCTCCCTTTTCATTGAAACAGTAGTATATTAATGTCATGTATAATTATGGAGCTTTGAGAGGGATGAGAATACTATTAATTTTCTTCTTTGAAGAATTCTGAACCTCCTATTCTCTTAGATATCTGCATCCTTTGTTCATTCTATCTTACCTTTATTTTGTAGACCTTTAGTTCTTGTCAGTGACATCTTGTTGCAGTATGATGAATATCAACCTCCAACTTCCTCGGCCCAAATCCTAAAACGGAAAGGTTCCACCCCAGGTACAATAATTGCATATTTATTTATTTAGTACATGAAATGTATATGCCTAGTTAATTCTTTCCGTAAATTTTAATTTATGTTCTACTACTCGGAACCTATTTAAAATAACATAAAACATTCCCACGTGGCATTAACAATGCCATCTGTTTGCTGTCGTCTCAGTGCGACATGACAGTACTCAAAATCATGCAGATACTTAGATGCAACCTACACAGAGAGAGCTCCCTCTCTCTCTCTCTCTCTCTCTCTCAGGGTACGACTCATGCTGGTCAAAAAGTGTCCATCTTTGGTGGCGATAAACTGACGATTCTGTACTACAGGAGTTGTTTCCTTTGTCAGGAGGGGCTTTTTTTTGTATAAATATACTAATTCCATGGGTATAGAATAAAAATATTGTATTTTAGTGGATGTAAAAACTTAAATTTTCCTGTAATGAAACAGCTAAACTATGCCCTTATCCTTTTAGCCAATAGTTTTTCATTTTCCTGAATTATTGTTTCTTGATTTAAAGGAATCCTCATCTTATTTGTAGGAGCTTCTTAGCACTACTATAAATAGAGCTTTCAAATCAAGAAACGATAACTCAGGAAAATTAGTATGTAGTCGCTCTACAATGCTATCTTTTCCTCAGTCGCAGTTTCATCCAATTCTTACCTTTAATGATAATAAAGGCAGCTCTACAAATAAGGCAACGAATTCTTCAAATCAATAAATATTAATTAAGGAAAAATGAAAACTATAAGTACATCATCATGGTACACTATGGTATCATCGCCTTATTTGTAGCATCATCCTGTTCATACCTTCAGTGATAATTGTTTGTAATTCTGCAAGGATGAGGATGATTTCCCCAAATGAGGAAATAATAATCTATGAAAATGAAAGCTATGATTAGGAGCATATCTCATAATGTCATCATTGCCTTATTTTGCAGCAAACAAGGCAAGGGTGGCTTCTTCAGCCCCTTTGCTTCCAGTTGAAGAGCGTGAAGCAGCTTATCTTGCTGCCCGTGAACGCATATTTTCCTTGTATGATGACTGTAAAGAGGAGCCCGTCACTCCTAAACCCAGGACCATCCCAGTGGCTGCCCGCCGGATGATTGCTCATGCTCTGGGTCAAAGGATATCTTCTTCAGGTCCTCCGGACTTGGGGGGATCCCATCAGGACCCCACTCAGAAGACTGCAGTCAACGCCAGTGGCCTCTCAGATTCCGCTGTGGGCTCTCAAGAAGGTTCGTCCAGTCAAAGGGTGGGATCCCAAGAAAGGAAAGCCAATGTTCGTGTCTCACACTCTGAGATGAAGGAGCAGAGAAAAGCTCCCATTAAAGCTTCTGAAGGTAGCGGCTTTCTGGGAACTGGGAGTGAAGAGCAGGATGTGGGGGTTCGGAGCTTGGAGAGGGAGAGGGCTGGAGCTGCCAGGAGGATCTTCGCCAATGCCCTGGGCCTTGGCTCAGCCAGGAACAGTCGACCATCTCAGACTATGGAGTGAAGAAATACTCAAGATGGGGAAAAGAATTTCCGAAATGAGCAGCTTTTTGGCAACTGGGGGTCTTGGGCTGGATGTGGGCATTCAGAACCTGGAGCGAGAGAGAGAGAGAGAGAGAGAGAGAGAGAGGAGCCGCCAGGAGGATCTTTGCTCATGCTCTGGGTCTGGGGTCAGACAGGGACAGTCAGCTCTCCCAGAGTCAACTCTGTTAAGGAAAGATGATCGCCAGCTCATGCAAGGATCACTCCTGTTCATGGGCTGCGGATGATCTCCAGTCCTATGATGACATCATAGGTTGACTTCTTGAAGAAACCATGATCTTCTTCGCGGGGTTGCCGAAGAGCACATGGAGTTCCCCACCGGTCGGCAGCCAAGTGAGAGCGATCCTGGCTGATTTGAATCTCGTCTGCAAGCTCGAGCTCCAGAGTACCAGAGATCACGGAGTTGCAGAGGGCAGGTTCATCAAGGGCAGATCTCCGATCCTCATCTCTGTAGATCCCATATTCCACTTTTCATTTTTTTTTTATGCGTTTCCTTTCGAATTATATGAACGGTGTAGAACCCAGCTGCTGAGGTTTTTGAAAGGCCGGTGCTTGAGATGATTCATGGTCTCCTGTGGTCTCCATTTGACCCTGGGATTGGTATTTCTTAGAGGGAGAGAGAGAGAGAGGAGAGAGGAGAGAGAGAGGGAGACGGAGAGAGAGGAGAGAGGAGAGAGAGAGGGAGACGGAGAGGGAGAGAGAGAGAGGGAGAGGGAAAATATCGGACCGGGTGGGTCCTGCATATCCACGTTTTCTCAATGAAAACTGATTTTTTAATAAAAATTCATCTGGAAGCACAGCGAATAAAACAAATGGCCGACAGTATATTATAAAACTATACCGAGAATCTCCATTCGGGCGATTCGAGGGCCCCGGCGACTCGGCTGATCCACCCCGTTCGCAGGCATGCGGTGCATCCCGATACCCACGAGATTTGATCGTTCGTGGCCGGCGGGGTGTCTGCGGTTGATTGATCGTCGTTCCTCGGGACCCGTTCCCGCGCCAACGAGGAGCCGTTGAGAATTCACGGAATAAAAGAGGACCCGCCTGATGATCGTGTCGTCATCTTCGCCGTCAGCTCTGGTGGCAGCGGCAGCGCCTGCAGAAGCACTCCAGAAGATGAGATAAAGAGCGGAAGGGCGGAGGGTTGGTTGTCGATCTTCCACTCTGTCGGCGCGATGGGGTCCCTCCATCCCTTCCAGATCGTGTCCGCCGCCGCCCGCGGCGGCTCCTCCCCGTATGTGCTACTGGCCGGAGACCGGTTTCGGGGATTCCAGTTTCCCTTCCCCCCGACGCCACGCATGGTGAGGGGGAATCCCTCCCGTTGCCGGCGGTCGACGATCCCTGTCCCTGGCCGGTTAATATGCCGCAGTAGTGGCGGGGGGGCTAGCACAGTGAAGGAGAGGAAGGGAACGGAGACGAAGGGGAAGGTCTGCGTCGGCGTCCGTCTGGATCATCAGGTCAAGTTCGGCGAGCAGGTCGTGATTATGGGCTCGCACATGGCGCTTGGGTCGTGGAAGAAGGGCGTCCCGATGTCGTGGACGAAAGACGGGTGGGTGGCAGAACTGGTGTTCGATCAAGGGGAGGGCTTCGTGGAGTACAAGTTCGTTGTAGCGACCCACAGCGGGCAGTTGAATATGTGGGAGAATGGGGAGAACAGAGTGCTTGAGCTCCCCCCCGGGGGGGTGTTCAACATAGTATGCCACTGGGACAAGACCAAGGAGAGCGTGAATCTGATCAGAGCTGGTGCGGATGAGCACGGATCGAATGTGGAAGAAAAGGGGAACGAGAGTGCTGATAAGGACAGTGGAAATCTGGAGGACGTGGAGCAGAGTCCTTTTGTGGAGCAGTGGCAGGGGCGGGCCGCCTCCTTCATGCGGTCCAATGAACATAGGAACAGGGAGAGCGAGAGGAGTTGGTCGACGGAAGGATTGGAGGGTGTCTCACTGAAGCTTGTGGAGAGTGACCGCGGTGCTAGAAATTGGTGGAGGAAGGTAAGTCTTCGGTTCGTTTTGAAGTGCATTTGAAATACTTTCTAACTTTTCTCCTCTCATCATCTTGTCTATTAAAGAAACTGTCCACTTATTTAATTCGAAGTTTCGATAAATAATATTTGAAGGACTGGTGGATTGTGCTTTGGAATCAGCATAAACAGTGAAATGAATTGCCTCTCATGTATGATTATCTCTTCTAGAAAGTATTCCCATATGAAGGGATGCCAAACTCAGCTTCCAATTCGCCACATTGTGTTCTTTGTTTGGGATATTACATTAACTGGTGATCGCCTGGTTGTCTCACGTTAGACATGCTTTTTATAAATTAAGGAATGCATCAACGATGATTGTGACAATCACCACAATAACAATGAGCGAATATATTTATGCATGGATTACCCTGACAAATATTGTAGAATCTTTCCTTTGAATATTGCATTGCGTGATGCATTAACTGTTTCTTTTTTTTTTTAAATGAATGGGAGTCACTCGTTTTAACTTTTCTATAAAAATGCACATAAGATCTAGTAGTTTTTAGAGAACGGAAATGTTCTTGGACACCATGATTAGTTGAAAGGTACCTAGTTTGTGTAACTTGGCATTTTGAAACTTGGAAGCGCCTCATGCCATGCTAAAATGGTGACGAAATGAATTTAGCACAGAAACTATGTCGCCTTGGAGTAAATACTAACGCCATTCACCTGATAAAGTCATCTCATGCCAAAATTTGATCACTCTCTTCATCTCTCCAGAATATATTCATATGGTAGAATAGAATACAAATAGAGAAGTAAAGAAGTTTATCCTATTGGAGTATTAAGTGCACATTATTTTTCTGATGAAAAATACTCATAAGATTAATTACGAGATTGAATTATGTTCTTATTTTTGCTTTTCTGGGTCAGAGGATGCACTTCGAGTGGCATAAGATAATGTTGCAGAAAAAGATTATGTAGTCTGACTTAGCCTTTGAAGATCTAAGGTCTCGGTCTTTAGCCCTTCCTCAATTCTCCTGGAAGTGGTTGTTAGTCATGAAGCAAAATATCCGGCTGTGCTTTGAGAAATAAGTTGTGTTATAGCTGAAGTATTTACTTTCTCAATGAAATAAAAATAAGCGCCAGTTAATGCCGTGCTGTTGATATGCAAGCGTGAAGAGAAAATTTGTATTTTGTTTACTATTGACATGTTATACACAAGTTACCTGATCATGTCTATTATTATCTTCTTGTGAGTACAATGATTCAAGATGATGATAATTTATTAGTCTAAATAGTTGATGGTTCCAATTTTCGTCTTTGTGAAATGTTTATTTAATTATTTAACCATTACCATGAATTTTATTTACAGATGTTCCAAAATGTTCACAAGTCAACAGGTTAACCGTTGTATTTAATCCATCACAAGTTTATGCAATCCTTTCATTCTGCTTCTGTAACTATTACCATGCTTATGCAGTTAGAAGCTGTGCGTGAGCTTTTTGATGCAAATCAGGAACAGGCAAATCAGTTTGAGGCTCTTGTTTATTCTGCAGTGTACCTAAAGGTTTTCCTATTGCACTTCATTGTGTGCTTATTTTATTTTTGAGGTTACATTTGTTCAATATTTTTTTAAGTTTGACGTTATTTCTTTCAAAATTATGCAGTGGATTAACACTGGTCAGATTCCCTGCTTTGAGGATGGAGGCCATCATCGTCCTAATAGACATGCTGATATTTCCAGACAAATATTTCGTCAACTTGAAAGAATTTCGCATTCAAAAAATGCATCACCTCAGGTATTCACATTTCCTTCATGGGTTGATTGATTTTGATTACACTTTCTTTTGTTCTGCAAGTTTCTCCTTTGCCAATGCTAACAACTGGCCTCTGATCAAGTGAACATAACAAAACCTTGAATTCGAATGGCTTCTTTCTTGGGGAAATGAGGCAATTTCCAGAAAATCTTTGAATCAACTTGTTTATCCAAGGCTTTAAACCTTCTCATATGAACATCTTTGAATCAACGTTGGTGTAGTGAAAACACATTTTAAAGATTGATGATAAATGCTGAGGTGGGAAATAGAGTTGGTGAATCATTATTTTACACGGTCTCCTGTGGAATTGTCCTCTAATTGTTTTAAAAAATGATTTAAGATTTTTTTCTGTTGATAATACTAGCCCAGTTCCTAGAGGGTCAATCTGAAGGAATCAAGACGCATGTGCCAACTTGAAGGAATTCTTGAGCTCTACAGCCACTCCCTTTTTTAACCAAAAGAACTTGAAACAAAAAATTAAAGATATTATATATGGCGTTGTAGAAGCCCTATTGCTGTCATTATATCTATTGTATTTGTGGAAACCGTGTTCAGTATAATCGTATGATGTTATCTGACGTATAGTGAAAAATTACACTAAATTTCATATGGAAAGGGAGAGAAAAAAAAATCTCTGTCATTGGAGTCTACCTGGTGACCTAAACCTGTACGTTTCTAACAGCATGGATTCTCTGAATCCAAAAGTTTTATTTATGAGTAATTTATTAGTAATTTATTAGTAAGTTGTCATGGAAGTTTTACGTGAAGAGGGGTTTTGGTTGAGTTATTCTTGCCATGGAACAATTTAAATTTGATGCATTTGAATGCTTCATGCCCTGGATTAACGGTTTTGCTTAGCCTGTGACTTATCCTGATTAGTCACCTGGTTGTGGTTAGTTTTGAGGATTGAGCTCCTTATATGAATAATCTGGGCGTCTTTTGCATCTTGAGATTCTTTTTTGAAGGCTCCAATTATGTGGGAATTGTATCCAATCACAGCTTGGGCATGACATTTAATATGAAACATATTTTCTATTATATTCATTTACATTATTATTGAACATATGACAATTTCAGCGTCTCAAAAAAATCCTAATGAAATGCCTTCGAAATTTATTTGAAATTCCTGAATTGTTAAAATGTTATTGGGCAGAAGTTATTAATGAACTTCTGCCATTTTCAAACTAAGTTCTAAGTCGACATTCTGATAAATAAAAATCTAGATAGTCCCACAATGACTAAGACGTCTTCACGGTTAAAGTGCTGACAACCTGAATTGGTATCACAAGATACTTAAGACACGCCATGATGGATAAAAAAATTAATGTCCTATTCTAAAAAAGAAAAATGATTAGTTTTTTAATTTTTTATCTCAAATGTTTTAGGATATTACGTCTAAAAAGGGAAAACTGTCATTTTCTTTGAATTACACGTGATGTCATGGTTTCTCTTTTTCCATGTCTAGCTTGTGGAATGCGTTTTCCGTTAATAGTTTATCATGAACTCTTCAACACATGATTGCAGCAATTCTGTGCTAGTGTATTTTTCTGTTTTTCATTGATTTGTTTCTGGACATGCACAGGATATACTTGTGACCCGAAAGATCCACCCATGCTTGCCTTCGTTCAAGGCAGAATTTACTGCATCAGTTCCTCTAACTCGAATTCGGGATATTGCTCATCGTAATGATATTCCACATGATTTAAAGGTATTTTTTTTTGTCCACTCTGCATTAGAGTGATTATTTAGAGACATCTGCCTCTAAAACGCCTTATTTTTAATGACCATCAGCAAGAAATCAAGCATACAATACAAAACAAGCTTCACCGAAATGCTGGTCCTGAAGATCTGGTAGCTACAGAGGCTATGCTATCTAGGATCACCCAGAATCCTGGGGAATATAGTTCAGCATTTGTTGAGCAATTCAAGATATTTCATCTTGAGCTTAAAGATTTCTTCAATGCTGGAAGGTTTATTAAGTGCCATGCTTCTGATGACTATTTGTTTTAGATTTATTTCCTTCTGCTTTCGTGGTGAATTCAATTTCGTAGATCACATTGTTCAGTCAGCCATTTAGTGGTGCCTAACTGCAGAGAAGTTAAGTTCAGATCTATTGTGGCCACTACTTTTTACTACGGACATACATGAGTTTATCCCTCTCATGGTCTTTGACCTTTTGACTATAAGTCTACATATAAACTAGTTTCATAATTAATTATTTTTGTCAGAATTTGGGATATAGTTTTAGTACAATGTGCAATTAAGGGAACCTATTGTTGTTATAGTGGGGAGTGATGGTTAGAATTATATTTATATTTGCTTGCATCCACGTACCATTTTCAGGATAGCTACACTGTGTTTGTATGGGCTACTTTCTATGTGTAAGTTATGGATAAACCTTACAGATTCATTTTTTTTTCACGTCCTCTCTAATTTAATTGGTAAAGAGTATCAGATCCTTGATAAACGGGGGAAAGGTTTTGTGCAAAAATAGGTGGCCAATAATACGGTTTTGGCATGCTTGGATATTTTATCACATCTAGTCACGGCACCTTGCTTATCTATCTATACGAGAAAGAAATGAGGAAAAGGTCCACCTCTAATATATAGTTCATACATGCGTACTAAAGGAGAACAATGAACAAGTTATACTAATTCATATATTGTCATGAATGAACTACTAATAGTGAACTGTGAAGTCAAGGTTTTAATTGAACCAGCGCTTTCTCACAACTGTTGTCACTTGAAATGATTCTGCTTACTCAATAATTTTTTGTTCCCAGGACAAAGTTTGAACTTCTTTAAACTCAATTGCTAATGATAAACTTTGCAGCCTTACTGAACAACTGGAGTCCATTAGAGAATCCTTGGATGGGCAGAGTTTATCAGCTCTTGAAAAGTATTTTTCTTGCAAGAAGGTACATGCTTGAAACATGGTCCACTTTTGTTCATTTCTCTCCACTGTATCTTTTCTTTTGCTGTGAATGGTTATCATTTTCTTTTCAATGAATCAGCATCAATTCCTTTTCTTCCTCTATAGCATGTAGTGTTTTTTAGTCAGTGTCTTTAGTGCATGCCGCATACATTAGGCATCATTCGATATATTATGATCTCATATGCCTTTGACAGAGTCTGGAGAAGAAAGAGGAATCAAAGAATTCTTCAGTTGGACATGGTGTTTTGGAGTTAATGGAAACCCTATTGTCATTAACAGATTTACGGGAAGTTATCGTGAAACGTCTTAGTAGTGGTCTTAGAAATGATGCCCCTGATACTGCTATAGCCATGCGCCAAAAGGTACAGCTTGTTGAACCTAACTCTATTTAAAATCATTGGTTGCTATATATGATTTTAGTTTGTATGACATTATATATCTGAATTGACTTGCAGTGGCGTCTTTGTGAGATTGGCCTTGAGGATTACTCCTTTTTTCTTTTAAGCAGGTATGCTTAACCACAGAAAAGTTTCTTTCTGGAAATGGGTTCTTAACCTGTTTATTCTTTTTTGTTTCCATCAGAGGCTTCAACCAAGTAACAGGTTAATCTGACCCGATGAATGATTTTGGGAACAATCTTGGTCACGTAAATAGACCAACTTTCCCAAAGTTTGAACGGATATTCAATTCTTCATGTCTCGCTGCTATTTTTTCATGGGAATAACCGTGAGTAGTAGGCAGTATTGGTTACGTTGATCTCGGATAACATATTTTTACCCTAAATTTTGGTTACAGATAAGATTGTAGAAATCCAATCCGTGCGAGTTGAACATCTCAGACTGATATTTGTATTTTTTTTCAATTTAGCTTATAAGTCATGTTGTGTACACAATATGATGTCATTTAGCAATTTAACAAGAAAAAATTTAGCGCACATTTCATCTGTTAAAGGAAAATTGGGATAGCATCAACAGAGTAGAATGAACTGCACCCAAGGTCACGTCTTGGCAGCTATTCTGGATGGTTATAGTGGTCTTCCAGGCTAGCATTAATGTCTTCTGAAGGGTAATGATGAGTTTTTGTCTTGTCATTGTGTCTTGTCATTGGCTCCGGAGGAGAGTTTCGGGTCATCCGCAATATCAATTGGGCTCAAAGACAGTCTAGTAGGCGTTTCTTAACAGCTACTAGGCCTTTCCTTTTTCAGACTAAAAATTGCCTATGTATTCTACTAACTAAAGGAAATCTGTTAGGATGGGACAAAGGAATGGAGGACCGGAATCATCACATATTTTTTCTGTTATGCCTTTCGCACATTTAACAGTCTGTTGCATATTTTTGGAGTCCTATGAATATAGACCTGTGAAATGATGTAAAATCCTTCGGTGATATATTCTTTCTCTTTTATTTTATTGACTCCCCTACGTTTTGTTCATTATGAATTGATAGATATTTACGAGTGGCACTGGTTTACAGAAATCAGAAGCATAGGTGACTTAGATTAATCATTTCAAAAAAATTCAGACAAGATGATTATAGGTTAGCCAATGACGTGTTGTGGTCCTGCCAGAATTCTATTCAGCGTGTTTGAGATGGTAAATCATGGAAATGGTCAGAAAAGCTGACTACTTTGATACTCTGAGAGATGGACTTAAGGAAGGATGAGCAGAAAGTGTGAGGGAAGGAGGTGGCGGGTAAACGATAATTATATTTTTCTGATTTCTTACGTTGAACTGAAATGCGTGCTTTAAGAGAAATATGGCAGTTCTATGGAACTCTAGTCTATTCCCTTATCTCCCCTTTGCAGGCTTCAATGGGCATGTTGATTTGAAATGGGCTATCCATGTGCCTCAGCCAATGTTCCAACCCTTGTCAGGACTAGCTGAGCTTTGGCTCCCCGATTCCAGTCATTGACATCCTTTCTATCTTACTTTGTTAAGATGTACGTGAAAACCTCTCTTTGCAAATGCAACATACTTCCACTCCATATGTGAAGCTGTTGTTGAATTCCATGAACCTAGAATGTTTTCCTCTTCATAGAGGTACAAGGAACCGATGGATAGACTTGCATGTCACACATTATGGCTTTTGAGATGCCCACGTGCATTCATATGGATGCTAGTCGGTCAAGTTTGAGTAGTGCTAATGTTTGAACAACTATATTACTCCTTTGTGCCATTCTGTATCTTCATGTAGGCTTGACTGTCAATATCTATGCCCATCCACATCACGATTTCATTGCAGCATTCTGCATTTGTTTACAAACAACATCTGGTTTCTCTTCACCAATTTTTTTCCCCATTTGATGTTCTCCATGTTTCACTTGTGTTTAGTCTTCTCAATGCGCTTGAAGGTATGGGAGGGTACACTTGGCTTGCACAGAGTATAGACTCAAGAAATACAAGAGCATGGTACAACCCACTGAGTGCTCTCATTACCGGCATTCGCCATATTGGCCTCTCATCTTGGAAGCCAGATGAATGCCTAGCAATAGCTAGTGAGCTTCATGCATGGCAACAAAAAGGCTTATCTGAAAAAGAAGGTTAGATTTCCATCATTATTTGATATGTCCTGTTTGTTTGAAGTCTGCGCTAATCCAACCCACAAGGCTCTACTAATGCTGCTTCATGTATTATGCCTAGGTAATGAGGATGGTAAGAAGATCTGGTTGTTGAGACTCAAGGCAACCATTGATAGAGCAAGAAGATTAACAGAAGAATACTCTGAATCTCTGCTGCAAATATTTCCTGATAGAGTCGAGGTTGGACTTATTTTCTTCCTATGCATTTCTATTTCATGATTTTTTTCTCATTAAATACCTCAAGTCTGCTTGCTAGTCTGAAATTCAAGATTATGACGTGTAATTCTATATTCTTTAGTTCAGGTTCTTGGAATAAATTGACTGGGGTTGAAAACTTAAATAGAGTGGGTAAAACCTTGAAGATTTTGAGATTTGAGGTACATTGCAATGTAGAGATATATGAACCTGCAATATAAATGCATTCCAAAAGTATGTCAGTAGAAAAATTTGCATCATTGGCTGAATATTTCCAGGCAATGTCTCTTAGTACACCGTCTAGTGAACTATTAGAATTCAGTTAGATTTATCCATGAGTAGGATTGAAAAAGATTAGATTCCTTATATATTTAAGATCCGATTGAAAACCAAATACCTAGTTAGAACGATCATCTAGGTTATTTCACGTTTCGAGGAATTGTTGCGAAGCTGTGGACCAGCCAATTCGTGAATGATATGGTGGTTGATTGTGATTTTATCACCATGTTCAGATGATCACTTCATACATTTTTTTTTTCCTTGGCTTCCCTTAATCTAGTAATTTGGTTTAAGTTCCATTTTCTCGCCTACATAAATGAAAAGCAGGTTGTCATGCTTTTATGCCCATATCCATGAACGAGAAGCATTTTTTTTACTGATTTCGTTTCTCTTTCTTAAAGAAATATTTTTTCTTTGCTTTTCCATATCTATACAGAAGTTGGGGAAGGCCCTTGGAATTCCTAAGGACAGTGTAAGGACCTATGCCGAAGCAGAAATACGTGCAGGGTAGGCATCTAAAAATCGGTCTAATTTATTTAATTCGATTTAAAAGTACAAATATTTATTCATTGGTATGATTTTGTCCGCCCATCTGACGCTGTCAAACATCCACAGCGTCATATTTCAGGTTTCCAAATTTTGCACACTCCTTCTAAAAGCAGCACGAATTTCTCTTGGATCTCAAGGCTGGGATGTTCTGGTTCCAGGAGTTGCCCGAGGAACTCTCTTACAGGTCTGAATTAATGAGTGGGTTAACCTGTACATCTTATCTGAATCATCAATAGATGGTACCTCCAATCTCTGATGATTGGAACCCCTAGATGACAGGATTTCTCTTCCCTTACTCCCTTATTAGGACTTTAATGAAAATCAGCAAACCCTCAATACAATAATCTGAAAGCCTTCTCTGTGTTGCAGGTTGAAAGTATTGTTCCAGGCTCTCTACCTGCGTCTGTCACTGGGCCTGTCATCCTTGTGGTCAACAAAGCTGACGGAGATGAGGAGGTTCAAAAATAATTCTCCAATATTTATTCCCGAGAATAAAAAGGGCGTCAATCCCTGAAAAAATATATTTATGTTATTTGCAGGTTAAGGCCGCCGGGAAAAATATTGCCGGGGTTGTGCTTCTACAGGAGCTCCCTCACCTTTCACATCTGGGTGTTAGGGCTCGTCAAGTAATCCAGCAGCTCGATTTCACTTCTGATTGCTTTAAGAGTGGTGCCCCTCGGTTTTCATCACTCTGTTCTATAATTTGCAGGAAAAGGTGGTGTTTGTGACCTGCGAAGATGATGACAAAGTCGCCGATATTCAGAAACTTATTGGGAAATCTGTGAGGTTAGTAGATTCAATTCTTCACTCGAGTTTTTTTTTACAATATTTAGCAATAGTTTTACATCTAGCCCAGAATTTTCGCTCATCTTTGTCCAAGGATGGTTAATAAGCTGAAATAATTGCATGCAACATAAGGAAACCAGACAAATATTTGTGGAAATACTGCTCCAGAGACACATTTTAGCGAGAAGTCATAACCCTATTCAAGAGACACGTCCTGAGACGAAAACCTATGAAGAAGTTCATGCTGCAACCTTCAGGGGATCCCGAGGGTCACTGGGAATTCACTCATCTGTTCTTGAAGAAAATACCTCATTGGAAACGACGACCAAACTATAGTCTCCTTTTAGATGGCTTTAAGGGCATGATGAGATTGAATTCCTTCTGCGTATATAAACACACTGCACTCTTGATATCTTAAAGTAGACAAATATTGTTGGAAGAAAATGGGAAACCGAGGAGACACGGGAAAATAAATCTTATTTAAAAGCCAATCAGGATCTTCCACCTTGCTCTAGCAGTAATAAACTAATGTAAATGCTACTATATTCCACTCAAAATCTAACGCATGAATCCCTGCATTGGTTGATATTATTTTCCCCAAAATGCTACTTACATAATATGAGTTTTTTTCTTTCTTTCTTTCTTTCTTTCTTTCTCTTGATCAGTCTCTAATATGCCATCTCCCGGTTTTTTACATGTTGGTCTCCTCGTGTGGGGTAAAGTTTGGAAGCGTTATCCACCCATGTGGATCTCTCTCTGGCTACTTCTAACAATGTAAAGCAGAGTTCCCCCAATGAAATCTTATCAGCAACCAATGGATCATCTTCCAGTGATACTTCAAACCCCCCATCATATCTAACGAAAGAGGTGATAGTTTCCGTCTATTACTGCCAAATCTTATAGATATCTCTCTCTCTCTCTCTCTCTCTCTCTCTCTCTCTCTCTCACTCACTTATCCAATCACGTTTAATATAATGGATGCAGCCAAGGGAGGGAGCACTGCACAGGACTGCCCCTAAACCTGTCTTACACCTCACAGAGGCTTCCGTCGAATTGGCTGGTGCAAAAGCTGCCTCATGTGGTCGCCTCGCAGCTCTTGCAGCAGAATCTGAAAAAGGTGAGCGAGTAATCATTGTGATCTTTTTATATGGTTTTTTGCCTCCTGTTCTTTATATGCCATCATTTTAGTAGTAGTTCATTCAGCTAATTCTTAGGCCGCTTTCCATATTATACTTATTGCACAGCCAACTTACACTACCCAATAGTGATTCATCCTCGATTGTCAATTGAACATAGGGGAAAATCTAAGAAAAAGTTGCTGAAATCATCAGAACATTGTGATCTAGACATCAGATTGATGTCCACCTTTGGCTAATCTATGTCATGTCTATCTTAAACAGTATTTTATGTTCATATTTATTTTATAGCTTACACTACCCAGTGGCAATCTCTGTTCAAATTGTCAATGAAACAGGAGATCTAATCATACGTAACGGAAGATCCATAAAAAGTTAAAGTTTTGGAAATTTTTGTGGTCTGAGAAGATGTCCACCGATCTTGGCTAATCTATCTCCATGCTTGCTTTAAACATTAATTTGTGTTCATATTCATTTCTTGACTCACACTACCGAAAAGTAATTTTTCCTCGAATTCTCAAATGATCAGAAGATCTCATCATATACATGGTGAAAGATCCAAACAATAGCTGCTGAAATCATAAAAATATGTGATCTGGAAATGATCAGTGATTTTCGTGCTTGTTTGAAGCAGTAATTCATGTTCATATTTATTCGATGACTTTCACTTCCCAGTAGTAATCAAACCAAAGATCCAACCCTAACTGTTGGAAGATCAAAGGAGAAAGATGATGAAATCACGAAAATTCTTGCAGTCCGAGTACCAGAATGACCTCCGCTTCTGGCTAATCCCCCCGATATCTTGGGCTATTCTTGCTTCCACAGTCTACGACGACGAAGGCACCCCGGCTTCATTCCGAGTCCCTTCCGGCGTGGTGATCCCCTTCGGATCGATGGAGTCGGCGCTGGCGAAGAGCGGGTCCCTAAAATCCTTCACCTCGCTCGTAGACGGCCTAGAGACGGCGGAGCTCCACGGCGGCGAACTCGACGGCCTCTGCTCCGAGCTCCAGTCGCTGGTCTCCTACCTGCGGCCCTCCAAGGAGATCTACGGCGTGATCCGACGGGCCATCCCCGGCGAGCCGCGGCTGATCGTGCGGTCAAGCGCCAACGTGGAGGACCTCGCCGGCATGTCTGCGGCGGGGCTGTACGACTCCATCCCCAATGTCAGTCTCGCCTCCCCCCTCGTCTTCGGGGAGGCCGTGGGCCGCGTGTGGGCATCCCTCTACACGCGGCGCGCGGTGCTGAGCCGCCGTGCCGCCGGCGTGCCGCAGAGGGACGCCGCGATGGCCGTGCTGGTTCAGGAGATGCTCTCCCCGGACCTGTCGTTCGTGCTGCACACGATGAGCCCGATCGACCAGGACCCCACCGTGTTGGCGGCGGAGGTGGCACCGGGGCTGGGGGAGACGCTGGCCTCCGGCGCGCGCGGCACGCCGTGGAGGTTTGCGCTGGGGAAGATGGACGGGGCCGTGAGGACCGTGGCGTTCGCGAACTTCAGCGAGGAGATGGTGGTGCTGCAGGCGGGGCCGGCAGACGGGGAGGTGATACGGCTCACTGTGGACTACAGCAAGAAGCCGCTCACCGTGGACCCGCTCTTCCGGCAGCAGCTCGGGCGCCGGCTCTGCTCCATCGGGTTCTTCCTGGAGCAGAAGTTTGGATTCCCTCAGGACATCGAAGGGTGCGTCGTAGGTAAGGACGTCTTCATCGTCCAGAGCCGCCCTCAGCCATGACACCGTCGACTACGACCCAAGGTGCCTCTCTCTCCCTCTCCCTCTCTCTCTCTCTCTCTCTCTCTCTCTCTCTCTCTCTCTCTCTCTCTCTAAAACAAAAAAAAACAAAAAATAAATAAAACCCTTTCGAGAAAGACTTCTGAGGGATTATCCTCTCTCTCTCTCTCTTCTCTCTCTTTCCCTCTGTCTTCTGTCGGGATCATCCAATACACTCCCTTTCTTCATTGCAGATGGTGAGAGAGAAACTGGCGGCTCGGGGGAGGAAATGGGTTAGTAGGATTTGCCACGAGAGACAAGGGGAGGAGCCATCCATCGCCCCCTCGCAGCCTCTGAGAAAAGTACTCTTTTCGGTCGCAGCCCATCACCCGGATTTTCGTACGATCGCTAATTTTTATTCGCGCGAATCACCATAAGAGAGCCCTTCCGTTGAGCTTCTTTTTATATTCGAAAATAAGAGAAAATAAGTTTATTATTTCTGCCTCTCTTTCCGATCCTTTAAATTATATATTTTATAACGTTTATTTTTCATTAAAACTAGAAAAGTAAATACTGGATATTATGGTATGTCTTTCAATAATAAGTTCAGATATTTTCCTTGAGTCCTCTACCTTCCCTGGGCCTGACCAAGCCCAGATATTTTCCTCGAGTCCTCTACCTTCCCTGGGCCGGGCAAGCGTAGCCCGTACCTTGCCTGACAACTGGGCCCATTTTGGCCCAGTTGTCTCGTGACGCCATTAGAGTGGTGTACCCTCTGGTGGCGAGAGAACGGGTAGAGGTAAAGAGGACCAGAAACTGTACCCATGTTTGGAATCCAGCCCGAAGCCATTGGTCCGTGGGCTTCCCTTCGGGCCCGGCGAGCCAGTCCCTGTGAAACACGCCTGACGTGGCTCTGTAGTCATAAGCAGGGGCTGGCGGCACATACCCAGTCAAAGAGCTTTCTCTCTCTGGACCTCAAGCCCTGCTCCTGCATTGAAGGAGGAGGATACTGTGGAGGTGGGGAACCCACGGGACTCGGTGAACTGGGTTCTCCATAATAGCCGAGTGGGGCCCGCCCGGGATCTTCAGGAGTCGATATCTCCTCCCCGGGATCTCGGCCAACTCCGTATGGATGATTCTGTTGAACAGTGGCGACCTGGGGATTGGTGTTAATGGTCTCAGTTGTCTCTGGAATAGGCCCATTTTCGACCTTGAGCTTCACATAGCCCCTGGCCCTGCTGAGTCCGCACATTTCTACTTATTCGTCTCCCTCCAAGCAAGGTCTAGAGCTCATTTTCCTTGGTTTTTTCTCTTCACCGAGCTTCAGGATTATGTGGCGCAACATGTCTACTCCCTCTTTCTTGGTTTTCTTCCATTAAGATATATATATATATAGAGAGAGAGAGAGAGAGAGAGATGATTTGGTTTTCTTCGTCTCCTTCCAAACAAGGGCTAGGCTCTATATAGAGTTCATCTCCTTAGTTTTCCTCTTCATCAGGCTTCAGGATTATGTGGAACAACTCGTTTACCCTCTCTTTCTTGGTTTTCTTCCATGAAAAGAAAGAGAGAGAGAGAGAGTTGCTGTGCGTGTGTCTAATATTTTAGAAGAAATTTCGTTTATGGGTAAAAACTTAGGATCGATTTCTTTGATCGTTGACTGCTCCGAGATGCAATCTTGAATCGCATGGACCGACCTATGCTGGGCAATCTAATTAATCCATAGGTTCTACCTACATTGATCATGTTGAAATTCCATAATGTATGGGATTAGTCACTAAATTGATGAGTGAACGAATTCTGTTCGATTCATGCAAAGATTACAAAAATACCAGCCGGCATGATTATCCCATTATCCCCAACCAACTAGGGGGCACATAAGACACCAGTCCACGTGTCCACTTCCTATTGGGTGTCCGTTTTTTCATCGTATCTAGTGCGGCGCACATCTCCCACATGTGTGGGGTTTGCAATGGGCTTTGAAGTCGAGATTTAAATTTTTTTGAAGAGCATGTTATTGAAATCCGTAACGTAGCCGTCAACCGTGCATGAAGGGTGATGGGATGGTTGGGTACAAAGATGGGAAAGGCGGCGCCTTCCTCTCGCCCGCGGGTATCATACACGCCGGCGCTCCCCCGCGTCACCGCGGCCATCGCCGTCGCTCTACACTAGGTGCTGTTGAGGCAGAGGCAGCTCCGCCATAGCTCGCTTATTGGTGAGTTCTTCTGAAGACAGGAGAAAACCAGTGGAAGTTAGTGAGAAAGAGAGAGAGAGAGAGGATAGGGTTTTTCTGCTTACCCTCCTGGGTTTCTCGTAGAGTAGCTCGGGGGGAACCTTGTAGAGGTCTTCGTCAATGGCGCGCCGGGGGGGGCGCTTGGTTCCAGCGTCGCTGTCGGAGTCCCTCCGTTTGTTCTTCTTCTTCTTCTGCAGCTCCGGCGGCGGCGCCGCCTGCTGGTGCATGCTCTCACCGGTCGCCGGCACCCTCCGAGCCTGCAAGTCCACCGACGTGAGATCAAATCATGCGGAAGGACCGAACGGCGATGAGTGGAGGGAAGAGGAGGAGTAGACCTTTCGAACATGGGATGTCAAGGTCGCCGCCGCCGCCGCTGGAGGCTGGTCGTGGAAGCGGTAGTTCCCAGCGTCCTGTGCATAGAAAGAGTAGTGCGGCGTGTGATGAAGGTAGACCCGGCCTACGCCGCCGGCGAGTCGACCTCCTCGGCGGTGAAGTGCTCCGGGGGGCGAGGACGGGCCGACACGGCGGCCGGCGGAGCGATCATCGCAGTAGTTCCAGCTGCCAAATGGGGAGACGCTGCGCCTCTTGGTAGGCTCCTGGGAAGAGAAGAAATCATCGTCAGCTGGGAACTTGAGCATGAAGGAAAAGACAGAGGGGGGAAAGACATCTCGAAGATGTAGCTCTCTCCACACCCACCCACCTCCATTCAACGAGAGAGAGAGAGAGAGAGAGAGAGAGAGAGAGAGAGAGAGAGAGAGATGAAAGGGACAGGTGCTCCAAAGTTTGGAAATGCAAGGGAATGAGGGGTTCGGCAGCCTTTTTATACGTCTTAGTGCGACCTTTTCCGCTCGCTCTCTCTCTCTCTCTCTCTCTCTCTCTCTCTTTCTGTCTCTGTCTCTGTCTCTGTCTCTGTCTCTCTGTGTCTCGCAATCCTCCATTAAAGTCATTCCGAAGGTGACCAGTTGACGTTCTTGCAATCCTCTCTCCCTCTTCCTCCAGCCTCATTAAATTGTTACCGATCATGAACAGTTGACGTATAAGAATCCTCACTCTTTCTCTTTCTCTCTCTCTCCCCTCTTCACATATCTCTCTCTACTTGTTGCTCTCTCTCGATCTCTCCCTCTCTCGCTCGTCTTCTCTCTCTCTCTCTCTCTACTTCCAGCTTTCTCTCTTCTCTCTCCATACCCCTTCTCTACCGCTGCTGCTTCTCTCTCTATCTCTCTCTCCTTCCCGCTTTCTCTCTTCTCTCTCCATACCCCTTGCTCTACCGCTGCTGCTTCTCTCTCATTCTCTCTCTCTCTCTCTCTCTCTCTCTCTCTCTCTCTCTCTCTCTCTCTCTCTCTCTCTCACTCTCACTCCAGCTCAATTAATCCTTACCCATGACGACCAGTCGACGTTCCAATGACTCATCTCTATCTCTCTCGGTCAGTAAATTCATACTGAACACGAGTAGTTGAAGTTCAAGGAGCCCTCACCTTTCTCTCTACCATTACCCTCCCGGCACGTTGTCAACGCTGCAAACAAAAACCCGGCTTCCACAGCCACGGATTCTCGAATCCCCAGGCCCTTCCCCCCGTCCCGAGAAATCCTCCACTCCAGATCCCGGAGAAGAGAGGGAGAGCGAGAGAGAGAGAGAGATCTGCTGATCTCATCACCCCGGAGAAGAATGTCTTCTTCCTCCTCCGCAGCTCCTTCTTCCCCGCGGCCTGTCAGCGCCACCCCCACCACGCAACACTGTTTAACGACGCCGACGGCTCATCCGCCATCGCCGCTGACTCCCCCCCCCCCCCGCCTCGCAGTGCGGAACAGACAGATTGCAGCTGCTGTGGACTCTCTCTCCTGGAATTTACTCCGTCTGCTGCTACTGCCGTTGCAGCCTTCCGCTGCCCTTCTTAATCCTTCTTCCACTACCGCCACCGCCACCCGCCATCTCCCTCCCTCTTGATTCCCGTGGGGCCGCCGCCACCTACCTCGGCCGGCTTTTGTCGGCAGATCCGCAGCTGGTGGCGGCGGAGCGGGCGGTGTACGGCGGCGAGCGGGCGGCGCCGCCCCGGCGTGCGTCCTGCGCCGTAGAAGACGGCCGCGGCACGTTCAGAATACAGCCGCCAGAGCCCGTTGCAGGGCCGAAGCTCCGGAGCAGGAATCCGCCGGGGGCACGTGAATTTCCTTATTACTACAAATAAATGGGCCCAGTCCCCCAAAAGATATTACCTTTTAAAGAAATAAAGTATGCAACCTGGATTCTCATACTGAACATTACAAAGGAGCGGGCTGGGCTAAGCCTGAGGGCCCATCACGTACTCTAAAGCGGGCCCGGCATTGCTAGAAAAATGAAGTAAATTTAGGACCGGGCCAATGGGCCTCAAAAAACAACTCGATTTTTTACTAAATTAAGCTCAGGCCGACTTTATACGTGGACGACTCCAAGTAGGGTTCGATGAAGATGAATATACAAGCTCCAAAACCTACTCACAGCTTTGTGCACCCTAATGTCTATGGGGTTGTGATCATCCCCACCACAAGCTTCTTAGGTTCACCATGACTAAAATCTGTGAGTTTGGCCGTCTCTATTGATGGTCTTTGGAAGGCTAGGCTTTGTGGCATGTTGGATTTCATCAATTCTTAGCAAGTGAATCATTTACCATCTCCATCATGGGCCTCTTATGGTTCATGAGTATTGCCAATGAATTAGTGTAAAAAAGTTGAGTAAATAATAAAAATCTCCTAATGTTTACTTTTATAGGATATTGTCTCACAAATCATCATCACTGGGCCCATCAAATCAATGCTTTGGCTATTGTGGTTGATGGTCTCTAAATTGGGGACATGTGCCTTACCTTAGATCATTAATCAATGAACAAATGGGGGTGGGTTTATTTGCTTCTTCTTGAAGAATTATAGAGTTTACCAAAAGTGAAATAGGAACCTAATGCCATAGTATTTATCTGAATAAATTTAAGTCTGCATGCATGGTTTAAGAAATAACTCTCATTTTGGAGATTTTTAAATGTCAATTTTTCATGGTGCTAATCATAACTCACATATTTGTGACAAAAATGTTTCATCAAGCATGAAAAACACAATTTTATTTAACTGCATGTGATATAGAATGATATGATTTGTAGTATTGTTACTTTTAATCATTTTTAGGTTTTAGCCACTTACTTTAGTTCCCAAGCATTAGCTAGGCACTAATTATCTCTCTTATTTATGCCACTAGTATTCATGAGCTTCTTTTGTTCATGACTTTAGATGATGTCATTAGCTCATTTTTGCCCCACATATGTTCTTTCTATCCACATTCTATCTCCACCCTTGACTAGAGTGCAGTAGTGAAATTATATGAGCCTTTATAGTGCAATTATCCCCAAGCCCATTTTTTAGCTTTTCTCTAGACCTTGTAAAACTTGTTCTCCCACTAGTTGGGTTTGAAAATTATAGTGCAAAATTTATATATTAATTTATGCAACTTCATAGCTTCTATCTTAGCATAATTCTATATATTATGGCTCTAAACTTCATACTCTTAACTTATATTGCAATGCAAGATGCACGTATTGAAATTTTATGTTTAATATATTAAATTATTTCAATGTCAATCCTAAGTTTTATGTGTTTTTTTCAATGTAAATTTCATATATAACATATTGAGCTTCATATAATGTGGATTTCTCTGACATAATATTGCATTTGATGCATAGAGTTAATTGCATATTTTCATATGCTTGATGCTTGTGTCACATGAGATAATTTTTATTTAATGAGATATTAACCTAATAGACTCATTAATGCATAAGGTATTTTATCATATATTGAATATCAATCTTAATATATTCTACTATTTCACATTGTAGTGTCTCATGTACCAGCACATTAAACTCAAAGTATGATATTAGTTTGCAACATAACTAATAAGTTGAAATATCTACTTGGACCTAATCTATTACTAGGCAACACAACATCTCATATATCAAAATATCTCTCTTGATACATTTGTTATGTTGGAGTATTAAATGAATAATTTATTAATGAAAAATAATTAAAAAATTAAAATTCTAAATATACTTGATATGAGACTAAACATAAAAAATGTTTATACATAATCTAAAATATTTATATCAAATGTCACATGGGAATTCATTGAATACACGTGATCCGTGATGTTAAATTTATTTACTTGACTAACTTCATTGCATGGAATTATCACTTTACAAGTAGTTTTGAAAATCATCAAAATATATAGGAAACAAAATAATGAGAAATGAAGCAGCTTAGACACATATCAACAAGATTTCATGAACTAGAAGATTATTATGAAATTTTTCTTAGTCTACTATGTACTAATGTATTTCTATCAATACATTTGAATAGATTTGATATAGAACTTATTGACTGAATTCATATAATTTACTCTACTACATATCATTTTTGAATATTAACGAATTTACTTTAAAACATAATTTCAAATATTTTCAATCATGAAAATTAGGTTTATAAATATTTAGATTGTAATTCAATATGTTTAATTTACCATTACATTTTATTTGAGGCGATCTAGGTCAACTTTGATTGCTAAATGACCATTACATCTAAATAAATATTATAAGTTCTACTCTCACAATATCAAATCCTTATTGAAATGATTCAAACTAACACAATTTTGAATATGAATGTTACGTCTTAACAACATTACATAATGTTTTTTCTTAAGGATATCTCAAACTTTAACTAAAATATTATATAATTATCTTAGTAATTTGATTTTTTTAAAAGAAAAATAGACATTGAAAAATCACATAAATAAGAGAAGATTTGTATACTTCATTTGCCTATAAATATCATGTCTTTCCAATGGTTCATTTGTAGATAATCTCTACATTCCCTATGACCTCAAGCTTTTCACTGAATTATTTAACAAGAAAATCATAGAAAAATTGAGAGGTCTCTATTGGTTAGGCAAAACATGTGAAGACATTGAGTTGATGAACATTTATAGGCATTTAGTAATCTCCTTCAACTTGATCAAAATTATAGAATCTTTAATCATCTACTAGCATTTCAAGGCAAGAGGACAATAGAAATGAAATATCCAACATTGTCCTCTTCATCAACTTCTAGACTCAATCTTAGGTGACATCATCTTTTGAAAAAATATCTCACAGTGAAATATTTTTTATTATTATGAGATAACTTCATGATTCATTTATATTTAGCCACTTAAGGGAGTTAAACACATTTATTAGATATTGACAACCTAAAACCATGAATCTAAATGAGAATTTCAGGGAGAAATTTTAAGAGAGCTGAACTTAGTGATCAATTATTATGATTGGACAATCAATCTCAATGGAAGCTAAAGAACAATGATTGTTCATTCAGAATTAACGTAGGACATGAGACTTTGAGAAAGAAGATCAATACAATCAAAGAAAGTTAATCCATATCAAGGATTAAAATCAAATCATTTCAACCTCTCCCTTCTTAAATATGAAATATTTTTTTCTAATATAACTTCTCATAAAGTAAATTATTAACCTTAACTACTATACAATGTAATTTTACTTAGATTGAAGTATCAACCTTTATATATTTTATTATTAATAAATGTAATGTGACATATATTGCCCTACCAACCTCATTATACTTTGTTGTTATGCAATGTGTTTTCATGTACTTAAATATCATGTTTGATGTACAATAATATTTAAGAAAACTTCTCATACTTTAAAAATATAAACTATTATATTCTACTTTTTCACAATATAAACTTCAATCTAGATATCTATATATATATAATGTTTCATTTACTATACTATTAAAAATTAAGTATTTTCATTTTTCTATCATTATTTTTTTCTTATTATATGATGTCATACTTTAAATTAATCTTATTTTTTCTTTTTTAAATATCACTAACTACTTATTCAACAACATTAAATGATCATTTGGCCTTCATTGACTGATTCTAATCATAAATATATTTCCTAGTTATTTATTTTTTTGTAATTGCAAAGAAATATGTCTTAATGTTTTACCTTGATGTTCAACAATATAGTGGTGTTACCAAGTAGAAACATTGTTATGCCTTTCAAGCCACTTTGTCACTTGTTCTCACCATAAAAATTATTGTTAAATTTGGGGTTGTTGTAAGTTTCATAGTGGTTTATCTCATTAACTTGACCGCATCCTCTCTTATTGATGATGTTTCTCTTTTAAATTGCATCTCTAAAGTATTGAATTATTTCACTTTTCGTGTCTTTAGATCTATTGGTTTCATTATTTTTCTAGCATTTGAGTTGTATAATCTATCATGTCTATTTCTCATGATATAATTTTAAAATACAAAAGATATGAATATTTATTTTATTAGATTCATATCATTTGTTCATTGATTTAACATTAACACAAGAAAGTAAATCTAGACTTCGATCCACAAAGCACAAATTTTGATAAAGAAGCCAAGTTTGAACCCATATAGCTCGTTATTACAATAGTTGAGACCACAAAAACTTACAAGGGTCAATCTAGAATCCACAACTGATGTTTAAATCGAAAAGTAGAGGTAGATAACTTCAAAGAGAGTAAAATATTATCATAATTGCCCTTGGGGTTACAATGTTGGGGACTTGGCACCCTTAAAAAGATCAATTTTAATGGTGCTTTAAAATTCCCCTTAAAACAACACATTAAAATAAATTCAAAATACAAACAAATGAAAAAAAAATAATTTATAACATATTTATGATACATTTATGACATGTTTTATGATGAGCCCAATCTAATTTTGAGGCTCTTAAGGTATTGTCATCTTTTGTAACCCGTACTTCACACTTCTAGAACATTTGGTCCACTAGTTTTAGGCCACAAAAATATTTCATCTTTTATTATTTTTGACGTGATGTCCTACATCAAACTCCGTTATTTTAGAAAACTCATATTTGAGTATTCATTAGTCTTTGTAACATAATTACTTCAAGTATTTTTACTTTTAAATCATAAGCATATGCTTTGTCTTTAGTCTTTGGCTTGAACCTCCAAGTATAACTCCTAGTTGAAAATCTGTACTTCTTTAAGGATGCAATGATGATTGTATCATTTGCTTTACAAACTTGTCTTTGTTAAGCCTCATGAATAATCTTGATAATTGAGTGAGTGCTTGATATAATATGATATGCTATCAAAGTTAGTGGTTGATTCCCACTCTCTTGATTTATTTTCAGAACATCTTGCTTATAAATTTACTTTTAAGACAGTTGAATTTTTTTGTAAGGATCAAATCTCATTATTTCTTCTTCTATCAATTTTTTTCTCTTCATACAATCAATACTTAGTGTGACATTTATTCAAGCTTGAATCTTTATTGATCTACCCAACTTTATAAGGATGCTGACATTTCTTAGTTTTGAGTCATAACTTTCGAACCATAGTTTAAGAAATATTATTTTTACTATTGCAATTTCTAATAAAAATATCATGACTATTTTTATTAATAATATATTATATTTTGGAAATATTTTGATGTTGAGATTGATCTTCTCTTGATCTAAACATGAGCTTCTTCATAATCAATAAATGAAAATTAGTATATTCTTCTATATATTAATTTCCAAACTTCTTATTCATATTACTAGATCCAATAAAATTATTCTCAATGATATTTTTTATTTGTTAGGTATCAACATATTATGTACGCTATGAACTTTATTGAAACTTGAAAATGTTTATACTAAATTCGATGAGCCACAACATCAGAAATATTGAATCTTCATGTATATTAATTTAAAATGTTAAAATTTTACTTTGATACTAAATGAGACAACATTGACATCATAGATAATAGAATCTAGCCTTGTATCCACAAATCATAACCTTTGATAAACAAGCTAAGTTTACTTCATATAACTAGTAACTATAACCCTTGGATTCACAAGGAATTGTTGGGGGACAACATTGAATCCACAAGGAATGCTTGAATCTACAAACAATGGGATAGAGCTTAAATATGATATTTTTTTTATAATTGAGAAATGATAGTGAGACTATAATATGTGGCTTTAAAATAGGCTGGGTTTTTATTAAGGTATCCTTAAAAACAATGTCAATTTTAATGAACTTTATTATGAGTCTAATTTAATTTTGGGGCTTTAAATATCTTGTCATCTTGGTAGCATATACTTTATGTTTCTAGAGCACCTTGCCCATTTATTTTTCACCTGGGTCAAAAATCTTTCAACCTTTTGCTTTGTAGAGGTAATGCTTATATTAATCACTTTCCTTGAAAACTATTTCATTATGCTCATTCTTTCTCACTTGCACCTTTACCCAGCTCTACCACTTAGGATTGGGATTCCTTTGAATATAATGATAATTCAACTTCATGCATCTCACTCCATATTGTTCTACTTTAGCACATTATCACAATGATCCTTTGTCTCATGCACAATCCCACTCACCTTCATTTCTAATGACATGCCAAACCTTTGTGCATGTTATGCATGTGTCACCATACAATGCAGCACACCCCCCTTTTCTTGAGCATATCATGCTTCTTTAACTACCCATCATGAGCTGTGGACTTGTAGGCATGTACTAAATATCCTAGCATGCAAAATTGAGATGAATGAAACCTTGATTAAGAGTTGGTTCAAAGATTCATCTTGTTGCTTGAATCTTCACTCAACTAAGTGCCATTATAATTAAGTAGGGAGATATTTTCACTAGCAACCAAACTTGACAATTATCCACACTCATCTCATCCTTTCTATATCAAATGGGTGTGTGGAACACTTGTGCATGTACATTCTTGAATGATAATTTTTTTTACACTACCTATGTGGCACCTCCTCTTGGTCTCCAATCAAGCTCTTGACGCATGGCTTTCATTGATTTTCTCCAGTAATATTTCAAGTTAGCTATTCATAGGAAACCTTGTTGATCTTGCTCTACTCATACTACACCATGCTAGTCCTTCCCATACTTAGTAAGATGTGTGCCGTCTCTAGGAGTAAGATATTTCCTTCGTTGAAACATAAGACTATGCTTGTATAATGACAATACTTTCATATATGATGAAAAATAAATGAATATTTTTTTATTGCACCAAAGATATGTGCCAACAGTTATTGATAAATAGTAGTGTCAAAGCGGATAGGTTCACCCCCGTTGCTTTACTCAACACCCTGTATAAAAGCCTGCCCTCCCGCTTCCTCGCAACGGTGGATCTCCGTTGGGCTTTGAGTACTCCTTCCAGTCGGGGAGGTGGAAGTGACCCCAGACGCTCCCACGGTGGGGGATCTCATGGCGTTCCCCCGTAACGCGAGGGGCAGCAGGCAAAGGACCAGATCCCCGATCCTGCTGCTGCTCGTCTGCGCCCTGGCCGGCGCTTTGTGGTGGCTGTTCTTCTCCTCGTCCTCTCGTATTCTCCCGACTTGGGGGCCTGGATCGGGTGTGGCGAGTCTTAAGAATGACGTGTGGTCAAATGGCCTGGAGAGGAAGTACTTGTATTGGGGGAATAGGGTTGATTGCCCGGGGAAGCACTGCGACTCCTGCGCGGGGTTGGGTCACCAGGAGTCGAGCCTCCGATGCGCATTGGAGGAGGCCATGTTCCTCAATAGGTGATGTGGAGAATTTTTCCTGCCATTTCGGGGGACAACGGAGTTCAATTTTATTATATATCTTCAAATACTGCTATTCGTTTTCTCTGCTTTTCTCAAAATTTGGGTGCTATCTTATTACTGATAGATTATAGCTCATAGATTTTGATAGAAAAAGTATCTTATTTCCTGTTTATTTCGTAATTTATGTCTCTTGTGATTCCGTCTTCGTTGCCGAGGATCTGTACTCAACTCAAACCCTGCATAATTTTTTTTCCTTCCAGAGTGTTCGTGATGCCGTCCCGAATGTGCATCAACCCGATACACAACGAGAAGGGGATCCTTCACAAGAGCGTGGATGCAAGTTCAGAGGAGCGGTGAGCTTTAATTTTGTGGTTCTAGCTTGGATCATATATTTGTGTTGGACGTAGGGTAGCTATGATGCTTCTTCCTAATGGATCTCTCTTGCAATATCAGGCTTCATCTTGCCTCCAATCCAATTTAGGGTTTTGTCTTCGGTTTATCCCAATATGGAAAATACCAGAAATTTCTCATTTACCTTAATAAGAGTGCAATTGATGTGGGAGATGATTTTCAAGTGGGCTGCCTACTGAATATGATCAAGGATAGGAAAAACTTGTACTACTTTGCTTCCTCATTTCTGTCTATTTCTGTGAGATGAGAAGAGGATTGTCTTTGGTTCTGTTCTTCGCATCTTTTTTTATTACATGAATGATAGCAATAATAACCACCCTTTGGTATTATTATTTTTTAATTCAGATGGGCGGCAAGTTCTTGTGCGATGGATTCGTTATACGATGTGGATCTCATATCAAGGACTGTGCCCGTAATTTTGGATAATTCAAAAATATGGTATCATGTAATTTCCACGAGCATGAAACTGGGAAAACGAGGGTTGGCTCATGTTGAAGGGATCAGCCGCCTCGAGCTTAAAGAAGATAGTCTGCACTCAAATGTTCTGCTAATCAATCGCACTGCGAGCCCCCTTTCATGGTACTCCCTCTTTTGGATCGATGGCTCTCATGTGAAGAACTTGCTGGCTCTCACTGAAAGTCCTTCAACCTTTTCCATCGCATTCTGTGTGAGAAATCCTTAATTTTTGCTAGGTGACTTCAGACTTGAGGAGTGCTTCTTAATCATGATAATCACACCCAGGTTCATGGAGTGCAAGGATCGGACCAACCGCAGCTCGATCAAGCTTCCATACTCATTTCTCCCATTGATGGCTGCGAAGAAATTGAGAGATGTGGCAGACGAGGTCTGTACTTTATACTGATCATCAGACCGAGGCTCACTGTTCTGTTTGCATAAAACTGCTTGAATTGTTCGATTTTTCTCAATTGTGGGAGGCCGCAGATGGTGTTTTATGTCCTAGATCACTCCAGCTTTGATTGCAATGAGGGCTATCAATTGGTTCGTTCATGATCATTCAGCTGAATTCCCAATTTGGATTCTCCGTTGGGTTCCAAATCCTAGAAATTCTTTTTTTCTTTTTGTAAATTTCACTCGCTCCAGTTTTTATCTTGATTCGTTTATTTGTTAGACAAATATTTAGTTATGATCTGATTCACATGAATCAGCCCCCTGGTTGGGCTGACTTTTAACCGGGCAAGCATTAGTCAAGCCCATCATTGACTTTGCATATCGTTGTGACTCATTCAATCTTTGATATGCCATATTGTTATCATCCGGGAATAAACCGGATTGACTTTTTAATCATGAACTCCCTTATTTAAATGTTTCCTTGTTTAATAAATATTTAATTACTATCTGATTCACATGAATGAGGCCCCTGATTGGGCTGACTTTTAACCGGGCGAGCATTAGTCAAACCTATAATTGACTTTGGATCGTTGTCACTCATTCAATCTTTGATGTACCATACTGTTATCATCTGGGGAAGTTTCGATCTGAATGTTCCGATCTGTTCTTTGACTCGGGAAATTTCCCCGGGGGCAGATCAAGAGCCTCCTCGGAGATTATGATGCAATCCATGTCCGCCGAGGAGATAGAATAAAAACCAGGAAGGACAGATTTAGGATCGATCGAAGCCTCCATCCTCATCTGGACAGGGACACCCGCCCGGAGTTCATTCAACGGAGGATCGAGAAGTGGATCCCTCCTGGACGGACCCTCTTCATCGCCTCCGATGAGCACACGCCGGGGTTCTTCTCGCCTCTTTCTGCCAGGTTTGACTTTTATACATTTCGTATTATTCCGCCATTTTCTGGTATCTATGAGCATATAAATCGTCGAGTAATGTTATTATTTGGGGATTTATGGGGATGAATCTGTTCTCGGCAGGTACAGGATGGCGTACGCATCGAACTACAGCGAGATTCTGGAGCCGGTGATAGAGAACAACTACCAGCTGTTCATGATCGAGAGATTGATCTTGGTGGGGGCCAGAACGTTGGTGAAGACTTTCAAGGAAGATGAAGCCGACCTCTGCCTCACCGACGACCCCAAGAAGAATGCCAAGATTTGGTCCAGGCCGGTCTACACCTTGGATGAAAGTGGGGCCCACTAGGTCCGAAAAGCATGATCGTCTTCTTTGACCTGCGGAAGTCATGGTCAACTTTGTATAGGGGTTGCTGCCAGGAGCCTGTTTTTGTCTAGCATTTGATTCATACAGTTGATTCATTATTCTAGAGCTCTGTCTCTCTCTATATATATATATGTATATATATATATATATAAGTATATTATTTTATTTTATTCTTCTTTATACTTCTGCATCTCCCTCTATATATATATTTCTATGTTTCCCTCTTTTTATTTATGCATTTATTTTTCTCTCTACCTTTATGCTATTTTTATATGTTTTTTTGTCTTTAAATAGGTGTAAAAGTCCGGACTGTTCTGGTCGGGACGTTGACACTGTGGCTAATTGTGGCTAGTCAGAGAAAGAGAAGTAAGTTTGACCCCTTAGTAAGGAGAGTCAGAGCACCGCCGAGGAATGGGATACCGCCGGCCGCCGGAGAGCCCCGCGAGGGAAGGTGCGGTCGGGTCGCTGACCTGGGTTATAAGAGGCGGTGCGCCGAGCCAACTCGTGAGTTCCCCGCCGACGCCGCGTCCCCAGCCGTACCGACCGCACCTTCTTGGGTGAGAGAACGCGAAAGCAGGAGGAGAGAGAGACAGAGAGTGATTCTCTCCCCCCTCCTTTACTTGGGGAGGGACCATACGATGTCCGTGCGATGTCAGCGCCGTTGAAAACGCGTATGAAAATCTAGAGGCGATCCAGCGTGGGAGGGGGGAGCCCCGGGTTCCAGCTGTGCCATGGGTATGAGAGGTACTCCCGCCGCCTCCCTCCATCTTCTCATCACCGCCGTGCTTCTGTGCTCCGGCGCCGCCCTCGCCGGCGCGAACGGCGTGTTCCAAGTGAAGCGCTGGTTTGCGTCTCGCGATAGGTCTCCGGCAGACCTCAGGGCCCACGACGTGCGCCGACATGGCCGGTCGCTCGCGGCCGTCGACATCCCCATTGGCGGCCTCGGCCTCCCCTCCGACGCCGGGTAAAGATATGCGGCACGACTTCATAATTCCCCATTCTTTTTGGAATATCTGTTTTCAATTCTTATCTCGTGCTGAGCTTCATTGAAATTTCTATCCCGTTTTTCTCCCTGCGTTAGATGATCATGCGATTTGTTTCGTGTAATTGTTCTATCATCTTACGGTATCAGATTCGCTGCGTTTTGGTCGTTTGCTTAGGCTCTACTATGCTCAAATTGAGATTGGCACTCCATCGAAAAGCTACTACGTGCAGGTGGACACGGGGAGTGACATCTTGTGGGTGAACTGCATCCAGTGCAAGCACTGTCCCAGCCATAGCGATCTTGGTGTACGTTCCATCTCATCTCTTCCCTTGCAGATGAATACTCTGGCCATTGACGAAATTCCGTTCTCTATACTGCATTTCCCCCAGCTGGATCTCACGCTGTATGATCCGAAAAGCTCCGACAGTGGGTACGTGGTGACGTGTGATCAAGAGTTTTGCACTTCAACATATGGTGAAGAACAAGCGTGTAGGCCACAGCAGCTCTGCGTGTATAGCATCTTGTATGGTGACGGGAGCGGGACTAATGGCTACTTTGTGACTGATAACCTGCATTACAATCAAGTCACCGGAGATCATCAAAGCGGACAGGTCAATGCCAGTATTACATTTGGGTTAGTTCCAGTTTACCATCTCTGTTTTATTACATTCCTTGTCTCTTCTTTGGAACAAGTTGACAGAGATGATAAAAGTGAAATGCATATGGATAAAAATAAAATGGTTTTATGCTGAATGATACACTAATCTTCCGATCGTTGATATCCTCTTTTCCCAGTGGAAGTTTTTCTTTCATACGGCACTTGCTCAACACAAACATCCGTTGCTTCCTTTTAATAATCATGCGTACGGGCTTTTCCTTTAGTGTTGTTGTTGGGTAGGGGTGGTTAGATGCAATGTGCTGGATTTCGATCCAAGGTGAGTAGCTTAAGGGCCAGAAATGGAGTGAAGTAAAGTTTGCATGAAAAACAAATCGACAGTTTAAACCTCAACCTTAATAAGGTTTATAGATATTTCTTTTAAAGTTCATTTAACATTTTCTGTAGAAAATTTTAGAACCACGAAAAACTTCGGGATGTGATGCAAGGTCACTAGAAAGAAAGCTGACATATTGTATTTAACCAGAAGGAATTCCTTCATCTGTTGAATTATATTTCTCACATCTCATTATATCATGATCCTGAATATTTTTTGTTGAACGAAAGGTGTTCAAATTCTCATTCATTATTCTCCTGATTTTATTGGTTTTTTATTTTTATTATGAGACCAGTTTTTCCTTATTGTCTGTGTTTTTTTTTTGGGAACATCTGATTCTATGCTGTATGCGTTTTTCACTGTCTTTTCTGAATGTTTCCTTGTTTTTATGGAATACCCTCTTTGAACTATTTGAGTCATGTGCACACACAATCTTTATGGAACTTCGTTTATGCACTGTACTATTTTTACTATTTTCCAATGCTAATACAGTGTTTTGAAAAGTGCATTTGGTGTGAATGTGTTCCCAAAAAGCCACCGGTATAAGAAGGTTGAAAGATAGATCATGCTGGTAGAGACTATATTAATCGTTCAACAACTTCCCAAAGTGACAATTCATTCTTTCCCACACTACCACAGGTAGAAGTTCTAATTCACATCTTCTCAACTTACCTTTGGTGGCAATGAAGATCTAATTCATGAAGTGCCTCCTGCCAACATTCATGTCAGTGTACATATTTAATGAATAAATACTCTGATGATCTGTTTTCCACATCGAAACTACTAGTACCCTCTGCCACTGCAGTCCATTTATCTTAAATGGTTTTCACTCTTTCTTTTTTTCAGAGTACATAGAAAATTATGTTACCAATGTTGCCAATGTTGCCTTGTTTTTTCCACTAGTTCTCCAGTTTAAGTTTAAGATGAATAGTAATTGAATTCATGCTAAATTTTATGTTGATTTGATTCTGGATGTAACTAGGTTTTCTGCTTATTCGGTTGTATCTTTGTATTTATCTGAGGCTACTTGACTTGAGAATATTATATATGAGAGTTCTTGTGACAAATCTTTAATACCGCCGTACTTACTACAGTCGCATAATCATCTTCTGTTTAGGTGCGGTGCACAGCAATTTGGTGACTTAGGTTCATCAAGTGGGGCACTTGATGGCATATTAGGCTTTGGACAGTCTAATTCATCCATGATTTCACAACTAGCATCTGCTGGAAAAGTGAAAAAAATGTTTTCTCATTGCTTGGATAGCGTAAATGGAGGTGGAATTTTTTCTATTGGTCAAGTAGTCCAGCCAAAAGTGAACACAACTCCTCTGATACCAAATCAGTATGCTGCTTTCCTTTTTTTTATTTTATGTTCCGATCATTCTTTATCTTATGTTATCTGTTGCCAGAGTAATAATTCTTCACATTGAAAGGGTCATAAAACTGCCATCATTCGATACCTTTAATCCAAATGTTTTGGAGGTTGGTAAGGTTATCATATTGTCCATGTTTTTATCCAGAAGTAACTTCCTGACTTCTAGAAATAGCTTTTCATGTACTATTCCCCAGACTGCGTAAGCGAATTTATGGCTTTCATGGAGGTACCTGTATGTGAGAACATCAAAGATGAGAGAGGGAGGGAGAGAGAGAGAGATAGAGAGGGAGGGAGGGAGAGAGAGAGAGAGAGAGAGAGGGAGAGGGGAAGAGAGAGAGTGTAATGTGTTAGGACAGAATGATGGAACGAGATCCAAGACCAGAAGAGTGAAGCGAGGAAATCTCGTGTGGTTATTGCTCATGGGATTGTGTGGGGAGAGACACTTGTATCGCTCAAAGCTATGGCATGACTTCTGATGTTAAGGAAATGGTGGATAATGGAAGCTGTACACGGGAGCTATGAATTTCTTCAGTCTCTGAACAAGTAGAAAATATCTGGTATGTCCTCCACCCCTTCGTAGGTAGTGCAGGTAAAAGATAAGGGAGCAGCATGAGACGGTGATTTGGTCAAATCACCGATATTTGTCCTGAGAAACGTTGGGTCTCATCCACAGACAGAGATACCGATCCCTGAGTGAAGGATATGCTGTTTGGTAAAAATAGTCACCTTATATCGTTTTTGTGAGAAAATTATTCTATAGAAAATATCGAAATATTGTACAAGAAAAAATCTGGATAAAAATTTGTTAAAGTGTAAGATTGGTATTCGATCGTGCAATTAGTTTTGTTTGCAGATACGGAACCTTGAATCTTTGGCGCTCAATAAAGTTTGGATAAAAGTTGCATACCAACCGGAGTGTATTGCCACTGTTAAGATTATTTTATTTTGGGCTGCAGTCTGACAGCTGTGACATCTGCTCTATACTTGGAGGTACTCCACTAAGATTAGAAGGGAGTTGTGTTGCTTTTCTTTTAGGAGCTTTGCTTTTATAGTTACTCTGGGGTTAGAGGAGAGTAAGAAAGGAAAACCGTGGAACCTACGGTGGTTATCTAGCTTTTCTATTTCCATTGCTTTTTACTATATTTTTTAACTCCTGTAATTTATGAAAAATTAAATATTTCCATTTTTTTCTGTAAATAGACCGCATTATAACATCAATATGAAGGGCATTGATGTTGGTGGGGAGTTCTTGAAAATCCCCTCCGACATCTTTGATGTCAGCAAGAGTAAAGGGACAATTATTGACAGTGGTACAACCCTAGCTTATCTTCCAGATGCAGCATATAAACTCTTAGTGAATGCGGTATGGATTTGGGGTTGTTTTTCTTTAGTCCTTTTAGTATGCCTTCCAGTTCTTGACTTTTTTTGTCATGTTCATAATCTTGAGATTTTACGTTCTTCAATGTCTAGATCTTGGCATTCCAGCCGACCTTGGAGGTCCGAATTGTGCAGGACTTTCTATGTTTTCTATATACAAAAAGGTACTTTATTCATTAATTTTACATTATATCACCATCTGTTAACATATGACGAACCTTTTGCTTCTTTTTTTTTCCCAAGAATATCTGCTACTAAGACTATTCAATAGTTTTTTTTCTATTTTTATGGCATCTTTGAGATGATCTCTCCTCTGACCTTTTTGAATATAATGTGTAAGAATCCTTTAATCTCTTTCCTGTCCTTTGTTAATATATAACGCTTACTGGTCTACAGTTTATGATTCTGTTAAATTATTTGCATCAGATCATAAAATAGAATCGTAAAGCTTAATCATATGATGGTGACGGTGGTAATTTCCAGATGTTCATCCATTAGCGGTTCTGTATTCTCTTTAGGGCCATTTGGATTGATGTAATGCGTATAATAAACTGTGCTTGCATTGTCAGTATTGTCAAGCTTTCATACTGTATCATTATTAGGCAATTTAGCTCCTTACCAGCTTATTTTCACCAGCTTGACGATTTCGTTTTCCCAACATGAAACAGAACAGATAGGAAGGACCTATACTCTCTTCCGCCAGTCTGTGATATTTACCCCGTAAAAGCCCTTCCAGAAGTAAGAAGAGGCAACTTCTCCTATGAAGCATGCTCATATTTGTTACGAATTTAAAGCTCCAAAAAAATTGCTCCTAAACGATTTCTCTCTAAAACACTAGTACCTCCATGATATTTGAACTAGAAACAACTGGAGCACTGCGGATGAAAATTGGCAACAAATGAAGTGAACGTTTTCCTCTAGTTCACAGGCCTATGCAAAGATCTTAACTATACTAAAAGATAGTTGTGACCGGAGTTTCTGAACTGCGGTAGTGCTTTATGCTCACAGCTAGTTGCGGAGTAAGTTTCACGAAAATTGATAGACCTAGGGTAGTTTTATATTATATACTGGTAGAAACTTCAAGAATTTAGTCTCCAAGATCATTACAATTTTTATGGGATCTGGTCTATGTTATCTGGTTAGGTTACTGAAAATTTCATAAGACATCTGTGGTTAGTGTTCTATATCACGTACCTCACTAAAAGTGAATTCAAGGCCAATGATGGCCCTTGTTGTGCCCTACTAGTCTCTAAAGGATTGACAATGTCGATGGAAATATATTTGGCAATTTGCTAGTTCCTTCTTCACTAAAAGTTTTTACATGATGCTGAATTGAAACGAATCAGTTCTAGGTATATTTATTTCAGAATCATAGTATGTGTCAACTGAATTTCGGTGTTTAGTTCTCTGCTTGTACCTCAAAAATGAATTGTTGCTCATCAATCAAGGATTCATTCCTGGCAAATGTAATAGGAGCCTCAAATAGCTCCACTCTGCGTATTACATCCTGTAGAGAAGGTGAAAAGACCGAAACCTAAACTAATAGTGCACTAAGAGAATCCTTAAAACTTACGATTCTATGAACCAATTCTAATGTATGAGCAAGGGATGGAATTCTGAATACAGTACGGACTGAAATGAATAGGCATTTTGTCTGGGGATCAAAACTTTTGGTCAACAACAGAGATTATGGCACCATGGTGCTGGCTTGTCAATCCTCTCACTACCAAAAACTCTCACGCAATATTGATAATGGAGACCTTCCTTCGCATAAGAATTTCGATATTATTGATTTTGAAGACGTTTGCTCATGGTAGACATGATAATGTGTATACCATTATGTGTGAATTTTTTACATTAACGATTTTAATATTATTACATCATTCTTCAGTAGGATTTATGTTTAAGGGCAGTAGTACTAATTTTTTTTTATCCCTTTTTTTTTGGTCTTTTTTATGATAAAGGATTTGCTTGTTTGTATTATTGCAGTGTGGATGATGGTTTTCCAATTGTAACTTTGCATTTCGAAAATTCACTTTCACTGAGAGTTTATCCACATGACTATCTATTTCAGAGTCGAGTAAGTAACTATTTACTGGAACGCTTGGTTACCTATTTATTTTTCTGCACTTATTTATTGTGTTATTACTTTAAGTACCATATGACCCCTTTGGTTTCATGCTTTGAAAATCTAGAACATAATCATTGGTCATCCATCTCATTTTGAACTTTCTACTTTACAAAATGTATGGCTGCTTATCTCTCTTTTTTTTTCCATTCACCTGGGTTTATATTTATAGGTCGCATTGAAAATCTGTTCTCCTAAATCTTTTGTGGTAAGACATGATTATTAAAAAAGAAAGAAATGGGGCGTGCAAGTGGACTTTATGCCAGCAGAAAGCTACTTGCAAACTTGAAATTCTTTCATTTTATGCATTTCTTTTTTTGTTGATATTTCTAGTTTAGGTATATATTCTCTTTTTTTTCTTTTGTTTTAACGTTACAGAAGTGTTTTGGAAATGGAGTTCCGGAGATGATGAGTATGACTGTCTCGTAACATAGTGGGGGCGTGTTCATTAATTCATTGCATTTTTTATGTAACTTGGATCTGTTTAATTTTATTTTCATAGAGATATCCAAGTCTTCATGGAAAATCAATGGTCTTCCTTTCAGTTGCCCAATGAACAACTACTGCAATGGGATACACAAAGTAGATAGTTCCCCTATCTTGATGTTGGAAGTATTTGGTTCAACGGTCTCTCGATTTTAATGCTTGAGCACTATTATCAGATCTCGATTTGAAATTACTAGACACCTTATGTCAATAGTTCTTCTGGTTCAATGTGTATGCCTTTATCTCACTTTAGTGGCTTATAGAACCCGTGCTAAACTAGAGCAATGTTAGTTTATATTTTGAGGGAGGCAGAATCTGAAGATGAGCCTTATTTATGTTTAGACCTCTCTTTTTTCATTTTTTTTTATAGCCATGCTGGAATCCATAGTTTTGGGCTCAGTTCAAGTTTGAAAGCTATTTCTTGAAGATATTTGCATCTTGAAAAAGGTGTTAGACGGCAATACACTTGCCCTATCTTTATAATGTGAATGCTCCCCTTAACTTAGGATTGCTTACCTTGTTCCATGGTAATTTGAGAAAATCGAACCACAAAATAGGCCAGGTCCAATCAGTAATCAGGATTGTATCGCCCAAATCAGCTGATCTGAGTCAAGAGGCAAATAAGGGTAAAAAAGAAGCAGAACATATATATTATTTTTAATAAGTCTGCATTACCGCTTTTGCTAAAAACTAAAAAAACACGATGAAGAGCTAGATAGGGACTTTTAAAGTTCAGTCAAATCATTCATATTGCGTAAAAATGTTTGTTTATTGCCTACCTTTTAAGTCTTGTGTTATCATTTTGAGAATGACTTCTCTATCGTGTTTTAAAACCTTAGCTCATTGGATTCTTTATTGAAGACAGTTTGATATTCAAAGTTTCTTTTCAGAGGACGAACTTTTGAAACAATTAGTTTCACATTCAGACATCGCTTTTGTTTCATGATTGCTTCAGGGAGACGTTTGGTGCATTGGTTGGCAAAATAGTGGTGTACAATCGAGGGATGGGAAAGATACTACGATCTTGGGAGGTATATTTTTTCTTCTATTTGTCTTTGAGTTTTTCTTTTCTATTGAGATTTTGGTTCGTGGTTCGTGGTATCGAACAGAGAAAATTATAAAAAATCGAAGAAAAAGTGAGGCAGACATGAAAATATCAGGAAATAAAACCACGTGAAGGCAGAAAGACAAATTACCCACCCTCTACCTCGATAGTTGATGAGAAAGAGGAAACAGAAGAGAAACTCATTAAAGCCAATTATCCCTTCCCTTGATCAAGTTCATCAGGAAAACTCGGCGGTCACTGCCTACTTTCATTTCTCCACAACAGTAAGCAAGCACGCAAAATAGCTTTTAATGACCACGTCTTCTATAGTCTTTGAGATTAGCTGTTGTAAGAGGTAGAATGCCAATTTCACAGTATGATCTCTGATAATATGTATAAAATTGCCATCTGGACAGGTGACTGCGTTATTAGTAACGTTCTCAGATTCATAAATAGCCCTACAGTCCAGAAGGACATGATCAGTGGCAGGGCCACAGAAGAAGGAAACTACCGAACTAGAAAATCAACAAACTAGGGAACGGTCCAACTGAGAAAAAAACTCCTAATTATATGTTCTTCCCCACAGTGTTTTCCAGTTTCAAATATGTTATCACTTTTCTAGTTTCTGGGATTCCTCAGCATCCATGCTTATTTAAAATGAAAGACACTTGTCATCATTTCACATCTAAATTTGTGCAATTTAGAATTCCAAATGTCTTCAAAACTTATCATCCAAGCCGTGTGCTAAAATCTTATAGGCAGAACAAGGCAGTGTCTTCCTTGATCTATGTATTTCTTCCCTCTGCTGTTCAATTCTCATCAATGTTGTAACACTTTAATTTCTTTTGGGAAAAATTTATCCAACTATGGCTATACGTATCTCAAATTCTTACTTTTCATGCCTTGTAAACGAAGCCATTTCAAAATCTCTCTTACATGGAAAAATAACCCGTTTGTTGTCATAATGGTGTGATAACGTTTCTAAATATTGTTGAACTGCCCAAACTCAAGACCTTCTGAGCTTATACCGTAGACTCATCTCCTCCCTCATCGCACAATTTTTGGCAATTCTTTCTTATATTAGATGCACAAATGAACACCGTCTCTACCAAGCGATTGGCTATTTTATTCCAGATTTTCCCGCAAGGTCATTTGGATGATTGGCCACCACACTGTATTGTCCCCATTTCAATATCTTTCACAGTCCATTGCTCGTCCATTGTTTTTGTGGGATGCCCTCCTATGTCTATGATGTATAATTACTTCCACTAAATATCATGTGTAAGTGTATACCATTGCCCTTAGGAATAAGTGATACAAGGATTCTTCTTCCCTCACATAATTTATGGGAAGATATAAGTGATATACGAGCTTGTTTATCATGCTAAAACTCATCCATGTAAATTCTCACGGATATATTGTTACAACAGGTTCATTTCTCCCTTTCAAACCCAAATCTCAGTGCCTAGTGTTGCTATTTATCCAGCTTGCAAGATAATCAGAAGCCTTTTTTTCCCAAAATAAGCATATCTTACACGTTTCTGTTCTTCCATGTTTGTAGCTCATGATACTTTCCATTGCAAAATCAGTTAGACATCTTTTATAAGAGAACAAAGACTAGGATCCCTGTAAACTGGTCATATGGATGATTTTTTTAGAGTTAGTTCGAAGTGGTGACAGTTTTTGCACTTAAGAGGCGCTAGTAATGTGTAAGTGACCATCCATGACACACAATGCTAAGGTGCGTCTTTCCTACTATTGATTTTGTATTCAATATTTTGTCTGCAGATCTAGTGTTATCGAATAAGTTAGTGTTCTATGATCTGGAGAAACAAGTGATTGGATGGACCGAGTATAATTGTAAGTGTTTATATCCTTTAAGTGCCCTTTCTTCTACTATTTTTTTTAATTTCTTATAGTTTCAATTCTCCATTCGGTTTGACTTTGGACATTTTCTTAGATCAGGGAAACTTAGCCAGGCTATGAATCTTGGGCAATGTGCGAAAACACTAAACTTTTTATTACTCCCCTAGAATCCAGATTATCTTTTAAGCCTTTTGTTATGTACAGCGTCCTAAAAGATTAAAGCTAATATTTTAGCTATTTAGGTCGGAAATATTATGATCAGATAGCTATAAGACGTTCTAATATTTTTATGGCTTCATGAATATACTTGTTTCACTTAAAATGTCAAATGATTCATCTAATCAAAACCAGTTATGGATTCATGGTTATTCTTTATTCTGGCGGCTGAACTAGTTGATCAACCCTTCAATGTGAAAGCATTATTGAGAAACATAAAAGGGCAATAGGTAAACCAAATTCAAATGCATACTGTTTGTGCTTGTTATTAATTTAAATTATTATGTCATTTAAAAAATATTATCTCGAAGATTGTTTCTACCTCTGACTTTCTCAAGCTCGGCTGCAGGCTCCTCAAGCATCAAAGTGCAAGATCATAACACTGGGGAAGTGTACACCATTAATGGTCGTAACATTTCTTCAGCCTGCACCTTGGCCATGGGGAGGTTTATCTTATTGTTTGCTATAATTGCCATGATATGCTGTTTGATTTTTTGAAATTATTTGTGTGAAACCCTTTCAGCCCTCTTTCAGTATGCCTTTTTTTCTGGTATTATTCTTTCTGGCGAAAGGGAAATATGCCCATTATATTTGGGGGTGTCTAACTATGCACTGGACTACAGATAATTGCTACAATTTGACTTGTACTGGTCAACTTCTGGTGTCTGGCTTTGACTGGCACCATTCCATCATGCTATCTATAATCATCAGAGCTGTATGCACACACATACACAGAGACACACACATATTTTTGTATATCAAAATGACTTGGGATACATAAGAAAATTCCATGGGCTTTGCCAAAACGTGCATGCATTTTTATTTAGAGGAGGCTAAGAGTAGTTGACTATTGTTTGTACTCTCTCGACATGGTTTATTCGCAGAATCATTTGCCCTACTCTAATTGTTTTGATTTTCAAAACTTTGTAGACTTTACACACTGATACTAGTTGCAAGATCTTATCTATTCAATAATATTCTATCCATGACAACCATTTAAAAAAATTCAACGCCCTTTCCTCCTTTGGATAGGACTCAATATACATTTGAACCAAAACCTTGAAAAAAAATGAAACCTCTTTCCTTTTATTGCAGCAAGGATTTAGTACAATATACTGGAGCCAATAACCCATTCATTTCCCGTTCCATTGTGCATTTGAAATCCAACCAACTGGAGATTCTGCCCAATATTAATACTCACGTCCTGAGGGGGGGGGGGAGAGTTCCAGGCCAAGCCTATATATGTTCCAAAGTCGATTATAAGCCCTGAGTCAATCCCACAGGGCAGACACAGAAGAGGGAGAAGAAAAGTCAAAAGTTTCAAAGAGGAGATGCAGGTCAAAGTCCCGACAAGCTCCAATGGGTATGCAAACTGGAAGTGCTCGATTTCAGTATAATATGCAATATATGCTAGGTTTAGATAAACAAAAGATATAATTACACAGAAGTGGAGAGCATGAGTATGGATTTTTACACTCAGAGGGTAAGCTTCAAGAACTGCACAACAAAGTAGATGACCGCCAGGAAAAGTGCAATCTGGTACACATCTCTCTGCAACCCCTCATCCCTCTGAAAGAACTGAGGGCAAAGAACAAAGCAGGTCGCGTCAGCATATGATTTTGATGAGATAGAGAAAATTTCCAAGACAAAAAATGGGAAGCAATTTCGCTCCAGCAATGGTAGAAGGCCATTTTATTCTTCATAATGGAAATAAAATAAAACTATATCATGCGACGACCCTAAATGTGGAATACCATTCACCTAGGAATCAAATCTGAGAGGGAAACATGAAGAAATTCTAGCTGTCGTGCAGATTAAATGTCTCCCGTATCTAGTTTGTTCAACAATTTTGCCAATCAATAGACAGAAAACTTTGTAAGTATTAAGAATCAGCCAGATGATTTCATGGGTTCATTCAGCATGTGATTATCTTGAAACGCCTGCTCCTCGGATTTGCCAATTTTTTTGGCCAATCCGAGTGAAACAAACTTATAATATAATAAGTTGTTTCGACTGTGACATTCAATGCAGTTCACTCTAGAACTTTGATGAGATCAGACCCAGGAACACTTGCCTTTGTTGGATCTCCAAGCGGATCAGGGAAAATCTCCGTGTTTTCTTTCTCAGGTGACAGACGTTTCGTCATTTTCTTAGCACTATCCATGGTATCATTTCCAGCCTGAATTGCAGAGTAAAGGGTACGAGAAGCCCAGAAATATGCCTGACCAATGATCGACGACGATGATAGATCCCAAGACTCCTCATGCTCAATCACTTGCCCACTTATCTGATTTAACGTGAATCGAGAGTTCACAAGAAGTACCAAGTCCCCACCGATGCTGGAAACCACGATGTTCTTGGGCTTCCCTTTGATCGTCCACTTGATGCTCAGTACGCTTGTCGACTGCATCATCATTTCTTGTACTGTCTGAGACAGACAAGCACATCAGATGAACTTTTCCAATTAAAAAGCTTCGTCAAACCTTTAGAAGGCACAGAATGATCATAATGGAATTTCAGTTCAATAGCAGAAGTACAAAGAAAAGGAGAAAAATGAAACACACTCTCACCACTGAAGGATTTTCTATAGCATAACTAGACCACGATGATCTTTTGTACTTTTCACGACCAATGAAGGATCTGATCGGATCCTAGAAGCACAAAAAGGGCATAGACGCCGTAATTCTTCTTAATCACTGAAGATACCAGGAGATGGTAGAAAATAGAAAGAGGTGGACCAAATGAGCAGTATATTACCTTATATTTGACTGTGGCGGAGAAGGATCCCAAGGCACGGTTTCCTTCTCGTTGCTCTAAAATGTCTCGTGCGAGCTGCCTTGCTGTAGCCTCCACATATGGGCTACTGACACACACAAAATCATTGCAAAGCTCACCGAAATCCATACTATCAACAAGCCTATCAGATTCAGATTTTTTTATTTCAGTATTAACTGAAACTTCGGTCCCTTTAGATTCATCCAGGACTGCAAATCACAGATACCAATGATACTTGATTATTAATCCAAATAAAAAATTGTGATTGAAACCGTCCAGCTATTTATTTACTGGGTTCTCACAAAATGGTTTCTTAATCAATCAGTTCAGTTCCCCATCTTAGTTGGGGAAATTTAGAGTCCTCTAATGGGGAAAATATCAAAATAAAGGAAAATACTACGCTTCCAATTTGCCAAAATGTTTATCCATTTTTAGAGAAAAAACACTGCCAATTTTTCTGGGTAAAAGAGGATGATACATACTTAGTGAAAAAACGCAAAATATTCAGTACCAGATCATGGAGATGGAAGCACTAGTTTATTCAAAAACGTTCCAATAGGGAATATTTTACAAAAAATATTTAAAAAACACCACAAGAACCATATAGAACAGGAAATCATTCCAGATATTAGAATAGGAGACCCTAGATGAAGTTGCACAGGGTATCTGCAAGAATGCTAATCTGTAGAAAAGCAACAGGACATATAAACAAACTGAACAGCTGGATCAAGCAATCAATACTTCCAGAGGCACCTAAAAAACTCGAAGCATGCAAGCTGCAGAAATGCATACAATGGAACAAGAGGAAACGTCAGTTGATAGGATCCTACAAGCTCCACATATCCCGAAAGCCAATCTAATATTTCTCAAGTGCCTAAGACATTCTTCGCTCCACACAGTAAAACGGCTATCTTTCCCATTTTTTTGGCTTCTACTTTCGGTTTTTAATTCCGCAGCCTTTGCAAGGGCGAATGGGTACTCAAAGCTCCTCTCACAATTTCTATAGTTTGCCAACTATGTGATGGTTGAAGAGCATAATGACAGGTGCGGTTCAATGGAACTGTGAGATATGCGAAAAAAGAAAATAGGTATTGAAGTGGTTGTCAGTAGATATTTTACTGCATCATCACAGGGAGAATCTGCCACATTATATTACCAACCATGTGGACGTACATGTTTCAGCCAAGATACTTGGGAAATAAAAGCCCACGCCAATGATGAAGCTCTTTAAAAACTTGAAAAAATAAACTAGACGAAAAAAGTGATTTGGCTATTCACCATCTAGAAAGATACTTTTTCCGATATTTAAGGTTAAAACAGCATTTTTCATATGCATAGATGTTTCAAAATTCAAACTTTGCACAAATGCAGTCAAAAGTCAGAAGAATGGTTTCAACATTGAAAGGGTATTGGAGGAACCCTCCTTTGTAGTTTTACTCATGATAGAAAAACTATTCCTGGTTTGCAATATTGCATTTAAGTGGAAGACGAATATGGTCCACAAACCTGGTCAAAAATCTGTCAACAACAATGACACATGAACATCATACATAGTATAATATGCATAATGCACAACAATATCACGATATCCATGGCTGTTACAGCAACTAAGGATGGAAGGGCAGTGGCCTGATGCACTACTGCTTCTGCATCAATCAATGCCTAACAGTTTGCACAATATATTCTTGGAATTCAAAGGCCAGAGGATATCTATGTTATGAAAACAAGGTGTTCGTAGAGATGAAAGGAAAAATCCTTAAACCAATGAGAATGGGATTTGGAAGATTTGAAAAATTAAAAATTATAATAAGTTTGCCTACGTCAATCTAGTGTGAAAAATAGAGAAAGGGCATCATTAAAAACCATTTTCTACGAATATTTTAAACAGAAAAGGCAAGGGACATTTCGGCATTTTAGCATATTATCAGATATATTTGGAAAAAAATAATGGCTCGAAGGTGGCCTCCTGTTCCCCTCAACTCATCTTCTCCAAGCATCAACATAAGCACGTTGATGGGGGCAGACTAATCCTCTTCTCTCCTTCAGTTCATCTTCCCATATCTAACAGTCGGACAATCAACCTGTTAAAACACGCAAGCAATGTGTTTCCTGAAAGAAAAGTTGCAGACTCCACCACTCAACCCGATCGATAATTTCTGTGGCGCGTCTTTCGATATTTTATTTTCTTTAGGATAAGTGAATGAACGAGAGAGAGAGAGAGAGAGAGGAAGGGAGGGAGAAGAAGAAGAAGAAGAAGAAGAAGAATTCGAGACGTAAAAGGGAGAAACTGCGGCAATATGGCTAATCAACTCACGCACCACTTAACATGGGCCGACGAAGGCGGCGGAAAGGACCAAGAGGGCCGCGGCGAACGATAAGCGCGCGGCGGCCACAGCGGAACGGCGAAACGAGGTCGCTTCCTCTCCCACTGCAGACAATGGACGCCGCCGGAGAAGAGAACGAAGATGAAGAAGAAGGGGACGAGGCCAGGGGCACCATAGTGGGCGGCGCTGCCGTCGCGGTGGCCATCGCCGCGGATGGTGTCCTAGCCTCATTCTTGTTGGGGCGACGTGTGGTGGTGGTGGCGGCGCCCAAGTAGACTATATCGGTGGGGCCCACTTCCCCCTCCCCTCTATCTAAATGCTTCCCAAATTAATGAAATGGAATTGGCGGGCCGGCCCCGGTGAAGTTCCAGCCTCGGCAAGCCCGACAATTTTCTCAGACGCTCCGCCGTCTCTCCCCGCCGCCGCCTTCACCGCGGTGCCGGCGAGGTGCAAGAGAGAGAGACAGCCCTGCCACCTCCGTTCCGACCGCAGCAGCTTCGGCCGCGGCGACCTCTCCTTTTTTGGGGCCACGGAGGGTTAAGAGTGCAGTGTCACATGGTCCACAGATCGGTTCACCTGTGTGCACCACCGTCGCATCCTCGACGCCAAGCAGCCTTGTCCTAGGGGACTTCGCAGAGGCACACAAACTCGCTGGGGAAAGCTCACTCATCGATACATAGATGGGAGTGAACAGTGTGCGGCGCTCACTCTTTGATGCAACAACGGAGCAGCCCTTACCAATAAGAAATAGTGGGAATTGTCGCTTGATACGTCTTTTTTCAGAAGATCTGTTAAATATTTCCACATAAATTTTCAATATTAATTTGTCAAGCTTAAGAAAGACCACAAGTCCTTAAGATCTTTTCCTTGGGATATCATGTCTTATGATGTGTGGCCCACAAAGAAGACCTCTTCTTTCGTGAGTTCACACTTTGTAAGGTTGGGATAGAATTAATTATCCCTCATTTTTTAACAATACGTTTTAAAGATGTGCTATGTGATCATCCAAGCTCTTGTTATAGTTGATGATGAATCTTTTGATATATTCTCATAAGATGACAGTCATGAAGGTACAGATGGTGTAAGAGTAGTTGACATTATTGTGAACTCATTATGAGCTGAGAAAGTCACGAACAATGTCTTTGGCTCATCTCTCTATTTGATCTAGACTTGATAATTGATACTCTTTATATCTATATGAGAAAAGTATTAGATATTTCCTAACCAATGAAACAATTTGTCTGTATTAAGTATTGGGTATTAGTTCTTTACTGTAATTTTATTCAAAAACATGGTAATTTATACACAATTCTAGAAAGTTATCCTTCTTCTGAAATAAGAAATGGGAGCCATATGGTTTGTCTTTCAAAGATGGATATATCTTGCCTCTAGTAACTCCTACAATTATTGGTTAGTTCATCTAACTACATTAGTGACATCTTGTTTGACATGCACATATATGTATGTACACTAAGGATAAATTCTATCTTATGGTCCACCTTATGTCATCATGATAACTGAGTTGATAATGAATATAACAATATATCTTCAAAACTCCTTCAAAAGATAGGCAACTCTTGGTAGAATTATTATGGTGCATTGGCTTCCATCACCACATAAATTGCTACCACATTGGTGCTTGTGACACTCATTGACATTTGATGCTTCACACACTCTCCTATTGACATTTGATCCCCATTGGCACTCTACCTCCTATTGCACATCATGCGTAATGACCCCACACATTGCATGTTGTGTGCAGGTTGCACACATGCACCATGTCATGTCGTGATGTGTGCCCTCCATGCAATATGATTTTGTCAAATTGCATTGCATGGATATTAATAGCATCTTAACTATGAGCTACTTGAGTTCCAATTAAAAGTCAAAAAATTTAAAATATACATAATCAACCTTTACTTAAGTTGTCTATGAAGTTCATGTTTTTAGGTCAAATTGCGTCAATCATCTTCAAAGTTTGTGTTTTTATCAGATAAATGTTGTACATAATGCAATCTGTTTAGCTTCTAAGATTTGAGATTTACAACTTAGAGTTCAAGGGTCAGAGTTCAAGGGTCATTAGAGATCCAACTTCTAAACTTTGTCTGGGAATGTTTGAAACTAGAACATTACAACACGTAGCCATTTAAAGACAAGAAAACGTATGCAAAACAATAAACCATCTTGCACAGTCATTAAAAGGCATAGATTTTGCTTCACTTTCAAACCTGTAGTTTAACGAAGGGAAATCCGAACTATGTTAAATTGTTCAAAAGTAAAGTGTATAACAACATGAGCCACATTGCTACTTTCAAAATCCCACCATGTTATCATTACCATACACACTAGAGAAACTGATTGGACGGTGTAATCGTGGTAATTCACAAGAACAACAACAAATCTAAGTGATTTTTTATGCGATTTTTTCTGCGATTTTTTTCTCTCTCCTCGGCCAACATGAAAGGGCAGAGCTAGGATCGTGATGGAGAAGAAGGCAAGCGGAGGGGCATTCCGTCCGAACTGAGGAGCTTGTGGCGGCGTCCCTCCCGTCACCGGAACTGCGGGCAACAAGAGTTCGCAGTTTTCTCGCAGGTTTTTCTAGGTACTTAGGAGGAGCGTAGTGTTCGGGCACCACAATCAATGGAGTTTGCACAAAAGAATTTGCATAGGAAAATGTTAGGATTATGTGAATTATTGGCACAAGCAAAATGAGGAAGCTATGAAGTAAATTTACAAGGGTCAGTCATAACTGTTCGAAAGTTGGAAAAAGTTGCTATGATTGACCAGCAAGGAGGGACTGAATCGGCACAGAAGTACACCCAAGGCAGCACAATACAACCAGTGAAGTAGGAAGGGAAGGAAACAGAGACGATGAAGTCATAGAGATGCCGGATAAGGAGCAAGCGAACGTTGACATAGCTACAACGAGAATAGTGAACCATGAGTTGAAGGAAAATCAGGTAAAATCACCAGGAGGCTCTGCTACCATATAGGCAATGGTATCTCCTTCCCCATCTTTTGAGTCCCTTGCTGGTTTGTCATCTATGATGTTATGCAGGGTAAATTCGGATATAATTGCTGGGGTGAGGAGGGAAAGGGATGATCAATTAGAGGGTAATGCAGATGACCAAATGGGGAAAGCCTGTGAGCAGGGGGGTCCCCATGGGGGGCCTAAAGGCACAGGTAGAAACAAGACAGGTAGAGGATCAGGACAAATTCTCTACCCATTCGGATGGAAAAATTTCATATGGGAAGGGTGCACTCGGGGGTGGCTATAACCAGACCAGAAATAGGGGGACCTAAACGTACCTATGTAGCTGTTACACGTGAACATCATATTAGCCCTCAATTCGTGGATGTAGCTCCACAAAAGAGGCCATATATCTAGGAGGGAATTTCGACTATTTAATTCTCCAAAGAGGAAGTGTCCTAGCTTGCTGCTCCCTTTAAGGAGGACATTGAGGGAAAATTTAACCGAAGTTGCCCCTACCTTCTTACTATCCGGGATGAAGTAAAGAGGATTGGGAAAGTAAAAAGGGAATATTTTAATTGGTGCCTTGGATGCAAGGCATGTGATTATCCGTTTTCAGTGTAGTGAAGACTTCTGTTATGTGTGGAGCCGGTCAATATGGAGGATTGGAGACCAATAGATGTCGACTTTTCGGTGATCTCCAGCAGTAAACCCACCCTTTGTACCTCTATGGGTTGGTTTTCCGGGATTGAGGGCTCACTTCCTCAACCCATCGGCACTTGAGGCAATAGCCTCTATGATTGGCACAGTTATCTGTGCCGATAGGGACATCACTCAATTCACACGGCGGGTTATACCCGGGTGTGTATCGAGGTTGATATATCACAACGCATACCCTAAGTAGTCCTAATTAAGAATGGGGAGTGAGAGGTTATTGAACAGAGAGTTATAGTGGAGGATGTTCCACCGTATTGTAGCAGGTGTCAGAGGATTGGCCACGGATCATGGAATTGTTGGTACAGCTGAAAAGAGAGAGGGGTGGTGCGGGAGGAATCCGTAGAGGGAGATAGAGGGGGACACAGGGTGAAGGGTAGATCAGAAATGAAGGGATCCAGAGGAGATGAGGGAGACGAGGAGAGGGAAATGGGAAAGAGGAGAAAGACCATATGGAAAGTACGGGTGGAGGACAGTCAGGTGGATCCTGTGGATGAAATGAGTTTGGAAAACAGAGTAGAACAGGAGTCGAGGGAGGGTGGGAAGGGAATGGGGCAGGGACAAGAGATACAGGAGTAGTCCAAGGGTGCCACCCAGAAACGGGTGACACACAAGGTAGAAGCACCACGCGACGGCAGGGAGAGTTAGGAAAGGGACAGGATACATGCTCATGGGAAGCTCGAGGAGACAGAGATCAGAGTAGGGAGAGGAAGAGGGAGGCAGGGCGAGATAAAGGAAGAGATAGACACCCAAGAGCTTCTGACCCGAGACTAATCCGAGTCAACATGCAGGCATGGTTTGAATCGGGAGGTAGCGTGAGTTATTAAGCTCATTCAGAGCTCCTACAGAACATACTACCACATATGGGGTTTGACCAGTCAACCACAGGGGATGGGGGGGTAAGGGGGAGAGAAGAGAGGGAGGGGAAAATAGGGGGGAATAGATAATAGGTACATAGGAGAGATTGGACTAGTTGAGCCACCCAGACGGGAGGAAACCTCAGAGGAGGACTGTGTAGAAGTGGAGAGAGAGGGCCACATCCAATTGGGGAGGAAGAAACCCACCCTAGTCAGGAGGGGTTTCCTCAGAAGATCACCTAGACTGTCCAGTAGAACTGATGAATCATCTGATGAGTGGGGGACTAAAGAGATGAATGATATATTTGAGACGGACGCCACATCGGACGAAGACAGGGAAGGAGATGAAACGGAGGTGAACAAAACCCAAGGGGCAGGAATAGAAGGGGGACTGAGGAGATGTAATCGTCTGGGGAATGGAGAGGGGGAGGAATCAGTGAATAGGGGAAAGGAGCTGAACGGAAGGGGGAGGGAAGAGAGGATGCGAGGGAAACAGAGTGAGAGCAGGGAGAGAAGGAGCATAAGACTTAGAGTTGCAGCGATGATCTTGGGTAAGGAGGAGGGATGAGAAGGGCAGATGGGCAAAAACACCAAGGGGCGTGAGCTCGGAGGAGGAGGCCACTAAGAGCGGGTCTGAGCACACAGTGAGCTCAGACCGAAGAGAGAAGAGTAGGCAAAAGAGGAGGTTAGAGAGACTGAGTCTGTTGAGGACTCAGCGGGGGATAGACAGTGATGTGCAGGACTCCAGTATGGAATTGTAGGGGGGTTGGAAATAGTCCTACTCAATGTAGAGTTAGAAACCTAACTAGTCAACAGAAATTAGAAATTGTAGCGCTTTTAGAACCCATGATAAATTTAGAAAAAGCAGGAGATATTAGGAGAAGATTAGGATTTGAAAACATGTGATGCAACCCGGATAACCAAATCTGGTTATTATGGACTGAGCATGTTACGATTACATACCTGAGTCACACAGACCAGTGTGCTTCATTCGATGTCTCTACCTATGGGAAAAGATGGATCCTCACAACCATCTATGCCTCTTATGATGCAAAGCACAGACGAAACGTATGGTAGGCTCTAAGTTCATTAGGCCTGACACAAAATCTCCTGTGGATAATAGCAGGGGATTTCAATATCATTAGATGTTGTTCCGAAAAGATAGGGGGGAATAGAGGTATTAGGTCTCACCGGGATGAATTCAATAAATTCATTGATGACCAAGGCTTTATGGAACCCAGTCACCAAGGGGACATGATGTCCTGGTGTAATGGAGTTAAAGGTAATGCACGCATATACCAAAAGACTAGATAGATGTCTAATTAATCCCAAGTGTATGGACTTATGCCCCATTAGAGCCCAATATTTACAGAGGCTAAATTTTGATCACTCTCCCCTATTAATTAATTTCAATCAAAACAAAAGGACTGGTGGATCGCCATTTCGCTTTCAAAATATGTGGGTACGACATGAAGGCTTCATTGAGTTTGTAAAACAAAGATGAGGTGGGACAGTTTCTAACTGCCCACTAGTCAATTTTTCCTACTGAATTAGAAATATTAAGCAAGCCCTAAGATTGTGGAATAAAGATATTTTTGGGAATATTATCGTGAGATTAGAGGCTGCAGAGAAAGGCATTAAGGAGCTGGAGATTAGTCTACAAACATGATGGAATGAGAATATTGAAGCAGAATTTGTAAAGAAAAATGAGGAAATGGAGGAGATTCTGCTCCAAAATGAAATTTTATGGTGCCAGAAGGCTAGGATAAAATGGTTGAAGGAGTGAGTTCGAAACACTAAATTTTTTCACATGACAACAAGAATTAGGAGCCAATCAGCCCACTTCCAGGAGTTAAGGAATTTGAGTAGGATGAGGATCGTTTAATGGAGGCAGGAAGAACTTATTTTGAGACACTGCTCAAGGTGAAGCAGACTTTAGGCAATATGGAATGGTTAGATTACATCCCTAAATGTGTATCACAGGAACAGAATGATGGTTTGTGTTGCCCCCCAGACAATGAGGAGATTAAGAAAACCCTGTTTGGTATGAAGATAGATAATGCCCCTAGACCTGATGATATGGGCGTTAATTCTTTCATAGCCTATTGGGACATAGTCAGAAAGGACTTGTGTGAGGCGATTAAGGAATTTTTGTGTAAATCTATCCCACCACTCACGTGGAAGTCCACATTCATAGCACTTATCCCTAAAACCTTGGCCCTAAAATCCTTTGCAGATTTTAGACCAATTAGCCTATGTAATGTCTACTATAAGGTAATTTCGAGGTTGGTTAGTAGACGACTGAAACATATTTTACCATTGATTATCTCTCAAGAATAGGGGGCATTTGTAGAAGGGAGGTTAATACAAGAAAACGTGGCACTTGTATAGGAGATGACTCAATCCATCAACGCATGGATTTCAGGATTAAATGTGATCCTGAAATTGGATATGGAAAAAGCATCTGATCATTTAGAATGGTCATTTCTATATCAGGTCTTAAGAAAATTTGGATTTGAGGATAGATGGATTAACTAGATCCATACATGCATTGAAGGAAATGGTTTACAAAGGGTTGAGACAAGGAGATCCTTTGTCCCCATCCCTGTTCATTCTGGTGGAAGAGGTTTTGAGTAGAGGCCTCAGAACCTTGTTTGCAAAATAGAGTATTCAACCTTTCTTTGTGAAAAGAGACTGTCCACTGATCAATCACTCTTTATTTGCAGATGACACCGTCATCTTCTTAAATGGTAAGGAGAAATCTTTACGAAGATTGATCTCTTTCATCAAGGAATATGAACAGGCTTCATGGTAGAGAGTGAATGAGAAGAAATCGAATTTCTTTTCTTTCTATTAGACACATCCCCACCTAGTACACTTAGGAGAGTCCAAGAGATTACAAAGTATAGAAGAGGATGCCCAATATTCAAAAGACTTAAAAAAAACCATATTTCGAGTCAATAGTAGGAAAAATCTCTAGAAGATAAGGGGTGGAAGGCAAAAATTCTGTCACCAAGGGCAAGGGTGACCCTAATCAAGCATGTGTTAAGTAGTATTCTTATACACATGTTGATCATGTATGACATTCCGGCTGGTACTTTAGATAGAGTAAACAAACATATGGTCAATTTCTTATGGGGTGGGAGTAAGGAGAAGAAAAAGATGCATTGGATTTTGTGGCGAAATGTTTATACTCCACAGGAGGAACGGGGGCTAAGAATCCATGACCTAGATACACAAATGCAAGCCATGAGGATGAAAATGGCATGGAGATGTAAATCCGGAGGATCTCAATGGGCAGAATTAATGCAAAAGAAATTTGAGAGATGGGCAAATGACATGATGGAAATAAAGGGACTGACTAATTGGAGGAAATTATAGAAAAAATAGAGATGAGAAATTCATTTTGTAGTGAGTAGGACCAGGTGATACAAATGTCTGGATGGAAAATTGGTTAGGGTTGGGGATAATAGGTGAGCTTTACCCAATCAATACAAATAGGCGACTTTTGATTGTCTGACAGATCAGAAACAAAGATTAGAGGCACATGCTTATTGCTTAAGGAGTCCCCCGGAATGTAATAGGGTCACTAGATCTAAACTCAATATCCTCGCATGAGAGAAAGGATAGAGGGATATGGACACTTACCCCACATGGGGAGTTTTTGCAGGTTCAGCATAGCAAGAATTTAGAGAAAAAAGGGAGGTAAAACCCTGGGGAAAAGAGATATGACACAAATGGATCCCCACAAAAATATCATTTTTCTCTTGGAGATTATTTCATGAAAGATTGATGTTAGATGATAATGTTAAAAAAAGGAGCATAGTACTATCATCGAAATGTGTTTGTTGTTGCAGGTTTCCCCAAAAGTAGAATGATCAGCACTTATTTTTTGAGGGAGAATGGGCAAGGCAATCATAAGAATGGGTCATAGAGACATGGCATCTACCAAACAGAACCTAGAAAAAATATCATCAATGGCTACTATTTTTCTTTAGAACCCAAAGGAAAAAAACCATGATGGTCGTCCTACTTGGAATTAGCATTGCCTACCTATTATGGGAACTGTGGAAAGGGAGAAATGACGTTAGAATGGGAGATAAGCAATGTGCGCCAACATTGATTATGTATAGAGTGAAATAGTGGGTGAAGGAAACAGCAACTAGGATGAATAAAAAGTTTCCACTCACACATTCAGGGCAAAGTGTAATTAAAAATTCGAGAATAAAGATGCCGTGCTTCCAAAAAAAGCTTTCTTTTGAGGTAGTGATGTGGAACCCACAAGAGGACTCCATCAAACTGAGTGTGGACAGAGCATCATTGGGTACTAAGTGCATTTCAGAAAGCATATGGGAATGACACCAATATGGTGGCAGAATGCAGGGCTATGGCAGATGGACTCATTATGTTCCTCTGTTCGTCTAAATGCTGTTGAAATAGAAACAGACTCTTTATTGTTAACGTCCATGATGTACTCCAAAACATGTAAATTATGAAAATTAAGCAAATGATGGCAGCAGATTTTAGGCAATCTACATGTGGTTTGTAGGATAAGACACCAGGTCAGAGAATGCAATGGGCCAGCAGACTATTTGACAAAGAGAGGGGCCAAACAACAAAGGAGAGATCCTTCAGCAACCTACAAAAATTCCCATAAGAAGTTAGAGGCATGTGCAAACTGGACAGATAGGCGCCTCCCCTATGAATGTGATGTAGAGCAGGTGTCAATGAAAATGAATGATGATGGAAATCAATCCCACGAGCAACCAACATGAAGCTGCATTCCATTGCTGGAAAAGAACAAACTACTAGGGATCATGAGATCCTTACAAAAGGGGTGAGGACCTAATTTCTGTAGATACTAAATTGCATGTGGAGAACTTTTTGCAGGTAACAGAGGAGGCCGGATGGAGGTGCACTTAACCTGTTTTTCTCTAGGACCTCCCAAGTATATCAAAAATGGGCTAGAGGTGAGAAACATCAGCGACTTGACCAAACAGAATTACTGTAGTGCAAGTCCAACGGTCTACCCACCAACAACCTACCTCTGGTGTCTGGAAAAAAAAAAAAAGAAAGAAAGAAGGGGCAGTGTAGGAGAGTCTGTGGAAATGGAGTGAAAGCGCCAAAAGTTGATAATTCCCTAATCCTCCCCTACCAAAAAAAGAAAAAAAAAAGAAACATATGGAAGGAGTAAGCAGGGTAAATCCGTGAGGAAAAAGCTACCCATCTCACCCAAATCCCCACCTATCCAAAAAAAAAAAAGGGAAGAAGAAGGAAGGAGAAATTGGACACCAGATGGTTTTGGCCAAAAGGGGGAGGACCTGTGAGATTAAGCACAGCAGTAACAACTGAATGGCAAGGACCTCTATGTGACTCCCAAGGCCCATGAAGGTACAACAGGAGAGACTGGTGAAACGACAAAATGAATCCTTCAGAAAAGCTCAAATGTGTTGCCAACAAAAGAGGCCAAACCCCGCTAATCATGTATCTCAACGAAACAAGCCTCAACCCCCCCCCCCCCCCAGTACTCTGGAAAAGAGCGTCCTGTGTATCAACTATGTTCATCTATGCAAACTCTTTTTTAGAAAAAACAAAAAAGAACAACAACAAATGTAAGTTAAATTATTAAAAGCAAGAGTTATAATAATAAGGGCCATAGTGTTAATAGCAGAACCTCAACACTTTATCACAGCCGCCCGCTAGGGAGATAGATTCGGTGGTCAATCCACAGAAACAATGAAAAAACTTGGCCATGATGATTATAACAATGGACATTATAACATGTGCCATAGGGTTGATTACAAAAGGTCACCATTTTTACACAACTATTCACTAGAGACTTAGATTCGGTGGCAAATAGACTCTGAGGGCAGGGGCTTCTGACGAAATCCCAAGGGCATCACCATGCTGGATTGGAAAGACCACATGTGAGCCATCAACATATATGGCTCCCTCTTTAGAATACCACATGGCTTGCATAGTCTCACCAGCTTTAATTAGCCCATGCATCGAGCCCCTATCCTTTGGAAAAATTGGCTCTCTTACCATATACTGGAGGTCTGCTGAAGAGATTGGCATGGGAAATCCACCTGCTGAGGCCATAGCAGCAGTCGACCCTGTGGCGGTGCAAACCCGAAGCCCACTTGAGCGGCAGTGCCCCAGAGAAGAGGCCACTTCGACCCGAGACATGATCCTTTCAGGGAAATCAACAAGAGATTCGCACTTGAGAATCGATGTTTAGACCCCAGATTGAGAAATTTCAGCTTCTGAGGTCCTTAGTATACCTGAATGAGAAACGAGATACTGATGCGGGGCAGGGATGTGCGATGAGAACATCGTTCAACGCAAATGTCGGTAGAAGATGGTTATTCAAACTCATAGAAATCCTCGATAGACTGGAAGGAACACAGTGACCGTTGAGAACTTCGTCCAGTACCTTTTGATGAAGATGTTGGGATGAGGAGGCAATTGAAGGCATAACAATAAGATGAGGCCAGCGTCAGTCTCCCAACAATAAGATGAATAATGGATCAGGAGATTCTGAGCATAATCATCCGGAGATCTCATAAAGGATCTTATCTTATGTGGATGAAAACGATTATTAAAGGAAGAACTCACAAAGAACACATCTTACCTGCTCAAAGTTCTCTGCTGTGGCTGCACATAGATAGCCAGTGCTCCTTCTTGCATCGAACTCATTATTGAAATTCTCAACCTGCAGGAAGGAAATAAAGCCAGAGATTACCCAGTGAACATGTGAACAACATCTGGACCTCTGGACCTCTGACCAAAGTAACCTCTTTACTCTGTGTTGGGTCCGAGTTGACTCCAAGAACTGGAATGTCGCCATCCAGGAAGTGACTGGCCCGCAGTAGAGTCCCATCACCACCAACTGTGACTACAATGTCCACACCTCGGATTGGCCGGGATAAATCATTCCGTATCACTGGCTGCCATTCAAGCGACCTCCGTTGTAAGATATCCTGACAGAAGTTGACCGTTTCCTTATGGACCCTGCATCTGTCATCCAGGTAATGAAGAATCTACAGCAAGATGAAATCAAAATGTAGAAACAATGCTGGATCAGTGTGAGAACTTAACTACTAGTGCTAAAAATAATTTAGTTACAGGCAGAATGCTATGCTTCACCAGGAACATGTACATAGATGGAAAAAATAGAATTTTTCAATGGCCTCAGCTTGAGACGTATCTAGAAATATGTGAAGAAAAGAGCAATAAACTGATATGGAAAAAATACCAAACTGCTCTTATGATCTAGAGATTAGTTTAGAAGATATGTAGCCATCAATAAGCAGCAATACTCTTATGAGTGTATTTTTCTCTCCCATCAACCAAACACCTTCTGATAAAGATTTGTGTTGTTGCTCCTGAATGAGGTTTAGACATGCTTAGCAGGAAGAAACTGAGACATTCTAAAACTACGGAATTCACCAAGACGTGCATTTGCTTCCTTTGATATAGTTTTATTATATAGCCGTGAACTGATGTAGAACGGACATGCAACCCAGAAAAAAAAAAATGCTTAGAAATACTCTGGAGCGCATATTTTTAAGATTAACAGAACAAATCCGGTTCCTATTTCGTCTATGTTTTCACTGATCCTCTCGCATTCAGCTTCAACTCCCATCAATATGAATCTTCTCTTGCCTCTCTTTTACTTCTACGCGCATGTTCCCACTTCTTTCATCTGAAATCAACGTAAAAACTCTTCCTTGTCCATGGTTCCTTCGGTTCTCCAAGCTAAAATTTACAGATTCACAGAGAGCAGAAACTCCCACATAGACGACCGCCACGATGATCCAGAAAGAAAACAGAAAGCCACCAAGGTTTCTTACCCGTGGGTTGACGACCCGCGACAGATCGGGGGAGGAAGGAGGGCATGACAACGGCCCTTCGAGCTCTTGAACCGCCCTCGGGGGGTAGACATCGGAGGGTTTCAGCACCAGCAGCACTCGCCATCGGCGAAGAGCTTGCATACCCCTTCTCTTCTCCTCCTCACCTTGCGCCTCCCCTCTTCCCGCCGCCTTCTGCCCCTTTCTCTTCTCCTCCATACCGCTCCCGAGAAGCCCATTTCTCGCCTAACGAAGCCCATTGTAGAGCCCAGCAGTGCATTAATAGTGCTACTAAGCCCATCGTCGAAATTACATTTATATTCTTTGCAAAAATGCACCCTCATAAGTTAGCTATCATGCATCGGCCCTTTTTCTCCCAAATGTGAGGGCATGAAACGAACAAAGTATAAATCAGCGTCTTAACATTTTGGTCTTCAGAGACGTGTAAAACATAAGAATAAATACCCTAGAATTAGGGGTAGAATAGTAATCCCAAAAAGTGTTATAAAGCCAATTAAGCCAGATTTGTGTCCAGCACTGACAAAAAAGAAAGTAAATTTGGCACACAAAAGGGGTCTTTCGATGATTGAAGAGTTTTACTGGGTACGAGGGGATAATCCGGCCATCTCAGGCCATTTCGTCATGTCAGGCCATCAGTGGATTGACCAACGAGAAAAGCTTAAAGAAAGGGACAAGCTTCTACAGCAAACATGAACCAGAGGAGCCCAGACACCCAACACTAGCGAAGTCAACAGCCCAGGCGGGAGGAGAGAGAGAGAGAGAGGGAGAGGGAGACCCAGGTCAACGAGAATCGGAATTTTCATTCCTCCTCTTCTGCCTCCTCCAGCCAGTTAACAAACGGCTCCAGCGCCTTCACGAACGTTTGCCTGCCAAAGATGCGACAAGCCAATAAAAACTATACAACCCACATTGTACTTACTGCCAGAATAGAGAGAGAGAGAGAGAGAGAGAGAGAGAGAGAGAGAGAGAGAGAGGGTACCTGCCCTTTGGGAGAGTTCCCTTCCTGAACCAGAGGAGGACAGTATCCTCGGCGAGGACATCCTGGTCGTAGAGGGACCTCACGATCTCGGGGAAGAGCTTCATCAGCTTGGCATCGTCGTAGCACTGCCCCTGCACCTTGTACATGAGCTCCAGCTCCAGCCTCCCGCTGGTGCAGAAAGTGCTCAGCAGCCCCGCCCACGCCTTCACCTGCCACATCCCTCCCCCAACCGCCCCATCATTTCCAAGCTCCTCATACCTCCTTTAGAGAGAGAGAGAGAGAGAGAAAGAGGAAAGAGAAACTCCAACATCAACGGGCGGCGCTCACCTGGCGGAGAGCGGAGTTGGCGTTCTGCTGCTGGTTCTTCCCCGACCACTGGACGGCGTCCATCAGGGCGTCCCACAGAATGCGGACCACCTCCAAGTCGGGGATGTTCCCGTCCTTGGAGCGCTGCTTGACGGCCTCCACCACCTCTGCAATGTCGGCCTCCTCCGTTATCAGAGTCGTCAAGGCCGACTTCATCTCCTTCAGCTTCACCTCGAACACCATCTTCTCGTTGTACTGAACCAGAGCCGCCAGCCCTTCCTTGCTGCAGTGAAGAACACCACACAGCCGCCAGAGATGAAATGGGAATCCTCAGCGGAGATCAAAAGCACTATGATCTGACCCACTGTCTACGAAATTGTCGATTATATAAAAATTAAAGCTTTTCCATGCAGCTCAGGAGAGGGTGAAAAAAAAAATCCTTCATATTTACCTTCATTGATCCAGATCGATCTCTCAATAGAAAATATTATCATATGATCATTAAAAAAAAAAGGATTTTTTTTATTAAAGAAAAAATACTCACATGAAATGCTCGGAGAACGCCTCGCTAGTGCGCTTTGCAGGTGGGAAGAAATCGAGCAGGTTGTCCTCCATCTTTCCCCTCTTCAGAAGCGAAATCAGATCATCCAGACTGTTATCAACCAAATACTCCTTGAAAAAATCGGTTATAAACGATAGAACTATCCCTTTGGCCACAAGATTATCCTTAACGAGGGATTGGAATACGGTCTCGGGTGGGAGCCCAGACAGCTTCTGGGAGAAGGTGAGGGCAGTAAATATTGCGAGCTTCTTCCTCTCATTCTCCTCAAAGAGCTCCAACGACTGCAAGAACCTCCGCATGACATTTTCGAGGTTTTTAATCAAGAAAGGCCGCCGGCGCAGGATTTTCTGGATGTACAGAACCGACGGCAGTATGGACTCGCGCCTGGGCTCACAGTCTAGAACAGAGTAGGTGTGTCTGTCTCCCTCATCAGCCTTTATTGTGCCAGGCTGTGTGCGCCCTCCAGTGAAGACGACCTGAACAGAACACGAGATGATCCACATCACGAAGAATACACACGAGGAAGATGAGGAAAAGTTGCATTATTTGTGGCCGAGAATCATAAATATGGAAAATATGAAAATATGAAAAATGGAAAATATGAAAAATGGAATGATGGGACAATATATGCTTCTGACATCGACTCTGATCACATGTTTATTAGCCCTTAAAATCCTCTCTCAATGAAGAACCAGAAGCTCAGGATTTTCTTTTTTCTTCCTGCAACAAAAGTATAGAATTATTTAATTAAAATTATGAAAGAACGGAGATTATGAAAGATGAGATGGAAGACATTTTAGATAAAATTATCTAAAATTATTCTAGAATTTTCCCATTTTAGAAATGGGAGACATTTGAGATAAAATTATCCAAAATCATTTTAGAGTTTTTCCCATTTTAGAAATGGGAAACATTTTAGATAAAATTATCTAAATCATTTTAGAATTTTTCCCATTTTAGAAATGGGAGACATTTTAGATAAAATTATCTAAAATCATTTTGGAATTTTTACCATTTTAGAAATAGGAGACATTTTAGATACATTTTAGACATTTTAGCTAATTCGACTTCCCTGGCCCATTAAGAGACATTTTAGATCTATTTTTTTCCTTGGAGATTAGAGGAGCTCTACAAGGACTGCGCTCCTCTGCTTTCTTTTGGTGCCGCTGCACTAGAACTTTTGCTTCTGTCCAACAAGTGAGGATTCAATCCCCACCCTCAGTCAAGGATAGCTTAATTTGGCAATGTCCACGTCCTCCAAATAAAATATTTGCATCAACCAGTCAACCACATTCAGCTTGCCACAGAGATAAGACAACTGCACCCTTCACTTTTCTCTGTAACAACTGTTTTTACGCAAATCAGCAGCTAAGAAAGATCGGACGGGAAGGGAGGTTTCTTGTTTCAAAACTTTAATTGATCTATATAATCAAAATAACCAAAAAAAGATAACCTGCCATGATGTCACATGGAAAAGCATGCCAACACGAACTACAGGAAGAACAGAATCACAACACCAGTGTCCGAAATGGTTGGCATCAAAATCAGAGGGAATATATCTTGCATAACGCAAGTGCATCGTAAGATTTTCGGCTCGAACACAACAATTTTAAACAGTAGTTTCTATATAGAACAGTGACATTCACATCAAAAGAGGAATTTTTCAAAGCAAAAGGAAATATCAAAGCCAATAGTTAAACTTAGCAGATTAAAACGCGCTGCATCTCCATGAACTGGAAAAGAATACCAAGAAGATAATCGGCAAGAGAAAAATAGAGATCGAACTCATAATTTTACCTCAAAAAAGGTATCACCGTAGCGGGAGAAGTTGAGATCTGAAGATTCAAGGCTTTTGGCAACAAGTTCCTAGGAGAAATGAAGAGCACGATGAGCAAAAAATCAAAACGTCAACATAACTAACTAAGAACAATTGGGCTATAGTTTTATCAGCGAAAATTCACATTAAAAATATAGCATGAAAAGCACGCTAACAAAACAAGACTATTCGGCTGAGAACAAGATTTAAATAATAAAAGAAAGGTAAAAAGTGAGATTTGAAACAATCAGCTGTTATTGTTTCCCAACAGAATGTCAGGTACGCAATAGCAACTACTTATTCAAAAGGTATAAACAGAAGACATTTTTCAAATAGATGAAATATCAGTTCGTCATCACTATCTAAAATATCATATAATTCTATGAAAAGAAATAAAAAGACAAATGAGAACAGATACCAGATCACCAGCATTATCCACATAAATCTGGACCAGTACATCAGCGAATCCTGCAGGATCCAAGGGAGCCGCTATGTTCCGTTTGCGGGTCTTAATCCGCGTGCCACTGAGAGGAGATAACAAAAGGAACCCAACAAGTAAGAACTCATTCTGAAAATGAGAGGTAAATGAAGTACTCCATACAACCAAAGGATTCTACAGAACTTATCATAAACCATTTCTAATGAAAGCATTGATGTGCGAAAGAAAAAAACTGTATCTCATCGCACTGGACTCATGAAAATGCTAGAGCCACAAGTCACAGCCAAACAAGTGAGAAAAGAATCTAATAAGGTTATCAAAGGAGTAGATCACACGGTAACGTTGAAAGGGTCATCATGCTCCGTTAAATAAATCGCCAGACACAAAAAATGATCCAGGACAGTATACAATCCCAAACAAGGTGCATAACTGATATCACCATCAAGCCCCATAAGATCATAAATTTGGATTGGAAATAAGACCCCTGGAACAAGGAAAGACGAGGTAAAACGGGTATAAGGAACATATTAAAAGGATAGTGATCAATAGGCCCTGTGATGGCAAATCGTATGTGAATATGCTCTACACAGCAACCTTTATCGGTTTTCACAAAACACTTTGTCCAGCAGCGATATAAAATACATTGTTTTAAAAAATATAGAATACTACTACGATATACACGTTCCTTAGGAAAGAGGGCATAACCATTTGTATAAATATTTAACACGTGTAACCACGTCTTATATCACTGTTTTGGCTCTTATAGCCACAAAAAATGCTCTAATTTTGTGATCTATACACAGCCACAAGCAGTGCTATAAGAGCAGTGTAATATGCTCGAGAGCCATATGACTCTACATCCAACACAATGCAAAACATAATGTTCGATCACTGAAATGCACGAACAGAAGCACACACGTGGTAAGAGAAAAAAAAATCAGCTACCATAATCGAGACAGACTATGACAGAAAATTCAAATATATAAGCCGTTGATTAACACGTGCTTGATCTACAAGTAATTATCAATTAAGAAATTGAAATTTTAACTAAATATTTCAGGCTACATATAAATAAATATTAAGAAACAATTAGGCTACATGTAAAGTAACAACAGTCTGTTAGATCACGAACCAGATATTAGTGTACTCCACAATAAAAGCCTTGTCCGGAAAGTCCTTTGTAAATATTACCTCTATCTGATCCCTCCTTTAATTATCTTTTAGACGGTGAACAATTCCAAAAGGCAATTCTATCAGAGGATTCCCTGGTTCTTAACACACAAAGGACTTCGGTAGCATGTGTACAATGTATGAAGAACCAGGTAACGTAACATTTCAAAGCATATTACGAAGAAAACATGAAAAAGAACAGATGACAGATGCTAGATGTAAAATATACAACATCACTAAGACTAATGGTGATAGACCTTTCATAAATGATCATTTACCAAACCAAATGTAATTGATATAGGACCAAGGATCTTCTGTCGATTATCAAAATTGATATTCAACATGCACAATATCAACTCCCCACCACCCCCATCAAATTTATCTTTCTATCATACTCTTTCTTGAAAAAAAATGGAGCCATAGTTCATCACGGACTATCCAACTGTTTTCCTTAATATCCATCAAAAGGCCGAAATTGCGCTTCACATATGATACTTTACTGCTGCTAGCCCTCTCCTTTAACTAAAAGCATAAGTTTTTGTTGAATCACCACTCACGATTCTAAAAATCTACTTTAGCACGCTTCTTTCAACCATTCTTGTCATGCCTAAATAAAGTTTCTCGAAACTCAACACACCAACCATACTGTATCGTTGGTTTAATTACCATTTTCTAGGCCTTCTCCTTCAATGGTGTTGAAATATGAAGGTCATCCAAATATGAAGGTCTCCAATTTAGACAAATTATGGTGACTGTGTGCCACCCATTTTTAGTAGCTACATAATTCATTTTACGAATCGATTCCTCCCTCAACCACCAAGAATGGCATACAAAGAATGAGAGGAAACAAGGTAATTATATGAGTCACACGTTTACAGAAGAAACAATACCGCCATGATTTCCTGAACGGGATACGATAAAGGTTGCCAACACTTTTAGAGAGAAGCCTAAATGAGAAACTGTTCGAGTTTAGGGATTGTATCAATTTACCCAAGAGTGGGTTTCTCCTTCGAGCTGCAAAGCGGAAAAAATAAATCCAGTTAGATCACAATGACAATAATTGAAATAGTTCAAAAGAAAACCCAAACTTTCGGCAAGCGACAAATTACTATCTGATACAAAAAGGATCGCCCATATTTGATCCAAATACGAAAACGGCAAATTATGAAGATCGCCCCCGATCGCCCGATCCGAGTCCATATCAGGGTTTGAGAGGGTTGGGCGTTGCCCCCGCCAAAATAAACAACCCATCTCGTGTGCAACAAGAAAAGAATACACATCTGACAGACCAAAAAATACGAATGAAAGAATCGAAGAAGGAGGGGGAAAACACCCGAGGCAACCACAGAACGCACAGAGACCCCTCCGCGATCGGAAAACTCGGACAAGCAAAGAAAAGCCATAAACAGAACCGAAAGGATCAGCGGGACAACGATTGCCACAGGCATCCCCTTCCAGCTTTACCTCATAAACCACGACCGCGGGAGGATCGGAGCAGGGGAGACGAGTCGAAGGGGAGGAGGGGTCGAGCAGCTACCGGGTCGTGAGAGCCTGTCTGTTTCCGACTTCGAGCCGGGGGACGAACTCCAGAGCACATATTTCCACGGGAATCGGGAAAAAATAATTAATAATCAAGTAATTAAGTCGTCGGCATGACGTCATCATCGAGCGAGTCCCACACGCAGCCTCTTTCCATGATATTACCATTTCTGGTAGCACATTGAAAATATGGGAGCCATTTAAAGAAGTATCATAGAAGTCCTTAAAACTTTAGGGTATATAAAAAATTATTGAATTTATTTAATCGAGAACGGGTTATATTTTCATTGAATTTGGTTCAACTGGGTAAATCCTTGGTATTTAATAAATAAATATCTCCACCCCACCCTATTAATTGGGAGGATATTTTTCTGGAAAAATAAGTGGGAAGAAATATAGTAGGGACTGAAGAGTAAAACAGACTTTAATTAAAGTAAATCAAAATTAATTTGGGTCCGAGTTTTTCGAACGTTGACCACAAAAAGTCAGACCCAATAGCACAAAGTCAAGCGCCCCCCCACTCCCTCTAAGGCTGATTAGCAGCCAATCAATCACTCTACCACAAAGCCACCCCATCCTTGGTACTTCTTCATGTCTAGCTGACCTTCTAGCCTGGCAGCAGGTGGGCCACACCGCCACATCAGCACGCATCCCACTCCAAGCATCCATCCTGCTGCATACTTCCATGTTGATGGGGAAGTCCTGGAGTGTTTGTGGCAATTTTGAGTGGGACCCACCAACCAGGCTCTGACCTTTGACCATCAGCGATCATGTAAGAGAAGGCATATGGTAGCCTTGTAAACACCTTCGTTGACTAAAAAGCGTGCTCACAGGATCAAAGGGCAGAGATAAGAGCATTTACACTAATGATTTAAATATAAAAAATAAAACCATAGCTGTGAATAATCTACCAGATGGTCTGATGCCATGGAACAGAGATATCAGTTCATCATTTCGGTATAAAAATAGCGCGTTGACTTTTGATGCATAAACACTGCCTGATTAATTATAGAGTTTTTTTCCAAGCCACTGAACCACCTTAGCTTATAAACCACTCATGAGTATGGATTGAATGTCTTCAGATTCATATCTGAGACCACTCAGATCATCCGAAAAAAATAATAATAATAAATAAATCTCTAGGGAAGTGAAAGAAATCTCTTGGGGTGAACCAAGCTTCTGTGATCTGATATTATTCACCAAATAAACGCATGTTTCAGTGAACTGAAAGTATCAAATGATCTCTTCAATGAGTACTGGCGAGCAGAAACCCTTCTTTAGAACAATGTGGTGGAAGATATTATCCATGCAAAGTGCGAGAGATCTCATCCGGATTGAGACAGATTTTCAAAAGTCCAGCTCCAGGAAACCTTGTCAAATTTTCCGCATGCTTCAAGAGAAATGATTCTTAGAAGGTTCAAATGTAGGATGATCGGGGGATTTCCATGACAACAATGGATCTTGAATCCTTGTCTAAGAGAGTGAGATTTTGATCAGCCAGATTCACAGTGATGCAGATGCAGATGTAGTTTTGAGAATCTCGAACGGAAGAGCTTCACCAGGCCGGCATTGACGAATATCATCAGAACAGAAATTTCCGCATCAGGCGCCGTAGTTTCCCGAATGCAGATGCTGCTCTTGTCGAAAGCACCGCGGTGCATCCATGGAGAGAAGAGAAGAGGATAAAACAAGAGAATCCTAAACCTAACCAGCGCTCGCATTAATTTGCAGGCAATCCTCGAAGAAGAAGGAGAAGAGGAGAGCAATATTGCCGGGAAGCATCCCCAGAAGCGTCCGCGGTGGATGCTTGCAACTTCTCACCGGGAATCTCACTCGGAAGAATGAGCGGTGGCGGCGGCGGCGACCCCGTCTTGTTGGGATCGCAAGGACTTCTCCTCCTCTTCCCTCAGGAGCTTCTCCATGTCCCGCAACCGCGTTCCCACGACGCTGGTGACGAGAACTGGCGATCGAGTTGGAGAAGGGCGAGCAGGAAGAAAGAAGACGGCGGAGGAGGAGGTGAGAGAGAGCGGCCATGAGAGATACAGCAGAAGTGGAAGCAGGGGGTGGGGGGATCACCTGCGGCAGTTCCGAAGGTCCACACCCAGAGGATCTTCAACCCCGGGCTCTTCTCCCTCCACCTCAACATCCCCTCGAACTGGAGCCTTCGTTCCTCACCTGGACAAGCCTCGACTCGAAGTGTGAGAAGCAGCCTCTCCCGATGAAACTCTCTCTCCCCTCTCTCTCTCTCTCTCTCTCTCTCTCTCTCTCGCTAGCTGAGAAAAAAAATCGATTCTTTACAACGAGGAGACTATATTTAAATAAGGATAAGGGAAATTTTTCATAAAAATAAAATATTATCCTGAATTAAAAATAAAAAATATATTCATCCTTTTCTTAATGTCAGCATGCAATATTAGGGGAGTTATCTTTGTCAACCTCAATTCCTTCAGCCCAATCCTCCTCATACATAAAAAAAATTATACATTTTTTAAAAATAATTTATAGTATTCACACCACTAATCTGATATTGATCTCCCAAGCACAAAATCAAAATGACTATAGTTAGTTCATCTTTCTGTTGTATTAATCACAAAAAAACCATGTATTTTCCATTTATGTTCTATATAATTTTCTACAATCATGAAGGTTGATACTAATTGGTACCCGTAAAAACTATCTTTACACTAGCAACCTATCATACCACACTACACTTGGTAACTTAGCATCTCCACAGATTTCGTGGTATGAGTAAGAAAAATATTGATTTTTTTTACTCTAGTTCTCTAATTTAGTATTATTTAAGATTTTTCTAATGTTATATAACCTCTAGTCTTGATTTTTTGGTCTTGTAAGTATGAGATGCATCAATATAACCCAAAGCTTGTCATTTTTACTAACCAATTTTGGGCCATACTACAGCCTCACTCTTTGCACTATCCCAAAATAATTGGAAGAAAGGGTACAAAAGTCTAAGCCAAGCAATGTATGAAATTATAGATTTAATCTTTTTAATCAGAAATATGGACCCATTTAATGCACTCTCCTCATGTAGAGATTGACTTTTTGGGTTTTGTCACGTGGATAATATCAGTGATGTCTACACAATTCAGCCATTTATAAAGTCAACATTAGGAATGAAAATTGTAAGGCCACTTATGGTAGCACGAATAATTAGTATATTGCTACTTTGTTATTTCTCCATTTAAAGATGCCAACTTTACATCTGGAATCTGTGCTCCTAGCTAGAGAGAGAGAGAGAGAGAGAGAGAGAGAGAGAGAGAGAGAGGGAGTTTACAAAGAATGACTTTCTTCACATGAAGCCATATATCATAGTATAAATACAATTACAAGAGGCTGAGGGTGCATTCCAAAGAAACCTTGGTAAAAAAATAAACTAGGGCAGCTGGAGGTTGCCCATGGGGAGATGAACAAAAGAATATGCACAATGCATTGCCCTTCTGAGCTCCCTCTTCAACATATTACACCAAGTACTCTTTAGTTAACTGGCATGGCTGAAAATTCTCCATGATGTGAATCCCATTCCAGTAGACCTCTAAAGCCAAAGATTCCAAAATCCATGTCCTGAAAAGGGGACAATATGAGACCAGATAACTGAGGGAATATGATACAGCAGCAGATGATCTTGAGCCAACCCAAAAATATCAATCTGGGTAGGCATCATCTTCTTGAGTAGCCATCAACCAATGCCTTGATATTCCCTGGGGCAAAGAATCTTGCCTGTGTGAAAGAAGAGCATGAGGTGGAATTAGGCATTTGGTTATAAAGAGCAAACCAATATGCTTCTCTCAGGTTAGAATCCATAGCATAATGCCTTTTCAGAAGCTCGTTAATTGATACTTGATTATTAGCTCCACTGTGGATTAAAGAGGTGTCAGACGATTTAAACAGCCAATCGCTCACCCAATGCAGTTTTAGAAGCCCTTTTGGTCAGTTTTGAATGCCTGGGTTGTAAATAGTAGTCATAAGGTCTAATAATGGCAAGAAAAAACTTACTTGAATGAACATCCTTTCTGCATCACCAACATTACCATTTTGTTTTAAAATTATTCCCTGTGGAAGGACAAATTAAAGTTATCAAAAAAGAATTCCTAGCATGCGCAAAATTAATTAATATCCCAAATATGTGCTAATAGGGGAAGGAAGCTTGGTAGGATACGAGGGCCAAAAATCTCTTGACTATGATAAGGACTTTAATGGATGCCAGAAATAATTCACGGATTTTTTTTTGAAATAAATTAAACTATCAGAAAAAAAAAATTCAAAAGATGATGAGATTATGATATAATCTGTTAATTGAATGGCTCTCTTTCTGCGTGGTTGCACCATTCATTCTGTGAACTAAAGTCTTCTTAATTTAGTCAATTAATGTATTAGATCAAAAAGGCCTCGATTGTCTCATATTGTCATGTTAGTGAGTAGTTTATAATATGGGCTCATTGAACCCACACTAGATCTTATGGTGTGTGTTTCTCTCCTCTGTATATATCACTATAAATATTATGTATTTATATATTGTTGAGGGGACACATGATCCCCAGGATAACTGGTTATGTTCTAAAAAAAATTATGGATATATGCTGATAAATGTGTCGATACCACTTATGGCTGTGTCGATACATTCCGAAGATACTCATGTCGACAACCTCTTATTATATTTTCAGCTATGTGTCTATAACCTTCTAGGGTCTGGTATAAATAATCTTTTTGAAGTGAGAAAAAGGGTCCTTTCTGTTTGAACTTGGAGTTTTCTCCACGGGCACGAGGGTAGTATTTTCAGTGCACCAGACCTAGTTCGATCTACACATATATATAGCTGGGGACGAAGAATTTGGGATGAAAAAAAAAAAGGATAGGATCACTCAACAAGAACTATCATGATCAATGTGAGGCATCACAGATGACATGAGATGGGCCATTGCGAGACACAAGGCAGAAAGGTTGGCTCAGAGCTGCCAGATCCTTTAAGATCAATCTGTCACAACTCTCGTTATGAGTTTTCACTCGATGAATAACAAAGGGAGAAAAAGTTCGGTGGAAGATCCTGGTATATCCTACTACTTTTACCCTTGTTGTCCACGGCACAATGCTTTGCAATGGGTAGCCCTTCTCCCAACTGTTCACCTCGATTCTAGCTGACTGTGCAGATAATGTTGGAACTCCTCTAAAGAGGCTTCTTCTACCCCCATGTCAATAAAACATCAACTGCTATACTTTGGCTCTTTCTTCACCCCAAGTGTCTCTTTCTCCATTTTTCTTTATGATGTATCCGGCTATGGCTTTACCTCTGGAATCTACTACTCCAGCTTCAAGTCCACAATCCATTGTTGTAACTTTGTCTGCGGTGCCAAGCTCCTCAGTGACAAACCCCTTGATTGGTACTTACTCCTAGTTGTTCATCTCCATTCACAGGTAATGCTGCTGCCATTCAAATCACTCTTCAACTTAGATTATAACAAGGGCGTCTACAGTTCTGTTACAGCTCCAGAGTCTCTGTCTCCGGCTCACATTTGGAATCTACTGATCCGACTTCACCTCCCACATCTACGCTTCCAACTACAACTCCAGCCTTCATTGCTCTAGCTTCAGTTGAGATGTCCACTAAGTTAGCTTCAGATCGAGCCTCTATTTCTTTAACATTATTCTCTGAGTTCAGCATTGGCCTCAGCTTCAGCATCTACATATTATGTTACCAATCATTTGCCAAGCGATATTCATCTCCATCTAATGTAACAAATTGGAGCAAATTTTTGTATCTGTTCCAGCCTGAGGGAAACTTCAGCGACTCTATTAGAGCATTAGACTTTAAAGGCCCATTTGGTCCATATCGACACATTCAGTGTCATGTCAGTGTGTTAGAGAGTCGTTTATCATGTAGGCCAGTTTGGCCCCCCATATTGCCTTATGATGTATTACGTTCTCTCTCTCTTTGTTTTTTTTTTTCCATTTTATTAACTGGTTTTAGCATTAAAGCTAACTTATCCAAGGTTCCAAGAGCTTGACCAGGGAACTAGTGACAAATGGAGGATTTGAAACTGCTTGATAGCACCACCTTTTGGGTAAAACGGCGCTCCCTAGTTTCACATTTTAAGCTCGTGAAATCACAAGTAAATAGTTTTATGTTATTACTTGGATATGATGATACAAGGGAAAAGATCTTCTCAATCACAAGGAGTCTGATGACGTCACCCTGCCAGATACTTTGCTTGGATCGAATAGTTATCTTCAGGATGCCGGGTCCAGGGTACAACACCCTCAGACGTTAAGTGAGAATAATTGGGAGATAGAAAGACCAGTCTTATAGCTTGGCCAATTTGAGTTCATGAAATTTCTGATCTTTTGTAGGGCAGTCAAAAAGGGAATTAAAATCTAGTTAGACACTTAGAGAAAATTCTGCTACTTCTCAAAGAATTTGGGATGGACATCATAAATTGGTACCAGAAACTGAGGGGGATGGCATTTGGTACAAGTTCGACGAACTTTGCAAGTTATAACAACCAATGAATTCATGTTCGTATTCCTGGTGGGCATATTCTGTTTCTACACTTAATTAATCAGGATTCAATCTTGTACCAAAAAAGTGTAAACGAACATACGTAAGGAAGGATGATGTATCTCAATGGATAGGGAGAAAGGTATCGGCGGGCACTCTTCCCTATGACTACTGACCTCAAATTATCTATCTCATGCTAGACGATAATTTCAAATGTTGCCAAGGTCAACTGAAAAGAAATATGTTCAAGAAAGCTCTTATTATTAAGTATTTCTATCTATTCCATTCTCCGAAGTGACATGACTGATCTTCACAACATCAACATAAACTAGTTTTCTGAAAATAAATAAACACAGAAAATTGTAAGCGAACACAAGTGTGCAAAACATATTACCTTTGCAAGGTATCCACGGAAGTCATTTGGATATGTAGAGATGAGCTGGTCATAGACAGATACTGCATCACTTACATGGCCCCAGTCAGAATAGGCCTTCCCAAGAAGCAGATCAACCTGAAACACAAATTTCATCATACACTTTCCAAACAAAAAAATGGAAAATCTTACAAGTAACATTTTTTTCCAAACATATATCTTTTTGGTGATGGATTTTGGCACCTCTAATGTGGATACATGGGAACCTTTTTGATCTTTTGGGCTCAAGATCAAACCCTTATAGATTCAAGGGTCACAGTTTCTTCGTTTTGTAGATTCAAGATGAAGAATCTTCACAAAAATCACATTTCATGTCTATTCAAGGACGGAATTTCAACTCCATGCAACTCAGGCTACATCAAGTGGTATCAAAGTCAAGGTTTATTCTAGGGTCATCTCTGAAGATGTCACAGAGTAAAAGGTTACATATCAACGAAAATAAAGTTCCTAAGGTATTCCCCGATTTCTCAAACAGAATTTCTTGAGTTTCAAGAATGGATTAATTAGAAACGAATGATAGATCGAAGCAAATTTTGTCTCATGTTTTGTCTAAAAGATTCAAAAGGAAAATAATTTTGGGCGTACCTTACAAAAACAAATCAAATGACACATGTAATTTGAAAAGTAGATATGGTTATGATGGAAGTAGAGATTTTTGGGTGAAAGCCAATTCTTTTAATTTTAATAGCCATTTAAAAATATAAGAATTTCTAGATTGGATTTTAGAAGATGGAAGGTTTCTCAAATATATGAAAAACAGGTGCAATCACTTGCAAATAAATTAAAAGTTGAGCCTCTACATGATGGGATCAACTTCAATCTAAACATGTAAGATCAAACAAAGATCCACCTCATTGTTAGATAATTATTAAAATCCAGATTTTTTTTCTCCTAGATTCTGAATATATTTTATACCAACATTATCAAAATTATAGGTAAGGAATCAAATCTATGGTAAGATATGCTTAAGAATTTTATAAACCATCTTCCATAGTTGGTTTGACTAAACCTGAGTCTTACATGATCTCCAAATTTAAAAGTAGACTTATATATGATATTGACGGAAAGGTAATCATAAAATCATTTGTTAAGCTAAATAACATTGTTATGACGTGGATGGGCTGAAACTTTATTGGAGAAAGGAAATCTCAGATCTCAGGTAGCCAACTATTATATCTGCTCCAACCACTAGACGAAGAATGACCAGTACTACATCAAAATCAAACAGATTGATTCTATTTAAGCAAATTTCTGAAAAGAAAAATCCTTGTGTGCCTAACTCTATCCTCAAATATTACAAATGTAACGAAAATCAGTAAAAATCAAACACTTGTCAAAAACATACAGAAAATTTCACATAAGCCATTGAAGAAGAAGAAGAGGTAAATGATAGAGTAGAAGATCAAGAAGAAATTCAAGAGAACATGGTTGATTGTGATGATGAAAAAGAACTTTCTTGTTCACTAGTTTTAAGGAGGCTTATGTATGCACCAAGGACAAACACCCCCGCGACATAATGTGTTCAGGATGAGGTACATTGTGAATAGGAAGGTATGTGATATCATTATTAATTATAGTAATGAAAATATTGTTTCTTCAGTCATGGTCTGAAAATTATGGCTGAAAACAAGAAATCATCCACATTCATACAAGATTGACCTTAGACAGATTTTGAAACAAAAATCATAGAGTCCTATCTAGTGAAATTTTTGACTTGAAAAAAATTATTTTTGATGAAATTCAATGTGATTTGGTTGATATGGATGTATATTATCTTCTTTTGGACAGACTCACCAAGGTAGATGAAATATTTATCTTTTTACAAAAATAGTTAGAAACTTATTTTATATCCAATGAAAGATGGTGATTTTTCTAACACTGTAAAGCAGGTGATGATTACAGTTAGAAAATAATTTTTCAATAACTTGAATGAAGCTTCTGAATTATTTATCCTGGTAAAAATGATGAATGATGTATTAGAATGTTCAGATTCTATACTTGAGGCTGCATAGAAAGTGCTAAATGATTTTGGTCTCATACAAGATTCACCCAATCACCTTCCTCTCCTCAAAGATATATAACATCATATTGATTTGACTTTAAGAACGAGTTTGTCAAATTTACCTCATTAACAAATGAGTCAAGATAAAAATTTAATTTATCAAGAATGCATTGAAGAATTACGAGAAAAAAGCATAATTAGTGAAAATATGAACCCTTAGTTCCTGCATTATTAATTCCAAAAAGGATAAAAGTTGGTGTGTGTGTAGACACTAGAGCAATTAACAAGATTACTATTGAATATACATTCCCATTTTCTAGATTGGATGGCATGCTTGACATGGTTTATGGCTCAAAAAAATTCTAAAAAATTGATCTGACAAGTGGCTACCACCGTATCCAAATTTGCCCAAGTGAGAATGCAAACTAATTTTTGAGATAGAAGTAAATTTTATGATCGGCTAGTCATGCCATTTGACTTCTCAAATGCAGCTAGTACATTATAAAAGATGATGAATTAGGTACTTAAATATTTATTCATAAATTCGTCATTTTTGTTTATGATAGTTTGATATACAGTACCACTGAATATATTCATCATTTAAGATCCATACTAAGGGTCTCAAGAAAAATAAACTATTTATAAATTTGAAGAAATATAATTTTACAACTTTGAATTTAGCCTTCATGAGATATGTAATAAGTGCAGATGGCATCAACTGAAAAAAAAGGTACAACTATCAAAGATTGACTTATACCTAGGAATATGCATAAGGTGCACAGTTTTCATGGTTGTTTCTTTTTACCCAAGAATTATAAAAAAATCAGCTCTATTGTTGTTAAAATTACAGAATGTAAGAAAGAGAAAAATTATTTGAACAAAAGTAACTAATAAAATTTTACTGTCATCAAAGAAAAGTTTTTTGTTCTATTCATATTTTGACTCTTTCTAATTTTTGATAAATTATTTGAAATAAAATGTGATGCATCAGTGTTGGGAGTAGGAATTGTCTTATTTCCAGAAATATGTTCAGTTGTTTTTAACAATGAAAAACCTTACTGATGCTAGGAGGAAACAAAGAACTTATGAACTATGCTATGATTAGAGCATTGTATACTCGGGAACATTGTCCTAGTCCACAACAATTTATCCTGCATACTAATCATCAATCTTTGAAGACCAATAATAGTGAAGCAATGTGAACAAAATGCATGCAAGATGGATCTCATTTATCTAAAGATTCACTTTTATCATCAAACACAAATCAAGAAAACTGAACCGAATTGTAGATCCACTTAATAGAAAATCGGCATTCCTAGTCACCCTTGTGCTGAAATTATTGGTTTTAAATATTTGAAGGAACTTTATAAAGATGCGGAAGAGTTTGATAAAATTTGAGATGTTTTGTAGGATAGGGCAATCAAAGGATTTCATACTCAGGGAAATTTCTTCTTTTCATGGAAATCAAGTATGTACTCATAGCTCACTATGCAAAAAACTGATTTCTGAACTACATGGAGGATTGGAAGGACATTTGGGGCATGAAAAAACTCTATAATTGGTACATGAATGCTATTTTTGGCCTCAATTAAAGAAGGATGTGGAAAATCATGTGCAAAGATGTATACTCCACTATCAACTATAGAGCAACCATAGGCTGATATTTCTAGGGATTTCATTTAAGGATTGTCATGCACTCAGAGATGAGCAGACTTTGTTTTAGTAGTTGTAGATTAATTTTCAAATATGTCACATTTCATTACATACAAGAAGACAAATGGTGTTGTATAGATAGCTAATTTAGCACTATCAATCATCCTTGAACAAATGATCAATAGAAATAGTCAACTAGTAAAACTTGATTCATCGTATTCAAGAGAAAAATCAAAATAATAGATTTTACCCTTGCTCAAGTAGAATTTGTCTGTAATTCTAACTAAATTGCTTTACTAATCAGTCCCCATTGTTCATTACTTTCCTCCAAAAGTTCTAGATTTGGGAGCCTTACCAAAATATCCAAGAATAACCATAGCAAAAAGCAAGATGGTACAGCATACTAAACCAATGCATGAAAATATCAAAAAATATCATTACAATAATTATAAGAAGGAAGATGACAAGAAGAGGAGGGAAAAGATTTTTCAAGTTGATGATTTGGTTATGATTTACTTAAGGACAAATAGACTAAAATTTGGAAATTATAACAAATCAAGACCAAGGAAGTATGCACCATTCAAAGTCCTCCAAAAGATGAATGACAATGTCTATGTCATTAACTTACCAGAAACAACGGGCATATCTACTACCTTTAATCCTAGGGATATGTTTGACTATTATCTAGAGATACAAGAAGACTCAAAGATCAGTTCTTATGTAGCATTGGTGATTGATGCAGCCTATTTACAACCCAGCCAGCTCAAGTGTACTAGAGGCCGAAGAAGCTTGAAGAGCAAGTTGGTCAACCTAAGGCTCGAGGTGGCCCAATAATGCGTCATAAATGCATCCTAATTTAGTTTTCTCCCTTGTATTTTGTTTCCCACTTTTAGCCATTTAAAATTTGTCTAAATGGCCCAATAACAAAACCTCCCTCATTTTCTTAAGGGGTGTTCTAACGTAACACCCCTCCCTTTTTCTTGGGGTATTCTAATAGAACCCCCCATTTTTAGGGACGTCCTAACAGATTTGTAGCCCAAGAGGCATTCAATCAATTTCACGAAATTTTCCTTTTTCTGAGGTTCTATCTCTCTGTTGGTGATTCTAGCACCACCTATATATATTCAATGAAACCCTTTTGATCTTGTGGACTCAAAATCAAACCCTTATAGATTCAATGGTCAAAGTTCTTCATTCTATGGATTCAGAGTGAAAAGTGTTCACAGAAATCTCGTTTATTGTCGAGATGGGATTTCTTGCAACTGAAACTACAAGTAGATAGAGGTCTATAAAAAAAGGTATTATCAATAAAGATCCTTCGAATCAAGCCCCATCCCTTCCAAAAGAGTGTAATGATAGCCGATGGCCACAACTAGAGGTTGTAGTAGCAAGGAACACTGATCGATAGTAAGTTCTCCCCATTATAAGTTCCCTTTTCATCTCTTAAGTGCAACGTCAACCTCTTCTTCTGATGTAGGCTGCAACATGTGGCCTTTTCTTCATCTTTCTCTCAATATTTCTTTTTTCTACCTTTTAAGGAGAGTTTGGTTTCTCTCATTGGAACAAGACCAAGGACATCTAATCTAAATTTCTAAAAATGGGAACATACGATTTAGCTTACCGTGATAGACATCTAGTGCATAGTAACCCAAAAAAAAGACAACTTTCATTCGAAAAATTAAAACTTTTCCAGATATTTAAGCAAAAGAAGAAGATTTATGGAAAGATAAGCCTTGTTTCTTCGGATTTATTTTATAAACTTTCTGGAAGATACGAGGAGAAAGAAGTAAGAGAATATGCTGATTAAATGAATGGAACATTGCATAAGGAAAAATTGAAGGAGACTTCAACATACAAAGTCAATGTAAAGAACAACTTACTTGAATTGGATCAACAACATCACTAGTGATAATATTTGTGCTCCCTGACTTGAGGCGGTCCCGACAAGATAAAAGCACTTGCACAGCCTGCATGACATTAGAGACACCAAATAGAAATTCAAAGCATCCAAGAACAAAGATAAACAACGATTAACTGTTAATATTAATTTAGCTAAACCGGTAGAATCTGAGATTAAATCTGCAAGCTACAAGAGACTTATGTTCAAAAGTCTTAACTGACCCCTAATCAATAGAGATCTAGCCTTATCAGTAATCAATAAAGATGTAAGGAATAGAAGGGTTAAAGGGTAATGAAAGGACAATAAAATAATAGTATTTAAGGCTAATGGGATCACTAGAATTTTCGTAACTATACATTAAAATTTTCTCTGAAGAAATTTTTTAATCAAGTATCAGATGAAAATTAAGAAAGGGAAAGAAAATTGGGCAACAAAGAGAAAAGGATTGTTAAATTAAGGGAAGAACAACAAAACTTAATATTTAAACAGAAATATGAGATCTCAAAGATGACAGAGTTGTGGCAGAGGAGAGTGAAAGATATAAACGAAGAACAGAGAGCAAAAGAGAGCATTTCATATCATTAGCAGTTTCCATACTTTTCAGGCATAAGATTGTGTTTGGAAGTTTCTTTGGAGTGTTTGTTGGTAGGCAGCTAACATGGATTTTGGGTTCAGTGTGGGCATAGTTGACTATTCCCAGATTGTGTTTTAGAATTTTTTTCCAAAAGTTAGGATCCCCTCTGCTGACCTGAAGTTGGTGTTAATAACACATTCCTGATGAAGAAAAACCATTTATTAATTATTCACTAATGAAAATGAAAGTAAAAATGAACAATTATTTGTGGAATATCCTGACCAAATTTTCTCAATCAGGAATTTAATTGAAATAAGGTTTGGGGGATTTTTTATGCCGATTTCTCCAGGTTAGAGTCGCCATCAAGGCATAACCTACGGCAAAATTATAACAATAAACCTAACCAGGGCCATTACCTTCACTACATCCATAAATTATTACTAATGGTATATTTTTCTTATCCTCAAAACTATTCAATTAATTGCCTTTCTTGGGCTACCCTTCTGAGGCAAACTGTGCAAGGATAAACGTTAAGTAAAAATTTCTTCTCCTCAAATCATAGAATAATTTCTAGTATATACAATTACACTAGCCACAAACAAAAGGTAACCGCCTAGGTTAAGGAAACTAACAAACAAGGAAACTGACTCCTAATTAGATATTTTTCCTAACACTTTCTTTGATTTCATTTCACTTTGAACTTTCTTTGATTTATTTAATTTCAGCATTACGTTTTATACTAGTAGTGAAAATTTCTGGATATTATAACTATTCATTAGCTTTTATCACTGAAAAAGAAATTAAACTCATGATTTGTTATATTAACATAATATATACTTTATTGTCAAAATCTTGAACAGAAAATGGGATATGAAATTAAATTACTCATTCAACAGATGTGGAAGATGACATTACAAATATCTGGATCTCTTGAAGTTATAACTACGATGAAAATACATAAAGCAAAAGACATACCTCATCAGGCTTCTTTGCAGCAAGTAATGAATTGGTGTATCCACGAAGAATTTCAAAATTAATTGTTTCCGAGGCCTACAATAGAAGAAAAAGGATAACGAATGTGTCTGGACGTGGAAAAGAAAAACATTCCTCATTGTAGCTGATTAATATTCTGGTATACTTTTTATTTTGGGTCACTTGTTGGGTTACCATCACAACAAAGACCGATTACAAGAGAATTTTAAAACTGTTTTTTACTTTGTTGAAGCAAGAAAATGGCTTAAATCATACTAACAGAAAAAGAGTCTCTATAGGCAGCAACACTCCCTTCATAATCCTTCAATGCATACTTGACTTCCCCAAGTAAACGAAAAGCATCAGGGTCCTTCGTCTTTTCCTGAACATTAATAACCAAGTTTGACAACAAAAAATTAGACAGAAAAACGAGGCTAAAAGAAAAAAAAATCACTTAAATGTAGTAGCACACCTTTGTGAGTTTCTCCAGTAGATTGGATGCCTGACCAAACTCCCCTAGTTCTGCTGAGGTAACTGCTGCTCCCTGCATAGAGTACCTTTGTGAGTATATGTAGAAATTTCAGGAAAAAAGTTTCCATAATAAACTGATGACAAGAAAATTAAATGAACAATGTTTAAGGCGGCTTATGGATAGCATGACAGAAAAGGAAAATATATGAAAAATTAATAATTTTTGTATCATCATTCATAACTGAGGTGATCTTTCTCGTAAAGATACAAAGATTTTGAATAAATAACGATTAAACAATTTATGTATCATTTCCCTTTTCATAATCACACAGATCGATGCCTAGGTCACAAATCAAGTGGCCGACCCAGAAATGGGCAGACAATCGAAGCAATTTACAGGAAGTGGGATTTTCAACACCCATTTTGTGTGAACTAATTGACTCCCCATTTCCCTGCCAGGATGAGTTAGATTATTGGACCCAACGAGTTAGATGGCGGCTTGCTTCTTTTCTGCTTAAATACCACTCACCATTACATCCACCTCTCTCATCCTCATCATGTCCTCATCCTCCACCTCTCTCTCTCTCTCTCTCTCTCTCTCTCTCTCTCTCTCTCTCTCTCTCTCTCTCTCTCTCTCCCCTACACAACCACCCAACTCCACATACCCCCACAAAACTGTTTTCTTTTTTATGTTTGTGGGTGGGGAACCATCATTTTTATTCCCCATGTTTGTGTGGGTGATGAACCCAAGCGTATTAGGCAAAGTTTAAAACAATATGAGGGGTCTGGTCAAAGAAGAGGGCTAGGGACTGTACGAGTGTTGCTTTGGAATGATAGGCAATAAAACATGTCATTTATGGCTGACAGGAGCATGAAGAAAAATTCAACAATACATAGAATGGCTTCTAATGCAGCAGGCAAAGCACATCAGGAAATACATGGCGGCGAGGAGTATTGCAAAACAGGAAACTACAGAGTCATGGGTGATAGCAGATATCTATCACAATAAGCAGAAGATGGAAATATTGCTGTCTTCTGAAGAAAGAAATGGAAAGCTGAGGAGGAATGGAGGAGAAGAGGTCCGCACATGATCAAAATCAATCACACCCAATGGGTGTAACAATGCCTCATCAAAACATCCTATTTTGTGATAAAGGACCGGTCTCATTCAAATCCTGGATCCAGAAGATAACAACAGTCAGAAAAAGGGTGATTGTGGTATGATATTGGCTGTTGGGAACTCTTCTTCTTCTGTGGAACCAACAAATCTAAGAACTAAATAGGAGCTATATCTAGAGTGTGTCCAGGAGTGCTACAACACTACTAAAATCAATATTTGAGCTCCCTTTCCAAGAAACGTTTACATCATATTCCCAAAGTTTTAGTAACAGCAAATGAAGTACATGTCAGAATCAAATTGAGTTTAAAAATATTGACAAAATTATGACCTGATCAGAGGTGATAAACTTAGGAATTCCATGTAATTTAACCACCTCAAAAAAAAAAAACAATTGGCACTGAAGAGTATTATCCAATCGACTTTCATCAAGATTTTTCTTCAAGGAACATACCAAAGTAAAATAATGCCAGTAAAAAAATGAACCAATATTATCAATGAATACAAAAAATGCATCTGTTCATTTGGAGATTTGCCCTCACTTCTAGAGCTGAAAGATCATTAGGAGATCCACTCAGTATCACTTGATAATCCCTGAGTTTTTTCTGCACAATTAAAATAAGAGGATCAGCATAAACAATCATGGGAAATATCCTTAATAATAACAGGAAAGCAAATAAGATGAAGTCGTTACTTAACAAAGTGATTACATTGTCAGGAAAGTATGCTTGTAACAGACTATCTTTAATTATGAACCTCATAGATTGAACCAGTACCTAAAATTCTTTCAACCCATTAACTTTATGAAACATGGAAAAAGCATGCCCACCGGCAAGGTTCCCACATTGTATCTTAGTTGGAACAGAGCCAGATTGGCCAGGCCTAATCAAGTCGGTCAGATAAACAAAATCATTATATAAATATTGAGACATAATTGATTAAATGAAGCATATTCTGCAGGCTGTGAAAAAACTAGATGGCCAAATATTGTTCCCTTTTCTATGTTTGTTTTCACTTTGTTCAATTTCATCTTCCCAATGATCCTCTATGTAAGATGTAATTTCATTGCAACCGTAGTGATGATCTAATGGCTTGATATCCAGATTACAAAAATGAGGTGCTAGATGAGGCTAAATAATTTATGATAGTTTTTAAAATGTATGTAAAAATTTTAATTGATTTTTAAATAAGTAAAAATAAGACAAATATACATGGGTTCACGTCATTCTGTAAGATTCACCCAAGTAACAAATCAAGCAACAGTAATAGCTTCGAAGCTCAAATAACACAAAGAAAGTGATATCCATTAAGACCTGCATACGTAACATTATTTGGATACTTCATTTAATTAACATTATCATTTGAAGACAAACCTACAGATCAGTCATCTGTAAATTCATATTTAAAGAAACCTTTTTATGTGTAAGAGAATCCGACCTGTAGTCTTTCCTTCTCCTCTTCAGAGAGTATTTTCTCATCTACTACTGACTGGTCATCAGTCTTAACACTACAACAAGCAACAACAACTGCTTAGGACTTGAAAGACATAAAAGCTGTCATTCTGTGAATTGTGTGAAAAAAAAAAATCGTAGTATCGGTAGGAAAAATAATGTAGAAGAAGTATGTAAACAGGAGTAGAATCACTGATTATTTGAACTATTATCTTACAATGAAAAACAAGATATTTAATGATTCCATCCCATTTCTGAATTGCACTATGTTTAATATCCGTCCATCAACTGTACTTTAAAAATGTTGTATATAAACTAGCTACAGCAGTTAAATCACACATAAATGACTACAACATATGGTCATAAGCAACACAAGGGGGCAAGGAACCTTAGATTAACACCAAGATATTCCTCTACCCCTTACTACGGAAGCATGACTCCTCCCCCAGCTTCTCCTTTTTTGTGAAGCAACCTCATACCTCATGCCACCTCAAATGAACTGAAAGCAAACCTAGTCTTTGATGTCCTACATGATCCTGAATTTCTCAATCGAGGAAAGGTAACCAGGTCTGAAGCACTAGCTCTTACTTCAGACCTGTACGCAATGCAATGCTCTTCCCAGTAAATCTCTTTGATAACTGGGATAGGGATGAGAACCTTTTTTTCCCTCAAGTGAACTCAAATGGGGCACGAAATGGTTCTTCATTTATCTTCTCTGACACCCTCCCCCCACCAAGTAGGAGTAGAATAAATGATGTTGTCAGTGCATTTACTAATTTTTTCAATTAAAGTAGTCCTTTTACCGCTAGAGCGAGGATTAAAACATATTAACTTCATTGGAAGCCATTAAATGTCTAAACTGTTAAGCTTACTCTCATACACGTGGGAAAAATCGCTATGTAGACATCTACTGTTAAATGACAAAGTATCAAATAACGGTGATGAGAAAGGAAGAAGGTCATGACGATAATAAAAAATGAATTTCGTTACCTTCCAGAAGGTAGAAAGTCACCAAGTGCAAACACCAAACCAAAAATGACGACAGCAATCCCTACTCCCACCTATTTTTAACATTCAGTTTTCATTCGGTTAATTTGTTACAAAGATGAGAAAAGAGGATACCAGGATTTTTCATTTGTTTCAAAGGTGACCATTACTTGGTATTTTTTACCTTCATACCAATGCCAACTGATTTTTGACCAGAATCAATTGGTGCATCGTAATCAATTTCTTGAGTGAACTTCTCTTCTTCAATCTTTTTCTGTTCAAGTGCTGACCTGAAGAAATGATTCCAAAGGTTACTTAGATTGCTCTGAAAAAATACTTGCCAGAAGCAATATGCATCTCCAGAGAAGCATATGTTTCAGATGTCACAGCAAAATGAAGTCGTCAAAGAAAATTTTCTGCAAAGAAACATTTGTTTGCATATTCAGAAGAGTTCAAAAGGTAAACTAGAAAAATATAAATATTCGTCCCAAGACTTCTGACAGTGAAGACAGGTACACAATCCCTATCCCAGTACCTAAAGACAGTATACTTCAAATGTGTATCTAAAACGAACATAACATCACACAAATGTACCAATAACTAACCAAGTCATGAATAAATTCCCAAGAGATCTTATTGAAAATAGAATGATAAAAGTACCTTTGATGATGAACAACGACAGGAAGAGATAAAATATGAAATCAAATAAATTATCCAAGAAAATTTATTACCGATTTAATCAATAGAGCAAATATTTTTTCATAATTTGACTGCAGTTATTTTGATTGTCTTCTGGTCTCAATCTCTTCAACAAGCAGTTCTTGAATAGATAGATCATTATAAGACAAATAAGAGCCATATTCCAAGGACACATACATCATAATTAACACAGCCCAAAGAATAATTCATTTAGTCTAGGATTCGCAGACTTTAGTTGTCTTTTGAAAGCCACGAGTGATCTCTCTCTTCGAAGTTATTAGCCATATTTTTTGCATGATGGGATCATGTACTGGACATTAGGCTAAATCAGCCTAAACCCACCAGCACTTATCGACGGTTACAATGCAGGAAAACAAAAATCAAAATCAAAATCAAAAGAGACTCATGCTTATTTTTGGAGCCACCTGTCTTTTTTTAACATATTTAAGGCTTATAAATGATGCATTGCAGTGTGAAAAACAAATCAAGACTGTTGCATGCCAAGTCTCAAGTTTTTAAGTCTCTCTCATGTGTGCATTTCTGACAAAATGCATATACAGCGTGTCCAAAAATTAATCCAGGAACAACAGAACCTCCAACATACGTGAATCATTTATTTATTTCCTTTCTTCGTTCTTTAACCACAGCAACAAGATTACTATGAATAAGACATGCTCACGATATGAAGGCTTGGTTAGCACATTTAATAAGTTAGCTTGTCCCCAAGCTAATCTAAGGAAATTAATAGAGATAACTGGGGAGTAGAATACGCTGAGGGTCGACAGAATCTCTACAAATCTCTTGTGCCTTGTGTGACTACTTTTGTCCTCATATCATTATATTTTGTACGCACATTTTATTAAAAAAATATTATTTCCACTGTAGTTGAATTACTATTAGAACTTCAATTTGAAACATCAAAAATAGCACAAGCATCTATTTTATGACATGAAGTAGCTTCATACCAAATTCCTGTCCCAAACAAAAGAATCTATGAACCTTAAAATGAATCCAAAGGCTAATCATTGGCCAGAGGATCCAAATATCTTTAATCTGAATTAGATTGAATATTAATAGAAACTTGCTGTTATGATAGTACATCTGTGAGATGTAAATTGGCAAAAACATCTCACACAAATCACATGAAATTTATCCAATAAATTTATATGATTTTAGTTGGCTACAACATAGCCTGCAAAGCTTTTCTAGAATAAAATTTCAAGGGAACTGATCAACCTGTTTTCTTCTCACCTTTTAACTGCTTCCAACCGTTCCATGAATTGACGATCTGATAATGTATCTTTGGGTTTGCTAGAAATATTGCCGCCTAATCCTGGTGCCTCTACAAGTGCCGGTTCATCATAATAAGTAGATATGCGTTACACTTATCAAATGGAAATATCGAAACAGATCAGCTCCCATTAAAAGCTTTCAACAAATGAGAATGCCAATCACATGCATATGTCTTCATGTCTTCATGCCATCTTTTGACAAAAGGTCAACAAAATACTGATAATATAACATCTAGAAACACAAACAAGAAATTTTTTACTGACGCATTATCAGAACAACCTGTCCATATATGTAGTTATTTAATCATCTGTGGTTATTTTCTCTATCACTTTCCCTTTTAAAGTTGATCAATATTATTGGCATTAAGAAAAATATTAAAATTACAATTTTATAACTGAAACAAGGTCCCCAATTAAATCTCTCACTTAAAATTTGATATATGATGCACACGTAAAAGTTACACGAGATACTTGCACAAGTGCAGAAAGGAAAATGATAAACTGCATAGAAAACAATGAAGCATGATATTGACATCAATAATGAACACAAGAATCTATTGAACATTATGAAAATAAATAAGATTTATGCCTTCCACCCCCATGATCAAACGTTTCATGTTTCTATGTTCTTATTTATAATGTTTCAGGAATCATCAATATAAAAGTCACAGAAAGAAGCCAATAACAGACAACATGAAGACGGAACTTGATAGCTAGTACTTCCAAAAGATGGGTGGGTGTCTTATCCTTGGTTGTTGGAAGACCAAATGTCCACATGCTTATTGCAATATAATGGTCTTTATTTTTAGCCAGGCGCTTTAAGCCTATTTCATCAAAAATTCCGTATGCTATGTGCAACATAATATAGCTTGGCTTTACGAATCCACCCCAATGTTCTCCACAACAGAAAACATTTTAATTTCTCATAGTCAAAAAAATGTTGTTAGACCCCTTGGTTCATATCTAGTTAACTGAGGCTAACAAGGGTCAATATGAACGTATAACAGCGGAAATGAGAAAAACTTCCAAACATGATACCAGATAAATGGATAATCAACTAATCTGTTAGATGGCCACTTCATGATACATCATTTACGGGTGGTTGATTCCTTCAATGTGGCTGCCTCTACAAGACAGAATAGTGCGATGAGAGAATAACGGTAGGCCCCCATTGCTATCGATGGTGCTTCGTTAAGGCAAGATGATAAATGGTTAAGAACAGCAAACATGAGCCATGGTTCGAGAAGTCACCAGCCAGCTAGCCTCCATTAAAAAAGGTTGCCGCCACAACAGCCCGTTATTTAGAGACTTGGTCCTCCACTGAAATATTAAATGTTGTCTTCACATTGAGCATGAGTGCAGGGCCTTTACTCTATCCATGACAAGGTAGACAATCAGATTGATACGCAGTATTCCCAGGCCTAATCATCCAGTTGGGGACTGGTATTGGATCAGCAAACTGACAAACAGCCTTCAGGCCATGTGGACTGGATCAGATTGGCTAGGCATTAGCCAACGAAGATTAGCTGATTCCACTATAAATCAGCCCCTAAGTATGCTAAATCAATCTCAAGTCAGAGCTTAAATCAGACGATCCACGGAGGGTCAGAGTCCGCCAACCAATCAGATTGGGTACTGGTGACGCAAATAGGGATAGGACAATCTAAACTGCGATGGTACAATAGATACCACATGCAACCAGATATGGTTGTACTCCCTTCATCAATAGGTAAAATAAACTATCGAGTCAATTATCAACTGAGAAAACTTCTAGCCATAACAAAAAGACATTAATCTGCAGTACATCTGGAGAGTAACATACTATAACTTGTCAACTAGGTCTAGGTCAAAGCCTGGATTCAGTCTGGCTTCTAGGCTCATCTACAAAATCCAAACAGCATCTCGAAAAAAAATCGCAACGTTACATATAGCAAGGTAAGTCCAGAATCGCAATGGAAATGGCTATGAAAATGCCCCAGCCACAAAAAGACAAAGACTTGGGTGCATGCCAAACAGCACCATCAATCTATATTGGTAACTGACACAAATGGCATAACCTCCTCAAATCTTTCCCAGTAGCAGCAAGAATAGCGATCCAAAGGTATCATCTATCTTTCTGTTAAACAGATGATAAGCCCACGTTTCTGGATGACTGCATTAATGAGCAGAACTTCCATGACGCTTATATCTGCTTCAATGACACTTCAGAGAACTTCCAAGGTTTTACATTAGCCGACCTTGACATCAATAGCATATTCACTTCTTGTTCAAACCCCAAAATTCAACTGTGATGGTACAAGACTTGACTACTCAAAGACTTGGTCTCAAGGAAAAAAAGGTGGGTATTAATCAAGAGAGTGGATCTTCTTAAAAGGTATCAACTCGGCACAAATACCATGGATGCCACTGGTAGTAGGAAGAAAACAACAAGCCGGTTTGACACGCACAAAGCAGTTTGTCAATACAGAAGAGCAGAAGAGCAGAAGAGAGAAAGGAGGGGGGATTACAGGACCAAGAGATAGGTCCGTTTGCTCCTCTCATTCAACCTATAAACAGGGCAAACACAGAAAAAACCACAGGATAAAAATACCCACAGTATAAGGTGCACGGGGGACAAAACGAAATAAGTAGGACAAAAATGTTGTCATCTTCTTAACAAGTTTTTGGCTAATTCATATGGGTAACATATAAGCAGCATTTAAGTTCTCACCAACTTGAGGTTCATCATAATCTTCCTTCCCAGGAAAACCCTAGTGAAGTCAATAGCAAACCACTACCATCTGTATGCAGTTGCAGCCTCTTCCAAAGCTGAAGCGTGGAATCAAATGGTCAATAGATTAGGATTTGTGAATCCCCATCAAGTAGCATGGAATGCTTAACTGTTTATTCTAGATCAAGATGGATGCATGTTGATCCTGAAACTGAAGCAGAAAAAAATCCCATTCGAGCTTTGGAATCAACTGGTCTCTAGTTTATAATCCATAAATTTACGTCAAAATCATATGGAATATTTAACTGGCTGATCCAGCTCTAGATATTCTCATACTGATCCGAAACTGAAGAAAAATCCAAGGAAAACTACAACAGATGCCCTACTCCCTATGATTAAGTAGCGGTGGGACAGTAGACAATATTTATGATAATTAATATTTTTACCATTAATTTTTTTCCATTTTCCTATCATCAATTTTTTTGGTTCCTTTCAGCCAGTCAGAGGTTGCTATGCTCTCAAGGATTGAATGATCAGATGTCATTTGGATTAAGTACCTAACTTGATACCCTACTCTAATATAATTCTGTTCGTTGATTTTTTATGTCAGCAGAAGGCTTCACTCAAGGAAAACATCATTTAATCTTCTTGTACTGATCAAATTTTTCTCCTTTGTCCCGGTGATATTCCTCACATACACAGCTTCCAGGTGAATACTCTCAATGAGGATTTCTATGCGACAATTTATACTCTTAACTACAACAAGGTGTAAGACGAAACCAAATGGAATTCCTACTCACAATGTCATACAATGATTCAACCAACAGTGTTCATCATTCCATAAGTGACTACCCCGGGAAAGGTGAGTAAATTTTGCACCAAGAAAGATCTCTCCTTCAATCATCTCTCCTCCTAGTTTTCCCTCGTATGAAACCAATAGTAAGCCTTGTCCGTCTACCTTCAAACTCTTCATGGCGGCTACTGCTGAAAAGAAACAACGAAAAACACAGGCCCCAAAACCCGACCATGACTGCTGTCAGACCTTACAGTGCAGCCCAAAAAATCTGTAAAATAAAAATAATTTACGTATATATTGACTATTTCGAATCAGAAAATAATTTTTACAGCAAAAGGCTTCAAACCTAAAGAATTTTTCCTGATCAGATAGATGAGCAGAAAAAATACACAAGTTCCACTGGGATTCTTTTTGTTTAGACATCCAAGAAACTGAGAGCTCCACGTTTCCTCAATGCCACTTATTTATAACTGATAGAAATAGGAATCCGAAGAGATCATTGGGTACCACATCGGAGCTGGTAGCGTGGAACTCCAAGAAAAATTTCCTTGTTGAAAATAGGGCATAGACAACATTAACCAAAGTTATTGATGATCAGGTCCTGAAATATTATTTACAAAGGATACTTCAAATACCAAACAAGATAAAATGTAAAAATATCATCCCATAATTCCGCAATAACACATTCTCAATAATCCTCATTGGCTTATATTTTCCATACAACCGTGAAACAGCAAAAAAAATGCTAGAAGACAAAACACTTCATAATAATCGTAAAAATGCAGAATATATTGAACTGCATACTGCCAGTAGTCGTTGGTTGCATGGCCATCAACTTGCTGCACAATGAGGGGACGATCTCAAATAGTATTACAAAATGGAAACAAGATAAAAACTGAAGACAAAGGTAAAGCTAAATAAAAAACAAATAATATTGATTTCAAGCATTAGCTTCCCATTTTATTGCAAGTTGGATTGGAGAAATGGATTCTTTTGCAAAACCATACTCCATGGGCCACTTCAGACACCCTATCAGCCAGACTTCAGAGTACAATATCTGTAATCCAACTATGTTCAGTGAAGCACGTCTGGGCGAATTCGCTGTGTCATAACTATGCTTGTGTGCATCATTTTAAACGACCAGAGATCCACATCCTCCCTAAGTGACTCTAAGAAATAGATCAAAACTAACCAACAAAATATAGAGGGAAATATAAACAAGAGGATGTGCGGTGGATGAACAGGTTGAGGTGGAGGAAAGAATAGTTACACCATAAGGTGGATCAGCGGTTAATGTAGCATAACTAGTCAGATTTTCAAAAAATCACAGTCTAAGAGATCGGCGAGGAAAAGAGTTCAGGATCACAGTCAGATCACCCAACTTTTATATGTTTTTAAAATGAGCAAAACTACAAAAAAGGAGGACTAACCAGAAGAAAACAGTTAGAAAAGAAATGAAATAAACATTATTCTCCTTAACCACAGAAACTTAATAAACATCACGAAAGAACACTCTACAAAAAAAAAATTACATTAACATACTATCTACTTTCTTCGAAGAGTACTGGAAGGCAGAAGGATTGAATGCGAGAGAATAAAGGACAAATGATAATGGAAGTCTGCTAGTCATCAAGATGTAGACACTATCCATCATTGGTAACAGAAAAAAGACATACAAATAGATGAATGGCAAAACCAAGTACAGCACAAGATCAGTAGCACGGAAAAGTAGGATCGTCATTACTTCTCCACAACACCACACTACCCTCTTTCAATCTAATGTCAGGAAAAGTGGGATCCAATAGGAAGGAGATTACGTTTTTCCCTTAAAATCAGATCAGTAATTTTGATCCACCAATTATATCCAAATGCATTAACTGATTGGAATGAGAGGTGCAAAGCTGTCATACTTTGCTTTCAAGAGAGATGACAAAATTGGCTCACCAACAATGGGAACTCCATGGGTCATTTGTAACATTGTGTTTATGGTAAGAAAGCAAAAATTATCCAAAAGGGAGTTGGTTCATACAGAAACAGACAAAACTACACAAACTAACTGAGATCTTGTTCTAGTTCATAAAAAAATAGTTTTCATAAAAAATAAAGAACCTTTGTAACTCATGGAAACTTTTGGTAAATATAGGAGAGATTATGTTTTACGACTTTTCGTAAAGTGACAATATTTCTTTATAATTTTGTATCATACGCGTGACTTATTTTTTCAACTCCATTTCTTTGTTGTTGTTGGAACTTTCGTTACATATGATAAGATGATGAGAATAAAGGAAATGAAGTAATATGAGAGGCCTGCCTCGGATGAGTGCCATGTATATAAGCCCAGAATTGACTTCAGTCACTTCGGACTGTCACTCTCAAAGTGGGATAGATCATGTGGGTAAATTCGGTTCAACTAGTTCAATTTAAGGATGTCCATCTCTCTCCAGCAAGTCCTTGGTCGCAAATTGACAACAGAAAGATTTTGCATAGTTGACAGAATATTTCTACGGGGTTTCTTGCAAATTCAGAGAAAACACCTTCTGAAGATCAATATAACAATTGGATAGATAGTCCTTTACGAAGCCTTTATTCTGACCTCAGAGTCCTTTTCTATCAGCCATGAACTGTTGAGGAGAGAAATTCGGAGGCAAGTGTCCCCAGATTCGTCAAAAAATCAAAAACACCGAAGCAAATAAGGATGAAGTGTATGATTAGAAAGGTAAAAGCATGTAAAGGACGAGCCATGATTCTGGGGCCAATTAACGGAGTTGGCAATGGAAGAATTAAGATAAGATAGAAGAAAATATATCCATACGGGAGTAGGAAGCATATGCAAACCTAACTCAGGCGTGTCAAAAATGCACAGCAAGAGACAGACAGGAGAAGGGACAGTAGCTAACTCAGGCCACAAGTCTTTCAACAGAGATTTTGGACCTCCTGAGCCTCAATTCCGTGGAGAATTGGGCAAGTCAGCTGCCCCATAATTAGAATGAGCCAAGGATTCCCGTTCAGCACTGCATCAAGGCAATTCTCAAAGAAGTCCGCTCAAATAGCTTGTGACTCGTACAGAGTCTCCTAATGGATTCTCTGGTTTGAATCGCACCAATCCAGTACTTTGTCACCCAAAAACCTACCAAAATTGACTGCCAATAAACCTTATAAAACCTAGACAGCACCCAAAACCTACCAAAATTTCCCCTTTCTACCATTCTCCGATTTTAAACAAACTAATTGAAGGATATAAATCGATACGTCCACTGGACATGTCGATTTTCTGAAAAGGACTTTGGTATGGAAAAAAAAAGAAGATACCAATTGAAACCAAATCTACATTTGTTGAAAAAAAAAGGAGGTAGGTTGTCTCTTCCACAGCTTTGACGGATGTACAGTTAACATCCGACAGAACAGATTTAAAAAATTTGAAAGAGATTTCCTCGGCTCTGATGTTACTATGGTATCGCATGCTATTCTGTTGGGATCAAGCTTTTACCTTGGGTCTGATGATGTACTTATATCTTCTTTTGTTCTCGCGTTTTTATTCTGCGATAAACACAAGGCAGCTGTTATTGATGAATTAGAACTCCTGTAAAACAATTTTATTGACAGCATACTTTAGACATTGAGAGATAAAAGGTTGACTCCTGATATACATGAAGATTGATCACATTTTTTGTAAAATATCTTAATGAAAAAGCCTAATTCATTTGGAAGCATAAATAAGGTCTATAAACATATTAGGTAAACCATAATATAAAATATGCATCAATGGAAATAACGTTTTTTGATGCCTTGGGAATACTGTCCGCAACCCCAATTAAGACAGCTATAGCCTATAAACAGCCAGGAATACTGTCCAGTTACTCTTAGACCACCAACCCCAGTTTTGCCATGCATGAATATTGAATCTTGGAAACGTGTCATTCCAAGGCAAGCACCCCATACTAACTGTTTCATGAAAGTGTCCTTGTGAAAATCATCACGACATCATGAATAATAAAGAAAATATCATGGAGATATTATATTTCTCAGAGAGATCTTGTGAGGCTTTTCCTTTCAAACAAAATTGTCTGAAAAGAGGAATGCCTACATTTTCTTCACTTTGCCTTGTTTTCCTAAGTCCTCTGTTTGAAATGGACGACACCTTCAACCTAGGACGTATTTCTATACTTCACACTTGCTGTGAACATCGTCTATATTGAATTATCGACGAAATATGTGGGCGTGAATTCAGTATTCCTGAGCCAGTAAGGAACAGAATCAATCATTCCTTCTTCAACTTCAAGGGGTAATCTATTCAACCCTTGAAATTAAATGAAATAAAACAAAATCATAACATCTGACCTAGCTCAGGCAATTCCAAACCAAGCCAGGACTTAAATGTTGGGCTTCTTTGATCCAGGCAGGGGTGGAAAGGAATAAAAATTGAATGAAGCCTTGCAGGAAGCAGAGAAAGACAAGCCAACAGAAGCAGCAGCAGCGAAAAATGAACAATGGAGAAGATAAACAAAAGCCTATTGTAGAATTTATTGAAATATTTAAAACCACAATCTAAGAAGATTTAAAATCTCCCTTTTATTTTACCATATTTTCGCTAAATTGGTTTTTTCCTTCAAATTGTCTTTCCAAATCTACTTTTATGGACTACTCTCCATAAGAAGTATTATTAGCATCTTCATGACTTGTTGTTCTTTTGCCTAGGCAATTTTGAGCTCTAAAACAGCTTCATGCTGCCTCCGATGCGTATTTTTCATATAGAAATCTCTGATCAACGATAGAACAAGATCAATTTTGCATCATATCTAACGGATTCCTTCGTTCGGACCGAAGAAGCAATGTCACTCGATTATTACCAAACTGACTGCAATCTTTCTATTAGCCTGAGAAGTGAATGTAGAGACAAGCCATGCCCATTTACTGCTGACCTCATCTCTCAGTACTAGACATTCATTTATTACTCCTGAATGTCAGTCATATGTTGATATTTTGTGTTTAATACATATATATATATATGAATTAAACCTTTAATCTGAATGTGTCGTAAATGCACCATGAATCCCTTTGATAAAAGAAACTTAATATCAAGTTTGAAAGTCATATTCAGCCAAGACCTTATAGCAATGAAACCACTCAAACGTTAGAAAGCCGAAAATATGAATAAACGAGATTGGACCAAAGTAGATTAGTCAATTTTTTTATTCAGAGACCTCTGTCTAACTGTACAGTGGGCTACACATCTTTAAGCAGGTAGTCAGTGTTTTTTCTTTCCTTTAACAGGGATTCTAGGGTTTCTGATCACAAAGGAAAGAATTATATCCGACAAAAAGGTATAAATACAACTTTCAAAAAGTTTTTGACAGAAAAAGATTAATCAAGTTGGTACCACTATTAAGTGTTCAACATAACGGTGACCCCAATAACCATAGGAGTAGGAGAAGTTTCTGAAGGAGAAGGTTAGGAAATATAAAATTCAAAGAAGGAAGATACCATTTGAAGAGAAGTAATCAAATTCCTAGTTGATCATGATAATTCAAGACCAGACAATAGAGATTAGGCCTCTCTTTAAATGATAAAGGAAACTTGGCCAATAAGAAAACTTAAGGAAAATACAAGGTTGATTTTATAAGAAAGGGTTAATACTCTAAAAATCGCAGTAAGAAATAACAAGTTGATCCTTAAAGAAGCGCTTATCAACTTACGAAAAAAGTTGAAAGAAAAAACAAGTAGCCTTTTAAAGAAGAAACAATTAACAAAAATGGAAATTTTAATAAAAGATGCATTAAATCCGCAGTCCTCAAGACCACACTAAGGTCTATGATTGCATCAAACATTTGCGCAAATCATGTCCTACTCTGCCTTGCTAACATAATAAAGAATAAAAAGGTAGATCGAAAGCTATGTTGTATCCAAAACTGAATGAAACCATGTCTCGAGACATTTTGTGTTAAGATAAAAGAGAAAAAAATCATTGCCTTCTTCACTGGCTCTGGCCCAAAACCACGATTTTTTGATGACAGGCACACAACAAATGCCTCACTGCTACTGTAACCATCCTTTCTTGTGGTATGTCTCTTGCAAAAATTGCTGCCCCAGGTTATTGGCAAGTTCGCCTACAAATTTTTTGCATTCAATAATCAGAAACTAAAAAAACCGTACGAATCAAAGTTTTTAAAAAGAAAACGAAAAATTTATATGCGCAAGAACCTTCGTCAATAAAAGAGATCTCCAAGAAAAATACAGCTAAAGATGCAGGAATTTGCACAGAAAATTCACAAGATGAGGACCAAAATATATTAGAAAAGATGCCCAACGCCAATGTTCAAGATAAAATTCTTCCACTCTCCACACCAGGGCAGCGAAATCATTCCAAATCTATTGACATCAAACTAAATCTAATTTACTCTTAAGCGTTCTGTAAACTTTGATATTTATTTCAGTGCCTTTTTCTCCATATGACAAAGGGAGAATGTATCATTTCAGGGGTAATACTTCATGAGGGGTTGAACTTGTTGTGCCAGTTTTTTATCGTTATTTTCATGCATATAAGGTAGAAAGTATCATTTTTCCACATACTCCATGGTTAATAATTAGAAAAGGGCCGAACTTGTTGTGCCACTGTATTATCATTATTTTCACTATTTTACCTTTTATTAGCAAGGATTTTCTAGTTTGATATGTTGATGATAGAACCCCATCCTTGGTCTAAAAGTCGTAAATAATTTTATCAAACCTCATTAAGAATGGATGAATACTTCATAAATAAAAAAAGATCATTTAACATACCAAATTATGATATTCACTATGATCATCAATGAATAAGAATTATGAAATCTAGCTAGTAACTAAAGCAACTACAATATCTCAGTGTTCTTCCAGTTCCAACCAATTCAATAGGGTCTAACAAATAAAATGTATATGCGTTGGGCAGGACAAAGTAATTGTAGTGCATTTATTATGGTTTTCCATCTATCAAATTTTGGCATCATCATTCTCTGTCATCTTCCTGCAACATTTATCAATATTTTCATTCCCAATCTATTATCCACACGAATATAACTGAGTAATCACACAACCAGAATAGAGGTCAAAATAGAAATGAGGCTTCACACATTGGAAATATCCATAACTGATTTCCCTAATTCCTTTCTGTCCATTGCTAGAGGTTTTAAGAGCCTAAGAATACTCTCCTCCCGCATGCAAATAAATCAGTTAAACAAACTACCTAAACTCGATTTTCACAGTTCTACAGTAGTATTCAATTTTAAGAAGTTAGGACCAAAAGTCATCAAATAAACCATGTATCTTAGGATGCAAGGCGACATGACTGCATGTCCTGGGATGTATGAGTGTCCTTGATATTACTATCCACAGATTCTCACGTTCAGGTTCCTTTTAAAGAAACTTATCTTCCTCAATTTGACCAAAATGCATAGAGATTCAATATCTTATACAGATTGAAGTTTAGAAGAAATTGTAATGAAGATGTAAAACATACTCATCCTCAGAAAGAACATGACAAGCATAACACTCAGAAATCAGCACTATCCCCACACACCGAGCTCCTGACCCCCGGTGACTACTAGACTCTAAATCAATCACCACAATCAGGTCAGAGAGACTTATTTTGGGTTAAATTTTGTCTGCTTCTCTGATTGAATCCCAAGCCAATTCCGTCCAGTAAAGAACTCAAATTCTGATTGACTACCTCATTTGACGGATTCAAGATTGGTCCTCATTACAATATGAATTGGAACAAGCACCCCCAATTGTTAAATTGTATCACTCGTAGACACGTAAAATATCCCTCGTTTTCTTAAACTATCACGTGAGCCTTGCTGAATAAACAAGGCAATGAGCAGTCGTCTGATTCAAGAAACGCATCAAACACGGCTGGCAGGCGAGGAAAGAGACAATAAACTCGGTTACCCCAGGAAATGGGAAACGGTTCGAGGACAGCAGCGAAAGGAATAACTAGGAAACAAAAGAAGGATCGGAAGAAGAGACACCTCGAGGCTCATCAATGGCGCCGTCGATGACACCCACATCGCCGTCGAGCTCGTCGCTCCTCCTCCAGTCAGAGCCTGCCCAGCCGCCAGAGCCGGGATGGTAGATAACACTGCTCTGGTTTCTCTTCACCAGAAGCCCGACCATTCTGTGCACGTCAGCGACTCCTCTCCCCCTCGCGGGAATCAATTCGGATTCATCCCGGGTAACACAGGTTGGATCCGTCAGCTATCGGTTCTACTAAACCGTTCTCGACCGATGATATTTGAATTCTAACAACTGCCCTCTCTTCATGACAGAAAAAGAACTATTACGTTATGCTCCACAAGTTTTAATTAGTTGTAGTTCTATCCTTCATCCGTTCTTTCAGCCGTTCGTGAGCAAAAGAATTATGAATCACATAAAAAGAGGACTGTATTTAAAATATTGCAGTTAAACTAAATGTCGACCACGCACTTGAGATGCCATGGCCCGCCGAGTCCGAGTCTGAGTCGGACCCGCGCCAGCTTCGGCACCGGGTGTTCAGCGGTCCAGGGCGATTCCAGCGGCCCGTAGTGACGAGTCAGACAGAGGATGAGAGATCGGTTCGGGTCAGCCAGATCGGATTATAACGTGCCACCGTATATGCACTTTTTATTATATATAGTTAAATTATATTTAAATTAATTAATTTTAAAAACATATATTCCTCGCCGCCAGTGTGGTCAGTTAGCGAGACGGCGGCGCGTCGGCCGCCGCCGCGGGTGGTGCCCGGTGGATCGGCACCGGCGGCGGCGGTGGTGGTCCGATGGGTCTCTACAACGGCGGCGGAAACTTCGACGGCGGTGGCGAAAGCGAGGACGAAAGTGATCGGATAGTAGAGTCAATGAGAAGAGAGAGAGAGAGAGAGAGAGAGAGAGAGATGAGCAGAAGTGGAGAGCAGGAGCGAGGAAGAGAAGAAAACCATGATCTCAGAGAGAGGGAATTCTGCCATCGTGCGTGGCCAGGCTCCATCCACCGCCGCTCCGGTGATCCTTGGAACAGTCAATGGCGGTGTACTCCAGGACATGACTCGACGAAGGTAACGCACAGACCGACCTACCTTCTGGCCTCTCTTCCTGGGACGCTCCTCTGTGTCTGCGATGGTTCTCTCTGATGCCGTCGAGAACCGCGCAGGCAATTGAGATTCGAAAATGATCTGCTGTCGTCAGGTATTGTATAGATAAAATCTTATTGTGTTCAGTCTGATATGCTGGGAGATTTTAATGGCGAGCTCTGTTTGTTTCCCTTTTTCTGTGTTCAGTTGATCTGGGGAGGCTCGCCGCAGGAATCTGAAGAATCAGGAAACCGATCATTCACACTGCCAATTTAACAAGATGGATGAGGAGAAAGAAGAAGAAGAAGAAGAAGAAGAGATCTATCTTGTTCCGCAGACGGGGGAGGGGCGGGGAGGAGGAGGGTTGTTTGTAAATGGGAGCGGAGGATGGGAGATGGCGGCGGCGGCGGCGGCGGTTGCTCAGAAGGCTTCCATCCTCTCCGGCACCGGCGTCTTTATGACCTGCAGGATCTGCACCACCTCCGCCATGGAGGGGCGGCTGGAGGGGATCTGCGACGTGCAGACGAGCCCGAGCTTGAGCACCGGTAGGACCTCGTCCTCCGGGAAGGGCCCCAGGCGCGGGTCGACACAGTCCAGCGCCGCGCCACGCTCGAGCAGCGCCCGCACCTGGTCCACGAGGATGACCACGTCGTCCTCTCCGTACTCCACCGGCCGGCGCCCCGTCACCAGCTCCAGCACCACCACGCCGAAGCCGTACACGTCGCAGCGCTCGTTAACGCGGAGGCTCTGGCAGGCCATCTCGGGGGCCACGTAGCCGAGCGCGGTCTGGAAGCGGCTGCCGACGGCGTGCCGGTCGGGCTTGGGCAGGAGACGCGCCAGCCCGAAGTCCGCCAGCCGCGCGTCGCCGGCGTCGTCGAGGAGGATGTTGCCGGGCTTCACGTTGTAGTGGATGATGGGCGGGCGGAAGGACTGGTGCAGGTGGGCCAGCCCCTTGGCAGCACCGAGGGCGATCTTGAAGCGGGCGGCCCAGTTCAGGGGGGGCAGATCGGGGCGGTCGTGGAGGCGGGCCTGGAGGCTGCCGCCGCCGGCGTAGTCGGAGATAAGGAGCTGTAGCTGTGGGGTCCAGTAGTAGCCACGGAGGGGCATCAGGTTGGGGTGGCGAGCCTTGCCGAGGATGCGCACCTCGCGGTCGAAGTCGTCGTGGTACTGCACGATGTTGGCGGTGAGCAGCTTCTTGACGGCGACGAGCTTGTCGGAGGCGACGGCGGCCTTGTAGACGGTGCCGAAGGCGCCGCGCCCGATCTCGGTGGCCTTGTGGAGCAGGGCCTCGCCGCTGCCACCGAAGTCCTCGGAGAGGAGCTCGCTGCGGGGGCCGAAGAGGACGAGCTTCCCCACGGCGGGGTCGCCGGAACGGGTCGAGCTCGAGCACATACTCTCCAGGGCGGTCTCCACCAGACCCACGCGCCGGCGCGCCGAGGCGTTGAGCAGGGCTACCACGACCACGCCGAGGACGATGACCAACGCGGCGGAGATGGCGACGATGGCCGACACGCTCAGGAACCGCCGGTGGCGGGCCTTGGCGGCGGCCACAGCCGCAGAGGACGGGCTGCCGGAGGCGCCGACGAGGTCTCCTGCCGGCCCGCCGTTCGCCGACCGGTAGCTATCGGGGTCGAGGACGAGCGGCTTGGGAACGTTCATCCTGCAGGGCTCGTGGACGAGGGGGGAGCAGATGCCGGCGTTCCCGTCGATGGCGCTCTGGTCGAGGCTGGGGAAGACGCCGCCGGTTGGCAGGCGGCCGATCAGGCGGTTGTGCGAGATGTTGACGGCGAGGAGACTGTCAAGGGCTCCGAGCTCCGGCGGGATCTCGCCGCTCAGGTCGTTGAACTCCAGGTTCAGAATCTCCAGCTTCCTCAGCCGGGACAGCCCCGGCGGGATCGACCCATTCAAGCTGTTGTGCGACAGGCCCCTGCCCGGCGGAAGATCCCAAATTTAGAAGGAAAAAAAACTCTCGGAAAGAACCCAGCAGACGGGGTAGAGGGAGAGAGAGAGAAAGATAGAGAGGTTGATACACTTACAGCAGGTGTAGGGAGGAGCAGTTGCCGATTTCTTCAGGAATGGGGCCGCTGAGGGAGTTGCCGTCGAGTTGGAGGACGGCGAGGCTGCCGGAGTCGCAGAGGTCGCCGGGGATCGGCCCGTAGAGGGCGCTACTGCGGAGGTCGAGCACCGACAGGTTGCGGAAGTAGCCGAGCTCCGGCGGCAGCCGCGACCGGAGGTCGTTCCACGAGAGATTCAGGTGGTGGAGGTTGAAGTAGAGAGCCATCTCCGGCGGTATGTCCCCCGTCAGCCGGTTCCGCGACAGGTCCAGCCGCCGCAACGTCTCGAACAGCCGGGTCGACCCGGGTGGGATCCCTCCGGTGAGCTCGTTGTCGGAGAGGTCCAGCTCCTCCAGCCCCAGCTCCAGCAGCCCCGCAGGGATGCTCCCCTTAATGGCGTTCCCCCTGAGGCTGACCCTCGCCAGCTTCCCGCACGCCACCACCGATGCCGGGATCTCCCCGGCGATGCCGTTGCCGGAGAGGAAGAGGGAGGTGAGCTCCCTGAGGTCCCCCATCGCCGGCGGCAGGCTCCCCCCGAGCCTGTTGTCCGACAGGTCGAGGCTCTGGAGACTGGTCAGATTGGAGACCCAGGACGGGAGGTCGGCGGAGAGCTGGTTGCCGGAGAGGTTGAGGAAGGCGAGCGAACTCAGCCACTGCATCGTGTAGGGGACCGAACCAGAGAAGCCGTTCCCGCTGAGGTCGACCTCGGTAAGGTGGGGACAATACCCGATCCCGAGCGGGACCCCGCCGGAGAACCGATTGCCGTTAAGGCGCAGGACCTTGAGGTTGTGGAGGAGCCCCATCCCCTCCGGCACCGGGCCGGCGAGCTCGTTCCGGGAGAGGTCGAGCACCCTTAGCCGCCGGAGGGGGAGCAGGCTCCCGGCGAAGTCCGGCTCCCCGGAGAGTCGATTCCCGGATAGGTTCAGATGCAGGAGTGAGCCGCAGCGGGACAGCCCGAGGGGAAGCGGGCCCGAGAGTGCGTTGCCGGCGAGGGAGAGGTAGCGGAGGGAACCGGAGAAGATCTCATCAGGGATCGCGCCGGAGAGCGCGTTGTCGGAGAGGTCCAGCGCGGTGAGGGTCGCCGCCAGCGCGCCGAGCTCGCCGGGCATGGCGCCGGAGAAGGCGTTGGAGGAGAGGTTGAGGAGGCGGAGGGCGGGGAGGAGGGAGAGGTGGGAGGGCAGGACGCCGGAGAAGTTGTTACCGGCGAGGGAGAGGGATTCCAGGGCGGAGAGCTTAGCGAGCCCCCGATTGAGATGGCCGGAGAGCCCGAGGCCGGAGAGGGAGACGTTCACCACGCGGCCGGTGGCGGCGCTGCACTGGATGTGGGCCCAGGTGGCGCAGGGGGCTTCGTCGTCCTCCTGCCAAGAGGAGAGCGCGCCGGAGTGGTCGACCACGCCGGACTTGAAGACGATAAGACCCACCACGTCGTCATTGAGCGGCGCCCCCGCCGCCGCTGCCGCAAGGCTGGGCACAAGGGGAGACAATGTGGCCAGGAAGAGGAGGAGGAGGCGGCGGAATGCCGGAGCCACCACCATCGCTGTCCCTTGCCCTCTCTCTTTCTCCCTCTCTCCCTAAGCAGGGTTCACTTCTTCCTTCACCCACCCTCTCTCCTAACTCCGCCGGTCTCCGCCACTTTTGCTCCTGTCCGAGACGGCGGCGATGGCGGGGAGGGAACTGGCCATGCACGGCAGCGGCAGAGTGGACGGAGACAACGATTCCGATCTCCCCACCTTCCCCCCGGGTCACCTCACAGCTTCGCTTTTGAGCGAGCGAGGAAGTATGAGGAGAATAGATAGATAATGGATAGATAGGTAGAGAGCGAAAGAGAGAGAGAGAGCGAAGGAAAGTGGGAAATTACGAAGGCTGCCACTCTGGTGCAACTGGGCAGGGCGGGGCTGTACAGGTGGATACACAGCTAATACGACACGCCTGCGCGTGTCGCCAGAGAGAAAATGCTGCCCATATTTACCATGGTTTCCTAGGGTCTAAACACCCCAGAAAATATTAAAAAATTATGATACTCGTAATTAGTAATTAAATAAGAAAATAATTCAAATCGGGTTCCAAAGGTCTTGCGCAACGTGGTGGGGTGTAGCCCGGGCCGGGCCGAGATGGTCGGGCCCGGTTTTTGAATGATGGTAGATAGATACAGGGGCCCGTTGATATCAGGGGGGGGGAGGGGCAGAGGCCGGCACGCCCGTGAGCTTTGTTGGGGACGATAATGGAGTTCCGTGACCGCAGAGATTCCCGACTGGATCTCTCTCTCTCTCTCTGGTTTCTCTCTCATGGTTTATCTCTCGTCTACTTACTGAGCGTGTGGGTATGGGGAGGAGAAGAGGAAGAGAGAGATGGGCCTGAGCAAGGGCTGGTCGGTCCGGCGACCGGCAGACGCGGGATGTGACCGGACCGGGGAGCAGAGGGAGGAGAAGAGCCGCCGCCGGCCTTGTAGAGAGCTCCCTCCTCCCCGTGAGTGATGGATGTCAAAGAAAACAGCGCCCCCCCCCCTCTCTCTCTCTCTCTCTCTCTCTCTGTCTCTCTCACTCTCTCTCCCCCTCTGACTATGTTTATTTATATTCTTCTTACTGTCGTTCACAACTTTACGTATGTCCTACTTTCACGCACACCAGCACTCTTACTTCTCTCTTACACACAAACAACCACATCTAAACTTCTTCAACTGTACTCTACTTCTAGGATTTCCAGGCTCAGACCCTTAAACCCCCTCCACTCTCTCTCTCTCTCTCTCTCTCTCTCTCTCTGCGGCTGCTGGATACTGTGGGTCCGATGTTCTTGTCTGAGGCGACACCAAGGAGGAGGACAGAACTTCCCCGCTCAGCCCCTGCACCCCCCACCCATCCCCCCATCCCCCACTTGCTATAGCTCAGACATTCCAAGTGGACGACCTCTCTCTCTCTCTCTCTCTCTCTCTCTCTCCTCTTCCTCTGCGGGACCACACGGGGGAGGGTGGTCATCGGTTTCAGTCTTCTCTACAGTCAGCGGCAAGGATTGACGGGCCAGGAGATGATAAAAGAGAGATAGATTTAGAAAGAGAGAGAGAGGAACAGCGCTGAAGGCAGAGGGAGAATATTTCGTTCCGCCAAAAGCTGCCTCCTCCCTGATCCCTGAGCCTGGCGTCCAGTCTAAGCATATAAACACCGATTATAAAAATATTGAGGGAATATTCCCTTTTCAAATCATGACCAAAAAAATAATACACCAATGAATAATAATTCTTCATGTTTTTTAAAAAAATCAATGATCAAATTGGGGCTCCGGCGGTCAGGTTAGGGTTTATAAAATAACTTAGCAGCATAAATATTTTATTTTTTTCCCTCTTGAACATATCAGGCTGCCAATTAATGTTCCTATCCACACAGAAAAAAAAATTACATAATTTGTATTCTGAAATATGGGGTACTAATTATCTTGAATTATCTATATTACCGTTGTATTTTTTTCAAATTTACAGTAAACATTAAATTTAACTATTTATTTATAGTAAAGCATAATTGTATCACCATTAAATAAGGCATTATCTGCTACTGAAAAATATATTTCCTCTCTCGCTCTTTAACATTTTTATTTGATAATAATAATAATAATAGTGGCATTGGAAATCTACCAATTTCATGAAACATCAGTACTCCAACATTTCTATCATTATTATCTGCCCATGGACTGATTTTCTAATACAGTTGATACACTTTTATGAGTATTTTTCTGTGGAGAGGACTATTTGGCTGTTAGTATAGACCCCGAATTGTACATTATGTTTCAGTGTATTCACATGTTAGAGAGAGATACGGATGGGAGCTAGAAAGATGTAGCGAGAGAGAGAGAGAATGGGTTGGGGTTAGAGAGATGGGGTGCAGATGTTAGATTTTCTAACACGATTAGTATAATATTTGACGTTATATTTTTCAGTGGAGGAGATTAATTGGCTGTTAGTATAGTGCTCAGATTGTAGGTTTATGATCTGATGCCTTTTGTTCACATTTTGTACAGAAATGGGGATGGTGGCTAGAGAGATATAGAGAGAGATGAAGTGTAGTGTGGGGTGCCTACTATGTCGCTTGTATTATTTTTCTAACACAATTAGTATACTTTTTATCATTAATTTTTTTAGCCCAGATTGTGCATAAAGTTTCGGTGTATTTTATTGATACTTTAGAGAGAGATAGGGATGGGACGTAGAAAGATGTAGAGAGAAGCTGAGGAGTACAAGAGAGAGAGGGAGAGAGAGAGATGGGGAGAGGTAAAGATGAGTTTTTTTCCATCCTTTCGAGCCGGCGGCTCAAGTGGGGGAGATCCGCTAGAGGCCAAGAGGCCCGTGAAGAAGAGTGAGCGCATGTGAGAGCGCCTCTCGTGGGGACGGCCGAATACCGACGCCGGAATCCCGCCAAAGCCACGCATGCCGCTGCTGCTGCTGCTCCTCTCTCTCTCTCTCCTCTGGACCGGATCAGACGAGTCCTTCACGTGCATATGAGAGAGCACCCGGCCCGGGGGGCTGGCTCACGTAGAGTTACTCCCCTACTGATCAGTGGGGTAGGGGCGACAGAAGAAGGGCTTTCCTGCTATAATACACAATTTACGAGGGGTTTTCCGAAAATGGAATATGTAACACGGGTCTATAAGCAACATTGTTTCTAATCATCTGTGGCTGACGATGATGGTGAGTCCCAATCATCATCACTCGGCTTTTGGAAAAAATCAAATCAAATCAATGCGTTTAACCGTCGTAAATACCGACTAGAGTCAAGAATAATAGTGCAAGCCGACACTGCAGAATAGAGCCTACGAAACACCCTGGACACAACCTCCAAGTCAAAACCCCATGACCCATCTTGGGACCAATCTCCATAGAGAATGGTAGAGAGAGAGAGAGAAGTTGACTTAGTAGAGACTTGAGCGGGGCTGACTTTTTCTCAAGATTGATTCCGAAGTCAAAGTCTCGAAGAAAAAGAAGAAAAAAAACCTTAAAACTGAAGACCCTCGCAACATAAAATTCCATCAAAATAAAACCCTAGTTAATGATTAAAATCTTACTCAATTTTTAAACATTTTAAGAATCGGTCTATGATTAATGATTTCCTTATAAAGCATCAACTAGAAAACTTCATATCCATTCTTTTTTGTCAAAAAATCGACAATTTTAATCAATAATTAAAGGTGAGTGTGTGTTAGAATTTTGTTAATTAGTGACCACAATTTACGTCAAATTATTAGAAGTACAAATGAGCCACCTGAATGGGTCAGCCCGATTTAAATTTCTAGACATTGGGCTTCAACATCAAGGCTAGAGAGAGAGAAAGAGAGAGAGAGGTGCGGTCCGTTTATAATATTAGGCCAGTGTCGGGGTTTAATGAACTTAATAGACCTAATTTTTATGTACAGCTAGCTTTGGGAAAGTGGTCCATGTGTGCCCAGCCCATTATTGCCAATTTTATTCAGAATTTTCCCAAGGGCGATGATTCATATTCCCTGTACGCACTTATAATGGGACCAGCCTGATTTCTCTGAATGCTCTTCCAAAACGGGAGGAAGAGAGAGAGGGAAGGAGGGAGAAAGAGAGAGAGAGAGAGAGAGAGAGAGAGAGAGAGAGAGAGAGAGAGAGAGAGAGAGAGAGAGAGAGAGAGAGAGAGAGAGAGAGAGAGAAGAGAGACAGAGAAGAGGTTCTGAAAATTATGGGCCAGATTCCACAATTAGTGCTCGAAATAGGTCAGGTGGGTCCAGATGGGTGGTGGCCACAGAGCCATCGATTTTATCTCACCTGATTCGACTCGTCCTCTTTAAAGGCCCAGACAAGTCAAAGCTAGCCCTAACCCGATTCCATCAGCAGATGGGGGGGGGGACCAAGACAGCGAAAGAAGGGGAAGGGAGGGGGGGGGGGGGGACCAAGAAAATCACTCTCTCGTTCTACTGGTAAATCTCCTTATCTACAGAGCCCACGATTCCATTCCATTGAAAACTTGGAAAGAAAGCTGCCAAAAAGGAGAAATTCACTGCAAAGGTAAGATCTCTGTCCTCATACCCCAATCAATATACTTCTGTTCGTTATAACCTCTCTCTACCTCATTTTGCTCAACGTAGAGAGAGAGAGAGAGAGAGAGAGAGAGAGAGATGAGTGGTGGTCAAATGAGCATTCGCGATGGAAGTCAATGGGAACAGTGGCTGGGCAATTAAGGGTACGAGAGGGACAGACAACTACATAAATGGGAGAGGGGGAGAGAGAGAGAGAGAGAGGGAGAGGGTGGAATGAGGTAAAGAAAAATAAAAGTCAGAGCAGCAACAGCAAGAATCAGAAGAAAGCCAAGCAGAACTGTAGAAAGCAAAGTTCTCCAGAGCTGCACGCTGCTAGATGCCCATTCATTTCTGGCAATTATAGATATCTTACCGCATGCCTCCTTCTTTAGTCCTGAATTTTCTAAGAAAAACTGTGAGGAAACAACTACACACAGGGTGAAACAAACATCTCAGCAATGGGATGCACAGAACCCTCCTGGGACCTACTGTTTTCCAGTCTCTGTTTCAGCATATAGCTGGGTAGTCCGCACGGAATGGGGTAGAAAGTCCCCAACTGGGTAATAAAAAGTCAACGATTCATTATCTAAAAACTCAGATTTGAACGTGAAAAAGATCAAATGGTGATCCTGATTGAGTCATAGACCAGCCGATAATGCATCATTGGTTCAGACAAGCCACACACGTGAGTGAAAGAAGCATTGAAAAAGTCAGCGGAATCAATAGAGAAGAAAGATTCAGATGGGGATTAGAATAATAGGGTGGTTTCAAGAATTAGGAGTTTTTGGGGAAACCGTCAGATTTGTGATAAGAATCCATGAGGGAACGACAACGATATGACACAACAAAGGTGACAGCCTGAACGTAACAGCCTAGATTACATCGAATCAGACAGCATCATTGGAGATCTGGTGTGTGGTCTCTTCCAATAACATCTCAGCAGAAGTCCCCTCACCCAGGTAACTATATGAACCCGCCTGCCCGGCTACTTTTTCCCCGCAGGAGCTTTGTTCTTGCTGTCACCTGCCGTGCCACCCCCGGACGTAGCAGCTTGAGCCGCCTTCTTGGCCGCCTTCTCTTCGAGGGCTTTCTTATCCCTATCGAAACAACAAAGCATGGATCAAATAATGCCTAGGAGAAATCCCATGAAATTTCATCCCGAGAGACATAATAACCTCCCAAGAAAAGAGAGATTGGATGGATCGTAAAAACAGATGATAGCAAAGGGGGTACCTCTCGCGGCGCTGTTCGGGGGTCAAGTCGTCCCCCTTGGCCTTGCCGGCCTGGGCCTTCCTGGACGCCGCCCTTTCACGGTCGCGATCCCTCTGATTGCCGCGTGCGGACAAACGAATCAAGGACAAACAAGCAAAACAGAGAAATGTTGACAGATTCCCAACCAATACCCCGGAATACCAAATTTCACGAGTAACAAACAGAACACGCAAAGGGGAAAAAAAAGAAGAACAAGATCAAGAACAAGAATACGGACCAGAAATAAGCAAATCAATGTCTGAACCATACGCACCTCGATCCATCCCCACCAAAAACATTAAATCCCCCGGAACTAATGGAAAAATCGATAGATCAACAGAGGCGCGGATTAATGATCAAGCTGGAGAAAAAGAGCCGGAAAACTCTCGAGAAGGGCAAGAAGACAACTACGATCGGGGGAAAAATCGAAGGATATGAGTCATCCTCCTGGACGACTAGCTAGCCTCCGCCGATCAGAGCAGCGATCGAAGAGCACCGGAGATTGGGTAGAGTTGACCGAGGCAGAGGGACAGCCAAGACAACACGCATGCGTGATGAGGGCTCGGGAGATATTTATACCGCCTCAAATATAATAAAATAATATGCAGTTTTCCAAATATTTCCCTCATTGGGTTGGTTAAAAATGGGTCCCCGGCCAATAGGAATTCGGGGGTTTCGGTGACCGCGGAATCCCTCCAGAAGCTTCCATGCTGTCGGCATCCGTTATATATTTTCAAAGAAGCCCACTTTATCTTACAAATTGCTTAAATACTTTATTAATAAAGCAAACCTGGAACAGTATCTGAACGGCATCGAGACTATGTCAAAACAATTGGGTAAATTTGTAATATCATAACTTAATTTGTATTTATTCATAAAAAAAAGCTCCCACGGTCCTGTTGGAATCATATCAAGGGCTCTTGGAATATGCCTAACGAATGGTTAAATGCATTGAAAGAATTATTTGGAAAAGGCCACAAGAGCAATTATATATATGTAGATGGTGAAACTATATGCTAAAATATTAATTGCCATATTAATATTTAGAGCTGTTTCTTTAAGCCCAAATTATGATCCTGTCAAAGTTTATCACGCTAAAATTTTCCATCAAAAAATTAGATCCCCAGGAGAAATATATAAAAAAAGGAATATAAATATTTAAAACTCATTTTACATTTAGATAAAATCGTTTAGTTACTAAACCAACACTTATGATCACATGCTTTCTTTCATAATAATCAAATAGTATATTATTGCCAACAAGCACCCCACCACATTAATAACCTTCATTTAACTAATTTTCTTGTAAAAGAAATTATCATTTGAAAAATCTTAATTTATTCAATGAATCATACACAATCACCTACATATTCCGTTGCAACATCTAAATTTAAAACATTCAATTTTAAGATTAATAAATGAGATATTATGCTTCCACTTTCATCATGTTCTTCATTGATCATATGAGAGGGCAACTAGCTCCATTTAATTTATTTTCTTATATAAAAAAGAAATTTAGCTAGAGCCACCAACTATCCAAGCAAATGATCAACTCGACCACATACTTAGCGCTTCAAATCTTTTGGACTAATTTACTGATTGTAAAAATCAGAGATTAATAAAAATATTCGATTTTTATTACACCATCCAAATGGAAAATATTCGACTTTAAGATTAATAAATGAGAGATTATGCTTCCACTTTCATCATGTTCTTCATCGATCCTATGAGAGGGCAACTAGCTCCACTTGATTTCTGATTATCTATTTTTTTTAAAAAAAATAACTTTAGTTAGATCCACCAACTATCCAAGCAAATGATCAACTTGACCATTGTAAATCATCACATACTTTTTGAACTAATTGACTGGTTGTAAATATGGCAAACCTTGTATAATTAACGAAAGATCAAGAGAACATGACGATGAACAGGAAGAAGATGCTCCGCATCACACCGAGTAGCTATCCTTGGCACTCTTGTCGTTCCTCTTGGCGTGCTCCTGAAAGCAGATGAAAGCTCGCTCAGACCGAGTCCAGCGGACCATCTTGGTGAGTCACAGGTAGGGTGAGGAGAATTACGTGGAACATGAAGCCGATCATCTCATTGTAGTCCAGGAACTCCTTCCACTGCCTTCCAATGCTCTCCTGGATTACATTGAGAGTTCATTACAGGGCATAAAAGACAGACGTAGGAAGTTAAGTGTAGATAGGGTAGGGCAGTTATTTTCAGGTTATATTGGTCGTCTGCTGTGTGGCAGGAGGATTCATACAAAGATGGGTCTTTTCCCCAAATCTGAGGCGTTTTGAGAGGTTTAGTGCTTCAAAAGCCTGAGATTATGCTAACAGATTAATCATCATCTTCCTTTGTGCTGGTTCATATGTAATTCAGAATCCGAAAGAGGATGACAGGAGTTCTCGTAACCACTGTTGAGATCCATAGAAAAAAACCATAAGAATGAACGGAGAGCAGTCCGTCGGATTTGTTTGAAAAGACATTGAAATAGCTATCAGGCTTCTATTTTTGTATGTTTCAAAAGCACCGAGCAAATTGAAGCAGTGAAAAAATAACAACAATGTGTAAAAATACTTGTTACTTTCAAATGGAAAAAAAATCATTATTCCAAAAAATATACTCATAGTTCCCAATTAAAAATAGAAAAAAAGTCTCAAAACCCTATGAAGTCAATAATAACAATATTTAGTCTATTTACATTCCCACCGTAACATTGTGCCAATTATTTCTGCACATACTATTATCGATATCTGAATGCACTGGTTCACACACAATGGCCTGAGATAACCAAGCGAGTGGAGAAAGTGGGCAGATGCCTTACATTGTAAATCTCTAAAATATGTATTCTTGTTATGAACCTTGTTATAATAAGTAAAACTTATTATCAATATATAGTCCTCGCACTGGTCACCATATGCTAGGCTCTAAGAACTAATGAGAACACATTAATAAGGTCCTTCGAATCAGAATGAGAGAAAAACATAACAAAATGGGGTTCAAATTTAAAAACTGAAAAAATCGAGTCGGACACAAGTCAATGCAGACCATATGAGGCTGTCTTTAATATTTTAATGAAACCAGTTCCTTTCAACTCGATCAGTTTCAGTCCGCTTTGATCCAGTGTAGCTAGTTCGGTAAAAAAATGCTCTAACAAAATATCGGGTGACTTTAAACTAGGGTTTCTCTGCCCTTTTTACTTGTTTCACTTTATTTATTTGCTTGCTCCTTTTTTGAGAGGGGAGCGGCTGGGGGGATTAGCCCCTTTGTTCGTTCCTTTAGAAGGCTACCGACCCACAATCATGAACCCCTGAAATACAGAATATATACCACACACAAAAGTGTTGAAATTTCACGAATATATTCATTGGTACAAATGCACAGAGATATTTTATGAATCAAACGGAAGCCTAGAACAGCGTAGCACAAACATAAACAAAAGGGGGTGTACCTGAGCTTCCCGATTGGTGGCATTTTTTGTCCATAAAGCTATTTTTACATGCTTGGGTCGCACACTAACGGCAGCTCCACAAAGCTCATGACCAAACTCAAACTGCTCACCAATCATTGCTAGTAGCTGGAAACGATCGAGAATGAAAATTATTCACGGGTAGAAGATAAATGAATACTATGTATTTCAGCATAAAACAGAAAACAAGGCGAAGGTAGGGTCACACCGTGTATAACCACCAAGTATCAACTTTAGCTCTGGGGGAAGTTATAATCCACCTTCCTCCACCAGCACAAACTGGATCCTCCCATTTTGGCTCAATCCTCTCCTTGAAGCAATGAAAGTCTGCTCCTGAGATTAACTTGCTTGGATGGTGTATGTTATTGTAAAGGCTACATAAAAAAAAGGTGATTAAAAAATTTAAGACAATGTATACTATCGATGGGCGAAAATATTTATGAGATAGCTACTCCTTGAAGCAAAATAAAACTTCATTCAACATCATACCTAAGGGACTAATGCTCTCTAATAAAACATGCGGTTAAAATAATCCATGAACATGAAAAAATACGGTCAATCTAACAACAAAGGTAAGAATCTTCAGAGAAACTATCTGCAGATTGAGATGTCAAAATGAAACTAGAGTTTGGCATACAATGGTCACATTAATTCAATAATCGTATAAAAGTATAAACTGGGAGGATGCCAAACCCAGCATATCACGATTGAACTCCATACACCCTTTTACTCCAAAAAATATTATTGGCAGCTCCTATATCGATTTATCATATCATATGTCCAACAACATTCTTTTGACGTCATAGATTCCCCCTATCAGCTTCTTATTCTGCTATACTGTATGAAATGCTATCTACTTTTGGTTTTAACTCGCTCTTCTTATTTACCATGTTATTCCCCTCTATATAAGAATGCACCTAGAGAAAAGGGCAGCCAAATGCATGTCATGAGTATTATCCCTCAGTGCACAAGCTATATCAGATCATAACTTAAGAAAACAATTTCATCGTCTTTAGGACCCCTGCAATTACACGCCCATGTGAAAGATTATCCGATGGCTCTCTCCTTAAAATATCAGTCAAGCCTCTCCCACATGTTTTTATATTCCTCAGATTTAAAAAAACCCGGAAATATGTAAAAACCCTAACACCGGCGCCTTACATTAGAATGACCGAAAAGCAGCGTGTGTGGTCTCGTTACCTCGTCCAAAACGATCAAAAAACACACACACACATAATAACGCATGCATGAACGCTCTTGAATCGACTACGAGTAGTAGGAGGAGGAGAAGAAGGTGAAGAAGTTTTTCCGCGCGCTTACGTATTTGCACACATTTTAGAGGTTTTCAAGCGAGTGCGTACCCCCAAAAGTCCTCGACAGTTGAGAAGGTGTGGATGGGGCGAAGAGAGCTGCCCCAGGTGGCCTGCTTGGCCTTAGCGGCTGGATTGTCGAACCAGAACGTCCATGAATGCTCCAGAGGATGCAACTGTGCCTGGCCCACGGCTATCCCCGGAGGTGGGTCTGACAACTCGATCTCCCCCTCCTCCAGCTCTCCCTCCTCCCTCCCCTCCATCGCAGGCGCTTTCCCGCCGGCCTCCACAGCGGCCGCCTCGTCCGTCATCACTCTCTTCCCTTGTGACTCCACAGAACTCTGGAGGAGGAGGATCTGAAACAAGGAACCGGCTCTCTCAGGCGGGGGGGAGGAGCAACACAAAAGACCGGCGATGGGGAAAGGCTCGGCGGAGGGGGGGTTAAGGGGGAGAAGAACCTCTATTTATATGGAATGACTTGTCTGATCCTTCGAATCAAGAGGAGATCTAGTCCGATGGAGAGTCCTCAACCGTTGGATTGACCGGTCTTATGTCGGTAATTTAAAATTAAAATAATTTTATTTTTCATTTTTGTAATTGATTTTTCTATGAGAAAAGCCCGAAATAAACCTGACTAACCACATCCTGCTAGGTACTACATTGGCCCATCTCGGAATTCTCTCTCCTATTCTACTTTACCACATTATTTATTCATGTACGCCTAATTATTTACAAATATTTTGTAATTATCATTTATTAAAAAATCTCAAATTTTAATACTCACACTCCTGATAAGCAAACATATGGCCAAATGGATAATGAAATAATAACTAAATTATATTCGTTTAGTTCATATCCAAATGATATAATTCTAAATGGGCCGTCAATGCCCATTAAGGTATTGTTGCTACTAAAAGGAAGTAGGCTCAAGTTTGAAATCAGCCCATTATTGTTGTACCAAGTTGACTTTGCTCTATGGCCATAACTATGAAGCATGGCCCATTGACATACATACATTTTAGATCATGTTTAACTCATTTGGTTCACACATGATGGGACATTATTTTAAAAAATATGCTAAAGGCTTGTTAATTAAGCGTAATTAGATACGACATATTTTAAAATTAACTTTATTTTAATAATAAAAATGTGGATTCTAAATTTCAGAAAAAAAATAAATGACGAGAATATCCATTGGATTTGAAGTCAATTCATTTAGAGTTTCTTGGTGGAATTATTTGTGTTCTTTCTTATTTATACTATTTCCAAGATTTTTAGTTAATTAGAAAAATTGTCTACTAGGTAATTCTCTAAATGTGGAAAAAAGAAAGGGAACAACTTGTTGGAGTGCTAAATAAAAAGATCAGATTATTTATAAAAAAATCAGAATAATATAAAAAATCAAGTCAGAACTAATAAAGACATCTACCAACTTAGAAATGCCTTCTTATTGAACTCACTACTACTTCCCACTAAGGGTGGGTTCTCATGATACAACATTTCTTGCAAGTCACATCCTCATGATGACAATGTATGATTGTGTATGTTATCACTAATCACATAAAAGTATCATTAATTGTATACTTAGGTCGTTCATTATAGAATAACTTGTTACCACTATGATCCATTTACATGTATGGATAAAATTCATGTTTAAATACTTACTTATTTATTAGATAATTTTTATTGTGGGACTAGCTTGTTCTCGTTGACCAAATTTTTGACTTAGGAATGAGAACCCACATATTATTAGTATTTTTGATACTCATTTTATTTTATTTTCAATGTATTTTTAATTTTAAAAATTACCCTTCAAAGTAGTAATTATTATAAAGCTAAAAAAAATAATTACTTTTGGTTAAAAAAGCTCAAATTGAATTATAGTCATCCTTCCACATCTAATCATCATTTAAACAAGAAATAGCCCTCAACTTTCATTGAAATTTAGATCTATAATTCATTATATCGTCTTCATTCATTTATCATGAATTGCAATCTGACGTGAATAAAATAGCTATCTTGAATGAAATGGCACTATGATCTCTTTAAGCCATTTCATTTAGTGGCACTTAAGAACAATAAACTATTGAAGGAGTAGATGGGGGCTGGGGCTGAGTGATTGAGCATACCACCACTTGAAAATCTTTATGATTTTTTAGTTTGTGCACTTAGGAGTCAACATCTGTCCCACCCATCTTGAAAGAGTAGGAGATTTAGATCCCTATGTTCAGTAACACAAGCCTTGCCATTGCAATATAGGAAAGAGGACAATTATTTATTTAATTAACATTTTAATTTATTTTAATTTATTACGGTCACTGATTGATAGTTATAATAGTATATTTTATTTTATTTCAATATTTTATGGAACTTATTTGGCCCCCAAATAGCCCCAATAATAGTTAAAATACTAATAACTATACTCTTAATAATAACACGAGTTAATATTATTTCATTGTAGTATAATTTATTCACGAATGTCAAATTTAATTCAAATGTTTAAATTTAATTGATATTAGATGGGAATATGCAGGATCTATTATCTTTATTTATTTGGGACAAAAATAAAATGGGAGATAGGGGCATAAGGTTATTTACTAGATATGTGGCTTATTTATCATCTGAGGACACTCAGAAATCATCCTCTCGATGGAAGGGACGGGGAGAGATATTTTCCTGAAGTGGATTGGTGGCATAAAGATCAGGGTCCACCGTGGAAACTTCGCCATGACCGTAGATGCCGTGGACCTTCTGACGGTTGCTGGCCACGTCCCCACGCCGTCCAGCAGAATACGGACATCATCAGTCAGCGGAAGAAAATGACGTTTACTTTGCATCAACAGGTCCGCGAAAAGGACACGTGTCGGAAAAAGCGGTTCACGCCGTCATCCTCATCCTCTTTCTCTCTGTCTTGCCGTGACAAGCGGCGTCTGCTTCTCCGCGGTGATGGTAATCAGCCCGCATCCACAGAAACGACTAGCTGGGAAGAAGGTGTAATTCAGCAGGCACGGTATCGGTGCTCTTACAGTATATGTGGAAACGTGGCAGAAGGACACTCGGTAAAACTGCCCGTCGCTAGACAGCACCTGTAAGTTTCAAAAATCTCACCTGTTAAAGGCACTGGTTATTGTAATCGTACTGTCAGAGAGGAAGGCGATCATCAGAGTGTTCGAAGAGATTGGGGGTCGAGAGGTGATCATCATCTTCTTCTTCTTCCATCTTCTGCTTGTCTCGTTCCTCAGCTGTCTAGTTGACAGGAATTATATTGGCTTCGGTGGCGATCGCTGTCTCCGACAGTCGGAGATTATCTGCCCCACCCAATCAACCTCCGGGTTGGTTGGGTAAATCATCTTCCTTCTCCCCTCCCCAGTGTTTGATCAAGTACGATGTGTAATCTCTCATATAGTTGGCAGCGCTCTCGTTCCTTCTATAAACTGAACCTTTCCCGACAACTTCTTCTTCTTCTTCCAGAGATAGAGATGACAATTGACTGAGAAAGAGGCCGTCGCTCTTGTTGAAACATCCATCCCTCGATTTCCCCGCGATGCATCGTCGAGATTGTTTCATTCGGTCCGTTGTTCTTTGAAATTCTGATTTGTTAAAGTGTTGGGGGAAGGATTACTCACCATGGCTTCCCGCGAGATCCGCAACTGGACATTCTGCGGCCTCGTCGGGGCGTTCCTTGACCTCGCCCTCGTCTACTTTATGCTCTGTGGTGCCACCTTTGCCTTTTTCGCCGCCAAGTTCCTTGGAGTTTTCGGCCTGCACCTCCCGTGTCCATGCGGCGGGCTCTTCGGTCACCCCGATGGCCAATGTCTCCACGGCCTACTCGTTGACCACCCGCCCCGGAAGATCTCATCCGTCATGACGTCTGTGCGGAACAGCTTCCCCTTCGATGCCGTCTGGACAAAGGGAGAGGGCAGTCCTCGCGATTTCGACGAGAAATTCACGAAGGATGGTGGAGCTCAGAGCGATAACCTCGTGGAGAAGACAAGGGAGGAGGCAGAGTCATCGTGGTCGAAGAATTCAAGTTCCTGTGATCTTTCATCGGTGAACAGAGCGAGTCAGGCTGAAACAAACAGCTCCCCCAGGCGACTGCCAGATAATCCGGACGGCAGAGGCAAGAGCGATGTCAACAATCTCAAGCCCCCTCTAGGACCAAGACGTCGTCGCAGATCTTCTACCGAGCAAAGGAAGTCATCACCTGTATTCTCCTCCAGTTCTAGACTGAGTCTCTGCGAAACCCAGGACTATTATCACAATGTGAGTGAACAGATGACGGAAGTCGATGGGGAGGACGTCGCAACACTTCAATGCGGAGACGATCATCCTATATCAGGTAAGTAAGCAAAGTTGAGTCTAAACTGGGTCTATCTTCCTTCTGGCAGTGATTTCTGATATGAATAGACGCAAACATGATATTCTATTGGAATTATTTTTATTATAAATTGAGTTAAATATATGGTTTTTTTTTATAACAATCCTGATTATGATTTTTCAGACAATCAGAAGAGTTTTTCTGGCCTTGGATCATCCCAGCACCTCGCCAGCTCTCAGGCTACAGAAAGGGACCTGGTAACTAGTCCTCTTGAGGATCATTCATTTGATGGAGATAAGGTGGAAGCGATTAGAGTTTTAAAGAAGGCGCTTGAACAGGAGCGAACCTCTCGTTCTCATATTTACCTTGAGTTGGAGAAGGAGAGGAGCGCTGCAGCAACTGCAGCAGACGAGGCCATGTCCATGATACTGAGGCTTCAAAAAGAAAAGGCAGGGATAGAAATGGAAGCTCGACAGTACCAAAGAATGATAGAAGAAAAGAATGCATATGACGAGGAAGAGACGAATATTCTGAAAGAGATCATCATAAGAAGAGAGAGGGAAAATCATGTTCTGGTGAAGGAGAATGAGCTGTACAGGCAGATCATACTTTCAGGAGAAGGAAGCGAGCAGCTGATGCTAGATGAGCTTCAGCTAAGTACATCTTCCTTGGAAGGTAAAGATGCCAGCTTAGGTGACATGGGCAACGAGCAGCCATCGTGGGGCTCTGCAGAAGAAGGGAAATACTTGAAGGCTAGCAGTGATGAGAGGCTTCAAACTTCAGATGGGCATTGTGTGGAATCACCAGAAGGATATGATGAGAAAGGGATGTTGACTGCCACTGCGTACCCTTCAGAAGAAAGTGGTCAAACAGGTGCATATGGGGATGATCTAAGTTTATGTAGGTCGAGTGGGTCTCTTAAGAATATTTTCCACGATGAAGAGCCTTCAGTCGACAAAATTGGAGATAATTGTTCGAAAACTGTTCAGCAATTTACCTGTGATAGTGGCTCAGATTGGGAAGATCATCAGGATCACAGTTTAGGAGGCTCCAAATCTTGTGATCCTCATTTAAGGGCCGAACAAAGTGTCTATGATGTGCATTTTATCAACGATAAAATCTGTGAAGAACGAGATAAGAAACAAAATGACTTTCCTTTTGCGGGCAGTGTGTTAAGCCTGAGGACCGACGACCTTGGTTCAGAGCATCCTAAAAGCAGGAATATTGAAGTGATAAAGGTTCAGTCCGCTGATAACTTGTCAGAAGCTGAGAAAAATGCCCATAGAAGCAGCCCAAATCCGAAAAGGGTGCTCCGTCCTGTGGACAGTTCCAGTGATTGCTCGTCACATTGTGGGTTAAGAAGAAGCTCCATGTCAGCAGTTGACAAGGAGAGACTGATCCTTGAAACTGAAGTGGAGTTTTTAAGAGAAAGGCTAAAGCTTGTCCAGCGAGGAAGAGAAATGCTGCACTTCTCTGTGGGCAGCAATGACAAGGAGAATCTTCAGTTGCAACTCTTAGAGGAAATTGCATCTCAACTTTGTGAGATCCGACGATTGACTGAACCCAGGAAGGCCACTTGGCAGGTCCCACTGCCTCCATTATCTAAGGTACATCAGTGAGCTTGTTGGTACGTTTCATTGTTATTAATTTATGGGTACGGAAATATATTTTAGCTTTAAATCTTCATAGAACTGATGCTTGAAGTTGGTTCCTCTGTTGAAACTGAAGCGGAATAATTAACTCTTATTTGAAATATAATTTTATTGGATTTATATTTAAACGCCTCATGGGAATAGCGGCATGACCAAGCATAATATTTAAAATTTTTACGGTTGACGTAGTCAGTAAACCTGCTTGCTCTTGTGAAAAGAAGTACAATAGAAGCAATAAATTTTTAGAAATACATCTGTTTTAGTCTGAAAAAAAATAAAATCTCTAACTTAGCAGAAAATTACTTAGATATAATTTATTTATCCCTATATCTTGACGTTTTTAATGCCATTCGATAAATGATGCCATGTAATTCTATTCTAAACGTGGTTCCAACCTTAATTCTCCGATTCAGAATGAGCTCGATTATTACTGATTTTATGTCAATCTAAGCAGATGGATCTCGGGATTCCAATTCAGGTTGGAACCGATTAGTTACTGATCTTGTTTCGATGTAAGCAACTCGATCTTGGGCTTTTGGAATGTCCTGAAATCAGGAGATTCTAGGTTTTGCTAGTCCTTTAGAAGGCCACTGATTATTCCATATTACATCATTGCTTGGGTCTCCCCATTTTTACCTGGTCCTGTTGTAAAAGTGGAAGAAAACCTAGTAGAGGAAATATGTTGTACTCACATGCTTTTAGAGCTTAATTTATATGTCACCTGAGTAAATGGACACGAAAGAGGAAGAGAATATGGAACTCCTTTTTTTTAAAAAAATTTTAAAGGACAGAAAATAGAAAGGGGCCTTGGTGGAAATCCTAAAAAATATCAAGAGGCTTCTGTGATGAAGATTTGGAATGTAATAATGGAAAATAAGGCTGAAAAAAAATGATCTTGGAGTTTCTAATCACCATCTATAAGATGCAGTTCTCTTGTAATGAACTTAGCCCAGGAAGATAAATCATCTTACTCTTAACCAGTGGAAAGGTAATGTCCTTGCATCAGGAATATTTCTGAATTATCTTTTCTGAATTAGTCCTTGTTTTGATGTTTGCCTCTTCTGCCTTTTGAATAATTCTGATTAATTCTCTTTCTCTAAATAACAGTCCGAGACAGAAAGGACCCGGCCTCAGTTCAGTTCAAAGAAACGGCGGTGCCAAAGTGTTCCCTTGGGGTTCCTTGCAAAGACCTGAATGATGCTTGAATTTTGCAACGAAATACATTCGGGAGACCTGTCTCTTTGAAGCTTATGTAAACAGGATGAAGTATGTACAGCTTTTTGTGCTCCAGAGTGAGGTGAGTCTTCTCCGCAGATGAGGAGCGAATAAACTGGGCAGGATTTGATCATAGTATGGACCATCAAGGAGGACTAGAGATATGAAGTATCTACACTTCTGTGCTTCACGCTGCAGCAGAGTGAATCCACGCACTTCTGCCACAACAGAAAGTCGAGGGTGTGAAATATTGTTCTTGTCTTTCTGAGGTATGCCTATGGATAGTCTTCTTCACACCCTTCCCCTCGATATATTTTTTTCAATATTTAATTTTATAGCTGCATTTATTGAGGATGAAATATCTAAACACTGTAAAAAGCCACGATTTTACCCTGCTGTCCTCTTAATGAAAATTTCTCTCATGAGTTAGTATAATTCCATAAATGTGGTGCACAAAGTTCTTCTTCTTTATGCACCATATTGGCATGCAAGAAGATGACCTCAAGATTAAGCTCGGTAACGAATACCCCATCATTTGTATAGCTGTGATCTATCATGCTATGATCGTTGGTGAATTTATGTATGTGATATTGATGGAGAAGTCAATTGTCTTTTCTTTCGTCCAAGTTGACTTTCCTTGGCCGCCAAATATTGAATAGAAACATAGCTCTCGTGTAATTTTTAGCTCCATTGAAATGATGAACTCTGTGCAGCTGTTCATGTAAGAATGCCCTAATTATCTCTCTCTATCTCTCTCTTAAATCCACCGAGAATCTATCTCAGCTAAAAGAATCATGACAATCTGTGTATTCATGCCCTATGCCATTGTTTTGTTACCTACTTGGGGTATGAAGATCCCATTGTTTTTATTTTTTGGCTATCTTATGGGTCGAAATAATCTGAAGCTTTTATCAACCGAGTTAATTAGTGAGCCCCATAACCGAAACCAGAACATCTTGATAGCATCTTATAGTGGGAATAGAGTCTGAAGTCACGTAGAGTATGATCTACTACTATTTCCATGAGAAAAAATGACTTTCAGACAGATATGTCATTAGCTAATTATGAACTAATGATAATAAAAGAAAGAGTTGCCCGAGGAATGAAAGCACAGAGAAAATAAAAGGACGTGCCCGATGTATGATGATGGATGCAGCGAATAATCACAGATTCTTCATACCGGGTTTACAGTTTCCGAAGAGTGGCCTTGATCTCCCTCTTGTGGAGGCTTGGGCAGCCAAAATCGCCGCTCTTCGTGGGCTCTCTACCGACGTCAAGCAACTGTCAATGGAGCACTCGGTGGGTCGGATCGTCCTGGTCGCTGATCTGTTTTTCAGAGTTTGAAGGGCGATTTCCGACCAGGAGCCGCAGTTGAGGGGTTCGTGGGGGAAGCTCGGGCGTTCTTCAGGGTCAGCGATGGCTAGTTCAGAGAGATTCTGCCTAGTCCCTTCCAAGTGGATCCCTGAGATGGCTGGCTCTGTCAGAGCATTGCAGGCTTTTTCTAGTATGGAGTTGAGGTATCTTCCCTGTGCCTCAATCCTTAGCTGAAGATGATGCTGAACCTGCTAGGAGAAGAGCAAAACACAACGTGATGAATGAATGAATTGCCCGAAGGCAGCATTTGAAAAGGCAGCATTTTGATAGAGAATTAACTGGCTAGTTCGAGGTTCAGTCTAACCAAATGATGACATCTGAAGGAGCATTGGTCTGTGTAGGAAGTTCTAGGTCGTAGGAAGATATTGTAAAAGACTGAAGGTATTTTGGGACAGTTATCTAGGGTTCCTCCCTATATAAGGGGTGTTAGAGGTGAAGGAATCTCGAGAGGCGGTTGACTGCCATTCTCCCCTCTGTCCTCTGTGACAGAGATCATTCTCCCTGTTCCTAGGTTTTGCAACAGTTTGTGTCAGTCAACTATGGGTGGGGATGCTGATGCATTTAAATGATGAGATTGATGTGATTTCTTCAAAGTGGGGCTAACCCAATACATCATGTCATGTGCAAGCTGATTTTTAAGGTTTTATTTAGCGAAAGAACTGAAATTTTCAGCTAATTATAAGAGTAAGTAGGAATTTAACTCAAAAGTAATTAGCTATGAATGGAGTTAGCTAATGCATTTGAAATGCATGGATCATTCTCACCTTCACTTTGTGAGTATTCTGACACCGTTCTGATTATTTTTAAGGTTGCACTTCTGTTCTGGTGTAGAAAAAGAGGTCACTGTTCTAGGTCATATCCTATTTAAAATTTTCATTTCCAGAAGGCAAGAGTGCAGAAAGTCAAATTAGTAATGCAATAGGAGAATGTTTCTCAAGATCTTTGTGTATGTGGGTCAAGAAGGTGACCTCCAGATGCTCATGCAGCCTCCTTTGGAGCTCCATTTGTACTCTCATCGCCTCATTACATCCACTGTGTCAAAGAAATTTAAGCAACGGCCTATTAAGAAAAAGATGAGGCATTGGATATATCATGGGCGTACTCATTCAATTCCTGAGCTACTCTCAATGACGGTGGCGATGACTGCCCTCCAGTGCCCTGGATTTCTCCAACACCGGTCTCTGCAAGTGCATGGTCCAAAGTTCAGTAGTGAAACAAGAGACAGACTCTTCTTGGCTGGCGTCTTTGTTGGGAGGCAAGTTGAAGAGTGTAAGCGAAGAAAATTCCTACTGAATTTATAAAATTAAATAATTTATTAATACAGGTTTTTAATTAGATTTTCCAGTGAGAGAAAAGCTATATCATTTATTTTGATATATCCCCATTGAATCAGATGTCCTCTTCTCCAACAGAATTTGCCCAATTTTTAGTATCACTAAAAAGAGAGTCCTCCACATGAGCACAAATCAGATGGCGTGAACTGTTAAAGACTCTTGTCATGACAATGTAGAATGGAAGCCATTTTGAAACCCACAAATCATGGATGGTTAATAGAAAAATAAAAACAGTTCTTGTTTTTTCAATAGAAAATTTCAATATTTATTAATTATATTCTTTATTTACTTCTTTAATACTATATACTAGATAGCCATAAATTTAGTATTATCATCATACTATTTATATTATAATATATATAATTTAATAATAATAAATAATCTACCTTTATAAACAAACCAGCAGTTATTCCATCAGATCCCCCACCCATCCACACATACATGAAGCCCTGACTAAATAGAGGGGCTTATTATCACTCCAACATTGCCAAGCATTAGCTTTTGGAACAAAGTGGTAGGATCTGATCAAACTAGAAGACAGAGAATCCGTATTTAATCTATAAATGACATAGCAGCTGCAAAAGATGACTGCCCTAGTGAGGCACGGAGAAAGTTATATCCGGGGCACAGTTGGAGGAAAAGGGATCTCTGAGACATGAATAGTGACAATGAGGATCAATAGAAAGAGTTGGCATCTAATGCAAATGTCAAGTCATTATAAAGCATATAGATGAAGCACTAAGAAATACATTAATGAGAAAAAATAAATAACTTAGAATGAGATATAGAGATCATTAGCAAACAAGAAACGGATTCAATTGGCCTGCTAAAGTTCTGTAAAAGCTAAGCTGGGAAAGGAAAGAGGTGTACATGGGACTCAGATTTGTGTTTTTTTTTTAAATTTTTGGTAAAAAAAGATAATTGCCTTTTTAACGGTCTATCTAATAAAATGGACTATATTCATGCACACCTGTACTGTATCACCTTCTTGAGAATATCAAGAACTTGACATATATATTTATTTATTTATTAGCAAAAATGTTTCATCGGTTTGATGCGTACAATATCGCTCTCCAGCAAACAATGAAATGGATTTGGATGCGATTTAACAAATGAAAAGGGAGAAGAATATACCATCTTTAGGGCTGTCAGAGACCTCTTTGGATTTTGTTCCCAATCTGTATTTCTGCAAGATTATGAATTGGGAAAAATAGCTGTTAATTTGAGCCAAGATTCACAATACAGCCAAAATAAGTTTTAATATATATTAATCTGAGATTTTGAAGAGTAACAGAGCACATAAAATATATGCAAATTTTTACACATAAATAGAGCCACAGAAACAATGAAGACCTGAAGATGACTTTTCAGGTGATAAAGGGTGAGGCCCTTGACAGCCATGGTTCGCATTATTGTCTTTGGTGTTGCTTCTGCAAGATCAATAAAAGAACAAAGCAAAAAAAAATTGCACCGTAAGACATGTTGAACTGCAAAGATGTTGAACTATTTATTCATGAAACATGGATTTATGTCCCGTTGGAGAAAATTTCTCATATAAGGCACTCAATATATTTCACAGACCTTGTTGACATTTTTAGCATTCATGAGAGAAAATGTATCATTCTATCCTAGTGCTAGAAACTGTAAAAATCTTTTAGATTTACTTAATGCATTATTAGAATAATCTTTTTATCGAGAAAACTAGGATTGTACAAATAGGGTATGCAGGATCGGATTGGGCAGCCAGATTATCTGATCCTAGATCATCAGGGATTCAAATGTTGGGATGCCTGTCTGGGCAAAGCGGCTCGCTTCTTTGGACTAGAACCAGCCTATCCGAGTTGGTTCATCCAATTCTGTGAAGATTACTGGTGATACATTTATAGGCCTCTTCTAACCCAAAAATCTGCTGACTCCGTTCTATTTTGTGTGTTCATGTTTCAAAATAAAAAAAATCCGTAAGCGTTTCTCCATAAGAAATAGAAAGTTTATAGATCTGCCATTATGCCAGATCTATAAAGTGAAGCAAGCAGCAGATCGTTCATCATACTCCCCAAACAGCCCATGATTGTATCTTACAGTGATCTTGAATGAGAGTATCATATAGTGAACTCACTCGTCCAACTAGATTGTATCACCAAGGCAGGAGAAGAAGAGATGATGTGACTCAAGAAGAAATAACGGAGATCATGCAAGCTCAGGAGAACAGGAGGGATCCTGGTCTAGCCGCTGAGACATCTACTGATAACTTGAGACAAAATCAACAGTGGATTATAATCATTAGTGATTTTCCACATATAAACAGTGGATTTATAAGTTAATGCTCACGAATGAGGTGGAGAAATTCCTTTTCCTGGCATGGATTATATGCATCTCAAATCCGACCAAAGAGATTCTGAAAGGAGGGGCACAGTTGGTGAGGAAATTGTGGATGGAGATTGACGAGCTCACTGTCCGGGCCACCCAGCTGGTTGACGGCATCGACGAAGCGCTCATGGAGCTCGGTCGTCCAGCGGAGCCGGGGCTTGGGGTCGGTGGTGAGGACGAGGCAGGCGTCCCCGAGCGGTCCCCGGTACTCCTCTCTGGCGAACATATCCTCCCCACGGCGGCAACAGGACCAGATAAGGAAGGCAATTCACTTCGCTTCTCCACTCCACAACCGACGCAGGGGATTCCCCACCGTAGCCTTCTTCCGACCAATTGGGAATTCTTTCCTATCCTTGGGCTAGCAGCATCGCGAGACCACGGCGGCCACCAAGAGCACAGACGGGGGAAGGTGGGGAGGTGGAGGAAGAGGAAGAGGAAGAGGAAGAGGAAGCTCCGGGGTGGTAGCAGAGGACTCTGCTTCTGGTAGTGGCGGAGGCCGCAGAGGGGCGAGCTCCCCCGCGCTGTCCCTTCCCTCCCCTTTTCGTACGAACGGGAGTGCACATTTTTCCAATATAGCCCCCAATCTGAGAATGATTTCTTTTTCAACCTTCTAGTTAATTTATTTTAGCACCTTTTCCGTACTTTTGCACCTCTGACGTTGACAGCAGGTGGAGTTTCCCCACCCGTCACATCCCCTTCATTGTAATGACGTCATCACCACACCCCGCTGTCCTCCTTTTTTTTTAAATAATCATATTAATCAAAATTAGATACCATATATACATATATTCTCTCTCTACCTCTCACACCCACTCTCTCCATCTATAAAATGTATAGAAACAATACTTTATCACATAGCATAAAAAATTTTAAGTTAATATTTACTTTAAATAAAATATTAGTATTTTTTAGTTATATTTACATTAATTATCCTTCATGGAGTGCAATAAAAGACATTTATGTCAAATATATTGACATAAAATATGAAAAATGTCAATTATGATGTACCTGTAACGATATATTTTATCTTATTTTTATTTTTAAAAATAATTTTGATATCAATTTTGATGAAAAATGAGTCATTTTTAATAATAATACTTTTTATTCATGGATATTGTGACGTGGGTTCGTATTTAACTGATCTACCGAAAGTACCCATTTGTTTTCTGTACCACGACGTCACCACGACGTTATCGGATGACGTGGCGTACTGTGCATCGTGAGAGAGAGAGAGAGAGAGAGAGGAGGGACCGGTCATGTTAGAGACGCAGTGGTGGTGAGTGACGTGCAAGAAGCCACGCACATGCGCGCGTGCGTGACATGCGAGAGAAAGTGGGAGATTTTTGCTGTGCTTGTTTAGTCAAACGAAGAGCGAAGAGAGAAAGGGCATGCACAGTAGAGCGAAGACAAGTGAGAGACTTGCATGCACACGCAGAGAGAGAGAGAGAGAGAGAGAAGATATGACAATAGTTGGAGATCTTTCACAGCGCCCGGTCATATCAACTCGTGATGTGAAAGGCCAAGAAGAGATAGAGACAGAGAGAGAGAGAGAGAAAGCAAGAGAGAGAGGAGACAACTCCCCCTTAGACGTGCACCAGCCGGAGGTCGCTCTTTAGCTGAACGGGACGCATGCCAGCTCTCACCGTGCACCCGCCTGGCCGACGGGAATAGTTCGGTCACATCCTTAAATAACAGTACTCACTCTACTTAATAGGACCTGTCTTACATATAAATTCTCTCAATAATAACTCCAAATATGATGACACTATCCGGGGTTCCAACTTTCATGATTAGGTTAATACCAAGTCTTACTTTATTTAGTAAAAAAAGTTGAAAAGATAAACAAATTACTATTTTTTACTTTATTTAGTAAAAATACTTTATTAATTTTTTAAGCTCATGCAAAAATGATAAATGATAAAGCAAATTCTACTTACAAACCTATGAAAATGTTTTCCAAGGTTCAAGGATGAACTTGGATGATGATGATGTTTTGGGTGACGTAGTCGTGTTGACCATGGAGGTGTTCATGCTTCTTTATGCGTTGTTAAATGTCAACCCTTGGTCATATGTATCGACACCATTGTGATTCTCTCACTCAATTCTATTCCTTGACGATGTCAACATGTAAGGTCAACATTTGAAGCAAGTTCTGATGGGTTCAAAGTTAAAATATAAGAGACTAATATGCAAATTTACGTATACAAAAAAAGAACTTGTGCATGGCGAAAACTTTAACTTTGGAGGACCCGTCAATATGATGTTACATAGTTTCTTTTTTTGGCATTTTTACCGACGTTAATCTTCATTATATTTGGCCGATGCCCATCGAAACGAACTACATAAATTAATACAAAAATGGAGAATCATAGTACTTATTTTCCACTAACAAGTTCCTTTTTTATTCACGTGGTAAATAAATGAAAATAAAATTCGGATGACGACCCAGGTTGCTTCTAGATGTTATATACTCCAAGATGCCCACATTCCCACGTTACTTCGGTCTGAGCTGGTCCGTAAGCATACCATAGATGGTAAAATCTTGTACAATGATCCAGTCAACGCTCAGGGCATTATGCAAGTCAAACCCATGAAAGTACCATCCTGAAGACAAAAAGCTTGATGAATCAGGGTAGATGGCGGCAATAGGAGCTTTATTTTAATGTAGATAACTTTTGGGGCTTCAAATCCAAGCCCCAAAGGAAAGTACACCGGACAAAAGTCAACTCAATCATCAGATAGACGAACTACTCAGGGTTTCTACAATAGGAATTACTCACATTTCTGAAAAGGCAAAAACGTTCCTGCAATGAATTTTATTTGATAAAAGCAAGCCTTCATCGTGGAAATATTTCCAATACCCATTTACTCAAAAACCTTCGGATCATAAAATAAATAGTTAGGGAGAGATTATAGAACACTTGGGAAACAAGGAACTTGAAAATTTTAGCAAGCTACCATATTACAAGATGACTACATCCAACCCCAGAGCAGCCACAAGCCTCTCCAGATTCCAAAGGACAACAGAGAGAGAATCACTCTCTCTCTCTCTCTCTCTCTCTCTCTCTCTCTCTCTCTCTTTCTCTCTCTCACTTACTCTCTCCCTCTAAGCTGCCAGATTGAGTCACAAATGCTTCTTCAATCTCCCAATCTCGCTCTGGCAGCCAGGACTTGAAGAACTGAAAGACGGGTGCCTCTTGGTTCATGTTACTGGCGCCTGTGCCCTGATCTCCTCCGATGTCCCGGCGAGCTGGACCTGGACCTGGACCTCCTCCTGCAGCGCCCCAAAAAAGGGCAAAAAGAAGACGACCATGTCAGTCGAAACGAGTACTAACAGCGCATTTTAATGGCACGGAGATGTAAGATGGTGGCTGCTACGGGCCTGTGCTTGCAACTAACACTAAACCCAATTTTTAGATGAGTTCTTGGGCCCTCACCTTGAGTCGGAATGAGAGTAGGGAGAATGCCTGCGTTGAGAATGCTTGCTATGGGGAGACCGCAAAACTTGTCTAGAAATGGAAACAATCATCATATTGATTGCGTAAGTAAATGGTATACAGAAACGGCCTTTACCAGCACAATGCCCTTCCATCATGATTGACCTATACCAGCACCAGCTCCAATTTTGAAGACGATGAAATATATTATACATAAACCACACGTGGATGATCAACACCGATGCATGAAAAGGGCAAAGAAGGATGCAACAGAGAAGGGGTTTGGTGATCTCTAGCATTCAAAATCCATAGCCACATCGGGTTAGCAATACATTATCAGAATCCAAGGAAACAATAATTCTGAAGTTAGTTTTCTATAACCTTCCTGAATCACATATTCACGAGGAAATATGATAATATCCTGTGAAACAACGGCATGCCACTTGAAAGACCCATTTTCCGTAATCATAATACGACATCAAAGTTGGAGCTTTCTGAAGAAAATATTTTATTTCAAAAGCGTGTATCGAGGCCACAGACAGCTTTGAAGAGTGTATAAAGATGGTTTACAGGTCTCCACTCAGCTGGAGCAGTCTGATTCACTTTTTCCATAGTTTCTCTTAATATGAAGTCAAAACACCCAAACATCCCTCAGAGTTGGTCACACCATTAAACACATCAAAGGCAACACATGCAACTCCAATTTATTGTTGGATACCGTTTCAAAAGGTTCATTAATCTGAAACTACCGAATAAAACAGAGTAACATGAAAGTCCAACATATATTCTCCAGAAATTCATAATCACTCATTATGTGACTTTGTGGGCATGAACCATATTATTTGGTACAAAGGAATGTCAATGATACTTGGCTTCAAAATCTAGCCGGTGAGGTCAGTGGAAGAATACCGGCAGAGAGTGAAAGGCAGCAGAAGCTGCCTCGTTGTGGGTTCCAAAACCTCAATTCAGTAACTTTCCCTGCATCCCACCTTTCTGTGTAGCCACCGTAGAATGTTCTAAATTGAAGCATAGGAGACGGCGGGCGTTTTAAAGTGCTTCCAGTTTTTCCTCACAACAAAGCGTGTATGGCAATTTTCTCTCTCAACAATATTTAGGGTGTCTACAAAGGCCAATTCGGACATAAATATCATAATGACAATATGACGATATATCACACTTATTTTCCGATAGTTCCATCCTAATTTGTTCGCATGATCAATTACGAGAACGTCTGAGTAATAATATTACCTAAAATCTCAGTGGGCAAACTTACGATTATTCAAGGGCAACATAAGACCTTGTCTAGAAACGAAATATGACCTGTGTAAATCCATGTCTGAAGAGCGAGATCAACTTTTTGTCTAAAGAACAAATCGTTGGATGTTCTATATTCCACAGAAAAGGATCAAACAGCTTCCTCTCAACAGATTCAACTTCAGTGGAACATAGTGCTTGATGGGGGTGAACAGCCGTATACAATGAATTATGAACAAGATACAGGTTCCTTTGTTGAGCAAGGAACTTTTTTTACACTTGTTGAGAGTTCCAACAAAGTATCAAAACTGAAAGGCCCCTTTTGTAATTAACATATGCATCTTGATTTCTTCAATAGGAGCATTTCGAGTTCAAGTCTCCACAGATACATTGGCTATGATATCACTACTGGAATGATTCAAGATTTCATGAAATGTATGAAATCATGAATCTGAAATGTGTACTAACATTGACAATGACCCTCCCAAGTTCTTTATTTTCTTGATACCTACCTTGCACCACAGTATAAGCGCACATTCCTTATAAATAGCCCTTAAAAGGAAATCAGTACTTGGTATAGCGTACAAAGATGTTCAAACGTCGGATTTCATCAAGAGGCTCCACAGTCTGATTAATTGTCCACGGCACAGTTCTGCAATGTATCACACGAAAAAAATGGAGCCATCTTCCTATTGCATTCCAAGGCTTTTCGCCAGTTCCATTCCCACCCCCATCTTTTCCTTTTCCCCGAAGAAAAGGCATATACCTATTCATAGCTCTGACTAGTAACTCCATTCATGGAAGAAAATAGGACCACTTGGAACCAAATGCTTGGTAAATAAACAGGATGCAGTTGCATTCAGAATTTATATAAACTTGTTAAATTCGAATGATCTGCCATTGTAGTGTGAGAAATTTCTATAAGTTAACCCTTCAAACGAGGCTGGTTCCAAGCTCTTTAGGTTAAGGGTCTCTTAGGACCTAAGATCAGTCATCAAAGGTGGGCTGACAATCATGAAGTCAGCCACGCTCCACTTTCACTGTCACGGCTCTACCTTCCAGTCCCTCTTTCCATTACTACAAGCACAGTTGCCATGGTCACAACAGTTGCCATAACCATGTGTGGAGTTGAACTGACAGGTTACCCCACTATGGCCTGATACACAAAGTTGCTCTATATATTTGTTCTGAAACTAGGCTCGCCCTGCTGCCACTATTCCAAATTGCCCAGGCGTGCACAGTGGTATTGCTCGCAACTTTCCAACCCAAATGAAACCGAGAGTATCCAGATGTTGCCCATCACTAGGCACTGACTAGCTGAGAGAAACACCATTGGGACTCAACTGTGACTCGTCTACAATACATTGTTATATGACATCAACTATGTCTTATCGATGCTGTCAAAAGCCAAGTTTTTTGTTAATGATTTACTGACAAAAATGGACAGATATCAAAAAACTTACAATGCACCGAAGCAATAGCAAAACTTACATTGAATATAAGGCATTCATAGCTACCCAAGTTATAAAGTCCATTCTTCCTCAGGGAGGAGACTAATTATGATATCACACATGGCAAGTAATTAAAACTTAATCAACACGTTTTCATACATTTCAAGAGGCAATTGAATTGATGATGGCCTTTTTCTCCATCGCAAGAACTAGTCAGACTCTGTCTAATTGTTCAGGCAGTAAAATATAAAGCGTTCAGTTATTCAATTTCCAACTCAAGGATGAAAACGACACCGTTATCGTCATAGAGAAGCAAAGACAGCCACTTGTAAACAAATAAATGGATTCTCCAAGTCAAGGAAAGAAATCAAAATTATGAGTATCGGTGACAATGAAAATCACAATTCAGATTTGCAAGAGTGAGCATCTAGAGAAAAAAATCAGTAATATATAAGGAAAATAATATATCTACCAATACACAGTGTTTACATCATGGTTATTAAACTGACTTCAGTAAACCACAAAAACATATAAAAAAGTAAAGATAATACAGCAGACCAGTCATATAAAAATAAAACAGTCTAAAACATTCCAACTTAACAAAAAAAAAAACCAACTAGACAGTAAAAAGGACCCACCGTTCGTAGTGTTTGGCTGTACCATGTAACCTAGAAATGGACTTGGATCTCTAAATATGTATAGCATGAGATTCTCCAATGTCCCTTTTTTCTGAATATGCAATCTAATTTTGTAAATATTTTTACATTGCTCTCATATATGCGATGTGCGTGAATGTCAGCATATTTAATGGATCAACGAAAGACAGGTAATCACTCCACTGAGAAAAGAGTGCGTACTATTGTGCCAAATCAATTCTATATATACTCAAGTGACAAGAGAACTTTGAGCGCTTGCTATGATAGTATCTATCTGATGTGATGGAATACACTTGAAAAATTTTCTGAACGTTATTTACAAGGAATATGGGCCAATTAGGTCTAAAACAATCACAAAAATGCTATCACAATCAAGGTTAAATGACCACAGAAGGGAAAAATCTTACATCCAACAGGTTAAAACTGCACTTGGCAGAATTTTCTTTCCAAAACATAGTGCCTTCTAAAACCATTCCCATTTTGCAGAAATTGAAAGCCAGTCATAGTCAAACTAATAATTTAATTTTTCCATAGTTTAAAATAGACAAACTGAATAAAACAGTAAAGAACATTAACATATACCTCCTAGACCTAGTCGGTGATGGTGACAAACTCTGTCTACTTGATTGCAACTTCCTGCAAAAAATAATCAGATCAATAATGGCACAGTAACCAAAAGATATAACAATATTCAAAAGATAGCACAGTACCGTTTTTTTGAACTCTCTATTATTTCTTCACCAGAAACACTGGCACTATCTAAGGAGCTGTCCCTGCCACTCCTAACTCTTGCACTTGGTGATGAAGTCTGCCTCTTTTTCTGCTTGTGCGAATCCTTCATAGCTTGTCTAAATCTGTCTTCTTTCTCATCCTTTGTTATTTCTCTCTTCCAGTCACCATCATCTTTCATCCTATCCCTTCTGTCTTTTGCTAAAACCCTTTTGCCGTTTACATCATCGTCATGATAAACAGGTTTTCTGGATCCAGAGTCCAGATTTACTGCTTGCCTAGAACTCTGATCTTTTGATCCTCGCTTCAAAAGAGAGCGTTCATTAATCCTTTCCTGAATTTGATCCCTATTTAATTTTTTTTTTGGAATCCCAGCATATGAATCCTCCCTGCTTGACTTAGATGCGCTAGATTCCACCTCATTGACGAAATTTCTATGAGATGGAGCTTTTCTATCTTCAGGATCATCACCTAAGCCTGGTGATTTTCTTCGTGGTTCCAAAAACTGTGTAGCTTTTGATTTTCCATGATTGGAACGACTTAGTGCTAAATCAGATGCCACATATATCTTTCCTCCAACAAGATCCTTTTTCTCACGGTTGCTACTACTTTCCAAAAATTTAGCATCTCTTCCAGGATCAGTAGTTTTTAAATCTTTTTGGTATTCATGAACTAACGTATCATCCTTCATGTGTTTCGTAACGTCCCCATTGGAGTCAGCGGTAGTTCTCTTGCTACTATCCAGACCAGATGTAACGTCAATAGGTTCCACAGCTGCTATTGGCGTACCTTCTTTTTCTTGCTTGCCTTCATCTTCTGAACTCAATTCAGCAGTTTCGTGCCGCTCATAAGTATCAGAAACCTTCCTAGAAGATAGGAAACTTGAACCTTGGACTTCTTCAGACTCATCATCTGATGCATAATCTGCCAGACCTAAAATTACCCCGCCAGAAGAGCCCAATTTGGGCTGATCAGCTCCAACAGATTTTCCCACAGCTGTTGCTGATGGAACCATAACTTTGGAAGATGACTTGGGTGTAATTGAAGCTGGAGGGGATGTAGAGTCTCTGTGCTTGGCAACAACAGCAATATGATCCGCTGCAGAGTGAGAACATGAATACCCAGATTTCAAGAGAGTTTTTTGACTGGATGGCAAAGAGAACAGTGGTATATTAAAACCAAAGAAAGCAACGAAAAGTTTACCATCTGGTTCATCTTCATTAAGAACTTTTGTTGCTATTTCTTCAAACAATTCATCAGTCACCTGACAAAACAACATGGTTACAATGAAGACCAATGGCAAAATGTACCTAAAAACAGGAATTATAACACAAGAAATTAAGACCTTAAGAAGCACATCAGTTAAGACCCGCTTTATTTCCTGGTTGATAGCAGCAGATCTCACTGCATCTGCATCATCCTACAAAGAGTATGAAGAATACAAGCAATCAGGAATAAAACCTTCCATGAGAGATACAGTTCATTAAGACAACCAACATATGCTCCCGGAGTCACTTTGCACAAAACCTTCTGCTTACTAGTCCGATCAATGAGAAGAAACGAATTTCCTAACTAAACTGATACCAATTCTTGCTCAGCTTGGCAATCACTTGATTCTGCGTAGGTCTATCTGATCCCCAATCCACTAAAAAAGATGGGTTTTCTAAAACTCCAATAAAATGGCACCACTCAGTTGGATTGACAAATTAGGTCAACCAAGAAGATGAGTGCAGAATTGGCAAAAACAGAACAGACCGGCCCAGTTTAAATCGGTTAGCCAGTTTAGCGCATTCACACTTTTTCTAATTTCTTGCCTTAGCACTTTCTTGTGCACCGAACACTTATATTTGTTCAGCAAATTCCTCAAATCGACTGTTAAAATCAGTCTCCAGCAGACAAAGATGAACAAAATATGGCCATGGCCATGAGAGCGGTAAAGAACAGTTGAATCAAACATTTGTCTCCAAAAACTTCAATCAGCAAACAACGATCTCACTAAATATCCCCCCCAGTGGCAAGTTACAAAATAAAGGCACAGGCACAACTTCCATGGAAACCTTTCCCTAACTTCTTATAAGTTGCTAAAGCTTATGAGGAGATCCCAACGAATCCAGTAAATTTGCAGTCTGGTTGAAAAATGTTGCTTGCCTAATGACCCCCCCAATAAACCTCATATTTTGATTAAGCTCAGCATATCCACAAAGAAGCTTCTTTTCCTTTTGACGAAAATGATTGAATGTAATCCCAAAGATCAGGACACAAATTGGACTGTTTCAAAAGAAAGTCACGACGAAAATTTTAAATCACCAAGACTTTTAACCAAGTTGCCTAATAATAAACGAAGGAAATGGGGTAAGAGGAAAGAGGGAGAAGAGCTAAAGAAATGAGTGTAGGGAATAGAAGTGAATGTACAAATCAGTAGACTACTGCAATCTACTGTGATGGGAAATGTCTGAAATGGAACTAAATATTATGGGTCGTAATTGCATAGTCATGGGACATGATGGAAAATGTGAGTACCTCATCATCTTCTTCGTCCTCAGTTGACCTGGCAGAGTCAATGCTTTTGCTATCAACCGGCTCTTCCGGTCTAAAATCTTTGTCATGAACTTCAGCTGCAGCAGAATGAGAACTTCCATTTGGATGTTCTTGTGCAGAACTCACAATTGAAGCCTTCTTCTTAATAATTTCATCTCTAAGCCAGTTAGGTACAGCAGCCTGTACAGTATCAAAAGACTGATTCCCTGCTCTATGTGCAATGAAAAGTATGAATTAAAAGCCCACAAATGTATAAGTTAAAAGATACCTTCTTTGGGCGCTCGGACAGGTTAAAAGATTCAATTGTGTCCACAGGAAAAGCAGTTGCAGGATGAGGAGGACCAACATCAAAGCTGAAGGTTGGCCCAACTGGGGATATACCAGGCTGAAAGTTGAGCCCTTGGATCCTCCCAAATGCTTGAGAAGGATGGCCAGGTAAAGAACTGGTGATGGAAGAGGAATCAAACTACACACAACACAGGCACAGGGTGTCAAAATTTAAACGGGAGATGAACGTCTGAAAACCAAATATTATACATATGTATATGAATTAATCAGCATATACCTGAGGACCTGGAGGGACTGGAGTCACGTTAGAAAAAACAGGAACCGGAGCAGTTGTTTGAGCAAAACCATGAATGGAAGACGAAGGTGCACTTTGATCAATCGGCCTAACTTGATTGGTATTTGTAGAAAATGTACCATGAATTTGACCTCGGTCAAATGGGATTTGCTCAATGGCTTGTGATTGATCACTCATGCCAGAAGATTCAATGGACTGATCCCTTGAAAGTGGACTGACAGATAATACTGGAAGCCTTCCAGGAATTGGCATTGCAGGTGAAGACAAATGCGAAGGCATGTGTAACTTCTCAGTCGTATCCATAGTCTCTTTGCCACCTGGCAACATATGACAAAGTTAAGCTATGAACAGACAACAAATTTCCGACAACTGTCATGTAGTTCAAAAGGTAATTCGTGATCATCATTAACAACTATACTAAATGAATCACGCGTCATCACTTCCTAAGAAAAAGAAACATAAAAATGAGTGAAGATGCCACTAATAAAAAATTTGGATAAAAAAATATGAACGCAGAACAAAATAGCAAAATTACTCTTGAACAAAACTTCTGTTCAAAAGGTCAACATTGCAAACTATCCCTCACATATCCTTATCTCAAGGGTTCCACAGAATTGGTTTATTTGCTGCAATAGACGGTACTTTAGATGCTATGGTACTCCAGGATAGAAGTATGATATCATTCTTTCATTAAATGTCTTGGGGTTTCGATTCCTTTCTCCACGGAGCTCCTTGAACTCCCTGATTTCGAAATGGCCCAATGTCAGAAAGGGGGAAGTATCTTTTCTCCCATTTCAGGGCTCTGGCGAGATGCGGGAAAAGGTATGAAAGACATTTTCTAAATCAGGGAGCTCCAGGAGCTCCGTGGAGAAGGGAGGCTACTGTTTCAGTGGAGTTTAGGGCTTGGAGAGTGGGCAAGCTAACCCTATCGTCGAGGGATGAAACAAATCCCAGAGAGGCAAACCCTTTAAAAGGGCCGACAATGTCTCAGCCTTCTCTTCTAAATTTAAGAAATACAAAAGCTACATCATTAAATGTAAGCTTATTTGGTTTTAGTTCCCTACAAACAGGTTGAATTGATGATAGGTCTCCTGGTTGGATTCCGAGATCCCCAAGAACTATCATAATCTTGATTTATCGTTTGTCTACCTGGCTCCACTCTCCTCTGGTTGATGGGCCTAATGGAGGCTTTTTTTTTGGGGGTATAGGGGGGGGGGAGAGAGAGAGAGAGAGATATGCCGAAAATTTAGATGTGAAATATGTTTAAGAATACACTTCTCCAACAGCATCATCCAAAAAAGCTTGTTAATCATCAGATCCGTTGTCTTCAGACTCCCAGATATCTATAGTTCATCATGTATGAGAACATAACGAAAGAAATTAGACACCCCCCAATAACACGGGAAAAGAAGTAGAAATTAAATCTAGCTCATTGCTGTAAACAAAAGGGAAATGGAAGCAATTATGCTACTACAAGATGATCTAGTGATAGGGATTATCGGGAGTTCAGATCTTCAGAAGCATGACTACCAGGAACATCCTCAAAATAAAAGGACGACCAACTGATTGGAGCCTTTAAGAATGAAATATGAGGCAGGATTTGATTCCTATTCACACTTCAGCTGACCGAAAGAAAAACACATGCAGATAACACCACTGATTTTTTCCCATTTCATCAAAGCTTTAGTCAAGACGAAGCTGGGTATCAAGCCATCATTAGATAAGCTCAATGACGAGATTATGGAACGTGAATAACAGCCATCTGGCCGTCATATTTTTGGCTGACACTCTGCACTCTAAAGCCAGCTCGCTTATACACTAAACACCTAAATAGTGTTTACATCAGGCGAGCAGCCACTGAGAAAAGTGGGCAGGTTGTCTTACCAGAATAATTGGATACTTTATTGGAAATAAGATGACAGAAGAAAAGACATATTGATAATGATCATACTGATGAAGTATTAGAAAAAAAAGGTTGTTGAAGTTATCTGTTGAGATGGCGAGAATACAGTAAAAAGCGCTGAAAATTTTAAACTGAAGTGTAGTAACCATGGAATCACATATTAGATAAGGTGGCTGGATTAGCCATCCCACGATTCAACCTGGACTTTGGCAGCTGATCCATGGGAAAAGTCACATGCAAGTTTAAAGGCAGAAAATATTTCTAATTAGAATTCTATATATCATTATGTTTACTTTTAAAACGTAAGAAAGTGATAAAACATGCACCAGTCACAATCATAAAACAAATAACTTTATAAAAGTTCCTGCATCAAACCCAGTTCCCTACGTCAAGGCGGCTGGGGAAGCAGAGGCCATAGTAGAGGCGGGAATCAGTGACATAATCCTGCCATCTGATCTAATATTTGACACCATAGTTATACCCCCCGTTCTCTCCAGCAGATGAGAGAATCGCAAGCAATAGGCAGCCCCATGTATGATCAGTTCAGATCAGATCAGACAAAAAATTAGCATATTCTGCTGAAGTCAGCAATCATTTTAAATACCAAACGAGGGATTGTAACGAGCTCATGAACGGGATTAGCCTGACCAGGCATCCCATGGTAAGAACTGGGACCCACGGCATGGATCATAATTTCTAGGATAGAATTGGCCCACAAGATTTAGGTCGAGTTTCATTCTTCCTTATTTCTGATAAGAAAAAGAATCCGGTTTCACATTTTAAATCCATCGAACTACAAGTAGCCGTTTTCACATTCTTGTCTAATTTCAAAAGTCGGAAAAAAATCTCATTTGATATGCAATTTATTGACAGTCATTAATACTCCAGCAGATTTTACGATTGAGACAGCAAGAAGAGCAAAATATCCATCTTTACAGAACTAAAGATCAGAGAATGGCACAAGAATCCAATGGATGCTGACACAAAAAAAATGAAAGCCATTAATAGAAAACAAGAATTTCTATGGAAGCCAACATATGCCCTTGCTAGTACATGAACCAAACAATGCCGAACCGTTTGACACACATACATAACTAACCATAGAAGAAAAAAGAATGTCAAATTCTAAAATTCCTATGAAGCTATTAAAAAACAAAAGTTCCTGATGCAGCAGAATTTTTAGTGTTTGATGCTCATTTCCTATTAACCTCAGTAAGCAAGAAACGTTTGTCACGAGTAACTATGTTTTTTCTGTCGGACACTTTTTCACTGGAAAACGTAGTAGGAGATAATATGAAGGATTTATTGGCAATGAATATTCGATAAAAATGATGCAATCATCTCATAAAAAACAATGACAGTTATCAACTTTTAAAAAAAAGAAAAATGATTCTCATCCCATACAATGAAGAAACAGAAACCTGATTAAATATAGACAGTATATCCTAAACATACTGTTTTTTCCAAAAAATAATTCCTTTTCCATGAAAAGTCATTAGCAGATGAACATCTCCAAAGATCAATTGGCAAACACAGCAATATTGACCATGGTGTTGCAGGACTTGGGTGTGGTTGATATTCAAATGCCAAACTAATTGAAACATACCTGAGAAAGATGGATAACTAGATGGTACCTCCTGCACATTAACAGATGTAGATGAAGTGAATGATGGCTGAGGGGATACAGTAACACTCCTCTCTGTAGCTATGGTATCATATCCATCATCATAAGTAGGAAAATTTGCAACAGAGGTGGGCATAGAATTAGGGGGAGGCCCTTGCAGATTGTTTAATCTTCTATGGAGATCAGTTCCAGAATCCGGAAAGTGCTGTTCTGGGGCAGAAACTGTTGAATGCTGACTATCAGAGAAAGGAGGCATGACACTATGTTGATACTGGTCATTATAAATGTTATTTGGTGTCCCAAATGAGGTAAACTGTGATTGCACAGGGAGGTCTTCTGTAGTGGAATTAGCAGCTGCCCATGCTCTAGCCCTGGCACCCCAATCTTCGCCATTATTGTACTGAAATTTTGTATCTGATGTTTACACAAAATCAAATCAGAGAACCATTCATCAAGGTATAAGCCGAAACACAGCAGAAGAACGACAGAACAATGGGAAATATTTCAGTCTAAGAAACTAGTCAAGTATTAATATCACAAGCAATCAGATGAAATTCCCAGAACTACTACAGAAGATTCAACTGCAATTTTAAGAGACTGTTCTTTTAAGACGGGATTGAAAAGTTGGAAATATCCAAATGATCTAAATTGGCTAATGGTCGTTAACTATATGATACTTCCGACAGAGACCTGAAAGTTCGTATGCAAATCGGCTACAGATAAGTGGACCTCGACACCATCACTTAGAATTAGTGAAGCTTTTCTCATAATAAGCATAACAGTAAAGATAACCAAAGCAGCAACTCACACAATTTAATTGCACCACGGTTGACCTTCACACTGTACGACCCATACATCACTTTCATGCAGTATGACCCCACACCAATGGTTCAGACAAGTATTATAACTAACAAAACCAATTCAGCCAGAAATTTATTGAACCTCCAAACCATGTCTAACACAAATATGGTGAGGAATGTCATTGATAACTTAAAGTTCTGATAACTATGTACTTGGATTTTAACTCAATAGTATGAGGTCGGAAAAAAATGAATGATTTTTGAATCAAGTGGCTCCCATTCACCAGGTTTCCTAAGATTGATAACGGCCTCCAAAACGATTAGAAAAAGCCAATGAGTTCTGACCTATCTATCTCACGCTTCATTCTTTCAAAACGTAACTACCACAGGCAAACTACCACGGTGTAAAAATAAATGAGAGCTTAGCGTCTATCCCAGGTCAGTGCTCCACCAACTGACTTGTAAAGTATGTTAAAAAATTATTGGGAACTGGCATACCAAGCTGACAACAGGTAATAAAACATCCTTACAACCTTTGGAAATTGGAAATCCAAGTCCTAGGGAGCCCTATATTTAAGAGATGTTTCATAAAAGAGAATGATCACAGTGATGAACATGTGGGAGGTTTTGCACCAAATTATATTTTCGTGCATTAAAACACACACACAAAAAACAGCAGCAGCAGATTTTTCGAATGATAGTTCATTTCCAATTGAAGAAAATCATATGCAACTTTTTAGTCATTCATGATATCACAATGACATGCCTGCAATTATAAGGGAATGTTGCGTGAACTTTTTGAATTTGAAACACAGGATTCCTTTTGAAACTTATTATGAATTATGGTGCCAGAAGCAACTCAAACTTAAAAGGCGACAAAAAATTGCTATCCAAACGAAAAATTTATAGCGAACGACTTAAAATTGAATTTAGGATAAATGAGCTATCATGCTTGCATTAGTTTTTACAATAAAACATAGAGTTCTACAACTGTTTTAGCTACATGAGTAATTTGAAGCGACAGAGTAATTAGAAATGATGTTAAAGGCATCTTCAGAAGCACAAGAAATAACGAGGAAATGGGAATCAGGAAAAAAGGTAATCCAGAAAAAAAGTAGAAGATGAAAAATTGAAGTGGGGTTCGAATAACCTGAGTAATTCCAGCCCTGAGCAGCATGCCATGATGGATTTCCCCACATCTGTTTAAAACAACAATAAATGTCATTAAATAATCATTGCAAGCAAGCCCTTCACGAGAACAAATGTACATGTAACAGTATACTGTAAAAATAATAGAGGTTAAATGGCAGATGGTTAATATCTGCCTAGTAGAAGTGTACCATGCTTTCAAAACGGTGTTCAGTTAGAGAAAAGTTTGAAACCAATTATGCAGATTACCACAAAACAATGGCAAAAATTCTTTGGTTTTTTTGGATTGTATCACAAAACCTGCAAATTTTAACTTGATGCGGAATTCTCAATCGTTATAGAAAAGCTTAGCATGAATCAAAGTGATGCAAATGAAGTTGAAAATGAAATCATAAACTACAGAGGTTGTAATACAAAAAAACCAAAAATTTAACTATAAGATTGAAACTGAACATTTTGTCTCATGTCATCTCTTCTGTCAATATCTTCACTATCATACGTATTTCTGGATGACGATTCAATCCACTGACAAAACGTGAAAAACGAGCAATATGCACCAAAAAAACAGAAAACAAGATCCCATCAAAAGGTTTCTGGATTAATATAACAAGATGCTAAATATGTAAGAGATGGGGACAAAAAAAAATGCTCGTGTGGTAAGCATCTAAATTTGAAGTTTTTATTCCAGCCAAGCACCTCACAATTAGCCATAGACGTGAACAATCGTTTTCAAAAACTGTAAATTTGGCCTTTTTTGGTAATTGGTAAATCTGCAGCTACCAATTTCATGGTGATTTTAGTAACCCATGGCACATTTTCTTCTCCATACCACCATGCATTCCGTTCGTATTCCACATTTATTTTCGTTTTATTCCATCATTAATTCGCACCTTTAACTATTTTGGTACATTTTGGCTCTACCATGAAGATTTCCACGGACCAAGGCCAACGAGTCAACAAAAGTTAAACCCAAATATGAAATTTTTTAACTAAAAACATTTTCAAAGAGTTTATATAAAAAATGTTTAGTACTATAATTCAAAAACTAAACACAGAAGATGATGTGCAGGTCTGCATATGCCGACAGATTATTTACTCCTGACAGAGGATATCAAAATGGACAAAAAATGATGACACGAACGAAGGTTGACAAGAGCTTCCACTTTCAGTGATAAAGCGTTTGATTACATTCTCATTGTCTCAGTTTAAATGTATACTACAATTAGAACGTGAAGTTCAATGAAGATATCACGTTTATTAGCCAAAAAACCAGGAAAAAACCAATAGCATAAACAAGAAGTTAGAGCACAACAAGCAGAAGAGAGAAAAACATGGACGACAGATTACTAAGAATTTTTAAGTTTTAGAAAAAATGTCCACTGTTGTTCTTCAGGGTGATTGTGCTCTAGAAGCATAGCAAAAATTCATAACGCAAACGATGGAAGAGGGAGAAAAAAAAAACTCTTGCAGACGAGGGGGACAACAGAACGTCACCTGACTGGGCTGAGAATAAGCCTGTGGCAACGCGGAAGGTTGAGGCGGCAGCGGCGGCGGTTGTGCGTGAGGAGCATGGGAATGAGTAGGATGTGGAGGAGGGTACATGGGACGGGCTGTGGGGTAGGGTGGATTTGGTGGCGGCGCACCGTGATGGTGAGGAGACCCGACGCCAGCATGAGAAGGACCTAAAAACTGCATACCCAATGGAGGGGCAACACCGGGTGGGAAAGAGGAGGGCTGATGGAACTGCTGGAGGTGATCGGAAGGTGGAACCCACGGCGGCTGCCGCGGCTGCTGATGGTGGTGTGGGTACTGCGGCGGTGGGTGCGGAGGGAAAGGGCCCGATGGCATGGGAGGCGGGGGGGGATGCTGCTGCTGCAGGTTATGCGCAAGTGGGAACTGGGGCTCGCCGGGAGGAGCAGACGACGGGGCAGGAGGATACCAGAAGTGTCCGTGTTGCTGGTTCTGCGGCGGTGGTGGGAGATGATTATGGTTGCGCTGGTCACGGTAATCGCCGCCGGCGGCGGTTCCCATCGAGGTCGGCGGCGCTGCAAATCGGCGCCCCATCGGCGTCAGGGTATCCATCGTCAACTCTCCTCTTTGCCTTCTCTCCCTCTCTCACCTCCAAGAATCGAATTATTTACATCCTCGGGGTTCTCCCTTAGCTATATATACCTTATTATTCTAATGTTTATTTTCTCCTAAAACAAATACTCACCGCCACGTTGGGTTTAATCCGCATTAATTTCTCGTGTTAATGCTTCAAATTTAGAAAATACTATTTTATCTATTATTAAGAAACTTAATATCTGAAAATTAGTGTTTTATTGGCCTATTTTATTATCCCCCAATAAAAGAATTATAGCTATTTGTTAGATATTTAAAAAATATAAAATATCACTAAAACCCTGTTTTAGTTTTCTCCCTAATTTTCAATTTTACATAATTGATGCCATATGTCTCATTTCCATGACAACTAGTTGAATATGGGTACGTTATTCATATAGTTTTCTAAGCACCAATATTCTACCTTAGATTCTTAGGTTTAGCTCTACCCTCGAGCAAATGAAACTCAATTAGTTTGTGATTCCAAGGAGTATTTTGGATGTTACCAATTCCCAAAGCACACCAAAACTGAAAACATCCGTCGTATGATTGTAAGGCTGGTCGCTTATGACCTTCAAGATGAATAATAATAAACGAATCAATATTTAATTGATAGTAGTAGACATAGAAGGGGAGATAGGGTAGACATGGTACACATGTGCAAGGATCTCTTGGAAAGATGTCAATGTGTTTATGAGGGGGCTCAACACTAGTGCCATCGTAAAAAAAAAAAGAAGCTAATTTTGGATATTTATGAATGTAAAACTTTGGAGGACAACTTGGATCAGGTATGAACTCTAAATTAGACTAAGATGGGAATGGAAAATAAATATTAGATAACAAATTATATGGTCTCTTGGTTTTCAGAATTTAGATAATTTCAGTCATGTCTTTGGAAATTGAGATAGGTATGTGATCAATAGTATTATGATTGATCATGGGAAATATCTGTAAAAAAAATAAATGATTCTGAAGGCATGTTGAAGCTTTTTTCTTTTGACGAAGATAAATAACTCCTTTTAACTTTGACTGGTCCCCAGTTTGCTGCCACAACTAACACGCAGGTTAATTATTAATGGGAGGGAGGGAGGGAGAGTATTGTTAAGTTTAATCCCTACTAAGGTGATTCCTAAAGGATTAAGCATTTGAGATTAAGGCATCTTGCATAGGTATGAATTAAAGGTAGTTATGTGTAGAGACTAGGTCCTAATTCTAATTTAATGATGGAGAAATTTAAAAAATGACAAGAAGAGACAATAATTATAGAAAATAAAGTTTCTTTTGAAGATATTAACAAATTCATCAAGGTGAATGTGTGATGTAGAACATACTATATGAATAATAAAAGATTCAAAAGGTTAAGTTGGGAATCTTAGAATGGTGAATCGTAATAGCTGTATTAGATTGCCTAGAAAATATATAAGTCCTTGATGGAGGTCATATGCTTTCCAAGATAAGGTTTATGAGTGATCTAGAATTCCATCTGTTAAAAATTTACAAGTTCATCAACAAGTACAACTACATTGACAACAAAGATGACTATAATATTTTAATGTAAGAGATTGTTGTTAACTACATGTATAGGTTTCCCATGATGGATGCAATGGGGATGACCTATATACCAAAATGCATGAATGGAGGGGAAGGACTATCATAGACAACTTGAACTGGTGTGCCACTAGTTTTAAGTGAGAGGATGTTCACTTATAATACACAACATATTGGTATCAAGGCATTTGATAAACAAGAATCATCATTTAGTGAGAGAAAGGGCAAAACAAGAAAGGGACATGCAGAAACCACTATGGCCCAATGTCCTCTAGTGCCAGCTTCTAGCATTGCTTCTTTGCCACCATCTAGCACCTCCTCTTCACCCTTCAAAACCCTCCAGCATCTAGACATCCAAGCTGCTATCTACTACTCTCTAGCCTTCTGTTTGATGATGAGACGAGAGAAAGGGGTAAAGGAAAGTTCCTCTTATAACCCCCAAGATTTCTAAATACAAAAATTCCTTCAGGAAAAGGAGAGAGAGATATGTGGTGGTCCTAACCCATGACGTTGTGATCTAAGCACTTCACCAAACCATCCAATAAGTAAGAGCGGAGGTAGTGTATACAAAGAGCAAAGATAGTATCTCTTGAAAGTAACTATCATATTATAAAATATATGGTTAATAAATTGGGAAAAGTTTTCAATAGGGTAAAGTTGACCTCCTCTCAATCTCTATCCAACTTGTCATTTAGTTGCTTTTAGATTTTGATATGCAAGTTGAAATTTATTTAGGGATAATAACTCATTAGAGTGTCAAAAAAATTAACTTAATAAGAGTGTTGATATAGCCCATTAGAGGGCTTAGTGCACGTTCCTCTCTCTCTCTCTCTCTCTCTCTCTCTCTCTCTCTATAAATAGAGGCTTGTAACCTCTTCTTTAATGAATATTGACTTTACCATTCACATCATATCATAGTCTAATTGTTTTTTAAACCCTAGAAAACTTGGGTTCTTCGTGCTGCCAGTCGCCGCTGCTCTGCTACCTTCGTACAACCACCTCTTTTGGTCACCACTACCACCCTTTTATGCCACCGCTGCTGTCCCTTCTGACCGTTGTTGCCACCACTCCCCATTTGGGCTGCCGCTGCCCCTTTGTGTCACCGCCGCTCTGCTGCCCATTTCAGCCACCACTATTGTCCCTTTTGGCTGCTGCTACTACCTCTTCGAGCCATCGTTGCCCCCCCTCTCAAGGTCACTGCCTTAATTAGGCTCTCGCAACCAGTTTATGCCAGCCTAGTTCAGATTGGCTCGAATTGGGCGAGGTGGTCCAAGATGACCCCAAGACCACCTAGATGAGCTAGTGATCAATTTTTCTGCCCCACTTGACGCCTTTGGGTCTAATGGCGTCATTTGGGTCTAATGATTCACTGCCACCATCTGCTTCACCATTGGACCCACTTACTCCACTATTGGCTCCTATTGATTTATTGTTGATACCTCTTATAGTAGAAACACCATCCAACTTACTTGCCCCATCATATACCTTCGATGGTCACAATTATGCTTTATGGGCCACATACTTTGAGTACTTTCTTATAGCCCATTGTTTGGTACATCATTTGATGGAGTCTTTGGCTGCACTAATTACTTCAACTAATGATATTGAGCTTGATTCTGTTATTTGCTCTTGGATGTGTTAAACTATTCTTTCAATTATTACTCAGCCCCTCTCTTGTATCAAGCTTATAAGTGCATTATGATGTACCCTAGAGACCATGTATGTAAACAAGACCAACATTAGTTTCACAATGAAATTTTTTGAGTTCATATTTACCTACAAAAAAGGTGATCAGTTTCTTCAAGATTACTTTGGTTGTCTTCAAACTCTTTTGCAAGAGTGGTCTCTCTATCAACCACCCACGATTGACCTATGCACCTTGAAATGATATTATGAGGAACTTATCATTAGAGATTATCTTAGTGGCCTTCGACCTTCTGTTGCTTCTCAAATTTGTGACCAGATACTTTTTGGTACCCAAGTTCAAGTACTAGAGCCCCTTCATCTCCCCCGTTAGATCTATTTGTCATAATAACCAGTACTTGTGGCTGAAATGGGCAGCATGGCTCCAAGTCTCCTACTTCTCATGACATACGTCCTCCTAAAAGCAAGTAGACCTTTCTACCTTGCATTTATTGTGGCAAGACTACTCATACTTAGAAAAAGTGTTGGAAAGATTTTGGGAAGTCTAAATTGGCTTAGGCTATACTTTACTAGTCCAAGCTAGACTCTACCTAGTCCATCTATGCCACTGGCTGGGCCAACTATCTAGATCCACTTCACCCTAATAGTTTATCAAGTATAGAGGCAATCTCAGGTGTCCACATTCATCGTCACCTTGGCTTCCACTTCAAGTACATATGCCTTTCCTAATTTTAGATCATCATGGGTTATTGACTTGGGGGGTTTAACTCATATGATTGAAAACCACCCTTCTATTCTCTCTTCCCTTACTCTTACCACTATTTATCCATTCATCTCCATTATTGATGATCGTTCATGCTCTATTAAAGGGTGTGGGTTGACCAAACACACCCCCTCTCTTACCCCACATTATGTCTTATATGCTCATGACTTTCTCACTAACTTTTTTTCTATTAATATCATCACACATATTCTTAACTATGTTGTCCTTTTTTGCTATTTCTATTATGTCGTTTAGGACCTTCACACTGGTTGGAGGTTTGATTTGGGGCATGAAAATAGTCGTGATATTTATGAGCTTGTTTCAAATACCTCTTTCTTTGGGCTCCTTACTTTGTTTTTCAGTTCTTTTGTTTCTTCTTCTATTTTGTGACATTGTAGACTTGGCCATCTTTATTTTCCTAAACTTAAATAATCTTTACCATAATTATCTTTATTTGAGTTTGTGTGCGAGTCATGTTAAATAAGCAAACATCATCGTTCTATTTATGAGAGAAAACAATAAAAGGTGATTGAGCACCAAAGATTGTGAGAGATATGGGTGAGCATTGATAGATGTAAGAAATATATCATCTTATGAACACACCCATATTAGAAGGGAAATAATGAATGCAAGTTATTTTAACCATAAGCATCACTATTGTTAGAAGTTGTTGTACTATTTCTCTAATTTTTTTTGATGAAGCAATCATCCCTTATTCACAATTGTTTCTATTCATCAGGTCGTAAAGTAATCAAGTGGTGAAGGAATAGTGTGTCGTGCAAAAATACAAAGTGTTGGTAACTAATTTTAGTCTTTTAGAAGATCAATACCATACATTTCTTTGTAAAAATAACACAATGAACTGTGGCTTACTCTTATGAATGTATAAAATAGTACTAAGAAGAAGAAACATAATAGATATAAGGTGTGTCTAGTCAATTGTCAAGCTTCCTTCTCCTCACATGGTGTAGATTGAGGAAGCATGGAGTTGAGCTACACCTAAATTTTAGTGAACATTTAAAAATAGAAATCAATTGTAAACCATGCCCTCCACACAATTCCTAGATCAATAAAAATGCTTCTATTTTGATTATATTTTACTCCATAGAGAACATCATAACAAAAAATTTGTACTTTGTTTATATTCTTTTGCTAGCATGTGATGAAGATGGGTTATTTTCCTCTTTTTGAGTTTTTAGGGAATACTTTTGAACACCAAACATGAACAAGGCCATCCTCGTTCCTTTTATAATTTTCTAATTATTATAATTATTTAATAAGGCCATTCATTGTTCACTACATTGGGTTGGGTTTCACTAATTTACAATATTTTTAGAAAAATATTAGAAAATACGATTTTTGAGTTCACAAGATAATTTGAAATAAATAAGTTATTTTATAGTATAAATATTTCAGGCAAGCATGTATTCCACTTTCAACATTTCCATTAAGTAATGTTATAGAAAATGATATGGGTATGGAGACATTGTATTAATAAATAAATATTCAATCATTTAATGTAACTTATATTTGTACTTATTAAAAAATATTTTGCATGCAATGTCTATTGCACTTATTTGTTATTAAAAAGACATAAGTTTACAAATCCTTAACAATGCACATTACTTTCGTAGCTTTGGATTTTAGTCAAAACTTTGAAATAAAATTAATCATAAACCATGTGATAAAAGCCATCCACAAATTTCCTAAATTCTCAAAAATCCTGCTTCTTTGATCATATTTTACTCCAAAGAGAAAAGTACATTACTCCATGGGTATTTTATTTATCTTCTATGCTAACTACAATGAAGATATATTATTTTTCTCGTTTTGGGTTTTAGGGAATACTTTTGAATACCCAAGACTCTTGAACAGTCTCATGCTAGTTACTTGTGTAATTCTGCAATTATCATAATCAGTTTCAAAAGATCATTCGATGAAAATAAAGTAAAATGGTGGGTTGGTTTTCTAATTTTTTAAAAATTAAAAACTATCTTAAACATGTATGATTTTCATGTTGGAAGAAATAAATAAATAATACATAATTCTCGACACAAATATTTAAACAAAGTGTGTAAGACACTTTCAACACCGCATTCAAATAAAGTTCTAAAAAATAAAGGGGGTATAAAAAAAGTGCACAATATTAATTTATTCTAACAACAAAATAAATACTTATTTAATTGGTATTCTTCGTTTTTAAAGAAATGCTTTGTATGTAATGTTTTGTTGATATGGCACAAAATACGTTTACGTACTATTGGGGAGTAGAAGGAGATAGAGAGGGAGGGTATAAACTCCTCCACGACAACTCCCTTGGGTTCCACACTGCATCCGCGTACCATCTCTCTCTCTCCCCTACAGCTAGCTCACTCGCTTGCTCTCTCTCCTCGCCACTGAGAGGTGCCACTTGCATCATCGTTAGTCTGACCACGGCGAGAATGTGAATTAAACAATATCGAAAGCTATATCATGGCCATTTCCTGGCGTGGCACGTGGCATTCGACTTTGCGTTGGGTATCAGCGTTCGCTCTCCCGCCCCGCGCTTTCACTCCTTCCTCTCTCTCTCTCGCTCGCTCGTCTCCAGCGAGAGGTGCCGCTTGCATCATCGTTGGTCCAACGAGAGAGAGAATGCGAATTAAACAATATGAAAGCTAAATCATGGTCATTTCCTGGCATGGCACGTGGCATTCAGATAGACATTTGATTTCGCATAGGTTTGCTGGTTTTGCGGAGGAGCTGTTTAAGAGTATCACAGATCGTTCTCCGGCTCCCGTTCCCGCGCCTTCCCTCCCCTATCTCTCTCTCTCTCTCTCTCTCTCTCTCTCTCTCTCTCTCACTCTCTCTCGCTCGCCCGCTCATAGTCCAGAGGGATCTTCTCTCCCCATCGGGAGCTTCTGCTTGCTTTGGGGTCACGCTCTCAGCGGGGGAGAAAGAGGACCTGAATGGCCAGCGGCAGCGATCTGTCCTGGAACCAGCTGGGCGGTGGTGGCACAGCGATGATAAACCTGCCTGATTCGCCGAGGGCGACCGAGGAAATGATCAAGGAACTCTTGCACGGCGAAGGGTTGCCGGATTTCGTCGGCGGACTCAGCTCGCCGCCAGGCGAGAGCATTGACCGCGGACCCTGCATTCAGGCGGCGCCGGCGATGTCCCTCCACGTGGACTTCCAGCCGCGGGCGGAGGGGACGATCGACCCCGCCCAGAAGAGGAGAAGCACTCGCCCCCCGTGGAAGAAGCTGAGGAAGTCGGTCCACCTCTGCCCGCCGGAGCCGGAGCCGGAGCCGGAGCCGAAGCCGGAGCTGATCCCCGGGATGCAGCTGAACCCGTTCGACGGGGACTGGGGCCCGCTAGTGAGGCTGCCGTGTGGCACCCTCTCCCTCCTTCCCTGGGGCTCCCCGTCTACCTAGGTGCGTTTGTAATGTAATCCTCCATATGTTCCTTTAAAACACTTTTGCGAAAGCGAGAGTGGACTCCCCGCATCAGAGGTCGTCCTCGTCTTCGTCACTTCTTCGTGAATCCCCAAGGGATTGGAGAAGCGAAAGAGATTTAAGGTAGGGTTTTTCACAGATGGATTGTATGATTTTTTTTATTGTGATGTCGTTCACCATCAAATTTTCTCACGATCATGAATGTGAAGAATTTAATCTTGGAGGTTTCTTTCCCCAGCTTTCGATATTTCGTTCTTCAACTTTCTTGCTTTGTTTGATGGTATCCGAGATCTCCCTTGAAGGAAATGTGAAGAAGAAGCCGAAGATCATTTAGTTGATGTTCAGAGAGAACCATGCAAAATGAACGGACTCGCCCGTCGAGTTAAAGATCCGCGTGGGGAAACATGAAAATGGAGACGGTTACGGGAGAGAGAGAGAGCGAGAAAGGGAGGTTTAGGACGTATGTTTTAAGATCTTGGAAGCAACTGATGGAAACCTTCTACGATAACCATACGATCTTCTTGTCCGAAAAACCCCGGTTACTCCTGGTTTTATTTCCTATACGACATGAACTTGCAGTTGGACATGAGCGACTGGTTTTCGGCATTAATTTCCCTATGGATGTTGTTCTTCATGGCGACTAAGGGCATACATCTATCCAAACGTCCTTTCGACTGATTTTAAAGATAAAAACTGGGATTTAGAAGACGATTCCTAATCTATCTTGAGGAGACTGCACTTGCATGTATCGACGAACGACAACGTCATAATAACGTGTGAACAGCAAGGAGGGCAACCCTCGACGAAGGTGAACGTTGTTGGCGCTGCCGGAAGTAAGAATGATCACGGTGTGGGCTTCTTGGCATCTTTCACAGGAGGTGATGGCTTCCTTGAACCGCAGTGATGAATTACCCGGTTAGAGGAATCTCAGGTTGGGTAGTAAAACAGAGGTATCATATAGTCCGAGAATGACTCAGCACTGTCCTTGTCTCTAAAATCTTCGTAACACAGGTTCTTGTCTCTCCTGTACTGTCCTTGATGGTCTCGGCTGTAGGTCGAATCGCCGTCTTCTTCTCTCATTCGTTCGTCGTGTTCGCAGTCCGATCAGTCTCGTGTTCGTCTTTGAGAGCTCATCCGAATCCGGAAGGGAGCGTCTGGTCGGCGAGCAGCTTCTTCTTTCTCATTCTACTACTCGGTGGTCGTCCTCCACTTGTTGCCAGCCCTTCTGCTTAGATGAATAAATGATAGGAATAATCCTGCCCTTCCAGTCCGGTGCCTCTTAAACCCTCACCAGGTGGTGACCGGTAAGGGCCACTGGGACCTAGGCTAGATAAATACCAGTCAGGTTACACGACCCATGAGAAAATGAGTATACGTTCAGGAGGTTCGCCCGTTCTGCAGCTCCGTTCTCCACGGTCGGGCCGCTATCTCCATGCGCCGCCTCTCACAGTACCGCGAGCAGAAGAGCAGATAATAAAGAACTACTGATCGTCTCGTCATGAAACTTCTTCAGACGGACGATCGGTATTCCTATTCTATTATTCCGAGCTCGGCAATGGCTCCCAACAAGCTCACTTATGACTTTGTGCAGGCCCAGGTTCTTGTCTAGCACCAGTGCTTGGGCTTCGTTCGGTCCTTGTGCCTTAAGTGCGCTGTAGAGCTCGAAAAACCGAGGCCATCCGCCTAAAGGGGGATGTCACATGGCTTAGATGTTAGACCTTGGTGCCTCATTCCACCATATCTGCTGAAAGGACTAGATGAACAACCATGCAACCAGAAATTTTGGAAAGATTTTTCTTGTTGATTATGAGTTTTTGGAAAAGAGGACTGCGTGAATGGGGAGGTTGGTGCCCCATTGTTCAAGCAATCAGGCTTCATCGTAACTGTTTCTCCCTAATCTCAAACTCGGAAAGCGATGCTGGAGAAGATGGGAGGATGGAAAGTAGACTGAGATGAAAGGGTAATAGCTCCACGTCTGCATATGCAAATTATAGCCGTGATAACTTCATGCTTGTTCGAACCATCCTGTGGGAGGCTATTGAAGCTAGTATTTGGAACATCTACTCTTCCGATACGCAGAAAATTACTTGATCTGCAGATCTTTAAGTTTTCTACCGTCGGTAAAGTGGGTACTCTTGACGCAAGAGTTGACATCCTAAAGCATGGAGGCATGATTTTAGACTAGTGTTATATTTTGAGGTCAGCTACTATGGCCGAGCCTTTGCGTAAGTTGGTTCCATTTTCTTAGAAACCCAAGTCAAATGTCGTACCGTGAAAAGATCTGGGAAACTAGTTTTGTCCAAAATTATTGTAGGGAGACTAAACGATGACACTTCCCATATCCCTTAATTATTCTAATGCGTTTTCTTCCTTACATAAATTTTCACTGCCAGTTAGGTTTTTAATGGATATTAATGTTTTGTTAACTCGTCAAGCTGGAGAATACCATTGATTAAATTTTATGCATTATCCATAAAACTCTATAAGAATAAGGCTATTTTTGTGACGCTAGTTTATATCCGCTATTAATCAATGTGCTGGGTTATTTATTTGATATTTTACAAGACAAAGGTGCGGTCTAGTTTGCTAACGGTTTTCAATTATCAAAAGTATTCTTTTAATCTGTGCTGTATATGTTACTCTCATACGCACTAATATGATATGGATACGGTATTAATAAAGTTTTACTAACCCCTAATAATCTACCCGAGAGAGAAACTTGATGAGAAGAAGCCCAAGATCATTTAGTTAAAGTTGAGAGAGAACCTTGCAAAGTGAGCGGAATCTGCCTTAGATTTAGAGATCAGCGTGAGGAAACAAGAAATGGAGATCGTTACGGGAGAGAAAGAGAGAGCTTGCGTTCAGGCGGCCCCGGCGACGTTCCTCCCCGTCGACTTCCAGCCGCGGGCGGAGGGGACGATCGACCGCGCCCGGATGAGCAGAAGCACTCGCCCCCCGGGGAGGAAGCTGAGGAAGATGAAGAATTCGGTCCTCCTCTTCCCGCCGGAGGCGGAGCCGGAGACGTTGCCGTTGTTGATCCCCGGGTCGCAGCTGAACCCGTTCGACGGGGACTGGGGCCTGCTGGTGAAGCTGTCGTGTGGCACCCTCTCCCTCTTTCCCTGGGGCTCCCGGTCTCTTTAGGTGCTTCTGTGTGATGTAATCCTCCAAACGATCTTTTAAAACACTTTTGTGAAAGCGAGAGTGGACTCCCTGCATCAGAGGTCGTTCTCATCTTGGTCGCCTCTTCGTGAATCCCAAAGGGATTGGAGAAGCGAAAGAGATTTAAGGTAGGGTTTTTCACACATGCGTTGTATGATTTTTTTTCATTGTGATGTCGTTCACCATCGAAATTTTCGCACGATCATGAATGTGAAGGATTTAATCTTGGAGGTTTCTTTTCTCAGCTTTTGATATTTCGTTCGTCAACTTTCTTGCTTTGTTTTATGATATCCGAGATCTCCCTTGAAGAAAATGTGAAGAAGAACCCGAAGATCTTTTAGTTGATGTTCAGAGAGAACCTTGCAAAATGAACGAACTCGCACTTCGAGTTAAAGATCCGCGTGGGGAAACAAGAAATGGAGACGGTTACGGGAGAGAGAGGGCCAGAGAGAGCGAGCGAGCGAGAGAGGGACGTTTAGGACGTAGGTCCCCAGATCTTGGAAGCAACTGATGGAATCCTCCTACGATAAGCACTCAATTTTCTTACCCATAAAACCACGGTTAATCCTGGTTTTATTTCCTATACGACATGAACATGCAGGTGGAGATGGAAGACTGGTTTTCGCCATCATTTTTCTTATGGACGTTATTCTTCATGGCCGCTTTGTGTCTCAACAGTACTTTCCTTGATGGCTTCGGTTGTAGGTTGAATCATCTTCTTCTCACTCGCCGGTCGTGTTCACAGTCGGATCAGTCTCGTGTTTGTCGTTGAGAGCTCATCCCACTCCGGAAGTAAGCGAGTGTCGGGTCCGCGAGCGTCTTCTTCTTTCTCATTCCACAACTTGGTAGTCGTCCTCTCCACGACTCTTCAGCCCCTCAGCTCCCCCGCGCCTGGTTGCGTTATGAAAAGTCCTCCGCTTTCAGTCCGTCACCTCTTAAACCCTCACCGGACTGAGGCGCGCCTGTCCCCCAGCTTTAACTACGGGAAGGGAAGGAGAGAGCTGGTTGCGTTCCAGCCGGGTATAGGGTCCATGTTACCCGACCTGAAACCAGTTTCCGAGATTATCCGTGGTAGAGGATGTAGGACTTCCCCGTGGGGATGGCCGTGGGATGAGTCTCAGCTCGGGGGAATGGCATCCAGAACAACACGCGTGCACTTGTGGTGGTCTGACTATGGGGAGCCGCTCGCAGTAGTGTGCGGGGGTGCTTGGTGATAACGCGCCGGCCGCTGAGGGGTGGCCCAGCCAGGCGAAAGGAGCTGCAGAACGGGTGACCATCTGAACGTCAACTCGTTTTCTCGCGACTCGCTTTGGGTTAACATACATTCATCTAGCGCGAAACTGAAAACCTCGGATCCTATTTTCTCGTGCCCTGCGGCTTGCGATCACAAGGATCCTGTATGAATGCTTTTCCTTGGATTCTCGGATATTGCACATTCAAACAGATCTTCACCCGTTTCGGTCTCTCCCCCTCTGACATTGCTGCATATGGTGGTCTTAGAGGAGATGAGGTTCTCAAGAATCTGGCATTTAGCCGATGGACGGTGGCTTGGTTTCTGGGTTCGCAGTAGACTCCACCCTAAGAGACCGTTTATTTGTACCCAGCTAAGATCCGTTTGTGGATTCAAGTTGAGCATTTCACGAAGGCTGCATGAAGTACGTAGTCAAAAGGCATCACATTTCTTAGGTAAGTGATTTCCTAACTTAAATCTGATCTGCACATTTGTCAATGTAGTGAATAAGAGGATTGACTTGAATAAGTCTATCGGTGACCAAAATAATGTAAGATAACAAAAGAAGATAAATAAGATATACATATATATATATGTATATCGAGAGAGAGAGAGAGAGAGAGAGAGAGAGAGAGAGAGAGAGAGAGAGAGAGAGAGAGAGAGGGAGAGATAGAGATATAAAGAGAGAGAGAAAAAACGCTTAATTAGAATGAGTATATGCAATAGTCCTAGAGGGCTCCTCTTAAAAGAGTCTTGGGGGCAACTAAGGTGAGAGAGAAAAGGGGAGGAAAGACAAATAGAAGGCCTCTTAAGGCTCGTTTGTTAAAGTGTCACGTAATCCTCCATATGTTCCTTTAAAACCCTTCTGCAAAAGTGAGACTGGACTCACCGCATCAGAGGTGGTTCCCTTCTTCGTCGCTTCTTCGTGAATCCCCAAGTATAGAGTTTTAAGGTAGGGTTTATCAAATATGGCTGACATTATTTTTTTTATTTTTATTTCATTCATCAGCGAAATTTATTTTAATAACGGGGTCCTGATACCTCCAATCATAGGCATTAACTTGTCGTGTTGTGATGCTTAGACAACAGCAAATAGCTTGTTTGTTAAACCTCTAGGTTTTTGGGGTTGGGAATCCCACAGGCTGCTTGTAGCTTACAAAGGCTTCAACGTAGAACACACCTCTTCACTTCACAAACAAGTTCCTTTATCCTTTTTGAAATTCACTATCATTTCTTTTCCACTTTGCTCATAAAGCTTAAGTTTTTAAACCTTCATAGACATGTTTCTATCAAGGTTCCTAAACTCTTAATATATCCGGCTATAGAAGCCCTCCCTATCTCTGGTCAATGTGTGCAACTACATGTACTATTTAAGATCTTGTGGATTCTTCTCTCTATAAGAATCTTGGGGGTAATCTTCAATACCTCATTATCTGCCATTCAAATAGTCCATTTAGAGTAAATTGAATATGCCATTTAATGCATTAGATTGTGGTCAAATGACTGATATGTTATCTCAAAAGAAATATCAATCATAGTTTACCACTTCAGTGGACTCCCAGTCTTCAATTTTATTGTGGCAAATTGGATCAGATCTACCAATGATTGATGACGAACTAGTGATTGTCTTATCTTTAATGAATACACTCTCATTTCAAGGAACTCTAAGAAATAACTCATAGTAACTTAATCTAACAACATAGCAAAACATGACATTACAAAGGCCACAGTAATTTAGTTGTGTTCACTCTGACAAAAACTAGATTCTTCTCTTCATCACCACTTACTCTGAGTGTGATAATATTGGCATTGCTTATCTTGGTATGAATCTATAATTTCATGTGCATAAGACACCTAAATATTTAATTTCACTTTTTTCATGAGCAATGGCATCAAATTAATTGATAATATCTTTCATCTTCAGGATAGATCAACTTGCAAAATATCCTCAGAAAAAGGCTCATCAAGAGTCACTTTTAATGGATTAGAAATAAGCTGTGTTATAGATTATATCAATTTAAGGTGGCATACAAATGAAATTAAACCCCTCCATGAGAAGCAATCATGAGAAGCCTCACTCGGGTGAGGGTTTAAGAGACGGCGGACTAAAAGGGGAGGACTTTTCATAACAGAGCCAGCCGCGCGGGAGCTGAGTTGTGGAATGAGAAAGACGAAGAAGCTCGCGGACCAGGCAGTCGACCCCTTCCAGAGTCGGACGGTTATAGACAACGAACATGAGACTAATCGGACAGCAAACACGACGGGCGAATGAGGAGAAGACGATTACTCCACCTATAGCCGGAGCCATCAAGGACAGTACATGAGACAACTTTATTAAGAACAATTGGGAGAGTGATTGTGCCGACCAATAGATAACCCACAGTGTAATCATGACATATGTTCGAACCATGTTTCAGATTTGATTTCGCGGCCAATGTGGGACTACCCTGACAAACACGGGTCATTCTCCGACTACATGATAGCTCTATTTTACTACCCAGCCTGAGATTACTCTAATCGGGTAATTCTTCACGATAGTGCAAGGAAGCCATCACCAGCCTTAGGAAGACGGCAAGAAGCCCACCGTGATACAAATCGATCGTCTTAACCCCCGGTAGAGCCAAAAACATTCACCTCCGTCGAGAGATGCCTAAAAGATCTTGATATAACAGAGATGAGAGAATGAGAAGATTGAGATCAAGATTCAAGAAGATAAGAAGAGATCGATCGAGATGAGAAAAGAACAAGAACATGATATTAAGCAGAGAAGAAAAGTATTTTTTTGAAATCAGTTACAAAGGACTTTAGAGGGTAATGACAGTCTGTTGGTAACATCAAGATTGTCGTTTATTGAATCGTTCTAAACGTGAGTAAGTGTGTGGGTACGTGGCCTGTGCTGAGCGGGCCAGTACTTATGTGCTGAGAAGAGAGCGACTGTACGGTTTTCAAACTAGATCAGAAATTATCTCCAACATCCGTTTTTATCGTAAAGATCAGCCGTTGGGCAGTTTGAATGGATGTAAAACCCTTGCATGCCATGAAGACCGACGTCCATAAGGAAAATGATGAAGAAAGTCAGTCGCTCATGCGGACCTGGATGTTCATGTCGTGGATAAAATAAAACCAGGACTAACCGGCGTGTTATGGGGAAGAAAATTGAAAGATTATCGTAGGATCATTGAAAGTTCAGTCGCTCATGTTCACTTGAAGGATAATTTTGCTTCGAAGATCTTGAAACTTTGTCCTAAACCTCTCTCTCTCGCTCGCTCTAGATTTCTCTCTCCCGTAAATCATCTCGATTTCTTGTTCCTACATGCGGATCTTTAAATCGGAGCGCGATTCCATTCGTTTTGCAAAATTCTCTATGAGCGTTAACTCAAAGATCTTGGGCTTCTTCCTATTTTCTACGAGGTTCTCTCACGGGTACCATTAAATAAAGCAAGAAATTTGACGAACGAAATAGGGAAAGCTGGGAAAAGAGACCTCTAAGATAAAATTTTTCACATTGATGATCGTGCGAAAATTTCTCTGGCGAATGAAATTAAAATAAAAAAAATGATGTAAGGCATCTGTGATAAACCCTACCTTAGATCTCTATCGCGTCTCAAATCCCTTGGGGATTGGCGAAAAGGCGACGAGGACGAGGACCGCTTCTGATGCGGGGAGTCGAGTCTCGCTTTAGCGAAATGTTTTGAAAGAGACGCACCTAGATTGACGGGGAGGCCCAGGGAAGGAGGAAGAGGAAACCACACGGCAGCCTCCCCAGCATGTCCCAGTCCCCGTCGGATCCAACCCGGGGATCAGCTCCGGCTCCGGTGGGCAGAGGTGGACTGACTTCCCCAGCTTCTTCCACAGCGGCGAGTGCTTCTGCTCTTCCTGTGCACATGTTTTGTATTTGAATTCATTTTTTTCGAGAGCATTCTTGATTCTTTTCTGACTTTGGAGTACTTGAGGTCGTTCTTGGCGTCACTAAGCCAACAAGTGGTATTAGAGCTTGTAGGTTCGATGGGATCAAGAAGATGGCAAAAAAAGGTGGCGAGACAAGTACCTCCGGTGAGTGTGGGGAGGGAGATGGTGGCACCAATGCCATCCCTCAGGCTCTTGAGGACCAATTACTGCATTTGGTCAATGAGCATGGAGGTATATCTTGACTCTCACGATTTATGGCAGGCCATTGTGGGAGAGAATGTCTCCAAGAAGAAGGATCAGCTGGCACTGTCAGCAATCCTCAATGTGGTACCGGAAGACATGATGACAGTTCTTGATGCCAAGAAGTCGGCAAAAGAGAACTAGGAGATCCTTCGGACAAGAAACCTTAGCGTCGACAAAGTGATTCAGTCACGCATCCAAGGTTTGAAACATAAGTCCAAAATTCTCACTATGTCAAAGGATGAAACTGTAGTGGATTTCATAGTGAAATTCACTCACATCATCTCCAAATTGTAGAACTTGGGAGAGATGATGGAAGAGCGAGACATTGTGCGTCGATCTCTGTAGGCGACCTTTTTCAAATTCGACACTCTTACCTTGTCTCTAGAGCAATATAAAGATCTTACCAAGTTAGATGCATTGAGTGAATTCAAGTGATTTAAAGCTCTGGCAGAAGTAGAGAAGAACACCAAAATTCAATGTCTTTGATGAGACAGAGGAGGAGAGTTCGTATCTGACAAATTTATTGAATTTTGTGCATCACGTGGTATTGAATAGTATTTGACTACTACCTATTCGTCTCAATAGAATGGGATCTTGGAGAGGAAGAATAGGACAATTATGTCTTTAGTTTGAAGCATGCTTAAGGAGAAGGACTTACCATGAGAATTATGGGGAGAGGCTGTAAGTACCGCTGTTTATTTGTTAAATTGATCTACCACTCACAACCTGAAGGATTTGACTTCACAGTCATGAGTGTTTGGATCGATTGTGCATGTGAAATGCACGAAAGGTTCCCAGAAAAAGTTTGAAGATCGCAACCATCCTATGGTATTTATTGGCTATGAAATTGGGTCAAAGGCATACTACTATTTTGATCCGATCAATGGCATAGTACATGTTAGTTGTGACGTGATCTTTGAAGAAAATGAAAAATGGGACTAGGCCTAGCAAGGTAAGAATGTTCCTCCACTCACTTTTCTACTTGAATTATCTGTTGAGTAGAGACTGGAGGAGCCAAATATGTCAGAAGAAGAAGTTGTAGGTGAGTAACTTGAGACTCTAGATGAAGCTTTAGCATCTCACGCTGAGCCTCAAGAAGGTGAGCCCCAGAAATATAAATCCTCAATGTGGTACCAGAAGACATGATGACATTGGGCCTTATAAGATAGAGGGAGAGGGTACTGCCCCTCTGGTCCGTATCCACCATTCAATGGAGTTAGATCTATGCGCTCCTTGAAGAGCCCATTAAAACCCAATAAGTGATCAATATCTACCTCCCACATGTTCACATGTGTTATATTGCATCGGCATCCCTTAGCAATAAGAGTCAGCCCACAGCTCAGTCCTGCGTAAGGGAGAACAAGATGAGAGAGAGAGAGAGAGAGAGAGAGAGAGAGAGAGAGAGAGAGAGAGAGAGAGAGAGAGAGAGAGAGAGAGAGAGAGAGAGAGAGAGAGAGAGGAGAGTAGAATAAAACACATCAGATTAAATGGTTTGAAAAACCTCCTACGTCCATGTTTTCAACCAGATCTTGTTCCTTGAAGATAATCATCACTTACAACCCACAACGGGGAATGCTCCATGCTGACATAATTCACATTTAAACCCTAAAATAATGATGATGACACTCAACCTTTGCCCAATATTAGGAAAAAAATTGCACGGGACAAAAGGCATATATATTCCGAAAATCAAATTTTGTTACGAGGGACTCTGGCTCCCTTGAGACCCCCTGCCAAGAGGGCGCTGCCCCCCTGGGCCCTACCACCCACCATTCAATGGAGTTAGATCGATGTGCTCTTTGAAGAGACCATTATTATCCACCTCCCACAAGCGCACGTGTTGTCCTGCATCGACATCTCTCGGCAGTAAGCGTCAGGCAACACCGCGGCCAAGTCGTAGGATTCAGGGAGAACGTGATGTGTGTGTGTGTGTGTGTGTGAGAGAGAGAGAGAGAGAGAGAGAGAGAGAGAGAGAGAGAGAGCGAGAGAGAGAGAGAGAGAGCGAGAGAGAACATATATCCCTAAAATCAAATTTTGTTAAGAGGGACGCTGGCTCCCTTGAGAACCCCTGCCAAGAGGGTGCTGCCCCCCTGGTCCCTACCCACCACCACTCAATGGAGTTGCATGCATGTGCTCTTTGAAGAGCCCATTAAAACCCAATAAGTGATCATTATCGACCTCCCACCAGTGCACGTGTTATCCTGCATCGACATTCTTACGATTAAGGGATAACATTATCAGCGAGAGAGAGAGAGAGAAAGAGACGACGCAACAGTTTCCAAAATTAGGTTTTGAAAGCGACGTTGTCGAACCCGTTCCTGGAGCTGTTTTTAGGTTCAATTCATGGCGAAGGGCCATTCGGTGCAAGTCGTATTTGGGCTGCACCATGCCAGCTAGAAAGAGGGCCCACCAACTAGTTCCGGTTCTCGCCCATACATTCGTATTAAACGTCTTTTTGAATTTCCTTGAATTAATAGGAACTAATTTAAAAATAGCAACTTTTGAGTCAACTCCCTGTAGCCAAAGCTTCTCCACGTCGAAGTTCAACGACGCTCTCTCTCTCTCTCTCGCTGACTGCCGGGAGCGATCGTTCTAGCGGCGGAAGGTGAGGATGAACGAGGGCGGTGTCGCCGGATCCCGCAGCAGCCACCGGCGGGTCACTGCTGTTGAAGCGGGTCCTGGTGCAGTCGCGATACCTGCTGCTCCTATTTGTGGTGGAGGCAGCGCCAGGCACATGAGATGGGAGCGTGGGAGTAGGAAGACCAACTTGGAGATAGTCATGGGAATGGTGATTAAAACCCCTCCTGCTGTAACCTCGTCAATTTTCGGCTTCTCCTTTTCTTTTCTTGTTGGCTGGAATCAAGCTCTCCTACCCACACCTCTCCACGTTCTTACTCCTCTCTCTCTCTCTCTCTCTCTCTCTCTCTCTCTCTCTCTCTTCGCGTTTCTATTCAGGTCTCTCCGCTCTGGTCATCCTCTGCAGTGATCCCCCTTGCGTTTCTGTTGATCTGTATCATCTTCTACATATTCAGCGGCTGTTACCCACACGAGCAAGGATACGCCTCTATCTACGGCAGTGATCGTGTACGCCTTCCTCTCGTCACCATCTTTGCTGCCCCAAGGCTAATACCTTCCTCCTCTGGAGACGGTCTTACAGGAACGCTTGGGGGCAGCCAGGAGTTGGCTATACGCTCGTGGCTGGCTCTGTCTCCGGATATCTCGGTTGTCCTCTTCGGACAGCACCCGTCCCTCGTTGCGTTTGCTGGAACTCTTGGGCCGCGTGTTTCTGTTGAATCCGCCATCGACTTCACGTGAGGACCTCCACAAAGCTCTTCCGTCCACACTGCCCGTCTATTGGACTGACCAGTGTTAGTTTACAGTAGTAGAAACTACATGTCGACTTTCGTATCCGCAGATCCTGACAGTATTTTGTGAAGAAAAGATAAGAATGCTGTTCCATTCGAATTTTTTACCAGTAGGGAGAGATTGAGCAGCCTAATTACATATGAATCTCAGATCACATGCCCTCTTCTTTTCCACTTGGGTTTGGGGTCTTCTCGGTTATAAACAAAATCTGAGTGTAGCAGAAAGAGTTACGAGCATAGAGTCTGGAGTGAAATCAATCCTGCTATTGCGGAGCTATGCATGCCTTGGAGATTTCCAAGTTCGTTGACATAACTTCATGCATTTATTTTTTGGGGATGCTCCCCTTCATCGAAGTTGCCTCTGAGCTGACCTGTTTGAGTACCTATGAGTTTGCTGATTTCTTTCATTCGGAGAAAGGGGATCCAAAAAAAACGGTGGTATTCAGTATTTTGGGAGATTGGTTTTCTCAATCAACAGGGCAACCCGTGAGTTGGCAAGATTGAATGAAATGAAGCAAATACTGTAACTTTGAGCGAATCAGATCTCTGTATTTATGCACGGAGTTGTTGCTGTAGAAAAACCGGTCGAGTAGAGAGAGCACAAGAAAATGATTTGGTGTCTGCCATTTCTAATTTTGATGACCTTATAGCCCGCATAAAGATATTTCTCCTTATAGCTTCTTTTATACCTCTTTTATTCAACCTGCATATTGAATGGCGCTAATGAGTCTTCTGACCCGAGTTTATTTGTTTCTAATGTCAAAAGTAAAATTTATTTACTGGGCCACACATCACTCATATTAGCCTTCCACGTCTATCGTCATGCTGGAGATCTGTCTAAACAGGAACCGAGACTGTAGGCCTATTTAGTTTTTCTGTGGTCAAATTAAATGGCATGTGGCCTATTTAGTTAGTTTATGCCTTGGAATTTTCACTCAAACATGTGATTTGGTACGGGTTGGAACTCGGATTTTATGTTTATGTTTTTTACTGTCGCACTTATTTACCTTCCAAAACAATGATATTATCATAATTGAGCTCTTAATGAATGGTTCTCTCTGTTCAGCCTAATATTATCGTTAACACTAGGGCTATCTGCGTACTTATTTTTACAAATTTGACGCCCATTGGATGTGTGATAGTTTATGCCCCTAAATCAAATGTTCATTCTATTGTTCTGCTGTTACTTTCTTGATCATATTCATGGTGAAATAGCTGGAAATTTTAATTTGCTGATCAGGTTACACACGAGTGATTTCGTTATTTCTGTAGGAATAATCATGAACGCTAAATACTGATTAATTGGATTTTTCTAGGTTCTTGGGGACCCCATTGTTTCATTCCATGGTTGCTAGAGCTCAAGCTTCACAATCAAATATTTCCGTTCTCATTGATCCTGACACTATACTCTTACCTGACTTCGCCATCACATTACATAATGCTCTCCAACTTGAGCACGACTGGTTGCTCGTTTCAATTCCACGGAGTGTCTCTACCTTATCAGAAACTGGAAAGCAGTTTCTGACAGAGGATGGTGGTGGAATAAAGTTTGAGGAGGTAAGAAGGAATCGCTAGACTGAAGGGTACTTCAATAGATTTTTTATGCATTGCTGACGATGAGCTGTTCGATTCTTTTTCATTCTTTTTCGTCAGTTACGAAAGATTCTTGTTCGTGATTTGCATTCAAGCAGCTGCAGTGACAGAGCCCTTATTGCCTGGAACAAAGGAAACCTATCTCTGCATTCTATTTTTCTTCCGCCTTTCATCAATGGAAAGGGATTGCATAATCAGTGGCTCATTCACCAGGCCTTAGCATCTGATCTCAGGCTTGTAATTGATGCCAGCGAGAGCATCTCAAGTTTCTACCCAGAAGTATCTGAACATGGCCAGTTATTGCGGGAGTCTGACAGGGAGCGTAGTAATGAGAGTCCATGGGAGAGCAATGTCAATGCAAGACTTGCTGCATCCTATGGATCGCTTGGCTCCAGTCCAGATAAATATTCTAACCTCGTTAGACTTGTAGTTTGTTTTGCGCTACATATCTTTTATGATTCAACCAAGGACACAGTGTATGTCTCCCATCAGCACGGAAGGAGTGGACCCAATAAAGTGCCAGGTCAAGACCAAGGTCACTCTTTGAAGTTGAATGAGGAGAAAAGGTGGAGAAATTGCATAGGTTCCACTAACCTGCCACATAGAGAGGACAAGTGTTCACTCACCGAATGGTTGCGAGTCAATTCTAGAGTACGTACTCAAGTGGGGCTTCCATTCTCTTTAGAATCACTTCTTCAGATAACCGCAGATGAGAACAGAACCATTGTGCTTGCAGTCGCCGGATATAGTTATAAGGACATGCTTATGAGCTGGGTCTGTCGTATGCGGCACCTGTCCGTCACCAATTTCCTCATTGGGGCTCTTGATTCTGACATCTATGATTTCTCCGTCCTGCAGGTACTACTGCTTCTGTTGAGCGTGAGCGCACATTTTATAAGTTTTGATATGTGCATTCTGTCAGTCATCTTATGGCCAACTGCCTAAATATGGTGGAGAATGTGGGCTATTGTAATCGTCATTTCTTCCTGTATCTGTAGGGTCTGCCTGTCTTCAAGGATCCACTACCTCCAGCGAACATTAGGCTCACAAGTTGCCACTTTGGCACTGACTGTTTTAGAAAGGTGTCCAAAGTGAAGTCACGGCTAGTTCTACAGATACTAAGAATGGGGTACAACGTCCTACTAAGTGATGTTGATGTATATTGGTTTCAAAATCCATTGCCATTTCTTCAAAAATTTGACCCACCTGTTTTGCTAGCACAATCAGATGAGTACAACGAGACAGGTAACTGATCATAATACGGTGCTGCTAACATAGACTTGCCTGTGCATTATGGATTCATTGTCTTTGCGTTTGCTCATTTTTTTATTTAGAAAGTGTATGATTAATATGTCTGTCAATGCATGTAAACTAACTCGTGATTTTTCTTGTTAGTTAATTATAACATATGCTTGCGCGTTTATCATGTGTTTGCTGTTAATGCAAATTCTATTCGATTATCTCTTTCATGGCGTTGTTATTTTTCTTAATAAATATCAAAAGAATGAGGGATGTTCTTGTTCTTCCACTTCAGTTGTTTCAGCTACAAAACAGATGGCTGTGGTGCATTGCAGTTTCCTTTTACTCCTAGTTACTTGTGGTTCTTTCAAAATACCATCATCTACTAGTCTTAAAGCTCACATGTTTGCGATTTCTCTGAGAAGAAACTGAGATCACTGGAAATATGTATTTTTTTTTGGTGAGCTTTTTGCCGACACTATGAGGATCTGAAAGGAAGAATAAAAACTCATCATCTGATCCTTAACCCTCATAAATCCATTTTGGCAGACAGTACTCGTTTACAGAGATTTTGATTTTCATGCAATTATCATGACAAACGGGGATGATTGTCGTTTTGGCCATATTTGCTCGTTTAATCCCCCATTTAGGATTTTTCTATCTTTATTGATCTATTTGGATTGGAGCTTGTAACTTGGGCTCAAGTAGCTATTTCCACCAATTTCTGTTCATCTCAACTTCTTAATTTATTTCATGAAAAATATAATATTTATTTTATTGCTGTTTTGTGTAAAAATATTGGTTCGTGGAAGTTATATAGCTAACAATGACGATTAATTTCTCATAATTTGTTGCTCTTACTGCTTGCCATGCGGTTTTCTTGAACATAATCTACCCAGATGGGGAAACCATATATGTTACCATCCAATCTCTGTTTCTTTGCTACCTTGGCAAGATACACCCAGCCAGCCGTATATGATGGATGCAGTTCACTTTTTTCGCTGAATTTTTCTCCCCTTGCTGTCATTTATTCAATCCATCTCCTCAGGATCTTTTTTGAACTCCCCTCTTCAAATTGTTCTCACGTCATTTCTCTCATGGTAATTTCCTTCACTCTGGCATGCTCGGTACTTTCTCTCTCTACACCGTGTATGATTCTGAATGTACCCATGTACTCCCCCTATTCGTCCTGGTTACGCTCATCATCTTGATCTTAATCTTGGTGATTAACAGGAGATATCCGACAAAGCCACCATAGCTGATGATTAAAGCCTCACATCTTACATCCCCGGACATCTTAATCAAGGCTTTATTATTAATCATGGATTTTTCTGGTGCTCGATCTTGGTTTCATATCTTTGAAAAAAGGAAATATATTCTATTTATATCTGACCTATGCCGCTGTGTTGTATCTGATGGATCTGCAGGGCCCATAAACTTGCCTCGCCGGCTGAACTCTGGTTTCTACTATGCTCGAGCCGACCCTCCCACCATCGCTGCGTTCGCGAAGGTGGTAAAACATGCATCCACTTCAAACATGTCTGAACAGCCTAGCTTCTACGACATCCTCTGTGGGGTTGGCGGCACCCATCGAACCAGCGACGAGCATTGTGTCGAGCCCGAGACTAATTTGAGGGTCATCTTCTTGGATCGCAACCTCTTTCCCAATGGAGCCTTCCGGAGTTTGTGGTTGGAGCGTGATGTTCGAAGGGCCTGCAAGGCGCTGGGCTGCCTCATTCTTCATAACAACTGGATCAGCGGCAAGGACAACAAGGTAAAACGCCAAATCCGCTCTGGGTTGTGGGCATACGATGTGCACTCCAGGATGTGCCTTCAGGGTCCGAAAATGGTAAGTCCTTAGTGAGATACATAACCATAGTCTTCTTGATTTATACAGAGGAGCCCCAAAGAGGTTTAGATAAAACGGATTGAAGGAGGCTAAAAACTTAAGAAAAATCAGCAAGTTTTCTTTTTAGATATCTGTTCATGTTCTTGGTGGGGAATTAAATAGATTGAAGGAAAATAAAAACTTTGGAAAAATCAGCAAAAACATATCTATCTTCAAGCATAGAATGATAACACCATGCCTTACTCCTGATTTATTCACTCAACATGCATGTATTCACTTAGAAAAAACAGAGCTTTACCAGACAACATCTACTTCTTTTGTGATGCCCCCATCGATTCTTACTGCTTCTGGACATTGTACCATGTATCTGGCAGTGCAAATAATAACACAAGTTTCATGGTCGAGCATCTGTGATGGCTTATTAGCCCTAAAGCTGTTGTTTCTCTCTGCTATCTTGTCTGCCTTTCTTCAATTTTCTCTGGTAATTTATTGAATGAAAGCGTCCTGATAGTCACCATGCAATGAATGATGACTGTCCAGACTGACTGAATAGGCTTCCTGACTCTCTCTATCTCCCTCTCCCTCTCTCTCTAGTCTGTGGCTAAGGCTGTCTCTTCAAAACCTGAAACTGAGTAGGCTACCTGACTCTCTCTCTCTCTCTCTCTCTCTCTCTCTCTCTAGTCTGTGGCTTAGGCTGCCTCTTCAAAACCTGAAACCTCCCTACTGTATGTGATCCCAGAGGCACTCATATCCATGTGGGTAATCCTAGATAACTGGAGATTACTCCGGAGTCTAGTGATCATGGTAATGCGAGATCAACCTAATGACCCAGATAGAAAGTCTTTCACCCGAACCAAAGGCATTGCAGAACATGTGCGATTTGCTTCAAGATGCATGGATGAGGGAAAGGAGGAAGCTTCCTCGCGACTGCAGGATCTTCATCAGTTTCCATTTTTCTGCCGGCTTTCTTGTGACTGTTGACAACAAAAGAAGCCACCTTTGAGCACCAAGAAATAAAAGAGCTTTTATATTTGACTTTTTCAGCTGATTTTTTTCTTATTATACCTTTTTATTGAAAAGTTCGAACCTTTTTTTTTTACTGCAATATTTCCCAAAATTATTTCCCCTTTTTTTGAATCATGGGCTTTTATGAAAACATCTGAAGAAGCTTGGGCCGAGCAAGGTCACGTGGAGATCGAGCCCTAAGCGGAGAAAGAGAGGACTGGGCTGTACTTTTGGCCCACTTGGTGGATGACCATTTCTGGCAGTGGGCCGGGTAGGCCCGAAGCCGAGGCCCGACGCCCGGCCAGATGGGTATAAGCTACAGTCCCCAGCCTCGGCTCTGCGGGGCCTACATACTGTCCCCCAGCTTTCATTACCCGAAGCCTTCTTGCTGTGGCTCGACAAGTCCACATAGAAAAGTCCCCGCTACGGTTCTTTGGACGACTAGGACTGTGCGGCAGAGATAATTGGGTTGAGAGAGAGAGAGAGGACTGGGTAGCTGGAGAATCTTCTGGACAGTGGAGGTGGAAGGGGAGGGGGAGGGGGAGGGGGAGGGCGAGGTTCCGAGGGGTGGCGCGGTCGAGGGGGAGGATCATGCAGGATAGGTAGAGGGAGGAAGAGGGAAGATGTTGATGAGTGCTGTTGGAGGAGGGAGCTTAAGAGGTGGAGGAGGCGGCGGAGGAGGGGAGGGCTTTGGGAGTGGGAAGGGCGGCGGCGGCGGCGGCGGCGGCGGCGGCAGCGTGGTGGAGGCGGAGCTGCGGTGGACGCTCGAGCTGGCGGAGAGGCTCGTGAGTGCCTGCAAAGATGCGGAGGTCTTCAAGGCGGAGTGCTCCGAGGTCGGGAAGCTCGCCGAGCGGCTTCTCCAGATGCTCCGCTCGACCCTCCGTCTCATCACTTCCTCTTCCTCCCCTTCCTCCTCCGCCGGCGCCGGCGCCGTGTCCTCCTCCAGATGCAACGGCGGTGCCGCTGTCGCAAGCGGCAGCGGCCACCTCTACGACCGTCCCATCCGCCGCATCGCCGCGGAGACCGCCAAGGCCCTGGACCGCGCCGTCGCCCTTATCCGCCGCTGCAAGCGGCGCTCCCGCATCCTCCGTCGCGTGGTCACCATCACCACTGGCGCCACGGACTTCCGCAAGTGCCTCGCCCTTCTCGAGGCCTCCGCTGGTGACGTGAAATGGCTGCTCTCCGTCTACTCCGCCGCCGCCGGCTCCGGCGGCATCGTCCTCAGCATGCCCCCGATCGCCAGCACCGACCCCATCCTCTCCTGGGTCTGGAGCTACGTCGCGGTCGTGCAGATGACCCCCGGCAAGGACGCCGCCGCCGTGGCGGACCGCGCCGAGGCTGCCGCGGCGCTGGCCAACCTCGCCCTCGACAACGAGCGGAACAAGAAGATCATCGTCGGGGAAGGCGGCGTGCCGCCGCTGCTCGCCCTCCTCAGAGACGGCGCCGCCGCCGTCGAGGCACAGATCGCCGCCGCTACCGCCCTCTTCAACCTCGCCGACGTGCAGGAACGGGTCCTGGTGATCGTGGCGGAGATGGGCGTCCCCCTCATCGTCCAGTCCCTCTCCCATGCTCCCATGGCTCTGCAGATCGGCCTCTCCTCCCTCGTCGCCCGCATGGCCGCAGAAGATCCGGTGGCGCAGGAGGAGTTCGCCAGAGAGAATTGCGTGCGCCCACTGGTCACCCTGGTCTCCACAGACATTCCCATCTGGGACAGCGACACCGACAGCATCATTCCCAACTGCAAAACCGGCACCGCCAGAATCCACGCCGCGGCCGCCGTCGCCATCCGCAGCTCCAACTTGCACCACGAGAACCATCATTGTCCCCGCCACTCCGAGAGCATCAACCAGCTCTCCTCGGCGAGGAAGGAGAAGGAGAACGAGAGCTCGGAGGTGAAGCTCCGTCTCAAGACCTCCTGCGTGGAGGCGCTCTGGAGGCTCTCCGCAGGGAGCATCTCCAACAGCCGCAAGATCACAGAGACGAAGGGGCTCCTCTGCCTGGCCGAGATGGTCAAGCGGGAGAAGGGCGAGCTCCAGATCAACTGCTTGAGGGCCATCGCAGAGGTCGCCGCTGTTGCAGAGTACGAACCAGACCTCCGGCTATCGGCGTTCAAGATGAACTCGTCCGCCGCGAAAGCTGTGGTGGATCAGCTCCTGCGGGTGATCCAGGAGGTGAACAACCACACCCTGCAGATCCTCGCCATCAAATCTCTCGGATGTCTAGCGAGGAATTTCCCTGCCAGGGAGTCCCGGATCACCTCCACCCTCGTTTTGCAGCTCAGTCACTGGAACTCTGATGTTGCCACAGAGACCTCCATTGCCCTGGGGAAGTTCGTCTGCCCTGACAATTTCCTCCACTCCGAGCACTCCAAGGCGATCATCGAGTTCGGCGGGGTGCCCCCACTGATCAGGATGCTGAGACTGAGCGAACGACCTCAGCTGAACGGACTAGTACTGCTCTGCTACCTGGCTCTGCATGCCGGCGACAGCGAGGTCCTGGAGCGTGAGAAGGTTCTTCCAACCCTAATCTCTGCGAGAAACAATGCTTCTTCCCAGCATCCTCTTCTAAGGGACCTGCTCCACGAGGCAATTCGCCACCTTGAGCTTTACCATGCCGTTTCCCATTCTCATGTCTGAGTTCCTTTCAAAAAAAAAAATGTCTTCCTTTCTTCAATCAACTGAGGAGAAGGTAAATATGGGCATCCAATCCAACTTGGTTGGAGGTTGGTAGAACTTGTATGTGTCTCGGCATCACATTTCTGAAGGATTATTATAGAAGGCATTCTTCAGAACCCACTGAAAGAGGAAATCTGCTACTATCACAGTATGTAATTTATTTATTTATTTATTATTTTTTTGACGGGTTTTTATTAATTTGGCATCGTTGTATGCTGCCTTCCCCTTTTTTTTTTTAGCTAATGTTCATGAAATTCCTTTTCCTTTCTTTGGTCACTGCTGCTCATGTCTGACCAATTTGATGCATCCGGCTCTTCTTCTTTTTTTCTTCCTCATAAATCAGAAAATGCAGCAATTCTCTCTTAATAATCCCCAAAATTACACAGCAAGCGACTTGTTTGCTTCATCTGTTCCTTGTAGCAGCCGAACCTCGATGACTGGTTCCATCTGAAACAAGTTCACTGAGCTTTTGAATGCAGAATTGACTCGTCCGCTCTTCCTCTCTTACATGGGGTCTGCAGAACTGACTGTTACGGATATTATTTCTGTACAGGGGGGGAACATTCCGAGTAAGTGAGCCTTCCTCTTCTTCCTCTACCGTGTTGACTCTACTCTCCAATGTGCCAGTCCACTTGTAGGGATATAAGATACTCTTCTATAGCATAATATAATATTGTATTACGTAATGTAACATCTTTCGATCTATAATATAATTTTGTGTTTAGACTTAGGCTTGTCTTTTCCATCACAAATATACCACGATATATTTAACTAAGGTAAAAATTCGTACTGTAAGAGATTATGATCTTATGTAGTCCGAGATTGTCAACGCTACCTGTTCAGAGCACTTTTGGATTTGCTCCTCCTTTGACTTTTAAAGTGCACTGACCCACTATTAGCGATTTCACTTGGAACCCACATGGGAAAGACCTTAAGAAAAATAAAAATTGCGGCACAAAACCATTTGATCCAGCACAATCTCTGGTGAAGAAGAGTTCTGGGTTTTATCGAAACGAACAGTCGCAAAAGAGATGTTGATCTTACCCGATCATCTTCCTCTCCATTTTCCTGATTGACTTCCTGAATATTCCGCAAGCCTCGATGACAGGGAGGAACGCTCGTTTTCCATCCATCCCCTAAGAACAGGAAAAAGATTACAAGTCATTTCTAGATGGACGACCTCATAAGAGGTCTTCAGTACCTTGAAAGTTGTGAGATTTTGTTGGTTTTTGAACAAGCTGACGTTTTCACTACAGCGGCGGGTCCCCACCTTTTGATCTCAGAGAATAATTGGGAAGATGAAGTCAGCTCAAGAAATGCCTCTGGAAACACCCACCCTTTCTTCGGTTGAGTAGTATAAATAATGGTGGGATTTTGAATTTTTTTCGGCTTTGCAGTATTAGATGGCAGGTTTTCTTAGGAGGGGGAGCAGGCTGCTGACTTAGGAGGTTCCTCGCGTGCGAAAAGAGAATGGGTTGTCAAGACTCACCGTTGGGAAACCGATGGACGGTTGAGATGGGGACACCTGTCACAGCTTGGCGAGGAGACCAGCCGCCTGGATGGGTTTCGGGGAACCGTTTTCCTTGAGGTCCGTCTCCGTGGTGCTGGGCGGCACGTCCACAGCCGGGGAGCAGTTGAAGAAACCGTGGGGCTGCGGCATGCCAGAGAGATTATTAAGTGCAAGTTCTATCTACGTCAAGAAATAGATGTTTTTCATTTTTTTTTATTGAAGAATTGTAGAGAGAGCTGACCCGGCCAAGGATCCACCTATCTGAGAAGATGTCCAAGATTTGAGGAGAGAGAGGGGATGGGGGGTGGAAGGATCCTTCTATGAATAGGAAGTTGTTCCTACTAGGCGGCATCTGTCGAGGTGGTGTTCTATGCTGAGTAGTAGTCTTTTATAGAAGCAATATCAAGGCTACCCAGGGAAGGATGCTAAAATATAAGATGTATGAATGTAATTAGATATCTAAATAGGAAGCAGTTCTTGGGACGTTGGGCTTCTGTGTTCTTGAGGAAGATTAACGGAAAAGCTTCAGTCTAGAATAATGGAGTTGACCCGGGAAAGCTTCGATGACTGATCTAACAAAGATGTATTGAGCATCTACGTGTTGCTGCAACGGTCATGTGGAGCTCAAATTCTCGATCTGCATACATGTGTTTAGGGTCGGGTGGTAACTTTGTTTCATTAATAGGTAGAAGGATGTGGTCGGTGCATCGGAAAAGTGCGGGGGGGGGGAGTTGGCGGGGGGGTTAGGGTGTAAGTTACCATAAGCATGAAACCAATGCGCTCAACAGGCATGACGGGCCAATCTTCTAAGCGGGGAATATGCGTCACTCCAAAGATGTACCTGAAATAGACAGATCGCATGAAGAGAGGATCAATGCCGGAGGAGCAAATTCTTTAAACTATGCAGGAGCATAATGGCGTGCAGTTCATTCAACTGATTTTTTTTAAAAAAATATTTATTGGAAATAATATAAAATGATTGACATTTAAGCGAGCGCGTGGGGATAGAAGATGTGGATGAAGGGATCTGAATAGAAGAAGGATTGATGCATCTTTGCAGAGAGGGAATGGCACGTAGTTCATTCAATCACTATCTTTAAATGGAAATAGTAGAGTAACATGTGAGGGGGCATGTGGGGATTTAGCATGCGAATTAGGGAATTTAAGTACAAGAACAAGAGAGAGAATAGAATGATTCGATGACCGATGAAACTTTGCAGAGATAGAATGGCATGTAATTCATTCGCTTAATATATTTAAATGGAAATAGTAGAGTAAAATATCAGTAAGCATGTGAAAAGGATATATAGCATGCGAATTAAAGGAATTTAAAGACAAGAAAAAACTAGAGGAAACAAAATCAGTTGGTGATCGATAGAAATAGCAGTGGGTCATTTGCTTGGCGTCTTCAATAAGAGGAGGGGGAGGGCGGTCACTGACCAGAGGACGACATCAGATTCCTCAAGAGGACGGTCCTGCTTGACCCACGTGGCCAAGCCCTCATGTACACGTGGATTCTGGTTAGGGAATTCTCCCCCAGGATACATCTCATCACGTTTGTAGGGTGTGACCCAGAGATTGTGCTTCAGAAATGCGGCCCTTCGCAAAAACTTGGCTTCGGGGCCAGCTAATGGTAAGCAATTCGAGCCAGGCATCAGCTTGTATCCGGTGAGCTGGCCAGTTCGATTGACCGTTCTTGTGTTCCTTATCTGAAGGCAGATTACAAAGCGAAAGAAAAAATAATTGATTTCAGATCCTATCCCAGTGCAAATCACACGGTGGTGCATGTTCAAAATCTCTGCACTGGCCAGATGGGATATATGGGGAAATTTTTTAAAAATAAATTCCGACAGGCAAATATTATGCAATAGTCACCATTTATAAATAATTAGCCAATTCTTTGAGGAGATTTTTCATCTAATAAAAAAATCGTAAAACGAATAATTATGTCTTGATAGATTGAACGCAGACTTCCCCCGTTACATTTTCCTGAACGGACTGATATATTCCCAGTTCTAATATTCCCTCCAGACCATTCATACTAATAAATCAGTTCCTATAATAAAACAAGAAATTCTGTAGGCGTTGGAAAAGAAGATGACGGTATTTGGAGAAAACAATTGAGGAAACTGATGGAGAGCATAGCAGTAGGTCGGGGTCCTTACGATCCAGTGGCGAGCAGTGGAAGGGTTACAGTCGCGCATTGCCTGCAGTTCAGATCTCAGAACCTTTTCTTCAGCATAGAATGCATTATTGTGAATATTTTTTTCCCCTGGATCTTCGACCCTAACATTCACCTCAACCACCTTAGAAGGAAGTGAGAAAAGAAACACAAAGATCACAGTAATTAGGTTACGAAAATGTGCAGACTCAAAAATAATCTGGGCGAAACTGACTGGTGAGCCGAGGGTTTGGGGGGGTGGGGGGCGTATAAACCAAATGACATAAAGATATTAATGACGGATAATTCAGTTCGATTATAGACGTGAACAGATGAGCACAGCTAATTGGATTACAAATAAAGACGCTATGCGAAGCAAGTCAAGGGCACAGCAGACTCACAAACATGCGGGCGAAGAATTGGAGGCATGCGCATGCATTGTAGGCGTGAAACCATGTGGCCGGCTTCGATTTTTTCATTATTAAACCAAATTTAATGCCACAGTGATATGTGTCGTCGCTAAACTTGCGATGATTTTGATCATCTAAACTATAGATTATACCAAAAAACGTACGTCGGGATGTGGGGGTATATGCATTGGGTTTTTCCCATTTATGAATTCTTCATATGCTTCCAGCAGATAAATCTAACGCCGTGACACCTTCTTGGGCGTTCCTTTCCATTTTTACGCAGAGCAAAAAGTTATTATGTATCATGGTTGATTAAACCAGGGAGATTCTTAGTCTCTGGCACCGTGGCTTTTACTTAGCTTGATAACTTCAACTATTCGTGATAATCATCTGTAGATTAACTGTGGATTAGCTTGATAGATATCATCAATGAGAAAAACAATCGTTCAGATTTCTATGGTTGCTTCTGAACATTGGTGAGCTAAAAGATTCTGAAGCCTGGTGTATTAAGTAAAGCAGAGAGCACCGGAAAATGCCAGAACGTACCTGATTAAAAGTCTCAGCAGGTTTACAGTCAACGGACAAGTCCATGCGAGCAACAAAAAAGTGCTGGTGGACCGGAGCATACAGCCCTGGAGCAATAGTTGTGCCATACTTTCTTGACTCCCCCTGTTGTAATGCTCCAAGGCTGAGGATTCCAGTGAGCTTAACCTCTGCTTCAATCTTGCCATCCTGCGTCCACAAAAGGCAATATCACGCAGCATTTAAAGAAAGAAATCGAATTGAATAGCTGAGAAAATATGTGAAACCGGTAAGTTAAAAGAAATCGCAGCATTTATTCAAGGAGGTTGAGCCGAAGGACACCTGTGGGCTCAAAGAGAAGGGGCAAAAAATATTGTTTGATGGGAAGAAACTACCTTTTAAGGGAGAGAGTGGATGATAAATGTGGTTAGAATGAAACTTCTGTCCCTTAAATTTTTAAAAAATATTATTGACAGGAAGGGCTCAAAGGCCTTTGTCATGCTCCATTTGTGCTATTAGTTGACAAAATCCTATGCATATCAACGAAGGGGGCAGGTGAGGAGAATTCAGATCGTCATTATCCTAGGAGACCTCATGTGCTGTCACATAATCACGGAAGGAAACTATGTTTCCTGAAATATTGGTGACGACGATAGGGAATTTCACCTTTCAAAATAATATCAACAACAGATCGATTTTAGTAAAAAAACTAAGCCGAACGAAAAACAAATCAGAAGAGTTTTTGAGGTTTTTTCAGAATATTCAAGGCACGAAATCCAATAGCTAACAGATTCTTCCCATTAATGGAGGACAACGGAGGGGAAGATTCAAGAAGAATTGGGGGGGAGGGGGTGAAAATGCACAAATAAAGTTCTCTTACATCTTTGCTTCGCTCAATAAATGCAGCCTGAGGAATCTTCACTGGTTAACTGGATGTTATTTCTAACAGTAATGGTCTTCCATATAGTTTTTTTTAATTAAATTCTTCTCTCAGAGGGAACCTTTCCAAAAGTAAATGATTGTGGGAGGAAAAACCATAAAAACTAAGAATGCGAAAAGAGCAACATTAACGACCGTCCCAACTTACCTGATAAAAATGCCAGAAGAATCCATACTCATAATTCGCCACAGTACATATGAATGACACTGTTAGCCGCCTAGACCTTCGTACTTCAGCTAACCCAGTCCTCCAATCCTGATGCTTCCACAAAATTCCATGGTCCTCTTCATGAAGACAAACACAATTCTCAATAGTCTCAACACCTCCAGTGAAATTTGTAAAATGAGCATCAAAGTACTTGATATACCCAAGACAGTCGCATCCCTGCAAGGAAGAATGGTATATAGATGATATGATCCGTCACCAAGACTAAACAGCAGACCTAGAAACAGTGCCATACTGACCCTCTTAAGCGAATGCGCATTTTTCCCAAGCCCATCTTCTCCAGCATCAAATGCATTCTTACGGTAATGGGGTTCATTAGGGTCACCATAGGGTACCACCATCTCCACAAAACTCAGCCTGTGGGCTACAGGTCTTCGGCCCCGATTACCATCGACATATGCTACAGAATAGATTATCAGACCCTCCCTAGGGGTAAAACCGATCCGGAAATTCCACTGTAATAGGTAAGATAATCAAGAAGAATTTCAGAGAAAATATAGGAAAAATAAAAAGCATAGAGAAAAATGGATTAAAAAAAATCATAATAAAAGAAATCAGAAAAAAACGAAGTCAGCCCCCTTGGCAGACTACCTTTTGCCATTCCACAAAGTTGCCATTTACACGAAAACTCGGGCCCTCAGGCTGAATAATGTGCAGAGGCTTCACATCACTACGATCAACACCACCTCGTGTTTGTCCACGTGTGTAATTCCTCAAGGGATCTGCAGGCGGTAAAGGAACCAATTTTCTATCCTCAAACTCGATTACAACCATATTCTGCATGTCTACAAGTACATGAATTCCCTCAACAGGACGCGCATAACCATTTTCCATTGGACAGTCACTCTCAGTCCTACAAAAGATGAGTGGCTTAGCCAGTCTGCGGCTAGGAGCATCAGCCTCACTGTGATAACCAACACACCTGACAAAGCAAAAGGCTCCTCAGTTGTAATCAGGCGCGTACGTAAATAAAATGCTAAAATATTCACACATCTTCACAGAATTAAACGCATTTAATTACCAGGGATCAACCATTACAAGATCCATATCATCAATTCCTCTCTTTTTCATTGCCTCTATAAATGGAGGAAAATCCTTTACCACAGCTTCACATTCAGCATACTCTGCTGCATCCTAGAAGAAACATAATAAATGACAGTAAGCTACAAAGGCAGATGAAATCCAGTAGAGGATAGGAGAGTGAACCATCTACACAACAGAAAATATGTGGCAAAAATAGTGGCGTGCTTCTTCCACCACTGAATCACACGGATGTAAGCCATCCACAAGAATAGTATCAAAGGCAAGCGAATTACGGAAAATATCAACGAAGTTGATCACGCAGAAAAATGCATTGACTATACATATGGATATACGAAAGTACAGAAACATCAAAAGTGAGACAAAAATCCATGTTCTCTGCATTCATTTTTCATAAAAACTTTCGGAGGAAAGGACATTTATTTTCTATTTTTCAGTCCAATTTTATGCCAAGACCTGTCTGGCCAGTGAATAAAGGTTAAGCATCTAGAGGTGGCATACTGGTCGAATGCCCCTTCAAACAGATGCATGTTCTAGAGTTACCTTCTCAGATCTTAACATATGAGAGCATTAATTCTGGCTACTAATTCAGTCTACTCTTTTACCTACCGCAATTTTTTTCAGCTCCATGCCTATTTCCGCCCCAACTGACCTGTACCTTCCATTAATTATCAGATATGATCAAAATTATGGTAAGAGCTGATTGAAGAGTACAAATGCCCATTTGCATTCTCAAATAGTGGCTTTTCATTTTCCAAAATGCATCTTTTAGTAAATAAGTCGACATAGAGGTTAATATATACGCATTTCATCTGACTTCTTCAGGGTTCCAATCTCTAGGGAACATCTAATCCATCGGGTATAAGAATTAGACCTATTTTATTCTTCTGGAGCTTGGTTAGATACGTCTCTTCATAGGGAATCCTCAATCTCACTTTCGGAGACTGTTTCTCCAAATATCTGAGCAGTATTCTTCTTCCCTCTGTCCTTACTTCATGATCTTCTGCTACAGAAATCCAATGTGAAAATCCATGGCTCAGTCTCTCAATGGAAAACATCTGATGCTTCAATGGAATGAGCTTATGCGCTAGGGGTGCATCCATCTACAAATATCTTAATCATAGATGTCCAGTCAACATCTTTCCAGATAGACATTATTCCCCCATGAGAAAATGGTGATAATTTGACATTTTAAGTAGTATTTATAATTTTTAAAGACTTCTCGAAGCATGTCAAAACACTAATCATCAGAACTAGTCCCAAGTGGCAACAGTTAAAACCAGATAAGATAGCGTCATCATTTCTCTTTGAGGCTAGTCATAGTAAGCACGAACACAAAAAGAACCTACAGAAAGTGGCATGGAGAGTACTAACCATAGGAGGTTGGACATCGGGAACAACCACTGACGAAACAACTTTGCCCCTGTGATGGCCACCTCTTGTTGTTGCATGCACTTCTGAAAGTTCAACTATCCAGACGCTAGTCTCATTTGATCGCTTGTTATAGACAACAAGCCTTGCCTGCCTTGGTGGAAGCTTGCTTGGAATTATAGGTCCCCCTTTCGTTTTGGACAAGAGAGATGGTTGAAAAGGAGGGAAAAAGTATGCATCAGCCAAAGCAACTACATGTTTATCTGGCTCCAACAAGACTACTTCAATAAAGCGCATGCTATCCCGAACCTGGAAAAGGGATAAAGTGAGCTCAACATGTAAAATACGTTAAAATGTAAAGTTTATTAGAGGATTAATGCACAACCTCAGGGGTGGCACCAGCAGCCCTGACAGTTGCCACAGCAACGGCAATTTCAGCAGCAGATAATGGATCTAATGGGTGGCTGCTTTGAGCTCTCGTCATCATCTGAATGGCTGTATTTGTAAGTAGTAAATCAGAGGAAATATATAAAGACCAAAAAACGAAACTGAAGGTGGGATTACCTTCACATTTAACATAAACATATTATTTTACCTATGAGTTCACAATAAAAGGAACCAATCTCTAAGGGACTTTTAACCTAGAAAATATCGAAGCATTCTTCCACATCAACCAAGGTGAAGTCTATGCTGAATTGAGCTTCCAAATTTAAACCACCAAAAGAAGCCCCCGTTGCCAGTCATATAGACTTCCCTTCATATTTTGCTATTTAGCACATATGTAGAAATTTTGCCGATCTGGGGTCAATCTATACAACACCGATAGTTGAAAAATCTAAAGAATATCTATTTTCCAACTGAAAATGTATCAAAAATTCCCATTAAGGACACTTTCCTCTAGGACGTATCTACAGACAGGGCTATAGGCCTAAACGTGGGCAAGACAGTCAATTCAGAATAGTTTCTGCACCCTTTCCTCTGCCAAGGATCACACCCCATGAACTATGCCTAAAAATATCCAAATAGAGAGAATAATCTTCACTCCCCTAATTCTCTAGAGAATTATCCCATTTTATTAAGTGGAGATATTCGCCTTTTTTTGTTGGTTGCATTCCTAAAACCCTTCCGATTTTCTTTATCCTTCTCACCATAGAATATTGAAAAAAGTACACTGAATCGTAACATAAGTTTTGACAAATGAATCTGGAACAATAATACCTTAGATGCAATGGATTTTAATTCCTACTAAAATAGAACATCGTGTATTGAAGGTGAGAACATCAATGTATATGTCCAAGGTCATTCCCAATGAAGCTCCCTCTTATCGCACTGAACTCGGGATCTGACTGCTTACCAAGAAGGTTATAACCTTAAAGGTTCTCCACTGATGACCATCATATGGGGCTCGATAAAAACAGTCATAATCAAGTTTTCCCACTTTCGTTTCAAAGTGAAGATTGAGAGCCTCAATTCCTTTTCCCACCATTCACCTTTAAGAAGCTACAAAGCAGTTTAGTTTGAATCTGTCATCTAGGAAGGCCTCCTAACTATTTGCCACTAGTTGAGACAACTTAATCCCATATTTTGTAGCTTTCTATTAACTATAACAAAAGAGTTTGACCACCACCTTCAAGAATATGAAATTAAGATTGGATGTCATTAGCTGTCTGCATATTAGTCTACGTCCCCTAATTATACATACTTAACATTTATTGCATAAAAAAATCTTATCGACAGCCATGTCTTATCCCTCATGCATGATATTCTTCTTCTATGATCTGACTTTTCTTTATACACCTATTCATTTAACAATGTTATGGCGATGAGACGCCCATCATAAGGACAAGAATGCATCATCCCGAATTGTGATTCAGTTGTCGTAAATGCGCCTTTCTCTTCTCCGTCAGAGAAAGCCATAATCTCTTCAGCATCCACGAAGCTTCACCATCCATATCATCATAACAATCAAGTTTCCCAATGAATTTTTCTTTTCATCCATATCATCATAGAAAATTAGGATCAACAAGATGAAGATGAAAAAAAGGACGACAAAAAGTCATCATCCATCCGCCAACGAGCCGCAGAAAACTAACGACAGAAACACACAAAAGTGGAAAAACAGAGATAACAAGAGGAAAGCAGCACGCACATCCTTCCCAGGCACGTTACCTTTCGCCGGAGGCTTAGCAGGCGGTGGCTCCTGGAGATCATCGACGGGGTCGATGATCGCCGTCACCGCCGACGACGCTGATCTTCCATTCTCCACGCTCCATTCCCGCACGACACCGGCGACGTCCTTGCCAAGACCGACGGTCTTGACGACAGCGGCCGAGGGAGACGAGCAGCAGGGTGCGGGCGTCGCTTTTTCCGCAGCTGTGGCCATTGCAGTGGGTTGGCAAGCTCACCAAATCCGCCGTAGTATCTGCTGTCGCTTCCACAATCTGACATACAGCAGACTATCTCGATCTCCCCTCTGCAAACGAAGGACGCGGCCGCCCGCCCCTTCCTCCCTCCCTCCCTCCCTTCCTCCCCGCCTGCTCCCCCCGCCACCACCAACCTCCAACCTGGTTCCTCTGCCCCCTCTTCTCTTCTTGCGACCACCTTCTCTGCCGGTGCACCCGCCAGCGTTATTTAAATAGAAACCAATCTGGCACTAACCGCATGATTAATTACCGCGCTAACTACCTTATCATCTCCATCTGCGACACTTCTGAGCCGTCCGATTCGGGATTTATGCGGTATTAGCCGCTGGGCCCCGCAGAAGGTACGAGAAGGACGTATTCACGTGTTCTCCCTGCCCCATAGAATCATCTTGCACGCCTAACGACAGAGAGCCTTTTTGCAACTGAACCAAGAAAAGTTTTATTTCTTGGGTTTCAACCTCACGTGATGGTGTATTGTGTGTCCAGTCGGGGAACGATTGGTTCCCCATGAGAATCTGCCATGTCTCATCGAGGATCCCACAAAATTTCTTCTGGTTCTTTCACTTAGAGAAGTAGTCTTCATTAGCTCTATGAAAATGACAAAAAACCTCCAATCCCTCTAGATTATCGCCATCACCATTGCCACCAAGGTCCCATGAGAATCTTCCAAGTCTCATCAAGGATCCCACGAAAGTTTTGTTTCTTTCACTTTGGGAAGTAGCTTTCATTTGCTCTTTGAAAATGATCTCAACACTCCAATCACTCTTAGATTATCAACATCATCATTGCAACTAAGGTCCCACACATAAAGGTAAAATCAATGGCATAACTCAAGGTCTGTCATTATTTATAATGATTTGATTATGAATAATATAGTTTTTATCAATCCTCTTAAAAGTTGTCTCCAAAGTCCCATTCCGTCCTCTAAGAATTGATAATTAACATGGAATAGGAGCAAGAGGGGGATGGCATCTCTAAGGTCTTATTTTAGACATCATAAGGATAAGATATAGATTTTATGATGTTTTTATTTTTCAAAAAATAATTTAAATGGCTGATCGAGTATTAAATTCCACATTTAAGTCATCACAAGCACAATTCAACCACCATTTATTTAAGCACTTACAATTCCCTTTTGCTAATTAGCACAAATAGCTCTGTTTCTTGAATGACAAATGTGGGTTGATTCAAAGAATTATTATAAACTCCATGTATATCATAGTATGTATCTATTGAAATCCATTGAAAGTCATGATAATTATCTACCTTTCTAAAGTTAAAGCACTATCTTTTTATATTTTAGACCGAATTCCTCTCTTAACATAGGTCTATGTCATTATCCAATTTGCCCCACAATCATGTGATAGTACTTGTAGCACTCATTGGCTTCTTCCTCAATGAATGGCAGGTCATCTTCATATATAGCAAGACATTGTTTATATCAACTGTCTCTAGTGCTTTTCTGAATTTTTATTCTATAAATGATATCTTAATCTACACAAGGAAAAGGTTCTTTAAATTTTCTTTGATATGTTCAACCTAATTTTGATTTTATTGTATCATCATGTTCATGAATCTTTATAAGATAGTTTTCTTGAATTTTCAACTAACATTAGTTCTCATGTCTTTTATCAAACATATTGAGCAGATTTATTTTCCTTTCTTTACTTGGATACGACTCTACCATTCGGTACTCAGCCTCAATGGAAGTGGAAATAAGCACTTCCTATGTAATATATACGGCATTTCGTTCTATATTTCTTTTCTTCTATGATCTTGCTTTTATATGCTACTGGTGGATATCATATCTTACAATCTAGAAACCTTGTCATGAAAGATTTATCTCAATGATAAATGTCACAATCCACCTCTTATTTAGCCAATATTTTGCATACGATTATAGTGTCTTAATAATACGCTTGCTTAGGTATAATTGATTATATGGTTAAATCATTCCTCTTGAAGCATGATTATGTATTATATAGAGAAATATTAATATAAGAGAAAAGATATATATCTGCATTTCAATTGATGATTTCTAAGGTACAACTTCAGGTTATGAGAAGAAAATACAGAAAATATTAAAATTAATTTTTGTATAAATTATTTAATTGGAGGATATGCTATTAATAAATTAATTTATGATATTGTGGAGTAAAAACTAATTATAGTCAAGTAGAGTATTGTTGAGGTTTTCTTTCTCATAGAATATTCAACATTCTCTCTATGTTACAATTATATTGAAGTCTCCCTATGTGCCACTCATCCTATTGAAATATTAATATGACTAAAATTTAGTATTAAAAGAGTGGTTGGCCACTGCAAATGAATTCTATCACTTGATAATAAATCACAAGGTGTGTTCATGAATATATCTTTCATAGATTTGATTTCACTCAATGAATTTGTCTATAATCTCTATAATCAACAACAAAATACTTGGCTTCATATTAATTATAAAATAACATCATATGTGGATGTGCTTGGACATTGAGGTCAGGGTTATTAGCCAAAGATGGTCCCTTTCAGTAGTTCTCTAATGAATCAATCAGCAGTTTCATGTCTTATATAGCAAATACTTGAAACTTTACTCATTCACTAACAATGTCAGAGCAGGCAAGAATTTTATCTAATAAGAGGGATAGACAACCAAAAAAAAAGTGAGAAAAAGGAGGAATAATTATCTTGTTAGAAGAAAAATGTATTATCAATTATTTGATAAAATCTGCTTAACTTTGAAGACTATTGTGACTAAAGTGGATATATTGTTATTTTGATGAATAACTATATAGTCCTATATCAGCTTGCCACCTCATAAAAAACTTGAGAATACTAAATGAGTTTTCTTATTCATACCAAAAACATTCAATAAGCAAGTTTCAACATGATATGGTTCAATACTCTAGGTTTGGATAAATATGTAGTTAGAAGGCCGTTGTCTCTAATCTCATTATGTTGTCCATAGAAAATGTATCCAATAACTTCTACATCTTCTCCAAATGAAAACAAGAATCAAGAGAGACCCATCCATCCAATGCTAGCTAACTTCAAAAGTGATTAGTCAACTTAATGATTGTAAAGGTTGTCAACTTAATGATGGTGAAGGTTGTCAACTTAGTGATAGTGGAGGTAGTCAACTTAATGATAGTGAAGGTTGTCAATTTAATGACAGTGAAGGTAGTCAACATAATGACGGTGAAGGTGGTCAATTGAATGGACAAAGTAGTCAACTGAATGATGATGAATGTAGTCAACTGAATGGTGGTGAAGGTAGACTACTTAATGGTGGTGAAGGCAGTCAACTGAATGATGATGAAGGTAGTCAACTGAATGATGATGAAGGTAGTCAACTTAATTAGTGGGCCTACCAACGTCTGATGGCTCAGAGCTCCCCATCAATAGTGAGCCACCATATTAAGACGATGAGCAGTCCTTCAAACAGATCACATACACCAGACGAGGACCACTCGCGTATAATTCAGGCAAGCTAGAGCTCCCCGCAAGAGCCCAATCTTTCTGGGGTTTCCCTGAGAAAAACAGTTCACTGGAGCATCTACCTAGCCGCCAGCGGCGCACACCCTCCTCTCCATATTATAAGCAGGAGGGACGTCGGATCCACGGCGGAGCCACCCAGACGGGCGATTCCCCGGTGCGGCGGGGCCCCCGCTCGCCGACGGCGAGGAAGAAGACGACGACGACGAGTGTTCGGTGTGCTCCGGTGGGTCACAAGTGGCCCCCCCCGTGACAAGGAGAGGCGTGGATCTGTACGTCTGCGCATCAGATAAGGGCGTCGGCGGCTGGGCTGGGCTGGGCTGGCAGTTATGCTGGGGTGATAAGGAGGGACGATGACGGCGATAGGTCACCGGCGGGGAGCACCCGACGCAACGGGCCACCGGAGGGCGTCCCCACCGGCGCCGTAGACGACGAAGGTAGGGGGGAGGGGTCCCCAGGGACGGAGATGGCCTCTGGCACGTCACTCGCCCCGCCTAACTCTCCCGCCGACAGGAGACTGAATGGTTTTTTTTTGGCCTCGGATTAAGATGGTTTCCGGTGCATTGTGCCAGAGACGGGGGGGAGAACTACCGGTGGGGTCGTTGACGCTTCAGAAAGAGTCTTTCTACTGCTCATTCTTCCCTCTCTCTCATCGCCTTCTCGTAGGAAGGCGTCACTCCCGCAGTACCCTGGCTCAGTAAATTCTGCAGGGTCACATCAAGACTGTTTCTTGCGTTGATGATCTCTCATTTCTTTCTCTCTCGCTCTCCCTCCCTCCCTACATCTCTCGCTCTCTCCTTCCATCTCTCCCTCTCCCCCTTTCTCTCCCTCTCTCTTTCAGTCCCCCCCTCTTCTTGTCTCTTTCTCCCTCCCTCCCCTCTCTCTTTTTCTCCTCCTTCTCCATCCTACCCTTTTCATCGCCCTCTCTCTCTCTATCTCTCTCTCTCTCCCTCCATGTTCATAATCTTTCTTGCACAAGAGAGACACAAACACCCATTGGGCTAAATGAAACGAGAAGGCGCCATTTTTTCTCGCACTAAATAGTCTGGAATCCTGCGGGGCAGAGATTTCCGTTCGACCAGTTCATACATCCCCTGCTGGTTCTCAACCTACTACAAAAAGGTAAAATTACCCTTAGAGCGAGAGAGAGAGAGAGAGAGAGAGAGAGCGCAGTTCATATGACGAAAAGCACCTAATTCCGGCCCACATGACAAAAAGTCCCATTCTTCTCGGCCCATTCTCTAAACCCAGTTAGAGTTAAAGCCCAAGCTGAGGAAAACGCGGTGGGATGAGGGGGAGTTCGATCGGAGGTCGGAGGCGGCGGCGGCGCCGCCGTGGCGCCCTCATCCGAGGCCAGGCAAGCCACAGAGATCGCCGCCCCCTCCTTCCCGTTCACGGTGGAGCTGGAATCTGGAAGAAGATCTGTGCATGCATGCACGCACTTTCCTCGCCTCTTCCGTCGGTGAGTTCTCGATAAAATGCTCAACCAATCCTCCGTTTCTACCCAATTTCTATGCCTAGCTGTCACAATTGAGACCACGAAAATTTCGTGGATTACACTTTTGCCTCTCAAATACAATAATTGTTTCAGATACCTAAAACTGTAGTCACTGACAAGATCAGCCCATTTTTCGCAAGCTAGTGAGCCATCAAGCTCCACAATTCACGGAAAATATAAGACAGAAAAGACCAATCGACCATCTAAAAGATAATAAATCTTAAAAATCTGGATATTATGTTAGCAATTAGGCGGCAAAAATGTTTATAAATGATTATATCTTATAAGGGGAGAGGAAGTTTGAATGATCTTACCAGAAAGGGGTTGACTGCATTGCAGGAGTTCAATTGGGGGTGTTGATCCTCATTACAGGGGTTTTTTCACAGAGACATCATCAAGATCCGTTAGCCATTGTTAAAGATCTTCGTCAGTTTCAAAGTGAAAGGGCGAATAAACTGCTAAGAATTAGATACTGACAATCACAAAGTCAGGGTTACCTTGCGAAGATTGAGGAAGAACACCAAGGATCGAATAGCCCTATAATTCTGAACGGATCAACATAGCATGAAGCGTTGATTATAGACAATTATAGTCTTTTAACCTTAATATCCAAGAAATAATCTTGTACTGGGATCAAAATGAGGAGCCATTTCTCAAGATGGAGGAAGAATGGCGCCCAGGATTGGATGGTCATAATAATCAACACAAGGGGCCATTAATGTTCAAGAAAGCAATGTATCAACACTAGCAATAGAGCAAGCTGATACAGGATGAAGGATTCTTATTCAACCATCACAATTATTTAATTGACTTGTCTAATAAACAATACCGCAATGGGATAAAAAGATGGGTCTTTTTGAGGATTAAAAAAGAGCACCAAGAGATGATTACCCATATTAATCCATAGGATGCCCTGTGATGATATATAGGAAATAAAAAGTAAACACAAGGAACATGGCGAGGTCGATTCTTGGAATATAAGAAAATTTGAATTGTCACATGTAATACAAAATCCTGTGATGGAGAAAAAAAAAAGAAGGGGCATCTCCTGACGATTGAAGAATAAGAACACCCAGGATTACAAAACATCATTATTCGATAGCATGGTCTGTGTTATGATTCAGCAAAAAATATATAAACAACAGCAAGATACATATAGCAGGAGGCAATCTTCTTCGATCATCAAAATTTTATAATGTTCCTACATAATAACTAATCCCCTATTCGGTTAAATCAAACGGCAATATCTCACAACTGAATAACATCAAGAAGTGAGTAGCCATATCATTTGACAGAACGAGCTATTGTAATTCAGGTATCAATAGATAAACACCAGGAGAGATGGCAAGATTGATGTGGTATGAAGCAATCTTCTTCGGCCATCAGAATCATTTAATTGTCTTATCAAATAAATAATTCTGTAATGGGACAATGACAGGGGGCAACTTCTGAAGATTGGACAAGAAGGACAGCCAGGAACGTATCGTAACATGACTATGGCATGAAGCATTCTTCTTTGATATTCGAGATTTCCTAATTTTCTTACATAAAAAGTAATCCTGTAATTGGATGATAACAAGGGACAATTTCTAAGGATCGAAGAAGAAGGCATAGCACCAATAAGCATATCAATCAACAGCACCGTCCACTATGATTCAGGATGGAATAGACAAACAGTAGAAAAAATGACAGGATTGATATAGCATGAGGCATTGTTCTCAAACTATCGGAATTATTTAATTTTCCTATTGTCATCCTGCAATAATGGGACAAGGACAAAAGACAATAACTCATGATCGAAGATGAACACCTAGAACTGAGTACCCGTATCAGTCAACAGACGGGTCCATCATGATTCATGAAACATCATATAACCACTAGTAACGTGGCAATATTGACGTACAATGAAGCCGTCATCTGGATTCATCAGAATTATCTAATTGTCCAATCTAGTGGGCCAATTATCATTATTTCTTCATTTGTTCTCAAATACCCGTGGCATAGAAAGGCATGACTAACGGTAAGATGTTGACCAGCATGAACAAAGTCAGTCTGCCAGAAAAGAAAAATGTGCAGCTTTTGAAGATTGAAGGAGAATATATAGAGTCAGAAAGCAATCTAATCGACAAAAAGGTCTACCATGGTTCAGAAAAACAATGTATAAACACTAGCAAGATGGGTAGGTTGATGTGGCATCATGCAATAAGCGTTGCATGGCAGGAGATCAGAGCTTGCATGATTTCTTTCTAATCGGAGAGATGACACCGAAAGAATCGAGAGACGAGAGAAGGGAACCCAACGGAATCACTCGATGATAGATTGAATGACTCCAGCACCGACGGTCTTGCCGCCCTCCCGGATGGCGAATCTCATCCCCTGCTCGCAGGCGATGGGCATGATGAGCTCCACCACCATCTTGATGCGGTCCCCGGGCATGACCATCTTCGATTCCTCGTTCTTGTCGTCCATGATTTTGGTCACCTTCCCCGTCACGTCGGTGGTCCGCATGTAGAACTGGGGGCGGTACCCTGCGAAGAAGGGCGAGTGCCTTCCGCCCTCCTCCTTCTTGAGTACGTACACGATCGCCTCAAACTTGGTGTGGGGGGTGATGGACCCGGGCTTGGCGAGGACCATACCTCTCTGAATGTCGACCTTCTGGATTCCTCTGAGGAGGATGCCGACGTTGTCTCCGGCGAGGGCCTCGTCGAGGATCTTCTGAAACATCTCCACCCCGGTGACCGTGGTGTTGCGGGTCTCCCGCAGGCCGACGAGGTCGACGGTGTCGCCCACCTTCACCTTCCCCCTCTCCACCCTCCCGGTGGCGACGGTGCCACGGCCGGTGATGGAGAAGACGTCCTCCACGGCGAGCAGGAAGGGGAGCTCCGTCTGCCGCTGCGGGATGGGGATGTAGTTGTCGACGGCGTCCATGAGGGCGAAGATCTTGTCGACCCACTTGTTCTCCCCTCGCTTGATGGCCGGGTTCTCGATGAGGGCCTGCAGGGCTTCCAGAGCGGAGCCGGCGACGACGGGGACGTCGTCGCCGGGGAACTCGTAGGAGGTGAGCAAGTCGCGGACTTCCAGCTCCACAAGGTCCAGGAGCTCCAGGTCGTCCACCTGGTCCTCCTTGTTGAGGAAGACGACCACGTTGGGCACTCCCACCTGCTTTGCCAGCAGGATGTGCTCCTTGGTCTGCGGCATGGGCCCGTCAGCGCCGGAGACGACGAGGATGGCGCCGTCCATCTGGGCGGCGCCGGTGATCATGTTCTTGACGTAGTCGGCGTGGCCGGGGCAGTCTACGTGGGCGTAGTGGCGGTTCGCGGTCTCGTACTCGACGGTGGCGGTGTTGATGGTAATGCCGCGGGCGCGCTCCTCCGGGGCGGCGTCGATCTCGTCGTACTTCTTGGGGGCGCTGCCGCCGACAGAGGCGAGCGCCATGGTGAGAGCGGCCGTGAGGGTGGTCTTGCCATGGTCGACGTGCCCGATGGTGCCGATGTTGACGTGGGGTTTCTTCCTCTCGAACTTCCCCCTCGCCGCCTTCACCACCGTCAACCCCCTCCGGCGGTGGATGCTCGGCGGAGCGAGCAAGCTCTTCTCTCCACCGGCGGCCGCATTCGACAGAGGAGAGGGGGAGAGGGAAGAGGAAGAGGAAAGCAGAGAGGAATGGCGCGCCTTCACTGGCCTCAGTGCCACAGCTCCCGCCGCTGCAGATCTATGGCTGGCTGAGCACGTCGACGATGGACAAGCGGGGAAGAGAGGCTTGGAGACCGCTGAGGCGGAAATCGCCATGGCTTCCCCTGCTGTGGCGGCGGCGGCGGCAGTGGCGGAAGCCTAGGGGGAGAGAGAGAGAACGAGAGAGACAAGAAATTGGGGGAGGAGATAGGACGGTTATGATGTTCTCCGATCTTCTTATCCTACCCCTGAGAACGAAAGCCGGCCTCCCAATATTTCTGATTTATTTATTCATCTCCCTTCTTAAAACCCATTTTAAAAATACGCATAATTACCGCTACGAGGTTTCTCGTGCCGCCACGTATCACCGCTACGTGGCATCGTTCACATGTGGCCAAGGCGGGCCCGAAAGGATTTCGGATCGGCGAAGGCAGACGACCAAGATGAGTCCACGTCGCCCCTACCGGCTTGTGGTCGCCGTTGGGATTCACTCTGTGGTGGTCGAAGGTTCTGGAATGCCGGAATATGCCCTACAGCTTCGGGCCTCATAATATGTCTCGGGCCGAGCCGTGAAGTTACGCTTCGGGCCGGGCTTTCTAAAGCCCGAGCTCAATCTATCCACCAACGGACACGTGCCTTGCTTGGGGCATGGGATGATGCGAATAGTCGCATAAATAATCTCACCATAATTTTTCTCCTAATTAGATGTTTACGCTTCAATATATTTTTTTTGCATTTTTACTCCCCATCGGTCGCATTTTTGTTTTCTAACCGTACACAATTACAATATTACTATGATATCCTTCTCATCTCTCTCTCTCCCTCCCTTCGTGGTCATCATCTTCTTCTTCTTCTTCTTCTTGGTGAACAGAGATGGAACGGCTGATGGAGGATGTAATGGGGATACATTAGCCCTTCATGCTGGCAAGCAGCAGGCTTCACTGGAGAAGATGTACGCAAGACGCCATGAGAAGCGGCGGTGACGGCCCTGGTTGAGCCACCACCCTTCAAGCTCAGGAAGATGATTTACAGAAGCAGGACAGCAGCACACCACAGAGGATCCTTCCTCTCTCCCTCTATCTCTATCTCTCTATCTCCATCTCTCCCAGAGAAAAATCTGAGCCTTCCAAGCTTCTACTTGGGGGGAAGAGGACTGAGAATTGGCTAGGAATGAGGGCGAAGATTCGGCTCCACCTCGTCACGGATCTCGCATCCTTGGAGATTCAGCCCACGGATGCCCAACGTTACGCCGCGGAGCTCCGCAGGGAATTCCTTCAGCACGTCCGCCACGGCCCGCTTGTGCTTCTTCTTCAGCTCCTCGATCTCCTTCTCCTGCTCGAGCAGCAGATCTTCCAGCCTCCTCCTGAGAACCTTCGCATTATCTGGTTCATTCTTCGATGGACGTGAGCTATCTCCCTCGCCGGCATTGTTCAGAGGACCGCTGCCGTTTGCAAGCCGGGGAGAAACCTCCTCCGTGTTGGGGGAGCCGGAAGGGGAAGAAGATTCCTGCCGATTGGCGATCTCCCGATGATTCATCTCGAAGGAGTCCGACCGGTCCTGCCTGCCGCCGTGGCTTCTCGGAGAGTCCGACCAGTACTTCCGGCCGGAAGGGAGCCGTTCCAGGACGAGATGCCCTACGTGGTGATCGGCCTCCGCTGCCGGCGCCGGCGGCGGTAGCTCGGCCACTCCGTCATCGCTACCGGCCTCGGAGTCGTCGAGCGCCGCCGGGGAATTGCTGCAGCTCTCCCCCTCGACCTCTCCCGGCACCCACTCTGGCACATGGGACTGAATCTCGGCGTCGATCATGGCGGCAATGGCGGTGACATCCTGGTGCGTCAGGTCCAGCTCCTCCACCATCTCGCTGGCAACGCTGATCGAGGTGTCGGCCTCGATGTCGAAGGGGAAGTGGATGTTCCTCGGATGACCTGCCAGAAAGGAGAGAAAACCGTCATCGCCATTGAAGAACCAGGGCCGATTCGGCGGAGAAGAGCCACAAACCAGTGGAGTCGCTGATGCGGAGCTTCAGGAAGATGGTGTTGATGTCCTTCCTCTGGCCCTGGACCATGAAATCCCGAACGGAGCTTCCTGGTTCCCGGCAGTGGTCATCTGCGGAGGGACCTCTCGAGTTCCATAAGAACATCCAACGATAAAGAAGAAGGAGCGATCCAGTTATGGTTTGATCTGTACCAATGAGATCGGAGTCGAGCTCGAACTCCCCCGTCGCCCTCTCATCTTCCCCATCGGATCGAAGGAAAGGGTCACTGAGGAGATCTCCGGCGGGGAGCCTCTCTGATGCGCTGGCGATGCACTTCTCTATGAACCTCCTCACCTCGGGGATTTCCACCTTCCCCAGCGATGCCGGCTTGATACCCTGAAAGAAACAAAAGGAAGATGAGATCATGAAGAACCTCTTCTCCCGGGCTGCAACTCCAAAACCCTAATGGTACAATCCATGTCGTGATCCGGGCAATGTCGGCGGCATTTCCGGGGATTAGAGGCAGAGACTGTGAACAACCAGAGGAGAGCACCATCGAAGATAGCCCTAGCATGATTTCTACTCAGAACTCTGGTCGGGATGAAACAGACTGAGATTTCGTCACAAATGCGGTAATATTGTTGGCATCCCCACGGTACCCTTATGGTTTGTGGACCGATGAAATGAGCTAGAATTCGCTGATCCGTACGGTTCAGGAAGCAATCTGATGATCATCTTCTGAAGGTTTTTCAGCGATGGATCTTCATATCCCTGACAAGTATGCCATCGTGATTCCTAAGCGATTCACATCAAACACTGAGCAAGGTGGAAACATTGAGTAAGAATTGCATACAACTCCTTCAATTATAGTTTTAGTCATCGGATATCTGAAAAATAATCTACAGCATACTCTTGATTTCTATAAAGACTACCCGATTAATAAAAGATAATCAAAGAACTGCCCGATCAACGAAAACTCCAGGCAACTGAATCTTATGAAATTCAGGACTGTAATGAACTGAGGAATCCCAAGGATTTGTGACCTGCCCATATATTTCCTTTTGTTATCTTTAGCATGATCTTGGGTGTATCTCGCCGTACAGAAATCAAGATAGAGGCGCCAAAAGGACCACCATCTCCTCAGATGATGCATTCAATTCACCAAAAAAAAATGACCTTTGACGGCTTTGCACGACAGTCAAATTTCCAGATTTTGGGAAGAGACATTACTGAAGATCTGTACCCATTCCTAATTTGTACCCAGATATATGCTCTAATTGACCATAGGAGAAGCCATGTAGTCACAGCTATCGAGTTTCAGGAGATGATGAGCTACTGAGCAGAACAACGCCAACAATGGAGAAAACCCAAACGGAACATACGGCAGTCACTTTCTTGTATATCTGAGCTGCATTGGTGCATTCCATGTAAGGATACTCGAGCGTCACCAGCTCCAACAAGCACATGCCGAAGGCGTAGATATCAACGAGCTCGTTGTAGTCTTCCTCGTAGAGCTCTGGAGCCATGAACTCTGGCGTGCCTGCAAGTTAATGGCTAGAAGCCTGAGGTCCGCTAGTGTTTTCCGTCTTTATGAACTGGATGGAGTCTAATCTGAGGCCAAAGATTGAGGAGCGTACGCACCAATCACGCTGTGAGCTGAGTGGGCATGGCGGAGGATGGCGGCTAACCCTAGGTCGCCGATTTTCACCTCGCCTTGATTGCCATTGACGAAGATATTGTCGCACTTCAGATCTCTGTGGATGACGGGCGGATCGTGGCTATGGAGGTAGTGAAGGCCGTATAGGATCTGCCTCGACCAGTTCTTCAGCGCCCTCAGATCAACGTGCTTGTGTTTCTTCCGGTACCTGGAAGAAGGATCCAGAATCCCAATGCCGAGGGATTCGACGTCAATCAAACGGATCACCATGATAATACAGATTCTGCAGAAAAGGGAGATGAAAGCGTGAAAGCGGAGAGAACAGAGGAGGAAGAAGGACGGGGGGTTGAGTTGGTGCATTACTGGCGCAAGGTGCCGGAGGTGAAGATCTCTGTGATGAAATTGATGTTCCCTCGCTTGGTGTCGACCCAGGAGTTGTAGAACTTGATGATGTTCTTGTGTTTGAGGGTCTTGAGCAGGTGGACCTCAGAATAGAGGCGCTCCAAGTCTTCTGAGTTGTGGAGGAGATCGGAGACTTTCACCTGGTTCCAAGCAACTTCTATTCCTTCCAATTCATCAAATCCCCTGTATCTGAGACAGTCCAAATTCCATCAAGGGATCCAAAACTATGAACGAACATCAATGGAAGAAAAGTAAACGACAACAATGGATCAAGCGAAATCGATTTCATCGCATCATTCATCAGCAATTCACAGCCTGCAAGGATACACCGTCTTGAAAGCGCCCTTGCCGAGGACCTCCCGATACTGCAGGAAAAAGCAGCCGTAACATTAGGAAAAAAATTCAGCAAAATCAAGGAGGAGAGGCCTCCTCCAATCACTCACACAGAGGAACGATTTAACGAATGTAAGCGATCAAATCACGCGCCGCTCCGCAGAAGAATCCCAGCAATCAAAAACTCGGAAAAACCCACGCGACGGCGATTCAAACGTGGACGGATGTGCTCGTCCTGCACAAGAGCACAACAGTAGCAGAGGCCAATGTTCGGAGACAGACCCGCCCGTAGCGCCCCGATGGGTCAACCTCCACGAACTCGGCGTCGGAATCGTCCAGCTCCTGATCCGGCGAAGTCTTCCCCCCCATTCCTCCTCTCCACCAATCAGCTCCTGCTCCGGAATCAAAAACCAGAGTTAGCAGAGGGGGAACACCCCGCCGGCGAGATCAGGCAGGAACGGGGAAGAAGAGGAGGGCATGGGGCGAAGGGGCTTCGATGCCGAGAAGACAGTTCGGTAAGCTCACCAGAGACGAAGGCGGCCGCTGAAGGGGAAGAGACACCGTGGACGTGGAAAACGGCCTCGGTGGGCCCCAAGCCCAGCCCAGGCTGACAGACAAAAACTTGGACCATTTTCTTCGTCAATTATTAAGAATTATTTTAATGGAATAATAATATCTTTGTGGTTAAAATCCACGTGCTCTTAATTTTTTTTTAAAAAATGGAATAATAAGTATTAAAAAATCAATATTTAGAATGAAAATGAGAGGAAAGAAAATAGAATAAAACTTTAGCTAAATTATTTCTACATGTTACTAAGAAAATAAAAAGTAGATATGATACCCATAAAAAAATAAAGAAATGATGAAAATGGTTCAATTACATTTTTAAAAATAAACTAAAAAAGTAAATCTCCTTTTGAAAAGCATCTAATTATTCTTTCATCACATCCAAAGTGGGACCCAAATTGAGGCATGCTCTTGACAAATGACTTGTCATCAAATAAAATGTGGATGGATTCAGGTGACTTCTTGATATTTTCCTAAGCAAATATTTACGGGTGATGCGTATTTAAATTATAAAATATTCAATATATATAGTCTAAAATATTTTTTTATTTCTTAGAATAAAATTTCATACTCTCGATTTTCTTTTCATGATATTTATCAATGCTTTTAAAACATCTCATTTATAAATCAATAAAAAAATGAAATTAATATAACATGTAAGAATATATATTAATATGAATTTTCTATTAAGATATTTATCTCTATTAAATAAAGTAAGATTAAGAATTGAATTTTAAAATTAATTGAAGTATAATATATCAAATATTAAGTTCAAATTAGGTTATACCAAAAAAAATTATCATAATTTGTAGTATAGACCTTGATGATACAACCTTGAAAACTATTATCTAGCCCATTATTAGTGAAGAAAGATGAAGAAAAGTTCTTGGCCACTAACAATGAGACCACCAAGCAACTCAAATTTCTGCTCTATCAATTGCACTTGGTTCCCTACCCAATTCCAAGCTTGGAGTTTTACTCGTTTTAAGGAAATGAGCTAAAAAAAAAAGTTAAAAATCCTCTAATCTCCTCTCTTGGTTCTAAAGATATTCGAATCAGCTTCAGAAAACTTTTCCCCTTGTTGACTCACCAAACTCTGCTACATATATTAAATTGGATATTGGCATTAATCTATCTCATTGTTTAGAAAAACTCCCTACATGTACGTGGTAGATGGATTTTTAAGTACTTGTTGCCCACTTGTTATTAATGAGATTTTAATTAATGATTTGTTATAAATGTTAAGGGATGATACTATGAATGGGTTGAATATTTTCTCCCCATTCAATGGTTTCCATGTTTCGCTTTCCTGTTGAAGTCAATGAAAGAAAAAGTATGCATTATTGAGAAGCTCTTGATTTAGAAAACCTTTCATCCATTAAATAGCCTCCCATCCCTCTCCTTCTTCGCGGAAGTAGATCAGAATTCCCATGATAAAAACAATTTCTCTCAACTATGTAGGGTGAAGAAGACCCGACCTTCTTTAAGTCATAGTAAATGGTTCTGATCCGTCTCCTCTCAGTCCTCTCTTTCCAATGGAGAGAGAACTGCACTCGCTCTCTGTCTGTCTGTCTGTCTGTCTGTCTGTCTCTCTCTCTCTCTCTCTCTCTCTCTCTCTGTATATATATATATCTATCTCTCTCTTTCCCTCACTGACTCTTTCTGTCCGAGTCTTCTATAACACGGAACGTATCCGAATCCCTCCGCTTTACAGGCTCGACGTTAACTCAGAAAAGACGACCCACGACTGCCTCCCCACTCACCTCCTTTGCTCCACCATCTTTCTTTCTCTCTCTTGCTCTCTTCTCCGGCGAACAAGAGAACGGAGTCCGGCTCAAAAAAGGAGAACCCCGTTGCCCATGGGGACGGCCACCGCCGCCCCTTCCCAGGTTTTTATATGAAGCACCTCTACTGCACCCGCCTCCTTTAGCCATAGCTACCCGCAGGAGATGATGGAAGAAGGGCGGTGGAGAAGTCTGCTGCTCATGGCATGGGCCATCGCTGGTTTCCTGCTTCTGTCCTCCCCGGAGGTCGGCAGCGTCGCCGACCTCCCCTACTCTGGATTGCTGTGCGAAGCGAAGTGCGGTACGTGCCCCGTCGTCTGTTCCTCATCGCCGCCACCCCCTCCGCCCGATGGCATACACCAGCTGCCGCCTCCGCCGCCGCCGCCTCCGAAAAAAGGCCAACCAAAGTCGTCGTCGCCTCCGCCGCCGCCGGCGGCTCTGGCCGAGGGGCAACGAGGGAGCCAGAGCTATCCGTACTACTACTTCTACACATCCTCGGGGGGGCTGCAAGCGCGCCGATCGTCTGCCATCACCGAGTGCCTGATGCCTCTGGTGTTATCCGTCATGGTAGTGCATCTCCGTTGAGGTGTGGTATCAGAGGCGGACGAATGGAGGCTCACCTAATCATCAAGTGTGTGGCTGTTCAGCTTCATCTTGTAACTACATATTCTCCGTTTCCGTGTATGCCTGAAATAATTGGTGATACCCTACTCTTTTTTTTTTTTTTCCGATTCGTACTTCCTGTGCCTCAAATATATTAAAATCACTGGTGTGGACACAATCCTTCTGTGATTCATGGTTCACTTATAATATTTTGTTTCTAATTTAGTATCAGGCTGCTCTTGATGCTCCAAGAAGTATGAAAAATGCTGTCTATTGTTTATTTTAGCGTAGAAATCAATAACACCATCATTTCATGAGAATTATTAGGATATCAAATTTTCATGACACTATGTTGTGCTTTGTGTTTGCCAAAGTTTAAAAAAATATTATTTTTTAAAATTTGGATGGATAAATCAATAATAAGGAAATGAAATCCTGATAAAAAATTGTTTGATCTACCCCCTCAATCACCTTCATAACCTATGTTTCACAAGACCTTGTTTCCATCACAATAATAAACCAATTAGCTCATATAGTAAACCTTATCACTCAAACCCTTTTGGTTAGTTATTCCTTCTATATTTTTCTTCCAAGGTGCGAATCTTCTACAACATCATAGCTTAACCCCATTGATATTGAATTTCTGCATTTTATGATGGTAGAAATGCTCTAGGAGCTTTACACCTTTTGATGCAATTCCTTTTATTACCTTTTTTAGAATAAAAATGGATTTCAATTATTAAATCAAAAAGAAAAAGAATAGAAAATAAACTTTGATGCATGAAAGGAAAAAAAACCTATAAAGAAATAATTATGAATAACTATTTTAGATTTTTTCTTCAAAGTTATCTTAATGATAGAAGAATCTTTAGATGTGGAGTGCTAAAATTAACTATGGAATATAAAACGAACAAATTAGCAAGCATAAGCTATAGTTAGTGACATGACTTAGTCATTGTATAGTAAATCACACAAAAAAATTATAAAACTAAAAAATGTGAATTTTTGGATATTCAAAAGTATTTCTAAACAAATATATCAAGTATAATTCAATAAAGCTTCTAAAAATAGTGATAATTTTTTAAGTCAATCATAAGGGTGTAATATAATATCAGGTAATTATTCAAAAATTTTCTCAAAAAATACTATTTTTTTAAAATTTTATACTAGAAAATAAAAATAAAATATATTTAAAATTCATAAAAAAGGGAAATAAGGGTGCGGACGTCAAGATGACGTCAATGCTCGGTAAACGTAAATCAGATAGAAATAGAGTTCCATCCGGTAATTCTTATGTAAGTAATTATAGATGATTTAATTGATCAAATTAAGATTTATAAAAATTAGAAGAATTGTAATTGAATGAAGTATATCTTAGTAAATTTAAATCACACAAATTATCACTAAATAAAATACAAAGTAAGTTGAAAACATGAACATAGAGTTTCGACATCACTGTGGTGATGTATTGACAATGCACTAGAATCTTGAGCATTTGAGAGGATCGTCGTGTAGTGTCCATGATCCTGAACGCTTTCTTTAGATAAAGATGATGTGGGCAATCTCTAGATCTCCTTACGAAGTTTAGAGATCAATGAAATGGATCATCGAATCGTCTCCAATGGCTGTCACCTAACGGAGTAGAAAAACGACGACTTTGTAGCTCTCCAACGGCTATCACTTGACAGAGAAGAGTTGGATGGAAGTGAAGTGCGTGTTAGGGAGCTTCATCCTCATGTTCGCATAGTAAGATGAGGCTCTTCATCACATTTGATATGCTCTCAGAAGGTGGCGACTCATCTCCCGACAGATTGTCCTCTTCTTGATGACAATTTGTTCGTTGATCAATCAGAGATGCTTTACTTAATAGATTCACGATCTTTTTATCGTGAATCATTCAAAAATTTTAATAACAATACTTCACAAATCGTGTTGACGAGATTTTTGCCGATGATCTAGTGATTTTGGTTGCTTAATCCTTCACCAGCGATCTACAGGAAAGTTACGATAATCAAATAAAAAATATGAATTTTGGCCCTAGGAAAATTTGAACACTAACTACTAAGAAAGGGGTTTATGTTCTAAGGTTTGGATGACCTAGGCCATTGGTATGACTCATTTTTTTGTGTAAATTATTTCTAATGTTGAACTTTCAAAATAATTGGCTAGATTTGTTCATTGAGCTAGCTCAACCCTAACATCAAGTACTTACAACCCTATTAGGAAAGAATATCATAGAAATCACCCTAATCTCTATCAAGAGGGTGTTTGAACTTTGAAGGTATCTAAATCATTTACCTTGTGAAAATAAAGGACATGCCACTACTTGTGCATTTAGAATCGGAGATATGGGTACTTGATCCAACTTGGATCAATTCATAATTCGGTGTCTGAAATATATTTCCTTTATTTATGTGATAAGTCATAAAAAATACTAATACTAAGAATGGCCCATATATTTGGTGGAACATATAAAATGTATTTTCCTTGAATAGTTAGACTTGGAGAACATTTTCATGGCATGGCTTGTTTGTTGCACTATACAAGTCACTGTCTAGTTATAGTACTATTAGGTGTACTTCATTTTCACTATTAAGAGCATTCATCCTTTACTAGTATCTATATTCACTTGCTCATTCAAACTAACCACACTGTGTGCTTGTATTGAAAGCAACATATTAACATGAGTTTCCTTGAGGAAAGCTGAAGATTTTAGCATGAAATATGCAAACATAGTATGTATAATGTTTCAATAATTATGAGATTCAGAAATACTTTTTTGTCTTGGTGTACATGAAAGTTTGTTATGTGATGATAGCATATATAATTGGAACCATCATATGTAGTATTTTCTAAATTTAGTGTAATTCAAATTTGTATTAGCTTATGAGGAGTCAATAGGCTAAGAACATTCTATATTTGATCATATGATTTCATTTCACATTGAGCCTTTTTTATACAATACTGAAGTTTAACAATCAAATACCACGAATTTGGGTAGCAAATGAGGTCTCATCACCATGAGATTTGTTAAATATTTAGAGTAAACACTTGTTATATTCATGCATATCTATGTATCTACATCTATATATGCATGATATACTTTGAAGAGTAATTTTATGCCTATTCACACTAGAAGGAGATGCTGGATATACTAAAAGTGAATTGGAAAAGGGAGAAGAGTTTGAACAATGATCTCTTAAGAAGAGTTACAAATGATCACCTTGCCATATTTTGCTCATAATGTCCCAAAGGGATCTAGTGGAGTAATTAGTCACATTTAGATTGTGGGGCCTACACATATCTTAGTGAATCTGAAATAGATTTGAAAATTAGGCTTATATTTGCCAAATGTGAACAAAGGTTTGTCAAATGAGGACTAGGTTTAGCTAGGGCTCTGTGAATTTTTTTTTGAGTATTGAAAAGGATTGAATAGAATTCAAGAAAGACAAAATTAATAATTATGTATGTATCCATTGACAATAAGTTATTCAGCATAATTTGGAGAGTAAGGGATGAAATAACTAATTTTAACTTGTAAAATAGGTTTATTGATTAGGACATTATACTCATAGTAGTTCAAGATTTCTGAAATAAGTCCAAAATTGATACAAACCTTATTAATCATACTCCTCAATATGGTGAAAAGATCCAACATGGTGTGCTTGGGTACGTCATTCTCTTAGTTGCAATTGACAGAGTAAAATAAAAATTGCTGAGACTATTGTGTATCTTGTAAGTACGAAACATTGACTCTATATTTTTCAAAATAAAATTGCAATTCCTAGTAACATCTAGAGATGTTGATGGGACAGGTTAAGCGTGGATCAAACTCAAATCAAACCCTTCCCTCATTGCCTTTAATAATTTACTAGAAATTGGCGACTACCAAGTTCAATTTAGAAAATACAAATCCTCTGGAGATTTGTTATGGGTTTCTCTCTCTCTCTCTCTCTCTCTCTCTCTCTCTCCATCTATCTTCCCAAGATAATTCTTACGGGTCTCCCCCGGATCTCTCTCTCTCTCTATCTCTCTCTATACATATATATATCTATATATATATATATATATCTGTTCTTTGTTTACACGGCACAAAAAAATTAGCGTCGCGGCCTTCCCTTCCTGCTGCTGACGGTCACGTTTCCCGTCTACGACACGTCTTCCGCCGCCTGCGCTCCACGGAAGGCACGTCCACGAGCTGCGGACAGTTCTGTCCGCACGCCACCTGCCTCCGCCGCCGCCGGCGATTCCCCCACGGCTGCTCTTCACTTCCGTGATCTGAGTAGAGACCAACCACAGAAGTGATCCACCTATTCCGCTCTTGCAGGTCCGGAAGCACGGACTTTCCGGGCATCTCGTTGGTCAAACAGGAAGAGTTCTTCGCAAGGAGTAGAGAGTCGTTCTATTCTCAGAACGGGAGCATCCTCCACTCCTATCCTCCGCATGATACCTCTTAAGAAAAACCCAAGGGGAGAGTTAATAATGGTTCTTAACATTATTACTTTAATTTTTCAGATGAATAAAAGTTAGATATCAACTTTCATGATTTTAAAAAGAATTTTAACATTTTACGTTGACTTACCCCAGCTGACTTCTTACCCAAAATGCCTCTAGCGTCTTGTGGTTCTTCTAGATTGTGGGCATTATTTTACGTGGCAATTAATTGGAATGAAAGATAATAATAAGTTGGAAGAAATTATCATTAAGAAAGAAAAAAAATGCAGTTTCCTCGCTCAGGATACCCTCTAAAACCATTCCATAAAGAGTTGCTCCTTCATTCAAAGGTGGTCAACGGAGGAGAGCTGCCTAGAGTTATTTTTAGATTCTCAATAATGCTAGAAATTAATTAAGGAAGCATAGATTCTAAGGTAGAAAAGTATGAAAGAAAAATCCCATTTTAGCAATTTAGGTAGTTGGAGACCAAAACCTCAAAATATCCACAGCATTTTAAAAGGAAGGGTATATGTAACACATAAGACACGTGCCATGAGCTAAAAATGCTTATTTTCATTCTTAAATAAAATAAATAACTTCCTAAATGAAGATATGTCTATAATTTCAATAATAAAAAAAGATGAGCTCGAGTAGGAGCATTGCGGGGTCAGGCTTAGAGTTGCATATTACCTATTTTGGAAAAATAAAAGGATTTATGGGCACCATTTTAGGCTAAAGAAGGTATTGATTTTATTTTTTGGACAACTTTAAAAGCTCAAGTCCGCCAAGAAGAGGTCGTGAAATGAGAATAAAAAGTGGGGTCGTGAAATGATATCATCTTAATTTTAAATTAAAATAAATGAAAATTTGGGGGTATCTTTTTTAAATTGTTTGTAATTATTTATTTTTGGAAAAAGTGGAAGATATCAACCGTGCGACCATAGAAGAAAGTAGCGCCGTCTGGTCCATGGAAGAAAGGGTATGTCTCTGATAAACCATAATCTATTTAAAATTACTTTTCTGCTCTCTATTCAGCTGCTGCTCTTCCGTGTCGGCATGAAGTGGAATAAGAAAAGGACTTTATGCTGGACAACATGCAAATAAAACTTTTTAGAGTGGCATAAACCTAAAAATGGTGGGAAATGTGTGCCTCTGTGAGAAGAGAAGAAGGTGGACGGAAGATGGAGGTTTGGGAGGTGGTGGTGGTGGTGGTGGGAGGGGGGCCATGGCGGCGGTAGTGCTGCTAGGGAGCTTGCCGCCGCTGATTGAGACGAACTTCCCAAGGAGCTCCTTGTCGCCGGTGGATCAATATCGCAGTAGCAGTAAGGGCCGCCTCTGCCCACAGCTTGAGCCGGGCCATGGATGGCCGAGGAGGGAAAACTCAGCCTCAGCCTCTGCCGCTGCACCATCCTCCTCCTCCTCAGCCTCCACCGCAAGTTTCGCAAGCAGGAGCTGTAGCTGCGGCGGCGGCGCGGGTTTATTCGGTGATGGGGAGAAGCGGCGCGCCGCCCTCCTTTTCGCCGCCTGGAGAGGGTACAGTGCCGCCAATTTCAGGCCTGGGTTTGCGAATTTCGCTAGAGGGGGGTTCAGTGCCGGGGCGGAAAGCGACGAAGAAGAAGATCGGAGCAGGGAGTGGGAGGAGCAGTTGAGAAGCAGGCTTAAGGAGTTGGAGGAGATGAAGGAGCTGGAACGGAGAGCGGAGGAGGTTCAGAGGCGCATCATGTCGGATGAAGGCGGCGAGGAAGGCGAGACGGAGGAGGAGAAGAGGAACCGGGTGAGGAAGGAGCTCGAGAAGGTAACGAAGGCACACCTAACCCCACAGACTGCTACCAAAGGCGAAGTAGGAATTATAAACGAAGAACTCTAATTACTGTAATGATCTAGTCTTGTTCGTTTCGATTTTTGTGGTGGGCGAGGGCAGCTGGCCAAGGAGCAGGCGGAGAGGCGGGAGACGGCGAAACTGATGTTTGACCTGGGGCAGAAGGCCTATGGGAAGGGGATGTATTCGAGGGCCGTCGAGTTCCTGGAGGGTGCTCTCACCATCATCCCTCGGCCAACCCTTCTTGGGGGAGAGGTCAGGGATCGTTCTTCTGCTTCACATCTCTTCATTGGCTGTAGTGGAAACTCATGGGTTTTCGTTCTCTTCCCTTGTTAAAGATACAAATATGGCTTGCCATGGCATACGAGGCCAACAATCGGCATAAAGATTGCATTGAGTTGTATCAGGAGTTGGAGAAGAAGCACCCCAGTGCCAGCATCAGGCGTCAGGCTGCAGAGTTGCGCTACATCCTGCAGGCGCCGAAGCTCAAGATATCCAAGGATGAAATGGTCACAATACCCTTGATAGGATCCAGCTACGACAGGTCACCTCTCTCTTTTTCTTCCTCCTTCCTGTTTCTGCGGCTTTTGAGAGAACCTCTTTTCATCTGTGCGTTATTTGGCTGAAAACTTCACACAAGGTCTTCAACGGTTTGGTTCCAAATTCAGGAAAAGATCGCATGTGAGCATTTGATCGAACTTGTTGGTTTGCAAACAGATCCTTGCTACTAGTTCTGCGGATAATGTACAATCAATTATGTTTTTTTGATTCGATCAATGGCCTGTGCAAGAAAATGAAGAGTCGTCAGGCTTCAATGATTGAGTGATTAGATGATCTTTACCAATCTACCCAGAGAAAAATTACCATGATTATTGTAAACATGTATATCTTCAAATAGATCCTTGCTGCTAGTTCTGCGGATGGGACAAGGCTTCATAGAAAAATTGATTAATGTTTGGTGCAAGAAAAATAGTTTTTTTTCAAGCTTCAATGATTTACCAGTTATATAATGTCTGCTAAACAACTCTGAACATATTCTGAATGACTCTGGTACATTAGTCCAGTTGTATGGTTCTCCTGACGCTAAGATGCGTTCAAATCCTTTCATGTAGTTGTAAGTTTCTGGACTTGATAAAAAAAGCTTCACATGTGATTGTTTTGGGAAAACTGTATGTCAAATATGAAGAGTATAGTAACATAGTGGGGCTATGAATTGCCTTGGATGGTTATATTTTTAGTTGGAATACCTTTTTAAATGGCAACTAAGAAATGGATGTAATATCTTGTCCCTGGTTTCATGAGCTAGAGGTTTCCTGCTCACTGCACCCTTCCTTATTGAGTAGATTATGCAACATAAGAATCTTTAAATCCGTTCTTGTAACCTGTAATAAGTAGACGATAGTTTCAGATTACTTGAAGTTTCCATGTTTAAATCCTTTATCCTCCTGCTTAAATCTAGTGTTTGGTTTTCTTGGTTCAAGCCCTGTGGTTTCCCAAGGACTGGGAGTCCAGTAATTACTTATTTTGCTCTTAATACCTGGGATTCAGTCTGTTTTGACAACAAAAGACTATGACGTATGCTGTAAGTGGAAGGCTTGCTGGTCTGTATGATCAGAGTTTTAAGCTCCGATGTCTAGAATAGGAAGTAGAAGTGTTTCCATAGGAACTCATTTCTGTAGAACATTGGACTCGTGACAGTCTGTGCTGTTTGGGTGGTTTTTGCATACTTGTCTGTGCGACCAAGAGGAAGAATCAAGATGAATCTTATTCATGTGGTCACTTTCTTGTTTCTGAAGAAACCATGATAATTTTTGTGATATTCTCTATGATGGGAAAAAAAAGGTAAAACTAGGGATCACGTTCTGTGTTATCAATTGTGTCACCCTTGCTTCATCTATCATTGATGACTTCAATTCTATGCATCGTTTATGTGATGAATGATGTGCCTCTCACTTGACATATGTTCTGCTTTGCGAATCTAGTGTTATTGGGTAGATTTTAATCTTGTAAATTGTGGGACAATCGGTATCCCATCGAATGAGATACTTACTTTCTTGGTAGAACACACTAGTCATTGAGGCGGTACTCTTGCCTAGCAGGTGATGTTCCTGTTCAATATCAATACTGTATCAACCTGATTTTTGTGTCACATTTTACTGCATTGCTAGTCCGAGATGGTTCTGACTGATATGAAACAGACTGATCTGCCCACTCTAACTCCACTATGATTTTTCCAGTTTTAGCTTGGAATATTACCCTTTGGACAAAGTAAATATTAAAGGGATCTATTCCTTTTTCGGCTGCAGTGGCGGATGAATGGCTTAATAGAAGTAAATGTCGTCTCTTCAAAATTAGGGTTCTTCCTTACTTGATGATAGGTTTAAGCAAATAGTGCTGAAGTAACTGAAACAAAACTTTGCTTGCATTATTTAGTTCCATGGTCTCCACCAGGCAGTGGGACAATCTATCCCTACATTTCTGCTTCTTCGGTCTTCCTTTTGTCCTTCATCCTTCTTGGTTCCGCTAGGCTGACATATCTTCAGTGATGGCCATTGTTAGGTATGCTGGAACATGGAGTGACAAGTACAAGGATCGCGACGATAAGAGAAAGGTGATCACTGCCAACCAGCTTCCCTCATCCAAGGACTATTGGGGTGACTTCATGGGGTTGCGTCCACCCGCTGACTGGCAAAGGGACCGAGCCTTGTGGCTGGCTGTGACACTGTTGCTGGCCATGGTAGGATTTGCTCTTCTGCAAAGCTGAGAGCACACCAGTGGGTTGCCTGGGTATTTGACCAACGACCTTTTCAACAGCCTTGCATGGTGACTTGACATGATGGTGCGTGGGTCCGGTTACTTTTTATGGTGTCAGATTGGTGCATGCCAGGGGTTTGAAGAATACGAATATTGGTTCGCATGAGCTTAATGTGTATATGAGAACACATACTCTCTGTTCATGACTAGTGTAACGTTCAAACACATTCTTTAGGGTCATATCTTATGATCATCCGATATTAAATATCATTATTGTAAATTAATTGTAATTCTTTGTTTGTAAAAGTGCTTTTGATCTTTTATGAATTAGCATTGAACCATGGCTCAAGAGAAGTTTGGATACTGGATTACTCTTCCACTATTAGTTGGCTGATTCTCTCAATGAGAGTTCTTTGATTGCTTCATAAAATAGAATCTAATTATAGATCTATGATTGGGTTATCATATTATTTCATTGTTTCATAATGACCTAAATAAGGATGATATTGGTTACCCTATCAGATTACCATCATCCTTTCTACACATTCAATAAAGAGGATGTAGCACTGGCAAAGAAATAAAAACTAGATTGTTTGACTTGGGTTTGATAAAGATCTAGAGTATGAAGAATGTCAAGATGATAAAGAGATGTAAATCTGTATAGATCTAAAGCTAAATGTTTTTAATTGACCTGTGAAATTTGTATACACATAACATGAGTTCATTCAATATCACAATCAAAGTGGCTGGCAAATTTTTAAAGTTTTCAAAGTTTGATTGTTGTGAAAGTTTGGTTTGTGATATTTTTAATTATATGATAATATTTAGCAATATCCATCACATAATTTTTGAAACATAGAATGTAATAGTTGTTAGAATATGAAATATGAATACATTAAACATCTCTAGACTATGTAGGACGCATGGCAACTACTTAGAAGTATTATACAATTTTGTGAATCTTTTGGGTAGAAATTGTAATCTAAGAGTTGGTTTTATCACTTTCATTCAAATTAGGCAACATGCACTTCACAAAGAAATGAGTTAATTTCTTCTGAAGATAAATTTTCCTAATAATCTAAGATTTAAACTATATAGAAATGCTTATATTTGCGTTATATTATGCTAATGTTCTATATAAAGCATGCTAACTCCAATTTTTTGAGAGAAAATGGAAATGAAAGATAAATTAGAGATTAAAAGTTTATTTTCATTTACTCCTGACTCTATAATATTAAAATGTCAAATAGAGGACAATATTGTTTTGATTATTAATACATGCGTATAAGAAGTTGATCTATTAATATTGTTTTGACTATGTCTAAGAAGTTGATCTTCTCTTTAAAATTTTAAGTCTTATGACATTCGTAGATCTAAAATTAAAAGACTTTGTTATTTTAGAGTGATTTGGTTCCTTACCCACATCTATTCTCCATAAACAACTCCATTATGTTCTTAAATTCTTATAAACCAAGTATTGACTTATCATAACTATTGATTAATGAACTCAACTTTTCTCAAAAATTCATCTTAAAATTCTCCTCTAAAATTACTGATTTAAGTGACAATTAATTTATTATACTCTCAACTCTTTGAATGATTAAATCAAAAAATTAATTAAAAAAAATTCAGAATTGGTTGACGTAAATGTATATAAATTTCAATGAAGATGATGATAATAAAAACTTTATTATTTTACTCTTTCTGAAGAAAGCTTGTGAATATTCAAAGCATTTATGCTTTAATTAGGTCAAGGAAGATCTTGTGGGACCTTATTTTTGTTCCTCGACAGTTGCCTTCTTGCCATTTGACTTAGCCAGAAAAGACTGCTCAAATTTGTGTATAAATATTTATATAAAATGTTAGAAAAACTTTTGAAATTTTAGAAGGGTGAGAGATGAACACTCCAAACTTTTTAGGCATTAGGGAGGTGCTGAATTAATATAGAAATTTCGTTCAAAAACCTCTCACATTTTTTGACGTCCTTGAACATTAAAATTTAAAGTTACCTAAAAGTTGAACTACTAGAAAGTGATATGTCGTGTCCTTGAAAGGTTTAGATATCATCTATGGGAAACAAATAATTATTACCCAAATATATTTAAAGGTTGTCGATTTAACCAAGTTTGGTAAATGTATTATCCTCAAAACAGAACTCAAAATACATCTTGATATAAAGTACTGATTTGGTCCATCTGAAAAAAATTACAATCGTTAAGTAATCATATTGAACACAACAATTCAATATGTAAAATCATAATTTCAATGACATAAATATTTAAAATTATTTTGCAAATAATGTTTACTAATATTGAGAAATTCTCGAACAATAATATAACTTGAATTCAATCTATTAATTTGATATCAAAGACATACGAATTTAATGATTTATAAAGATAAGTATCAAGTATTGAGTTTGCTTCCATAGAACTACTTAAATCATGATTTATCTCTAATTCTATAAGACTTTTCATTACATTTCTATTGTGGTAGTTTCTATAAATATTAGTAGTTTCTACAACAATGTATTAAGTAATATTTTCTAGTGTTTTAACTCATCAAATTTGAAAATTGAATATAATGAAATTTTCGTGTAATTCTTAAATTTCTATTTGAATATTTGTCATAATTACTTTGGTGTCTTCCTTAATATTTGTTCAATTTGATTCATGCCCATGCCCCAAAAAATATTTATTTGTATAAAGCATAATGGTAATAAGTATAAGTTGATGTTCTGATTAATTTTATGTCTTTATCATTATCAAATTAATATTTATTTATCATAACGGTGCATGTTGATATTTTAAAAACTGTGTTGCACGCAGGCAGAAGAATCTTAAGGGACCATTGTTTGCCACCATGTAGAAGCATCACATAATTTACGAAATGAAAATAAATACAAAATGATATGCCTGCTGGGCGTGGCCACCAGTTGGATAATTCTGAAGTCAATGAGTAAGGCTGGGCTGGGCTAAGCTCAAATCCTGTTTATTCTAGCTAGAGCCCAAAAAACAATCTGACAAAGGGACTCCAACCACAAGCCATGTCAAGGTCAATATTAGAGAGCGAGAGAGAGAGAGAGAGAGAGAGAGAGAGAGAGAGAGAGAGAGAGAGAGAGAGAGAGAGGATAGATGACAGATGAGCTTCTAGATATTCGACATTAGACTATTATGAGAGAAGAAAAGTGGATTCTAAGTTCTTTGCACTGACACAGTTAGATAACTAACTTTGTCTTAATGGAACATGGGTCAAGTTGAGCCATATCTATTCTTCCTTCTAAGCTTGACCAAAGTCCCAAGTTAGAGAAAATTCAACATAGTCAAGGTCTTGACTCAATGAGTTGATGAAAAAAGTAACTTCAGATTAAAATAATGTTTTCATGCCTCTCACTTTGGATGAGAAAAATAAACATACTCAAGAACCAATGTCATTAAGAAGATCTACTTGAGAAATGAGAAAATACGATTGTGGATGATTATATCATAATTTTTCAAGAACATGATGTTGATATCATAATGATGAAAGATAATCCTATAAACTTTCATCAAATCATGTAGAGTTTTAATCCTCATAAATGGATAAATGTCATAAATGAATAGATTAAATTTATGAAGTACAATAACATTTAGGATCTTGTCTTATTATCTGAAGGCGTAAAACCTATTTGTTACAAATAGTTATTTAAATCAACAGAGATTTGAAAAGTAATGTGGAGAAATCTAGGTCTCATCTTGTTATTATGTGATGCACTCAAGGAAAAGGCATCAATTATCAAAAGACTATGTTAGACTAATAATGGCACTAGTAACTCATTTTGACTTTGAGTTACATCAAATAGATGTAAGGACTGTATTTCTCAATGATGACATTGATGAATAATTTACATGTTAGAATTAAAGACATGCCTAGAGACACAGAAAATGATATAAAAATTAAATAAATTTACCTATAGGTTGAAGCAAGCTTCACGTCAATGGTATCAACTCATTTGGTTTTGAGATCAATATAGGAAATGAATATGTGTATTTTTGATTTCATATATCGATGACATATTACTTATTAGTAATTATATATGTTTATTATGTGATACAAAAAGGTTTATATTAAAAAAAAAATTAATGAAGTATCTTGGTGAAACCTTTTTTGTATTAGGCATAAAGATATACTAAGATCACACTCAAAATATCTTTGAGTTGTCATAAAATAATTATATCGAAAAAATCATTGAGAGATTTATCATGTAAAGATGTAAATCATATGATATCTCTATCATTAAAGGAGACAAGTTTATTCTCAATCAGTGCCTTAGAAATAATTATGAGACTAAAAAGACACATAAGAATTCTTATGCATTAGGGATAGGAAGTCTTATGTATGCTCAAGATTGACACATCCAGATATTACATATATAATTAGAGTACTAGGTAGATATTTAAGTAATCTAGGTGTGAATTAGTAGAAAACAACCCAAAAAGGTCATATGGTATTTACAAAAGACAAAGAACATATTCACATATAAGAAATTAGATCATTTGGAGATCATTAGATATTCTAATTCTTATTTTTCTAGATGTATTAATAGTAGAAGATTCACTATGGGCTATATTTACTTATTTATTAGAGGAGATATGTCATGAAAGAGTGTTAAGTAAACACTTATAACTTCTTCCACCATGATAGCAAAATTTATAGCATGCTATGAGGTATCCAATCATAAGATTTCATTGAGAAATTTTTTCGTAGAGTTGTAAATTTTGGATAGAATTGAAAAGAGTATAAAATTATTTCATGTCGAAGTACATAGACATCAAGTTTCTAATTATTAAGGAATAGTTGTGTCTATATTGAGACAAATTCTATGATAACATATCCACTTACTAAAAGACTACCACTAAAGGTTTTTTAGGAGCATATTCCTCATATGGATGTAATACCTCATGAGGATCTGTAATTTCTATAGGAATTTGTATTTTGATGATCATATATTTATAGACACATTTTTTGATTATTTCATATATGAATGAAGTTTATGATTATTATCACTCTAAATGTGATTAATAATCTATATTTAGAAGAAGAAGAAAGACTAAGTCAAAAATGTATATGTATGAATTACATTTTACATAGTTTCTATGCTACATATCTGTACTTGATCAATGTCATTAATTATATCGATATATGTGATTATTGTTGGATTCAATCATGTAAATATGACAAAAACTCCATTAGTTCTTTATTAGAATAATTATGGACTAGAAGTTTTGAAATGCCTTTGATAGTTATAGCAGTCTATTGATTTCATAAGGTCATAATGTATGATTATCATATATTTATTGTCCAAGTGGGATATTAAAGAAATTAATACCAATGTGAAAAATTATATATGAATTGTATTAAAGAATTATTATTGGATTAATCCTACTTAAAGTGATTCATAAAAGTTTAAGTATTTGAGATTATAATATCTTTAGTAAGTATGGGCATAAATATAAATGTGTAGAGATAGTCTTATTCTAATTTTATGATGGACTAAATTAGAAAGATATACAAAGAGGCAAACCACTTCTTATCTATAAATATGAGGTCATGGTCCTTGGGTTCACACATCAAGACTCACTTTTGGTCCATCTCATTTCTCTTTGAGGAAGTCATAGGATGACTCTTTTATGCTGATCTAAAAGGTCAACCCCGTTCTTGTGACTTCATAAATTTCAGTGTGATTTCTAATTCATTCTTATTCCATTTTATCATTCTCTATTATCTTAATATTAGATCCTTAATCTCTAGCATCATCTTCCATATCGGGGAGTCCCAAAATGCCATTGTACTTGCTCACATCAGGTCTACCTACCCTGTCATCTATATAGTTGTGCCCCTCATCACTATCCTCTGCACACTAGATTGTCCCACTAGAAATCCTACCACCCCTCCATCGTTCTCTTCCCCCAGCTGGTGGCAAGTAGACTGTACCTGCATGACGTGGTTCGATGCCCAGCCCCCCAAATCCTAGAGTTCTGGCAGGGCCTAGTGAACAGCAGCCACAGATTCCTCTGGGTCTTCCGCCTTGATTTGCTGGAGGAGATGGCACCGGTGACGTCCATGTGGAGTTAGGAGAGGCGACCAAGGAGAAGGCCTAGTGGAACGGGTGGACCAGCGGGAGGTGCCAGCCCATCCAGCGGTGGGGGCCTTCCTGACGCACGATGATCCACTGGCCCTTCTTCTTCGACCAGATGGTCAACAGCAGCCCATCCAGATGGTCTTGAGGCTCGGGCAGGACAAGAATGACACTCACGACAAAGGAACAGTGAGCAGGAAAGTGAAGGAGGCAATTGAAGGAGAAAGGGCCGAAACCATGAGTGTGTCAACGAAAGTGGTTCCTCCTGCATCCACATGGACTAGTTGATTGAGGATAATTGTGCCATGAGTCTAGAGACGTCTTTCAGTAGAGAGCATAAGCTGTGACAGCTACTTGTTTTCATGTCCTATGTTTGGGGGAAATCAATGTCATTTATTTTTTTTCTCATCTTCATGTCACACTCAATGTATCTTTTTTGTTTACATGTCTGAAGCAGAGTTTGACACTGGTCTACATAAAGGTCAACGATCACAAAGATTATGCTCAGTTCAATTTGTATTTGATACCCAAGAAACAAAGGCTGAGAATTGAGTCAATTTAAAGTTTATTTCAATCATTTATTTCTTACTCAGTCACGACTAATACAATGGAACAAATTTCTTCATAAATGTATATTCAGAGGACTCCTAGACCCCACTAGCTCAAAAACAGTGTCTTGTGTGTGAAGAAAAGTCAGCTAGATCCCTAAACATTCAAAAACTCAAAAAATAATGCATTATCTTTATATTCCACAAAAGAGGCCACAATCTTCTCTTTCTCTCTCTCTCTCTCCTTGAGTGCATAGTGTAATATATCCCCTTTATATATAGCTTAAGTTGCATGGATATTAAATCATCTTTTTAATCTATAAGAAAAAAAAATCTACCAACATACATCATCATGAAGGCATATAAATTCAACTCTTTGAAAAGTAAATTTGTAAGAGGGCAATATTGAATCCACAAGATCAAGGAGTTCCATTTAATCCACAAGGTAGAGGCAAAAATCTACAAGTAGGAAGATATAATCTCAAAATGGAAAATTTTCATAATATTGAATAATTATCCATGGGATTATATCAGAAAGACTTTAAATAAGCCTAGTATATATTGTGGTGCCTATAAAAAGGTGATTCATTTATGTTGGTGCCTCACAACATATTTAGGGAGATTTAAATAAATTCCAAATGACTAAAAGTTTGAAAAGAGGCTAAAGAAAGGAAAGCTAATCCTTTGTGTTGATAAAGCATTTTATCATGGGCCAATTTTGATTTGGGCTTTTCTGCTCTTATGATCCTTAAAGATCGTCTTTGAAGCTTCATGGACACCAGGCCACTATTTTAGCTCACTTGGGTCAAAACATTTCTTCATTCTGCTTGTTATAGTTGATGTCCTACGTCAGACTCCCGTGTTTGAGAAAACAAAACTTGTCCTTAATATTAACTTTGATTATAGATCTTTTTGAGGAGTCTTTGAAATTTTATCTAGTAGTTGCTCCAACATTCAAAACTGAGGTGTTCAAAAACTTTAAATCTTTTGAGTCCAAGTTACATCTTCACATTAACAAACTAGAAAAGTTCAAATGTTGATGAACCTTCGAAGGGTTGAATCCCTGATGTAGTAGAATTCGAAAAATATTAGAAGTATGCCATGAAATGAATAACGCAGAAGTTAGTGAAGAAACAAAATCAAACCTTGAATCTGGAAGCAAGAATTTATCTTCATCCTTGAATCCATAAGGAATAATATGACGATCTTTCAGTTCACATGGATCATAAAACTCTTCTTGATGCTATTGAGGTTGCTTGGAGATGAAATATCACCCTTGAATCTACAAGAACTAGTTTTAGGTGAATATAATTTTTCTTGAATTAACTTTTTTTTAAAATTTTAACCCATAAATCAACAGAAGTGATCATAAATTTACAAATCATGGAGTCAATTCACATGGGAGACATAAAAAATCTACTTATAAAGAGAATGAATACTAAATAATTACCTCTAGAACTATAACTATGGGCTTTTAAATAAGCAGAGTTTCTATTAGGACACTGGAAAAACGGTAGTTAAGTTCAAATGTCACATTAAAATTTATTTAAATATATTTAAATCAATTAAAAATGATAAAAAATAAGAAAACTGATACCTCCTTGGAAAAATAAAGCGTTTATGATGCATGCTACCTTGAGTCGACTCTAATTTAGCCATTTGTTGCTCTTATGATTCTTAAAACCCATCTTTGAAGCTTCATACACGTCTGGGCCGCCATTTTTATGGCACATGGGCAAATACTTTTCGCTATTCTATTTGTAGTTGATATCCTACATCACTTTCAATAGCTTCAAAAGCAGTCGCTAAACACCAAAAGCGTTGGTCCCGTACCCTACCACGGTGGCATGGCTAGAACCACTTCTATCGGCTAAGACTAGTCACCGTTGTAAGGCTTGCAGTAGCTATGCTGTTTGAAGACGATAATGTTGATACTCTTTTCCCCGAATTTACCGTCTCCAGGGCTTGATTAGGTCGTCATATGCACTGCCGACCGCGCTACAGATCAGATCCCGGGATCGCCCAGGGACGGGTGGTCTGTGAAGAGAGGTGAACGACGGAGGCGGGGTCGCCGCATGTGATCCTCTTCCCGCTTCCTATGCTGGGGCACGTCTCTCCAATGCTGAAGCTGGCCAAGGTGCTTTCCCTCAGGGGCCTCCTCGTCACCTTCCTCACCACCGAGCACGTTCACCGCCGCCTCAGCGCCCACGACGGTGTGAACAGCTGTCCGGGCTTCTTCATCCGCTCCATCCCGGACGGCCTCCCCGCGGACCACCCGAGATCCGCGGGACGATTTATGGAGGTGCTCGTCTCGCTTGCAGCACAACCCCAGGAGACATACAGAGATCTATTGGTCTTCCTCCGGCACCCGTGGCCGGTGACGTACGCCATCGTTGACGTGTTTCTACCTTTTGTTGCGGAGGTGGGGGAAAAGCTGGGGATTCCGGTCACCACCTTCGGTACCGGTGGCCCCTGCGGCTTCTGGGCTGATTTCTGCATTCCCAAGCTCATCGAAGCAGGGGAAATCCCTCTCCCCGGTAAGAGAATCATCCACAATTAAGCACATTCAGGGGAAAGCCACTCGTGCTTCATTTGGGCTCGCTTCCTTCTTCACAGAGGGATGCGACATGGACGAGCTCGTGAGGAGCATCCTGTGATGGAGAGTTTCCTGAGGCGGCGAGACCTTCCAACTCCATGCCGAGTCAAAGACTTCAGCGATGGCCTTCTCCAAGGTATTGGAGCAGCGACCCAGAGGACGACCCACCGGAGAGGTCTCATCTTCAACACCGGGGAGCCCCTCGACGCCGCTGTGCTCGCTCACATCCGGTCCACCTGCCCTGTCACCTATACAGTCGGGCCCCTCGACACTATCCTCTGCGCACTAGATTGTCCCCCCGGGAGCGCCGCCGGCCCTCTGTCGTCCTCTTCCCCTTGCTGGTGGCGAGAGGACCGTACCTGCATGACGTGGCTCGACGCCCAGTCCCCCAAATGCGTTGTCTACGTTAGCTTCGGCAGCCTGACCGTGCTGAGCAGGCCCCAGCTCCTAGAGTTCTGGCACGGCCTGGCGAACAGCGGCCACAGATTCCTCTGGGTCATCCGCCCCGACATGCTGAAGGAGGCGGATGGCGCCAGTAACATCCCGGCGGAGTTGGCGGAGGCGACCAAGGAGAAGGGGTGCGTCGTGGAATGGGTGAACCAGCGGGAGGTGCTGGCCCATCCGGCGGTGGGGGCCTTCCTGACGCACAGCGGCTGGAACTCCACGGTCGAGGCCATCTCCGCCGGCGTGCCGATGATCTGCTGGCCCTTCTTCTTCGACCAGATGGTCAACAGCAGGTTTGTCAGCGAGATGTGGAGGATCGGGTTGGACATGAAGGACACCTGCGATAGAGGAACCGTGGGCAGGACGGTGAAGGCGGTGATGGAAGGGGAAAGGGCCGACGACATGAGGAGGAACGTCGCCGGACTGTCGGGGATGGTGCGGGAGTGCGTCGATGAAGGTGGTTCCTCCCGCATCCACCTGGACCAGTTGATTGAGGATATTCGGGCTGTGAGTCTGGAGACGTCTGCAGGCATGCTGCTCGGAAGCCACTGTGGGTGATGTAAGCCGGTAGCTGTTCGGGATCGTCTGTAAAACTCTGGAATAACTCTGATATCAGTTAATCTACTGGATGAATAAAATGATCTCGCATCCTGTAGAATTGCTTGGATTTTAAAAGTCTACCCATTCTTTGTCCACAATCGTCAGCCTTTATCCGCAATTCTGATGATATTTAAAAGTCTACTCATGCCCTATTATCTGATTATATTCCTCGAAAAAAGAGAAAGCAAGATTCTAATGATTGAGGACCAACATTAACGATTTCGAGCAATATGATACATTACCCTATATTCACCTCTATTCTTGATGTCTCCCTCGATAATCCCTACGCGGACAGGCCACAATCAATCAGGCATATGCGGTCGAAAAAATACAGACGAAAAGGATATAATCCCTGCAAACGCCAGAATGGATACAACGAGCATCGCCACGGTCGACGCAGGCATGAACATCGCACCGATAATTTCTTCATCTGCCTCGACCGATGACTATGCGTTTCTTCGCTTCCTCCTTTGGGAAGATAACCATGATCATCCCGTATTGCATAGCTTCTCTCAGATGATCCCCTTTGGCCTTCTCCGGCAATGAGAACAAACTCTGGAATTTACCGCCACCGATCTGGACGATCTTGCCTCCCACCTCAATCTGGATCTCCCCCCGCTCAAGACCCCCGGCGATTCACCTTGAAGAACCACGGTGCGGTAGTCTCCTTCCACTGGATGCCTGACGAGGAGATCAAGGGGGTTCGGAGCGATAAGATCAACCGAGGTGCCGATGAGGACGACCTCGAAGGGACCCCTGGAGGGAGGGACCAGGGGCTCCGGCGAGGTGGGAACCAGGGGGCGATCGCCATCCCATCCCAGCTGGCGGGCGGGAAGGAGGCAGACCCCGGCACCGGAGGACTCCCCGAGTTCCTCTAGTTATCCCTCTCTTCCCCTGCCCCGAGCTGTCTGTGTCCTCTAAGACACTGTTCACAGAGTCTGTTGAGTGATAGTGAAGATCATTTTGGTTATTCGCAAGTTGTTCCACCCCATTAACTTGGGGATGCATCAGAAGGCCTCGCATTGCGTCCGGAAGCGCCCCGACGTCGCCTTTCTGATGACCGTCAGACGGTCTCTACGTTGTAAGTGATTGACGTCTTGGATGTATCGCGCTATGATTGTGATTTAAATTTGTAAGCTTTACGCCCTTTTTTCAATATTCAATTTTCCTCTCCATTATACGTGGTCCACAGCGTATCAGATACTCAGAAAGCTTCAAACTGTCTCTTATTGGAACGCTGGCTGATTGCAACTAGTGATGACTTAAGCTGACTCAGTTTATAATTCAGACCTCCCTTAAAATATAAAGCGCGCACAGAATTTAATTGAAACTTTATTATCAAAAGATGAACGGGATAAAGCCAAGTTTACACAGAAAAAAATTAGGTCATTTTGTAACCTTATTTATACCTCCCCCCCATTTCTTAACTCTTTCCCTCGTTGTTGATGCCTGTAAAGAACATTAAATCAGTTAGTTGATAGAATGAGCAAGATAATATTCTTATTGGACTATCAAAATAATTAAACTAGAAGTAATATAAAATAGCATACATTGTCGAATATATTGAATTAGTGGAGATGATATTACACATCCACCATCTAAATCAAAATTGATAAATTCTATTCATGTTATAAATTTGGCATGCTCTACGTTCATATATTTATATCATATCACAGATTTTCCACACAAAATATTACACCATTAAGAAATGAATTGTCTTATAGGGAATATAAAAATTGACAGGGAAAACTAGAATAAGTAAGTTCCGATATTTCTTTTGAATGCCATGCCAAACTACAAGGCAAGTCTTGAAAAAATGGAAATACCAAAACTATTCGTAATTTATATTATATATGAGACAGATGCTCAAAACCTTCCACTTGATCAATGTCTTCATTACCAAAAAATTGAGTTCATAGCTATTCATGACACATACATGTCCTTATATTTAATTTTCTGTTTGGGCTTTTTACCTTGACGTGTTTGAATTACGAAAAGAAAAATAATATCTCCAAAATAATCATGTCAGTTAATGCGGTCATAGCAATAATGTCTCTCAAGGTAAGATAAAAAAACGAAATATGAGAGAAGTCTTGCAAACTATAATCAGATAGGATACAATCTTGGTCTAGTATTGTTGACTTATTTACAAGAACAAGAGAAGAAACACATGAAAAGGCGATTCTAGGAAATATCTTACAAGTAAACATGAGATAAGTCTAGGAAATAACATCAAAATTTCGATGTCCTTTCCAAAGGTTTATTTGTTCTTAGGATTCAGAAAATTAAAATTAAGACAATTAAAATCTTATAAAGAATGGGGTTATGTAGTCAATTAAAATTTTCATAAATGACAATTCCGAAAATATCATAAACCCCTTATAAGCTCATTTAGTAGGCGTTCATTGGATGCCATAAAAAATCAAATAGAATATATAACAATAGAAGAGATCCAAAATCACCTCTTTGTTCCAGTTCGTTCTAAAAGCCATCAAAACTAAGATCATTATTTGCAGTAGAGTTCCAAAAATCATTCCACACCAAATACCCTGAAAATATCACGTTATGTAAGAAAGATAACCCGTGGATTTTTAGATATTTTTATGAGAATAAGCTATAGACGTTGGAGAGTCATGAAATGAAATTTAATATAACCACTTTGAAATTTAATTTCTTTTAATGATACATAACACAGAACATTTATGTACTCAACTTTGATGATATTCTACGACCCAGTTTAAATGAAAGAATAAATTATTACCTTTACGCCAAAGTCAAACTTGAAGGCCAAGAGAAGACCTATGGGGACACCAAAGAAGTAATAACTTCCAATATTGATATACGCCACGAATGCCTGCCACCCAGCTCCAATGGCCAGACCTATTGATGACGCATAGAATGTATATTCAGATGAGAAAAACCAGGACCATTTTATTGTATGAGAAACACCGTTAAATCAAGCCGTGTAATCATTGGCGAAATACATTATGTAACGTTAGATTATAGGGCTATTCTGAGAAAATATGCGATGATATTCCAGAATGTTTGAGACTTCATTCTCACAGCTGTAGACTGTATACCTCATTATCATATCTATCTATAAATGGATCTCGGTAGACTGTAACCACGCTGGGCACAAACATTTCAATGCAGCCAAAAGTTATCCATTTACAAGACAATAAAGTACTCGGCATGCAAGTTCGATATGTAATACGGCGAGTTAGAAACCTCCAGAAGCTAACAAAGCAGTGTTTATCACTTGTCGGGAAAAAAACAAAGCAGCGTCAAGTCAAGTAAAAAGACAGGCGGAGGCGTCAAAGGGAGTTTACACCGCTTGTCGATACCCCTCTGATCACATGACAAGTCGTCTAAATATTAAGATCCAAATACGTCATCAGGTTAACGTTGAACAGCTAGACATTTCAAATAAAACGCACGAAAAATCAGAACGGGAAAAGCACAGCTAGATACCTGAAAGGACCGGTTGCACATTGTTGGCGGTGATGGTGATTGCGAGCAATGGGGTGAGCTGATAGACCATCTCTCTGACTTCTGCGCTGGTCGTGAAGGCGTATGGGAACTCCTTCCGAGTAATCATCATAAGGAGAGCGAGGAACAGTCCTATCAGGAATGAGGTGAGAACGGAGACAACTACAGCAAACTTAGCTCTCTTCGGATGACCAGCTCCTAGCTCGTTAGATACCCGCACACTGCCATCATGCCCTTTATTACTGCCGTTTAAAATGACATAACATAAAATAAAATAAAATGAGCGCTTGATGCCTAACCTTGTGGCAATGTTTGATCCTAGGGCCACCATTAATGTCCATCCGCTTATGTTCATACTAAAAAGAAGATGAGTACACTGTCAACAAATATGACAAGATTTATATGAAGACAAAAACTATGTATTGTATAAACTTAAGAATTCTTAAATATGAACAACAGAAGCAATTGAACTCTTTACAAAAATTTTAAATCTTAATGAAATTAGGTTCATTTTATGACATCTTATGCTATCAAATATCGCATAAACTTAAGAAATTTTTTTACCTGAAACTGTATTGTATAGTTAGATATTTGTCGCTCCAAATCTAAGATCGGTAAATGGAGAAGTTTAATAAAAGATGAGAAGCCTACCATATAGATATAGCATCCACGGAGATTTTTGCATTTGTTAGATACCCAGCACAAAGAATCAGCACCGTATAATACCAAAACTCCAAGCTGACAAACAAAAAAGGAAAATTAATGGGATAAATACATTACGAATTTAATCTCTGAATCAGTTCAAACAATAAACTGGAATGAAAAATAATGAGGCTTCGTCCACGCCGTGGCATGTGGCATGCTTGAACTAAAATGGGACACTGGACCCTATGGAAGCAGAGCCCTGGTTTATGGGCTGCTTCCTTGGTTGTTATCTCATCGAGCTGTGTGGGGAACAGGATGCCAGTCGAACAAGAGAAGAGATGTCCCGTTTAAGGGAGGTGTCTTATCCTCGGTAGGTACGCTTGACAATACTAAGACTCAACCTCGAGGGAAACAAATATATATATATATATATATATAAAAATTTATATAGATAGAAAGATTGATAGAGATAGAGTTCTCAAGGAAGATAGCTTTGGGAAAACAAAGTGACTTAAAAAAAGGGTTCCGAAAGTTACGCAGACGTTTTTAGTTTAGACAGTAGGAGGTGAGTTTACCGAGAAGGAACTAGCAACTCACCAGAGCATGACTGCAGACGCTACGGAGAGGCGGACGAAGCCCCAGATTTGATTGAAGGCCTTCCAAGAGAAGCCCGACCAGGCCTCTCCGCAGGCCCCTCCGAAGATGTAAACCATCTGCGTTCCCACGATGATCCACCAGGAGAGGTTGAGGACGAGTGCAGCGCCCGGCAAGCCCCAACCCAGCCGCAGTACCAGAAGCCAGTTGAGCAACGCGTGCAGCAGCAGCGTCCCCGCCGCCACCGCTGCCCTGAACATCAGCCGGCTCTGTGCCTGAAGGAACTTGGCGAGGGGGAAGTTGAGCGCGTAGGCGAACAGCTGCGGCAGCATCCAGAGTGCAAATCGCCCCGCTGCGCGCGATATGTCTGGGGTCTGGCCGATCAGGTTCATCCAGCTCGTAGCAAACACGTACAGCGGCGTGAGCAGGAGGGCGGTAGCCAGTAGGATGAGTCACGAGCGCTGCATGTAGACGCCCAACATGTCCAGGTCCCCTGCACCGTAGGCTTGCCCACAGAGCGTCTCCAGAGCGCTCCCCATCCCCAGCTGCCAACCGCGGCCGCCGTTCATCAGTAAAAGCGCTGTTTTGAAGAATTCCACGGTCTAGAAAGCATCTCGGAAATAGAGAATGTGGGTTAGTACCATCAGGCCAAAGGAGAGGCCGGCGATGACCGAGTTCTCGACGGAAACGGCGGCGAGCTCGATGGTGCCGAGCTGGCCGGCGACGATCTGGGTGACGGCGCCGAGGGAATACTGGCAGATGGCGGTGAACATGGCGGGGCCAGCCAGGAACCAGAGGACTTTCGACTCCGCCGCAAACTCCCTGAAGAAATCCCTCACTCCCCGTATCGATTCTCTATCTCCTTCCTTTCCCGTGAAGAATGCGGCTCTAGAGTGACCACCGGTCCGGGCATCTCCATTGAACCCCAGCAGGGGCTCGGTGACTCCTCCCTCCTCCCCTCCCATTCTCGCCTCCCTCTCTCTCTATCACTCTGCGCCATCCGCCCCCCTGACTTTTAGAGGAAACAACGTGGGGAATAAGACAAGAGACGCTCCCAGCAACCCACGCCAGTACCCTGCGGAGTACACCGAGGAAAGCGGTTGGTGGAAATTGGGGAAAGGAGCGCAGAGCTTGGAAGAGGATCTTCATTGTCGAGTAGACGGATTCTGGTGGTTACATGTTCAACTGCCGGAGGCCTCCAAAGGAGAAGTGGTATTGGCGGGTGCACGTGAGCTCTAGGGAATGAGGCGCCTGTCGGCGTGCCAACTACCAGTCAACGGTTGCCTCCTCAGGGAGAGATATAAAAGATTTGTCGTAGATTCGTGAACCCCCATTGTCAGAACAAGAAGTGGTCGTGTACAACTCGCCAAGAGGTTAACCAAGGGGGTTGGTGCACGTAAGCCCTAAATACTGCTTTTACCGACACGAGCAACGCCAATCTGTGCTCAACGACTCTCTTACGGTTAGCTCTCTTAAACAGCTTAAGCTTCCCTCTCTGCCCCCCATCTGGGGAATTACTGGTCCAAACTGAAGTATCAAATGGTGTTCTCCTCCCTCTGCATAAGAAATTACCAAACCCGGAAGAAACCAGCGCAGGAAAATCTGTCGGTCATGATCAAAATACGGGGTGTATCGATACATTTGACGTAAAGGTAAACTCGTCCACTTTCAACTGATTTGGTATAGAATTCTTAGCAGATTTCTGACTGATCGAGGCATGGGCTAGGAACCCACCACTAGGCAAAGATTTACACCCATATGATGTAAAGGTAATTCCCCCGAACATACTAGCCCCTTTGCAACTGCTCCCTTCAATGCTAGATAGATCTTTGCCCGCCCGGAAGCCACACCAAGGATTTGACAGGGAAGGGTCTGCATGACTTGTACGAAGACTCCCAAATTATATCCGCATTTCATATGGGCGTGCAACTTTCAGCAATAAAAACATTGCTAAAAAATTTCAGACTGGAGGTAACTTTCTAAAGCTGGAGCCAGCTGCATCTTGATTGTTCAAGGATTTGCAAGAGCAATTGAGGGCAAATCACATCCATCCAAAGAGCTCCATGCCTTTTTAAAATTCCATCCTTCTTGGAGGCGATAGGCACACTGCAATCTCGCATTTGATCAGGAATTTTCTCTATGTAAATAGAGGGATATAATCAGTGCTAAACGATTGAAGAATGGATTTAGGTGTACTTCAGATTTACAAAAAATCTGCCTTTTCCCACCATTCAAATTAAAATTTTACAGATTGGGGTCCACTTATTGTCTTGAATGGGAAAAGGTTTAGAGATCAGTATTTTGAGAAACACAAAAAAAAAAGGCATACTTACCTTCTTCTTCTTTTTATTAGGAATCAGATTAAACTGGAATTTTCTATCTAGATTTTACAGACCTAATTGTCATCTTCAGCATGTAAAAGAATATGATTATCGAACCTTCAATCAATTGGCAAAGGTAAAGTACCTTTATATATTTAGTGTTATCTTTTTGATAGATGACTAATAAGCTTCTTCATAAATTGTATATTTTTTTCTTGTTCTTTACACAATAATAGGTATGTTAAACCAAAGTGACAGTATCTACAAGAGTGTCCTTACTCATTTTTTAGTTTAAGCCATGTATAGACACCTGGATTGAAGTTATTGTAGTTCCTTCTAATCGAGGCTCCTTCCATGGATATAACAAGCTCCTGAAGGTGTCAAAATACTAGATGACTTCAGAGTCTTCTTCAAAATCCCACTGAATGATTGTGGAAAAAAATTATAGATGATTTTTAACCTAGTCATTGTTTGAATGAAGAGGTATACTTGTCAAAAGAGAAACTATAGTGAAAGAATATGTGAGCTGCCTAGTTGTGTAGAGGAAATTTCCTAGGATGAAGTACACCTACTAACTAGAAAAGGCCATATATGTCTTGTTGTGACAGTTTTGTGGGCAATAGCCAGCATTTTTCCTCTCCAAATTGATTGCTCACCAAATTATAATGTAAGTAACTTCTGGAACATCCTTTCAACAGCCTTGAACGATGACTTAAAACTTGGCATTTTGGTTGGATGGGTTTTATGGTGTTAAATGAGTGGATGCAATGAGTTTAAAATAATGTTGCAGTCTAGATGACCTGACAATAAGTAGTGGTCCACATGATCCATGTGGATATGATAACGTACTCTCTATTTACTGGTTAATGTTATATCTTACGATTAGAGAATGGTCTTTATGATGTTATTAATGATACATTCAAGTTTTCTCTTCCAAAATAGGTTTTTGATCGATTGAAAAATTTAGAATATAATTATGACGCAAGAAGTAGTTACTGCACATTTGATTGTTCCATTGTTGGTAGTCCGCCATTGTCTCATTTACTTTGATTAAAACTATTTTAATATATAATGATTCTATTGATATGATATTAATTTAAGATTTAACTAAAATTTTTCATCACACATGTTGGTCTTATGGTATCATATCATGTCCTAGATTAATAAATGATGAGCTAACTAGTTGCATGCAAAATTAATTTTGAAGTGCTTTCTTGATTAAAATGAAGAGCTGGAATGGATATAGTAAAATATTTAAAAATAAAACAATAAAACATGAAGCATGTTTAACCTGATAAATAAAAAAAACAATTTATTTCATCCACCAGATTGTGATTTCCATTAGACCATCTTAATTGGAGGTAATTTAACCCAGGCTTGCCATTGGTTGATGTTTGTTGGACTAACGAACTAGACTATGATCTGATGTAGGTTACAATCTAATATCATGTAGAATTCTTGTCATCTAGTAAAATTATAAAAATTTAATTTGGGTAAATATGAAACTCTAACAAGAAATATTGATGATTACATTATAATCTTAAGTAATTATTCAACATACTATTTGAATAAACTCTAAATGACAAGTTTATTGAGACATGAAATGTGAGACAACATGAATCATATATTAATACGTCTTCATTATCATAAGTTAATAATTAATTAATAGTATATTTTAAGCCTTAACTCATATTAAATAAAATTATATTTATATTAAATTGAGAAAATAAAGTTTTAATTTATTATTGTCAATTTTTGGCTAATTATGTAATTTTTGTGAATTAATAAAACTTTTATAATCATATTTTTTGAGATAAAATGAAAGAAATTTTAAAAAAATAAAAAAAGAGGAGAGACTTACTAGCCAGCTAGGACCTGCACATGGGTCAGAAGCACAATTAGCGGACCTATTGACCAATTGGGCTCTCATACAAGTCAGAGGCACGAGTGGCTAAGGACTAATTAGGGCACATGTGCATCACTTCTCTTTTATGTCATTGGGGGCCTACCAAGCATGTGGCAAGGAGTGGTCATACACACGTGTATATGTGCGAGAGAGTAAATTGAAGACAAGAGGACATAGAGACATACATGTGTTTCAAACATCAAGAAACAACCAATGTGGAATTAAACTCATGCCAATGGTCTCCAATAAGTTTTCTATATTTTTAAACCTAAAATGCCCCCCTTTCTTATAAGAAGGAAATGCCTCCATGACATCATTATTTAAGGGTATGTAGATAATTTTCTAAGCCTCTCTCACACAAGCAAGTAACAAGTGAAGGTTCAGAACCCACTAGAGCCAAATTTCACCTCTTTTACTTATTTAACTCTCAAATTTTCTATAGAGCATCGATCAATAATTAAGCAACTAGAATCATTAACCCACTAATGAAAATTTTGTCAATGTTATTCGTGGATCATCATTAACAACTAACTAATGATTTTGAATATAAAAATCATATATGCTTTGAAGAAGAGGAATCATCACCCCTCCAAAGCAAACCGAATGTGATATGAGCCTCCTCTCATTATGTAGACTTGAGGAAGAGGTTCCATGAGATATGTCTCATGTTCATCTAGCTCATATATACTAAGTGATAGTCGTTGGAAATCCAAAAGCCACTAAATTTATGTTCCGCTAGGTGACAATTGTTGGAGACAACTTATTGACTCATTTCATTAATTTCTGCACTTTTCAAGATAATTTATCTAAAGAAGTTTAATAAAGCTTTTTCAAATGTAGTTCCACCCTTGTTGCATGAAATATGTGGAGTCCTTGGATCCTTACATTTTTTTGGTAAATAATTCAAAATTGCTGCACTAATATCTTCACAAAGAGTAATCTTCTTAGCTCCTCTATGCTAAGTACATAATGTTTTCAAATATTTAGCATAACTCGGAATATGTTTAATAGCTTTAGTGAGAAGAATACTAATCTATACTTGTTTACATATGAAAATTTCTTCATCTTGAGATATTTGTTTCTTAAACTTAGGCTCTAATATTTGAGGAAATGGGACTTGTGGCTCATATTCTAGTGGTTGTAGATCTTGAGTCTTTTTGGCTGATTTGGAAGGTTCTTCTTTCTCCCTAAGTTCAGAATTTTCATCAATCAAAGGGGTCAGCTCCTTAGGTAAATTTTCTTTCATATATTGTGGTAGAGTATATTTTTCTATGTTAGTATACTCTTCCTCCTTCGTATTCTTATATGGATCATCTAATTGTTTTGCATTCCTCAAACATCTTATGGCCTTTATGTTTTCATATTAAGAATTTTGAGGTGCTGCCTGTTGACTTGTACTTGGTAGAGGAGGTTGAGGATAATTCTTAGGATTATGAATGGTTTGACTTAGGAGTTGTCTTAAATCTCATTTTCATGTTAATTCAGTAACTTGTTATGATAAAGATTGAAGACCTTACTATATGTAATAAAACATATCATTAGAAATAGACTGTCCTGAATTTTACTATGAATTTTGGTAAGGTGGATGTGTAACTACCTCAGGATGCATATATCTATTTCGATTTTCCTGAAAAGATTGGTTTTGATGAGTAGAATGATTGAATGGTCTCTGAAATTTTGGATTTAAATTTCGAGGGGCAAGTGGTCATACTATTTGCTGATTTCTCTAAGAAAAATT